CTATGCATATTTGTGCTCCCAAGGGACAGTGATGCCCTTTAGTGGTAATAACTGAACTTTCTCTCTCTTGCAAGACTATTTCTGAGGTAAGGTGCACTTCCCACGGAAATAGACACAACATATAGAAAAAGGGAACATACAAGGTGAGATGTTTACATGAGCTGCAGATTCAAGTACAAAAGTTTATAAAAACAGATAAGAGTTCAATAGAGGATGCAGAATAATGATCCAAAGGTTAGTATCAACAGGTATGTTCTGTTAAGACTTTTGAAGCATCCACAGATTCAACAGATTTCAGAGATGTTGGCAAAGCACTCCAGATTTAACAGATATATTAAATCTGTTCATGATCTGTAGATCTGCAGTAGACAAAAGAAGAAAAGCAAAGGCCCGAGGAAGGATCCCTGCTGTACACCGAAATGGAGATGAGAAAGGATAAACACTGATCCAATCCTGCTTGATAATATCATCTCTCTTTATCAGGATATGGAGCTTATTGTGTCAAAGACCAAGTTGAGGTTGAGGAAAACCTGGACAAAGCAGTCCTTTTACTTTTTCTGGAAACTGGAGTGATGTTTTGGTCTCCACTCGTGAGGTTATAGAAATGTTCCTGACCTGATTTCACTCCTCTGGATTAAATTTTATGGTTAGCAGTTGCTCTCATTTCAACAACAGGATAATAGCTCATTCTTTGTTTTTATTTAACAGAGGAAAATTACCCCTCAATCATCCAAACATTGCATGTTGTTGATACAGTTTGAAAAGAGCTGCCATGGTGATCACCTTTCCTCACAAAAATAAAAAGTCCGCTCAGTTTACTTGCACTTTAGAAGCATTCAAATTTCTGTATCTGTGATTTAAGCTGTTTTTTTTTTTTTTTTTTAACACCAGAACCTGAAATGAAACAACAAACACCCACTAACACAGCCCCTGGCGTCTTCTGCGTCAACCCAGATTTTTGGTCTGAACTCCCACTAAGATAGAGGGGGTGCTGATCGCTTTAGTGAAAAGCATTACAATGGCAGTGTGGTTGAAAGAGAGTCTGCCTATGTGAAGTAACGATTATGCTCATATTGGCTGTGATTTATGAGGAGTGCAGATGCAGGGGTGCGCTGCAGCATGACAAACTGCAACAGCTCAGACTGTAATACAGCTGACATTAACGCAAGACACCACAGCTCATGTCCGATCTTTGAGAAACTGAAATATTAGAGCATAAATATATCTGTCTTTAAACCTAGATGTTGCAGGATAACATTTCCAACACCTTTAGAGGCTTTTCACAGTCAAAACTTCAACCTTTATAGTTTTTCAATATCGTCTACGATCAGTCTTATTTGGTAAATGGGTTGGTAAAAATCCGTCCCAGGAGGTTTTTTTGTATCATCAAAGAGGGAATCAACATGATAGAGATGTAGATAGATACCACTTATCACCGTGGCTGGGGTCTCATCTTGATAGCGTTTATCGCGGCTGTTTCAAGTCTGTAATTGGAACTTGCTGATAACAAATTTGTCTCCTCACTCGGTCTGTCTTTACTCTGTCTGTGTTCAGAGTCTGATGAGCTGGATTCAGAGCTGGCCGGGTTAGCCTCTCTTGGGTTCACCGGCTGTCTGTCAGGTGTTCGCTTCAACTCCATCAGTCCTCTAAAAGCTGCTCTGCTGCACCCTGACAGCCATGTTATTGTCAGCGGATCACTGGTGCAATCAAGCTGCGGTTCCTCCACTCCGGCTAATCCCTACACGGCAGAAACTACACACTCCTTAACAGGTACAAGCAGCAAACTGACCTTATATCCAGTACTTTTCTGTTCTGGACTAACAGTATCTACACGTAAAGTATTCACAGGTTTTCATCTCCAGATGCTGTAATCCTGCGGCTTCCTCTTTAATATCATTCTCAGCTGCTCATTAAGCGTTTTACGGGCTCATTAACCATCCTCCTCGGTAAGCAGACAGAGCGATGGCACAGTCAGATGAGATTATTCAGACAGCTAAACTGAAGTCAGAGCTGGAATCTCTTAACAAGCACTTTCTGCACTGACTGATGGTCCTTACATGAGCTCCACAGCCTCCTCATCCCCGCCTCTGCTCTCCTTCGCCCTTTCTCTCCTCTCCTCTTCGTCACGTTCTCTTATTTTCCACACACCTCTCAACTTAACGCTGAATCCAAGATTAGTTTCTAAGTTCACCTTTTGCCTCTTCGCTACTTATTTCTTTCCTTTCTTTTCACAGACCAGCCTGGCTCGGTGGATCCGGGTCAACCTTTAGTCAACGCCATGAGGAGTGACTCAGCACTAATTGGAGGTAATGCGATCCATCTCAGCGAGAGAAAAACAAATCATTAAAACATCCAAACACCAGGATTTTGTCAATAATGTGACACTGTTAATAGAAGGAGCAGGAGTTGGGCTCCGAGTCTCAGTTCTGAGCAGCATGGGAGTCAGAACAGGATCATTTTGATCCTGGAGGCTGAGGAAGCAGGGAGGAGAAGTAAAAGGTTTCCTGCTTCTTAATGATGTGAGATTTCACAAAACGCAGAAAAATGTCAAAGGAGTAAAGACCTTAATTTCTATTTTAAAGCCTCTTTAATGTTGAGTTCAACTCAGGCAGGCAGGATTTTGTCTCTCCTACAGCTCAATAAGTGAAAGGCGCACTTCGAAGTTATCTTGTTAAAAATGAGACAATTTCCATATTGTCTTTTTTTAAAGGTGTGTAAGTGCCGTGAGGGTTCAGGTGCCAGACGAGGCGAGTACGGTGAAGGACGAACCTTTTCTCACTTTGAGGCTGTAAAAGAAATGTCTCAACGCAAAACTTCTGGGTGTCTTTTGTCTCGATAGAAACCTGCAAATCTCTGAAACTTAGGGGGCTTTAACACCTACGTCGCTCGATCCAAACCAAACAGCCAGACCTTGGTCAGACCCAAAGAGGTGATCTCTGTCTGGGCCAAACTGAACCACGGTCTGGTTCATGCTCAGTATGAAAACATTATCTTGAAAGGTTCGACCTTCATACCAAAGACAGGAAATTACGTGAGGAGTAGAAGTGGCCGTTATTATGTTGAATGGAGAATTTCCAAGGACGAGGAATTTGATAATATTGTAGATAAAGTTAAACCTCACGATTGACAGATTACATTTTAAAGAGTTTTACAGCACAGACTTTCTCTCCAGAGTTGGTGTTGCAGTGACTCGCAGGATTGCATACTTTCATCTCTTTTACTGTCGACAATAAAACTCACTAGCCTCAGGTACAACTCTTCAAATCTTCGCATTGGTCGCACAAAATCAACAATACGATGGTGGGAATGACGATTTCATTCATGTTTACAACATTCAAGACCCGCGTTATTCAACTTGTTGACGCCAGACGCCTGCCGGTATAATGACCAATCAAAACAAACCACATAGACACACTTGGCATCTAGTTGATGACAATATCACGTTGGTTCGTCATGTAAAGTCTTGTCTGTTTGACAGTGTAAAACCTAAACAGACCAAACCAAATATAGACAATTTAACAAAAACTGGACTCTGGACTTTGAGGTCTTGAAAACACTCTTCGGCCGTCTGCAGGGAGCAGTCAGTCCATTTTTGTGGACTCCAGTGGACCTCCTAGCAGAGCCTCCTATCTCTTTGTTGAATCGTCTTTTATATTTACAGTGCTGAGAGCAGAGTACGAGATTCGAGCACGACTCTATTGACTCTGAAAACTGATTCTTCCATTTCATGACATGTGTCAGCCAACAGCACGCCCCCCGCCAGGAAGTCTAACTCCGCCCCCTGTCAGTGAAGTCGACCAATGAGAACACAGGGTGCTCTGCACACTGAAATGTCTCGTCTGTAAACACATAAAATAGTAAAGTAGGAGAACAATGAAGTTTGTGCTGCAAGATGGAGCATGACGGACAAGTTATCTGCCTTTATGATGAGTTATCGAGGGACGACCACGACCGACTGAGAAATAGCAGACGCACTTTACCAACCCTGTGAGGAACTGCAGGTGTCATCTAAGTCCAGCATTTAGTCTGTCTCTGAAAGGCATCACATCAGTCGTGATGATTGGTTTGGTATGACTGTGTAGCCTGTCAGTCAAGTCACAGTACGAATTTATGGCTCTGAGATCGCTTCATCTGACACAGTGACCGCCGTAACGGATGGCGTGGTCTGACCTCTGCATACGAAGTGGTTTCTGACAGGATGTTTTATCTCGCTGTCTTCTAACAGTCAATTTGAACTCCTGGTAGAGTGCTTTAATGCACTCCATCAGCAACAGGCATCAAAATTAGCATCATAATGGCTCCTGTAGGTGATAAAGAGGCAGCAGTATTATTTAAGTACGTTTTAAAACTCCGGACAACAACCTTAAACCTATATTTCTCCCTCTTTTTTTGTGAAATTGCCCTTTAAAAGCTGTTGAAATTGGGTGAAAATGGGTGAATTCTGCACATCATTGTATCGCTGTGCTATGGCTAACGGTGAACAATAACTTCATTTTTTTGTTTTTGTGCTTAAAGGGGTGATCGCCGTGGTCATCTTCATCACCGTTTCCGCTCTGGCGATTCTGGCCAGATACATCTGCAGCAGGAAGGAGACGTACCGGAACCAGGTGGTAAAATCCACGCAGCCCGAAGACATCCACGAGTTACCCTTCAGCAGCCAGGCGGACTCTCAGAGCGCTCGCAGTGAAAACCAGAAGGAGTTTTTTATTTAGCAGGAAACCCTGAGCTCCCACCGACCTGACAGGACAGAAGCGGGAGATTTATCCGGAGCTCGGTGTTTCGGGAGACACACATTAACCCTCGGCTCCGGTGGGTCAGCAGGATGTGAAGTCAAAAAACTGAACAACTTGTTGTTTTCTCTGTTTTCTGCTGCCATTTTGAGGATGTATATACCGAAAATGTAAATGTTATATGTGTGCTTATACCGATGTTTACCTGCCATACTGACATGTTTAAAGTTATTTATTAAAAGACTACACATGTGATGATCAACACACAACTTTGTTGCAGTTACACTCGACTTTTGGACGTCATGTTTATTCATCAAAGAACACTTTTTTTAATGGGACAATAAAACCTTCAGAGAAATTCAAGATGTTACAGCCATGAAATGAGTCTGTGTGAAGACTGGACGAACTGAGCGGAGGTTTGATTTCGACTCATCAGCCAAAGCACTTTTCCCAGTATCGAGTAAAATCCATCCCAACTGACTGCACATCATTTAAACACCTGCTGTACATATTTACACAAAATAAAGTCAACCCAAAAACTTGACTTCAAGATTTCGTCTTTGAATGAGGCAAAGCTTTTGTCACTCGCTGTGTTTTTCTGTTTCTATATCATGTGAAAAGCTTTACAGTGAGGCTGAGACATCTGAAAAAACTTTGACTCCTGCGCCTCCCGCGGTGAGCAGCCGTCAGAGAAACTTTCAAAGTAGCTTTCAACAATGAAGCTCGGAGCGGGATGCACAATAAAACCGCGACTGTCACTTCCTCCAGACGTTTAATGTGTTTCTGCCGAAGCGCTAATCTGTGTTTGCTTGATAAGTAGACTAGAGGATAATCAGAACAGGGAATAAAGAGGAATGTGGAGAAGCTGACAACTCAGAGGAATGATGAAATAAAATAAAACACAGCCAACCAAATATTAATATTGAATATAAATTCTCCCCTGTCTCTGCCTTTTTTTAATGAAGACTGAAAATGCTTTCTCCTTCCTCAGTGTGGTGTCAGGATCAATGATTTTACCTCATTATTGCCCAGTTCAGGCATTTGTATTGTGCCTCTCTCATACTTCTCCATCTACACGATGATTTTATGGTTCATGCAACACTGTGCAACATTTTTATACAAACAAATGTCTCTTTTGATACTCCTTAACAGGGAAAAACACCACACACTCTTTACACGCTTGATAGAGGCATTTACATTTGCATTTCTAAACACCTGCTGCCTGGCAGCTCTCTCTCTGAAAATCCCTGTGGTGCGAATAAAGCGGTGCATGTAATATTTCTTGGGTAGTTAACAGGAGCAATGATTGTCACCGTGAATGATAATGAACGGAGAACAACAAAGCCAGGCGATGAAATCCTGAGGAAGGAAACGCTGCAACCTGGGAGACGTATGATTGACAGGAAATGTAGAGCAAAATCACCAGAGCAATGACTGTTCGGTGCAGAGGATCTCTGCACACATGACAATTATTATAACTAAGGTTCATAATGAGGAGCGCTCTTCTTTTTCATTCCCAGCCGGCAAGTTAAAGGTTAAACTGTTGACAACTTTGGAGAAATCTGCAAAACCAGACTGAATAATTTCTGTCTCAAACTGTCACTATTTCAAAGTAACTGCTTCAAACACTGGAGGACAAACTTAAAGAGCAAGGAGACAGACGCTTCAAAAGTATGAGTCATTAGGAGGGTTTACATGACTGCCTCGAATCAGATTAGAATAAAACTGCTGATCAGATCTGGAAATAAAGAGAGAGAGTGTGCATCCTTTTTGTTTCCACTTTAACAGCCATATGTACACTTTGTTTGTAACAGAGGCTTGACCTCCATGTGTCTTTTGGTCCCACTGCTGTGATATCATGCTAGTAATGCTAAAATTGGTGTAAACGCCAGATCAAATTACATGAGACCAAAAATTTACATTTAGAAACAGCAAAATCTGACGATGTTTCTAATCCAGAACTTCCTTTTCCTTGTCATTCATTTGCAAAAACCATGTTTGCTTTGCTCGTGGGTTCAGTGTTAGCACATGGGTTCCTGCGTTGTGTTTTGTTGTTTTGGAGCGTGATGCTGCGACACAGGGACTCTCACTCCTCATCCGTTTATTCAGGCACTGGCAGAGACACAGAGAGACAGAACCGCCAATAAAACTCAGCAGCCTGCTCAAACTCCTCGACAAATAACAGACAAAACGCAGCACAGAGTTAGCATAACTGTGCACGTCAGTTAGCATATTTATTGGATCAGTGAATTAAGTTTTAGTTCAAGACATGAAAACACTACATGGAGCAGAAATACAGATGAATGAGTTGGTTCAATAAAAGGATGGATAAAGATAATTGCTAAGGCAATTAATAAACACAAACCTCTCCTATCGGGGTAAACAAAAACAGGGTAGAGGGGTGGGGTCAAACCAAACAAAATACCACAGAAGAAGACACACAGGAAGTAGGAGCTGATTGGTATAAAACAATGTTTTGAGGTCCTCTAGAGTATTTTTACACAGTTTCCAGGAATTCCATGTGATTAAAATTAATGTTAAAATATACACACTTGAACCAGTTACACACAGTCAGTATGTTCACATACACAGTTCAGTCCACTGACTGTAGAATGAGTGGATGTAGTGTTGGTGACGTCACCCATTAGTTTGTGGAGCAGAGCTTTAAAGCCTATCACAGGGTTTCTGCAGGTTTCAACAAGTCAAATTAAAGACACTTTAAAACCTTTGAAAGACCGTAATGAATACAAGTTAAAACCATTTTTAATCTGGCAAAAAAGTACGAAAGACGTGAAGGGAAATCAGGACATTTCACATTACTTCAAATCAATCTTTAAGACCTGTCAAAACCTTATTTAAGCCCTTTTATGAGATTTTAATTTTTTTTTGACATTTTAAGACCCTAAATTCAAACGATTGGATTTTAGATGTTTTAAGACTTTGTAAGACCCCATGGATACCCTGCTATCAGCAGCTTTCGCCATGTTGGAAACACTAATAAGTTAAAGCTCAGTTCAGAGATTTAACTGGATTACTCTCTTCGTTTGGATTTACAAGCACCAGGCCAGAATAGATGTTTGTAAATATCATCCGTCTCTGCTGCAGTAGTTTGCAGAACACCTCCTTTCAGCTCCTTCTTATTGTTTCCCAGTTGACCTTTTGTGTCACATACCAAACCCGTCTAAAACCCCACTTTTACTCTTTTGACCCAGTATGAGACGGCATTTGTTTTATTGCTTTTTATTATATTTTAAAACAACTATTTATTGTTGTTTTATGTTTTTATGTTATTATGTACAGCACTTTGTGTCAGCTTTGGTTGTTTTTAAAGTGCTCTATAAATGAAGTTGAATTGAGACAAGTGAGCATGAGGCAAACTGATTGTATGTCGAAAGATGAAAACACAGTTTTATAGCTCTGTGCCTTTCATACATACAACTATCACTTCTACCAGAGAGGGTTTAATTTAATACTCTGCTTCTGGATGAAAGCAGGTCATACTAACTGCAGAGCTTAGGACCGCTTAGTAAAATCAACCATCCGCAATGTTAAATCACATTTAAATCCACAGTTTCAGTCCAACATTGAAACTTTTTAAGCGAAGGTAAACAGCCTGGATTTGTTTTGCTCTCCTTCAATTTGTTTTGATGGCCGTTACATCAGCTTTTATGGATCCCTCGTAAGTTCAATCGTGTTATAGAGGGGGGGAAAAAAAGGAGTTTTTTTGCAGCAGAAAATGTGATGAATAAATGTGTTAAGAGGCAGCTGAGGTCTTTTGTTTCTCTGTTAAATGAAGCTGAAACACAGCAACACTTTCCCTCTCCAGAGCAAATTAAATTAACATAAATTTACATCGCAGATTGTTGTTCTGCCTAAACTTTTATGGGAGCGTTGTTTTTGTGCACTACATGGTGTTATTGATGGGTATTAATAAGCTTCTGTCTGCGGAGTGGAGATAAAAGCAGCTGACTTAATGACTCAAACTGAAACATTCAGGATGCAAATTTCAAAGTCATTTTTGATGACTTGGAAAATTCCTAATTTGCAAAAGTCGAAGGTCAAAAAGACATCTCTTGATTTACGCCTGCTTTTAAATGATGTCATGTTTATTTGCATCTTAGATTCTTCTTCTGTAAATCCCTTCAGAGGACATGCATTCAGATGAGATTAAAACAAATCATTAAAAAAAATGCAAAAATTTCATTAGTTTGCAGAGATCTGGAGTTCTTCTGGAGAGCTCAACTTCTACCTGATAATTCTGTCTCTCTGAGTTATTTGAATAAAACTGAGAATTTAGGTTTTTGTAGACAAACCAGCGAACACACCGATCATGTAAGTGCAGCAGGAGATAGGAAGAGTGCAATCATTTTCTTCAGGTTGAGGTTAAAAGAGCTCTCCAGTTTGTAGAAGACAGGCCTGAAGTGGAGTTTTTGTACGGAGTGATATGACATCTAATTATTTTGAGGTGTCGCCTGCAGGGAATAAGCTTCAGGTCTGATAACCTTCATTGTGATTGAAATTGAAGAAATCATTAACTCTTGTGATTCATTTCCCTCAATAACACTCACAGGTGCTTCAAATCCCATTCTTTGGGTCTTTTTGAACTCTGGGTATTATCACACTTAATTAAACAGACATATTGTATTTCTCTGGATTTTTGAACCCTCACATTGCTTTTCCTCGTCTGTGATCCGTGCGATAAATCTAATCATGATTAAAAATCTGAGGTGACGACACGAGAGTCTGAGCAGAAGAGCAGAATTAAGATGCGTTTTTTTCTGACTCTGTCCTATGGAGCATGAAAGCGTATACTTGTGAATCAGTTCCATTAAAACCTGAATCCTGTAATAAGTCAGTGAAGACTTGCTGAAGAACACATGGGAGCAGCGAGACCAACACAAGAAAATTAAAGTTTGGGGATCTGATCCATCGAGTTAACTAAAGATGAGATCATTTTTTGTGTTTCCTGTTTTATTTTGTAGGAGTTAGTTCTTGTATGTCTAGTGAAGAGTACTTCCTGTTTTTTCCCTCCATTTTGGATCTCTAGTTTCACCCAAGTCTTGTGTCTCACCTGTTGCTTGTTTCTGTCTCCTTGCGTTGCCTCTCAGTTTTTAAGTTGCTGCTGGTTTTGTGGTTTTGTTTCAAGTTGGAGTTTTGTCGGACTTTAATAAGTAAGTTTACCTTTTTCAGACTTTTTTTTGTCAGCTGCTAAATCCTCCAGTTAAGTCTGTCTGTCTTGGTTAGTTAGCTGCAAAGTAAGCAGTCAATATCTTCTTTTAAAAACCCTTTTCAGTTGACTGAATGACATGATTTGTCATTTTGGCTACACGTCAAAAGTCGTCTCATAATTTGCTTGACAAATTCTGATCACTGAAGATATAAACAGGGTAAGAAACATGTTAAAATAACTATGTCTGTCCCCCAGATTCCCACCTGTACTCTGCTCACTAAGTCATCTCTACTTTGAGGAACTGGAGCTGTTCTTAAGGTGGACCTCTTCATCTGGACCAAAATGAAGATATCAAGGTAGGATGTTTACATGTTTCAGATCTGATAAGTTCCTTTTTTGGTAGATTTCTGGTGAACAAAAAGCAGGAAAACCAAAAAGAGATTGTTGCTTGTTGACACTGACTTCGTTGGCCCGCATTGAGGCAAATCTACATTTAACTTTTGTTTAGTTCAGTTTGTTCCTCTTGACAAAATAACACAGTTTGTGACCTGTTACAGTGCTTTGGGAATTGTGGAGTACAGAATATAGCTGTTTACTTTAGTCTGGTTGCTGTTGGTTTTGCTGGGTTTGGGTCACGTGGGCACTGTGTTTGAAAGCCGGTAGTTTATATAAGGGGTGGTCTCACCTGCACTGGGGTGGAGAGGTGAGCCTAGGTAGCCGTATTCTTTGTTGACTGGGCTTCATGTTCTTTTTTGCAATGATACGTGTCGCAAATTGTACACATATTATATCCGATATACGCATGTAAATCATTGGCAACTATGGAAGCGTTTTTTCTGTTATTAAAGCTCCAGAAAACTTAGACCAACCTATCCTCTGCCTCAAGCGACTTTTTTAAAGGTACTAGAAAAGCCCAGTAATATTCATCTAATTGAACAGTTTTGCACCGTGTCAGAGCTGCGTAAGAAAATGAAGATATCAAGGTAGGATGTTTACGTTTCAGATCTGATAGGTTTCTTATTGGCAGATTTCTGGTGAACAAAAAGAAGTAAAACCTTTAAAGAGGTTCTTGCTTGTTGACACTGAGTTAGCTGGGCCGCATTGAGGCAAGTCTCCATTTAACTTTAGTTCAGTTCAGTTTGTTCCTCTTTATAAAAAACACACAGTTTATGACCTGTTACAGTGCTTTGGGAATTGTGGAGTACAGAATATATATAGCTGTTTTCTTGTTTTCTATAGTGAAAAAGCTGCTTGAGTGGCACAGAAATGAAGTAGTGGGTTGAAAGTTAATAACACAGGGAGTCTGAGTCTGCTGCTTTGGGACTCCCGGGGACTTTTCATCTGATAATCCATCTACAAATTAATCCCTGTCTACTTCAAATGAAGAGGGGCTTTAGGATTAGTTCTTTGAAGTTTGAAAAGGGGACCTCTGAGCATTCAGTGCAGGCCATTGCTCCCTTTAATTGTCCATATGCGGCGATTTCAATGTTTAAAGTTCATTTCCATGTGATCGCTCTAACAGGCCAATCCTGAGGGTTCACAGTCCCTCAATCTACATGCAGATTATTTCACAATCCCTCTGAGCTTTCTCCAAATCTGCTGTCACTTCTGAATAATCAGGTTGTATCAGCATCGCTGCATGCTTACATGATTTAAAATTGGCTAAATACCATTAGGGTTTCTTGCTTGTCTCTAATGTAACGTGTGGGTAAAATCGTCCTCCGGCTCACCGGTGTGATAATTGAATTTAACTCAGTGCTCACTCAAAGCTGGTGTCAAGTGTTATGAATAAAAGGGCCCTCACCTGAATGAAGAGGGCTGTTTAATGCTTCTTCAGGCACATCAAACATTGGCTGTAAGAGAGAGTGGGGGGCGGGTGGAGCGAGCTGCTGTTTCCTGCTGCATTGTGGAGGTGGGATGGATAATTACCAGCGGCCTTCTCTCTGATTAGTAATCTGATGAGACTGCAGAGCCATAAGCAGAGACAGCACAGCCACCCACCTGATTTTAAATGACAGTGCAGGCCTCCGCTGTCAGTTTGTATCCTTCACAAATGTTCGGGGAAATGTATCTGCAGTGTGGCTGTAATCACGACAGAAAAAGTCACATTTTGAAGTTGACATTTGAGCTGCATTAAATATGTAAGTATAAAAGATGGGAGCAAAATTTAGAGCTGGTTCAGGGAGGAAATCTGCCTCGTCTTCATGGGTCGATGACTTACTTCTGTGCTGGTTCAAAAGAGGCCCGGTGGATAATACACTTACTCTGTTTAGGTACTTGATACAAGTATTTACGTAGAGACTAGGAAGGTAAACATGCAGCTTGCACGAATCATGCAACTTTTCCAGTTCAAGTAATTTGTACGAGCCAAAGATTTCAAACACAAATGCAAAAGTCTGCAATTGTATTATTTTTCGACCTCCAAAAGTTGCTCCAGAGACTTTAAAACTAATGGCTAATGACCCCTTTGTTTTAATTTTCAGTGTGCAACAACAAGGCAAGTTTATTTGTATAGTACCATTCATACACAAGGCAATTTAAAGGGCTTTACAGATGCAAGGAAATACATAAAAAATGTAAAAAGGAGAGATTAAAACAATTTAAAATCAAAAACACAAACAGATACATTTTTTTGTCTGTTCACTATTTTCCCTGAACAACATGAAAACCATAATTTCCCAGAAAAAATAAAATAAAATACACAAGCTTTCAGACCCAGGGCTCCCCTGATGGTAGACCAACATTTACCCCCACAATGCCACAATGCTAACTTAATGACTAAGCAGTAGGCTAGCTATTATACACACTATACGAGACTCTTATTTCAAAGGATCATCCAGTACTTTACCTATCCCTAAGGTTGTAATTAAGTGCATCCTGTACAGCTCAACATATCCCATGATCCTTTGTTTCCCATTTGAAATATCATTATGGTGTTTACTAGATGCTAGCCAAGGTAGAGCGACAATGGCGGTGCAGGAAAGACTAATGACGTGGGCTAGATAGACTCAATTTAGTTCAGTCTGGCCATGAAGGCTGAGTCCTAATGTGTGCGTAACAAGATAAACAACTTTTAACTTTGTAGATCTGTGACATGATCTGCACAACTACCTGCCACATAAAATCCCCAAAGGATTAGTGAACGTGTCTTCCCAGCTGGATTTTGACAGACTTGTTTTCTGTGATTTATAAGAGGGACTTGGCAGAGCTTGTTTGAACTTACTGCCTGTTTCGACTAACTTCTTCTACTATGGGGAACAACCACAGACTTTAAAATCTGCTGACATATTTAATCAACTTTTATCTTTTAACAGAGTGACTTGATGGATCTTATAAATGCCATTATTTAGTGAAAGAGTTTGAATATATGTTTCATGGCGTCACCAAGCAGCTCGACTCTATTTAACTCTGCTGCGATTTGATGTCTTCATATTTAGGATATGCATCAGTATTCGACTCCTGGAGGGTACTCTGGATATGAGGAGGAGGGTTTTAAGATTACCCTCCACAGTCTCCTCTCCATGGCTCCACAAGGGGATTTCATCTTCCTCTAGATACACATCAATTATCACAGTGAAGCCACCTTGGGGCTTCAAGGTTTGATAATAAATTAAGTTCTCTTGAACATTTTTCAACATCACCATGGTCCCTTATCACCATCCACGGCAGATGAGTGTGTGGAGGGAGTTTTTCAGGGCTGAGGTCGGAGGAGAAGTTTCTAGGGTTTTTGACACCGCAGCAACCTCATACTGTAGACTATTAATTAGGGAACATCGCCGCATCTCATCCCCGCCGCCGCTGAGCATTCACCCCTCCACTGATCAGATAAGAGTACACACATAGATCATTTGGCGTTGCTGCTTCACTGATTACATCTTCAGCAGCATTATGCAAAAGAAGCTCCATGAATAAAATCCATCTGGGTGGACACAAAGTCTGTAACACCTCATGTTTTATTGATACTTTGCATGCTAACAGTCGGAGTTCATCCTTCAAAACATTTAATGCTTCAGTTAATTTCACAGGATGTCAGCAGGACCTCAGCCTCACCTTCCTTTCCTCCAGGTGTCCTGACAGATGATGGAAACTGGATGAGGAACAGCTTGGTTGTTTGTGTGTGATTAGGCTTTGGGGCGTGTGCACGAGCGTCTTGGTGGTATCTCTTCAGCCTCTATCTTTCTCATATTTATGCTCTCCTCTTCTTCAGTATGGGTAACGTGCAATATAGTACGCTGCCTGTTTGCTTGTGGTCTCCTTGGCATGTGTTCTGTTTGCATGGAGGTTATTGTTATTGATGGTGGTTCAATAGTTTGTGAATGCATCTGAGCATGTGCAGGACTTGACTCAAGATGGTTTTACAAGGGTATCATACCTTGTTACATAATACTGAATCATGAAAAAGGATATAATATGATATATAATTGTCCATATTGTATCATATCATTTCATTTCATATCATATTTATCTAAGTAAACAGTTTTGCAACACGTCATACATATTATATCGTACCAAATCATTTCTTATATCATATTGTATCATGTATTGTTGTGTCGTATTATATCAAGTGTTCAACTCCTCAGTAAGGAAAGTCACTAGTGGCTGTCCTAGAGGTCGCTAGATGACGCCATCGCCTAATTTGCATAGTTTTTAAGAGGGGTCTTCCTTAGGGTGTCTGTATGTGTGTGTGTGTGTGTGTGTGTGTGTGTGTGTGTGTGTGTGTGTGTGTGTGTGTGTGTAATTTCGGTGCCCACCTGCTACCCAAAATCGATTACCCGCTTTCATGTCATCGTCTCCAAACTGCGCAAAAAGTTGCTAGATTTGTTGATAGGTGCTTTTTTTAAAATAAGTCGCTGAATAAAGTCGCTAGGTTAGCAACACTGATTGTATCTTATTGTAGCTTAGTATATATTATGTTGTATTACATTGTATCATATTGTATCATATCAAATGATTTGATATTGTTGTATCCATAGACTGTATATACTATGGACAACTTGGCTCCGCCTTCCGTCATTGTACGAATTTGAAGCCAAATTGCTCTTGTTACTTCCGGGATTTTCTCCACTTCCTGGAACCACCACTTGCCCGGTATCATTGTACAAATTCAGCAGGAGAGTCACTGTGATGACGCTCTGCAATCTTCGTACACCCATAGGCTGTATCACGTGTCAATCATAGAAAACATGAACCCCCTGATAACTTTTAAAATTGGAGCTGCACAGAAAAAAAGAGGACTTGAGCACAAACCAGTCTTACAGAAACTACATGTCAACATCAGAAAAATGTATATTCTTAATTTCTAAAGCTTGTCCACATCGCCATTAAATTTGCTGGAGGAGGCGGGACTTATGACCTATACTGCAGCCCGTCACCAGAGGGTGCTGTTCTTGCAGAGGCTTCACCCAGTGAGGAGGCAGACAACAACCATTCTATATACAGTCTACGGTCATAACGAATCATGTGGTTTCATATCATATCATATCACATCACACTGTGTCGCATTGAATCCTGTCTTATTAGTTCATATCCGACCTTACTGAACCCTTTTGTATCTTTTCTTATTGTATCCTATCAACTTAGACTAAGAATGAGGAGACCTCAAAGTTTCCTATTAAATTTCAGCAGGCTGTGGTTGTATTCAGAAAAACATCCCCTGCAGAGAGCAAAATAGGAAGAGCACATTGGCTGAAAATATGAAATAAAACCATAAAACAAAATTCAAAATCCAGACGAGGATGAAATAGTTTTTTGTTCCCAGTGTGAGTCCACCCATGCTGTGACTCTTTACATGAGAGACATTGTATTTAAACCCTCATGAGTAACAGGGAATAAAACATCCAGGGAGAGACTTTATTATTTAGACAAACAATATACTGCTGATACACAAAATAGAGTGCTTCAAACATCCTCCTATGGAGCTCATGGCTTTGCTCTCAGGTCCAGTCCTCATTGTTTGGCAGAGCTCAGAATTGATAAAGAGGTTTTGCTGGTATTTTCACATTTTGCAGATACCTTTTTTAAGGCAAGATTTTGAATTCTTTAACTAAAAATCTAAGAAATTCAGCATCTGCAGAGGATCTACAGCGTAGTGCTGTGAAAATGATAATGATACCCTGCACTGATTGGCTGCCTGGAACATGTCTGTAGAGGGAGGATACAGACTGGTGCAGATGGATGCGGAGGCAGAAAAATCACCAAACAAACAGGGCGAGTGCTCAAGAAAAAAACCTGCATCAGAACCAAGCCAAAAGTTTCTCGGTCTATCTGTGATCCAATGAAACCACAACAGGACTTTCAGATGCTAACTTTATCTTCAGGAATGGAGCATATTTGTAAAGACTAAACATGATTAAACCTGCAAAATTCCAAACTTTGTAGCATGTCTGCCAAATGTAGAAACACAACAGTCGCAGAATATCCTCCAAATGGGCGGGAAATTTGAGCATTTTTGTGATTGATTTCCTGTGATTGAGTCATTTACAACTTACAACCTTAAAAGTTGAGCAAGTAAAGCTAATTTCTCATCATTTTTTAACTTGCTGTTGTAATAAATGACACCGTATTCATCCAGAAGAGGTTACACTTTTGCATCTTAGACTAGGGTGACCAAACGTCCTCTTTTACCCGGACATGTCCTCTTTTTGGGGGGCTGTCCTGGTTTGTCTGGCTTTGTCCAGGAAGTTTATAAGATCCACTAAATATCAATTTATTAGTGAATTTGTGTCACGTGGATTTACTGAGTTAGAAGCGCGTAAAAGACCCTCGATCCGACCCAAAAAACTCTCAAAATTAACTTTGTGTGACTCAGTGACTCCGCCCCCGAGTAGTCATGTCCTCTTTTTGGGAAGTCAGAATATGGTCACCCTATCCTAGACCAAAATGTGTTTTCTTCTCGCCCAGATCTCCTCCATCACTCAGCGTTTTCCTTACCCCCACATTTCATGATCTAATAGGAAATAATGTGCTGAAATCCAGCTCACAAAATTAGTCAAAGCTGTATAAATTATGCTCCACCAAAAGCCAAAAGATGTGCTCTTCTCTGACAGAGATACTTTGAATGAGATGCGAAAGATGTAACATGAACTACTTTTCTGAAGCAGCCTAATTTCTGAGATGAATAGTTGTGATCATAAACCTGAATCAGGTTTGCCCGGAAATCCGTCTGAGCAGGACCGGGACAAGACACGTCTTCAAAGCACATAAAACATGAGCTTTCAGGTTCTCTAGTTTCCAGGCTGAATATCAAAACCTTCTTTGCTGAAAACAGCTGCGTTGTTGAGCTGAAAACAACACCATTAGAGCTGTGAGAGTGAACAAACTAAGTGGATTCATTGGCTGGAAGGCTAAACAAAGATTTACTCGTGATTTACTGTGAGGCGCCTCTTTCACTCCGAGATTTTCACATGATCTTCAATTGTTTTTTTAAAAGCTGCTTTGATTTTGTACATTTTTATTAAATACGTCCACATTAAATGTATCTGACTCGCTTAAAAGGTGGTCTATGTGTCCTGGAATTACACTTCAGCGTATGCATGGCATATTAAGACAGAAATTCAAGATCACTTTGATCACTTCAAGGTAAAATCACTGGAAACTCAGTCTGCCAGGAATCAGCATATGTAATCATAGAGGCTCTTTGAAGTCAGATTTTGGGTCAAATTGGGTCAAAAATTGGTGTAAGTTATAAACTTTTTACAATTAAGTATAAGATTCTCTCAGAAGAAGTTAACATTTCTTAAAATTGGTTTTGATCGCCTTTAAGTGAGGGCGGTAAACTACTTCTAGTGATCAAAAATGTCAGTTCTGTCGACTTTTAGATGCATATCTATTTATGATCATATCATTAAGTTTATGTTTGTTTATTATGTCTCTTCTTATTCTTGTGAAGCTGTGGTATCAGTGCAGCAGATGTCAGAGGATAACTGTTATATTTATATAAGTCTGGGTGAGTTTTTCGGGTTCATTTGTTCAGACATGAGGCACAGCTGCAGGAGCAAGGTGGAACTGAAGAATACGGTTTCATTTTTACCGTCAGACAGATCCGAACTGTTGCCGCTCCTTCACCCTGTGCACGCAGAAGAAGGTCGCATCAATATGTATGCAGAAACACTGCGATTGAAGGTTTCCTCGCTCACCAGCGCACACACACAGAAACACAGGACTCTGTTTTTGATTGCGAAACTAGCAGGAGTGGTGCACATTCACAACAGCATGTAGAAAAAAGGAAAAACTGATTAATTCAGGAATCAAAGGGAGGAAAGTACAGCTTTTCTCTGCCGTGCTCTGAAACTCTGATGATGTTGAAACGAGGTTAAATGTATTTACAGAAAGAAATTCAACCACACTGTGCGCCTGGTTTATTTAGGCTATGGTACACGACAACAGCAGAAGTTATACTTACTAAGTCTCTTAATGGTTATTTAACTTATTGACTCAAAGAAGCACATTTGCAAAGAGCTCAGCAGCAATATGGATTCAGTTAAATGTCAAGATTAGCAGCCATGCTAATATACTTACCTTACAAGAGGAGTACAGGCCATCCGGATGTTGTTGAATAGTAACATCCTGGTTCGAATATACACCAGGACAGCCCCTCTTTACAGGATTCATGTTTAGAAAAATACAGAAATGCGCTTTTATTTACAGTCTGGATGTTATGGTAAATTAAAGCTCTAGTATGGAACTTTCTGTCAGTGTTGACTTTAGTGCCCCCTGTGGACAAAGTGGTAACCCTCAAATCACAGCTGATTTAGTCTCATCCATGTGACAAAGTGTTAATTGACCCAAAAAAACTTTTTTTAGGGAGAAATTTACTAGAGTGAATTTTTGCTGTGGGAAAAGTTACAGGTGCTTTTTCTTTTGCGTGACTCTCCTCTTACACAAGCTAGAATCATTAAAATTTACGATCAGGAAATTATCCATTTCATCACTGATGTCATTTGCTTTCATATCACACAGAGATCGTTGTTCATTTCAGGCTCTTTTATAATGTATTAATAAAATCCTCACCGGGGCTTTAAACACGAAAATAGTTTCTGTGACAGATAATGCAGAGAAACAGGAAGAAAGAGGGTTTAGAAATCCCAACAGAAAGTCCTGAAAACTTTCAACACGGTTGGCTTTATTACAACTCATGTCTTTATCTTCATAGCATTCGATAACTTAGAGATGCACTTACTTGAGAGGAGGATCTGATATCAAACTATCTATTTCTTTTAACCAACCTATCAGCATGCTATCAATAGCTGGACTATCACTGTGTTTCTCCGTCTTTCATCCCCCTGGTAATGTGGTTGTGAGTGGAGACCCTAAATATAAGTCAGTTACACTTTTTCAGATGTACCTTCATGAAAAAAGTCTTCTATTTGGATCAATAAAGTGAATGACAATCAAGACAGGACAAATTACCATTTCATCAAAATGTAGAGGCAGCACAGAGTCAAGTTTTTCCAGTCAGCTGCATCTTTAGAAGTTCAGTCGTAGCAACAACTTTGGCAATTAGACACCATCAAGACAGTTTCATTGATTCAAGGGGTGCTGAGGCCAGTTTTAGATCATTTACTTTAATCTGTATGGTTTAAAAGGAGGAAAATTCTCTTTTTGTTTTTATTTGTTTAGTTTTTAGAGTAAATGACAACAATCTCAGTCACAAAGCAGGTTTAGGGACTAAACCTCTGGCTAAACATTCAGCACGTTAATTATAGTTATGCATGTATACTTTCTTAAAGCTGCAGCATGCTTAATTGGTGAAACTGGGGTTTTCTTGGTTTATAAGCTAAACCAAATGTCTACGACCAGGTTCATTTTCCATTATAAAGCAGTTTTTCGGGCCACACAACACTCTAGATCAGCGTTTTCTCTTCAGTGTGATTTGCATGGAGTCTCCAGCTTCTATCATTCTTCTCTCCAGACTCATCATATTCACACCCACGCTCCGGTTTCACCCCACACTGAATCAGATTCGTAGGCCGTATCTAGATTCAAATGACATCCGGTATTTATCCCCATCCATGCTGGCAACATCCAGCGTGTTGTGCTGTGCATCAAATTCCCTCAACTCCTCCGTGTAATTATTCAGTCTCTGCGCCTGTAACACATCAGTAATGCTGTTTATGGCCCAAGGTCAGAGCAGAGGGGGCTGGGGAGCCAAGCCTGTGATGGATTAATACTTTCCAGGGCTTTGAACTCTCGGAGACAGTGACACATTTCAGTGAATCAAAATAGGCTCTTTTTAAAGACTCCTTTTTCTCTGACAGGGGTTGAAAATACAGCCTCAGTGTTTCCCTGGGAGTCACTGTGATCTAAAGACTCAACTACCAGTAAACACAAGGTTAAATCATCAAAAAAAACCTCAGGATAGGGTGGATATAAAGGCAGATATCTTCATTTTTGAATTAAAGTTTCCAGGAACGATTATATTCATTCAAAAGAGTCTTTTCAAATGTTTAACCAAATACAGACTTTGTTAAACAAGTCCTTTCATTCAGGTTTCATTCTTGTGCTTTTCGAGTGCTCGAAGCAGTTCATCCGTGAGTGATTCTTTTCATTTACAACTAATCATTCAGCCGAGTTGCATCTCAAAACCCAAATCAATTTGTGTTTTTCTGCTGCTCTTTACCCACAACCAAGTAATCAGCCGTTCCAGCTCCGTGTTGCTTGAAAAGATGTGCAGAAAAGCCACGAGAGATCTCTTGACTTCCACCTTGAACTTGAAAGGGAAGTTGTTTTTTGCTTTGGGCTTGTTGTTCTGCCATGGTTCAGCTGAATGCACATACAAAATGAAGGAGCTTGTTACCTCCGCCTCCAACAACTCCCTCTGCGGTTTGTACCCTCGCTGTGGTTTAGATTTGTTATTTGCGGATGCAGTCTCGGGGGTTTGACCTGAGTTTGAACAGTTCAGTAGTCCTCTGGGTTTTGTGAGCTCAATGGAAGGCGTGATATGAGCAGATTAACGGGATTTGGAGTTTTTAGGCTGTTCTCTGGTCTTGGTTTTTCTCTTAAAAGTGGACTCAGAAGACAGGTTGAAGGACCGGCGAGTACTTTATCCAGCTTACTGCAGCTGGTGCTTGAAATATAACAATCTGTGTCCAATTTTCTGTCATTTCTGAACACCTTCCACTTTCCTCCTGCTGAAATCAGCCGACTTACGGATAGATTACTGTTGAACGTACAGTTTTTAGATCTGTATTTCCTGACTTCTTCCCTTTTTAAGAGACTCATCCAACTTTTTTGAAGTTTTCTTTCAGAACAAAAGAAAAGATTCAGCTGTGAAATGTTTGTCTGACACCCTCCAGCTCCTGACTAAAAGCCGGGGCCTTTTACTCTGCCTACATCTCACCTCTTGTCCCAGAGGCTCACACATCTTCTTCATTCAGTATCAGTGTGTGTTCAGGATCATGTCTTTGTCAGACTAAATTTGTCAAACTTGCTGAATTAAACCTCCCCCCTGTACCTCCCTCGTTCCCCTTTTCTCTGCCTCAGCTAAAACTTCCCTCAGAGTGTCACTGAAGTGTCCTCAGTCAGGGTGTACAGTGAAAGTTAATGCGATAATTATTTCCTTATATCAGCAGCACACTTATCACAGGCTGACTTCCAGGCCTGAAGCATACATTAAAGCTTCTCATGGGAGTAGAAAAGAGGTGCGCTCGGTGCGTTTATAATGAGTTCGAAGCATAAAAATCACATGAACAAATTAAACTTTAAAAAGTCAAACATTAGTCTTGCTCTAATAAAACTTGTCAACCCCACATCTTTAACCTAAATTAGCCTTGAAGGTGTTTCTTTCTCATTCGTTTAAACTGACGCGGTACAGCTTTAAGAGACCAACAGCATGTCGACATGGTGCGACGCAGACGGTAAAGCTAGCACAGATAGTTGGATTAAAAATGATAGACAGCTGCTGATGAAGGCGCCTTAATCAGTCCATCTTAATGTTATTTAAATTTTATAAAACTGACTTTGGTGATGTAACTCCTGCATGTAAGTACATAATGGAGAAGTAGAGGGAGGAAAAAGTGACTGTCGGGTTAAATTGGGTCTCTTGAGGAGTTGAGGTTATTGAGTCCCCCTTACATAAAAATTCCCCGACCCTGCATACCTTTGAGTCTCATCTTTAGACCCAGCATGAACCAGCTTTTATTGCTTTACTGGACAGTCCACTGACTCTGTTGTGTTTCTACATTTTACAGATTGTTTATTTCTGCCCCCGTTGTTACTGTGCGTCACATTATTGTTTGCTCCACAAATAAAGTGCATCGGAGTGTAATAGAAAACGGTCGTAAACTTAATCAAATAATAGCTGCATTTAATCCTTACAGACTTGTTTTATTTGCAGCTACATTTATAGAAACTTATTGAAGGTGTATTTTCTCTTGTTTTGCAGATGAACCCGGTCTGCAGTGATTGCACACAGCCTTTATTTGATTATCTACTAGCCTATTTGTTCTAAATGAGATTATTTCATCAATTGCCTCATGGCGAATAACAACAACATGAATCTTCAGGCCGCTACAAGAGGAAACAGTTATCAATGGGGGATAATATTCTTGATCCATTTCTACAGGCTGTCTTGGTTCTCTGTGTTTTATGTGAATCTATGGGAGTATCAGCTCTCTTACAGGGCAGCTCTTCATGGAGTAAACACAGTTAGGGTCACTGTTAGATCAGCTTTTAAAGCCAAAGGAATTAGAAAACTGTTCACTTAAGGTGACCAGATTTCTGTAATGAAATCCGACATGGGCTGCGTGATCACAGACAACATCTCGGTATGACTTGGTAGCAGCGCATGCCCTCTGTAATAACCCCACCGTAAAAACTGTTGTTCAGGACTGTGCGCAACATGCTTACTTGTGCGTCATACCCACTCAACTACCGTGATAACCAATCTACATGCACATCTTTGTTCTCTGCCATGAAACGCTTAAATCAGGGACATTTGCGGGGACAGCTTTAGCCACGGACAGGTCATCCGATACAGGCACTATCCCTGGAAATCGGGGACGTCTGGTCACCTTATGTTCTCTCCTCATTTATCAATATGATTTATCAATAACAGTAATTTGCTTGGAAGCTAATGTTAGTCCGACTTTGAGTATAGCGACCCACACACAACCCCCACTCAACCAGTTGAGTGGATTCAGAGCTAAGATGAGCAGATTAAGGTTAAGTATCACCTTGAAAAAAAAAAAACAAGTCTATTCATTCAGTTCCCAATTCATTGATTCGCTCATGCACTATTTTAAAACAACGATCCTCACTGTTCTCAGGTCAAATATTTATATGTGATTAAATTGCGATTAATTAGATCAACTTTTTTAATCGAATCCCAGCTCTAAAATATATCTATTTTTTTCCAGCATATTGGATACTTGAGGGCAGACAGGATGTTGCACAAACCTGAGCAGACACTCTCAGTGAAGTCTAACTACATATACAGCAATCCATTTTTTCACAGGCCCTTCTCACATAAAGACACTGTGTGTACAGCCTCCCCCAGCCTGTTTCCCGAGAGCAGGGATAAACATATGGTAGTTTTATAGCAGCCAATTACAATAAGCAAAAGACACCAGCCCATAAGCACTCGCAGACTCTGGCTATCCATTTCGGACTAACTGTGAGCCAGCTAATTGAGGGTAGTTAAAAGTCCATGCACTGCAGCCAAACCGCATCTCCACTTGTATGTTTTTCACATAGTTCAGGCTTGTCCAACATCCCTGCAGGACTGAGCCGCACAGTGTGAGTCTAACGCAAGAAACGAGGAAATGTCTGCTGGTAAGGAGTCACTTAGTTTAGCAAACTGTTTCCTGGAGTCTCCATATGGAGGGTGAATAAAAACCTGAACTCCAGGAAATATTGTTGTATATTTGTGCATGTTTGTGTGTGTAGGTAGTAGTATTTCCAGGAGTGTGTGTGTGTGTGCTCTATAATGACTTTTTTTTTTAGCTCTGGGGTAAGCAGATGAAACATTGAAGACAGCTGTTGGTGCAGTAAAAACCACATGCTGCTCCTCTCTTTTCAACATATTGGTCGTTAGCCTGACACCGCACCAACTGTAACTTTCGCCGCAGTTATGTGTCATTTACGACTCGTTTTAGATCAATGCCATGCGGGTCATTGTAGCTGCAAAAACTCCTCCTCTGTCCAATGCACCAAGTTAGAGAAGACGGGATAAGACCAGGTAAGGTATTAAGTGTCTTTCCCTCACCTTGACAGCTGCTGACTGGCCTTCTCATCTCTGGGTCTTTTCCTCTAGAAATTCTAAAGGGAGCGAAGGGTCACGAGTGGCGATCCGCCTCAGAGCGCCTGCTTAGACTTCATTATGCAGATTTCCTCCATTTTGGGATTCTGAGTCCTCATCCTCCGTCTCCCTGCTGAGTCTGGAGTCGAGTGATTAAAGGTTGGCAGAGAGGGAAAGATGTCAGAGGACTCAGGATGTCGACAAGTCTTTGGAGACTCCTGTGGGCTGCTTGACAGTCACAGGCCCCGACATGAAAATGACTAAAGAGTAAAAAGCTTTTCCTAAAAGCTGATGGTTTCTTTGCTTAGAAATAGATTCAAAATGTGTCTTTTTACTGCTGCAGATAATGTCCATAATGTCCAAAAGTCACCAGAAAGAACAGTTACAATGTAAAACCGGATGTTAAGTATAATTTAAGATCCCTCTGTGCACAGTTTTGTGCAGGAACATTACCATAAGCTTTAAAGACTGGCAGGTTTTATACCACGCTGAAGGACAGCAGAGCTTGTTTTGTTAAGTGATTTAAGTGAAATTGAAAGCAGTATTCGGTTTATGTTTTACTCTCCCATCCAGGAACACAGAAGGGACGTACTTTTTGGTAAAATGTCCACAACTAATAAGGGTTTATTCTGGTTGGATGATTATAAAAAAGCTGAAGTTGAGAGAAACCTTATAGTAGCAGCAAAGCCAGGGAGGAAAAGCAGAGTACAATGTTCAAGACTGAGCTTGAAAAAATATCTACTTTGACTTCAGTGGATTATCAGACCACTGTTCCTAACCCGTGGTCTGAACATTTGGTGCAAGTGGCATGTAAATAAGATGAACTCAATCAAGCAAACAAGAGGGAGTTCTAGTTTATCGTCTCATGTATATGAGCCTGATTCGTCTGTTTTAATTTGGTCAAATTTCCTCAAAATCATCACAGATATTTTGTGTTTGAGGCGTTTCAGTTTTACACTCTTGAAAACACACTGGTCTTATATGTTGGTCGGAAAAGCTCCTGGATGTTGCAGAGAAGCATAAATTCAGTGCCAGTAAGCTGCCGGTCTCACAAAGCAAGTGGATTCTACAGAAAGTCATTACATTGAACTGTTCTAGTTTTTAAGGTGATAGCATAAACATAGTAACATGCATCAACCCTGTAAATGACTAAACCTCAAATATAAGATCATTAGACTTTTTTTAAACTTTTGGGCCAAGCCTGTGAAGGACTTGGACTTTGGAGCCTACCCAGACTGCTAAAGGCTAATTTATGCTCGCCATGCATATGAAAATGTATGTGTCCGTTTCAAACAATGGTTCTGTCACTTCCCACATACTTCCATGCGTCCTTTACATTTGCATGGATGTTAACCATTACATCCACCAGGGGGCAAAGGAGACAGAAACGGAGGCAGTGTTAGAGGAGGCGGTGGTCGGTCAGGCCACTAAATGTCTCGCGGTTGGGGGACAGAGAATTCTTTTTTTTAATAGTACTGATGAGATAAATTGACGAAGATTGCCATCTTTAGCCCTGCCATTGTCTTTTTCATTTCTCTATAGAGATGCGTATCGGGTAGTGACTAGTGACAGCAGCAACACTGCCCCCACAGTTTCCGGTGGTACCGCTCCGTCAAGGATATGTGCAAAAAGAACGAAAAGAACACAAAGCACAGAGCTCCATCCACATCTGGATCGTTGTATGTAACGTTGAGCATAAATGAGCCTTAAGGCTAACATAACTACTCTCATGTTTGTTTTGTTTGAGCTGGTGCACAGTACACTGACTCTGTAGGATGCCCATGACACTTGTGGGGTAGGCGAATGCATTTGTTCATGCTATCTGAAGGAGCCTTTGAACTGTGGCAGCCTTCATTGATGCAGCCTGTCTTGTAATGCATCCATCATAGGATGCAGCCCTTGGGGTACAGCTTGCATCTTGGCAACTTGATTTCAACCCATGCCTCGAAACTGCTGCAGAGATGTTTTTATATCATAATCCTCTCTCAGCCCCCCCACTTCCTGTTCACCTTCTCACTCACAGTTACATAAGAGCGTCAATGCCAATAAAAAGGAGTCAACGGCACATCTCCAAGCAACAGCCTATTTAAGAAATGCCAACCAGAGTCGAGGCTTTAAGTCTTTTCCCACAAATGCCTTTTTTCAATAATGAAGCTATCTCAGATCACATTAGCACTCTTGTTGTCCTTTTAAACTCCCATGTACAAACCCAGAATAGCGGGAGCTTGTCTTGATAGCTTAGAGGGTCTTTACAGATTGGTGCCTTGTAATTTTCCTCTCAGATTTCCTTCAGAAAAATGACAGAATCAGATGACTGCTGAAAGCTTTTTGTGACAGCTCTACAATTCATGTAACCAATGATAATGTTCAATTCACAAGAAAAATCCTTTATGTGGGCCATTACACAATGCACGTATGAATATGTAACGAGTTGTACAAGAGAATAAGTTTTATGCTTTAACACAATAAGGACGGAGCCAGATTGCATTGTGCTGTAATTACATGGCTTCTCTTATTCTGAGCGCGATGGTGGGAAGAAGTGGGAGAGTGTGCGAATCGCAAAGGCCTGTGCTTTTTTTTTTTTATTATTCGAATTTCTCAAGCTATTGAAAAGCCTTTACAACAGTAACCCTTGCAGAACTAACAATGTGGATTGTGCCCTCATTTATACAGTATTAAATGTCTGCACAGACGACCACATATTTGCTTTGTGTCGGGGAGGAGTGGGTGGTGGAATAAAAAGAGACACATAAGGGCAGAAGGGAATTAAAGAGGTCTGAGGGTGAGGAGTAGGAAGGGATTTTCAACAGACGCATTCGGCTTTTATGCATATCCCTACAATTTTCTTCTTGGGTGCAATATATCCAACTTAAGACAAATGTTAACACTCACTATGCCGAGTTATCTTTAATGTGTGAATATAAGAAAGCTACTTTTAAGACTTTCTTTTTCTTTCTGTACAACCCTAAATCAAAAGACAGAGTTAGGAGTGTAAAGAGAACAAACTGCTAATCTTACATTTGAAGCCTGTAACATGTTTCAAAACAGTTTGGACAGGGTCATGTTTACCATCATGATGCATCACCTCTTCTTAGATATTGGTGAAACAAGTAGACCAGTTTCTCAAATTGAAAAAGTGTAGTGATGCAAATTATGTCTCTTTGTAGTGAGCCAGATCATTCGGCTCCCAAATGGCTCTTCATTTTACCACTTTTACATTTTCTAATTCAGCCAAATTTAGCGTTGTTTGGCTTATGATATGTACGTTTGTTTACATATCGCTTTAACAATTCAATACATCCCTTGTACCGAAGTATTCACAAGTAAAAATTACGTTCTCTAATATCAGTAAAATGCTACAGCCATCATGAGCGCACAAGCACATGGCGCCCCCCTCTGCTTGGTTGCACATAGCATGTACGTGACAGTCATGCACTGCACGCATTGAGCACCTGTCATCCTGTCATTCTCCCATCGTTCACGTAAAAGAGCCGGCTCTTTGAACCAGTTCTGACACATCACTGTGAAAGTGAAATCTTTTCCTTATTCTTTCCTGATGTAGAGGACAGTTTGGGGTCTTCTTTGTCGTGATGCTCCAAGTGTTTTCAGTGGTTGATGAACCAGGACTGCAGGCAGGCCAGGCTAGCATATACACTCTTCCACTATGGAGCCATGCTGGTGTAATCCAAGGTTTGGTATGGTCTTTCTGAAGTATGCAAGAGCACTAGCCCCTGATTTCAAGGGCGCCATCTAGTGACAACATTTGACAGCGAGAAAACTCCTGAATTGGATGAAGTGAGCCACTACCACATTTGTTGGTTTGTTGACAGCACAGGCGTAAATACAACTCTATTTCTGCAGTTGTTATAGGGAAATCAGACAACTCTGCGCATGTACAAAAGCTTCTAATCTGAATATAGCTTGGTTCATGTATACTCACATCATGATTGGACTATTCAATTTTGAGCCCATATAAACAGCAGATTCAGATTATCCGATCCCTCAAATTGTTAATCGGCATGGCTAAACATGGCTACTGTCATTAAAAAAACAATAGGGATGAACAGGTTGTGAAAATCAAGAGTGATACTGATGTTCAAAATAACAATAAAGACGATCCTGATCCTGATTTTGGGGGTTTTCCAATATAACTGTGATGTAACCTGCACACACACCTTGTGCTGAAAAAAGCTCATGGCTGGGACTGAGAAAAGCAATTTGGTTTGTTCTTTCCATATTTCTGTTGTTGAAGCAAAATCATAAAATGGGAAATTTGCACTCCATCTGCAAAACAATTTTTGGTAATTGACAGTTTTATAAGAGAGAGCGAATTCAATCAGAACACTGCAATCTTCAAAGTATGTCTGCGCCGCTGGTGAAGACAGAAACTGTGTCATGAGGAGGAAATTGAATCCGATGAAAATATACTGAGGCCCCTTTTTTTATGTTAAAAGTTGGATGAATTGCACATTTTAAACAGAAAGTTTGCAAGTCAGAGATTATTCTGCGGAAATTAGACCTATAAGACTCTGTGCAACATTAATTTGCGATTTGGACCTGTAATTATCACACCTGAGGGAAATATGTCGAGGCAGCTGATTGCAGATGAGCGAACAGCAATATTATTTTGCAGTAACCACAGAATTGGGAGTTTGTGGACAAAGCCATGAGTCATGAAGACACTCACTTCACCAAGTTATCTCAGTGTTGTGTTTTCATAATCTTACAGCCTTATTTTCCATCATGAGAAAGAATGAGTTCTTTTTTTTACAGTATAAACGGATCATATAATGTATGAAAACAATCATATACTATATGAAGCCAAAACTTGTAGAGCTCCTCCTGGTGACTGACTGCAGTATAGGTTTTGAAGCCTGCCTCCTCCATAATAATAGATTAGACATTTTATTCAATTATTGACCTTCATTCAGCCAGGTTTGTCTTGTTAAGATCAGATATAACTAAACTGCCTCACTGATACGATTGAACAAAATAAAGTCCAGACTTCTTGTGATGCCCCTAAAGGGTCATGCTGCTGTGGGAGGTGTCTCTGGTTGGCTTCTCTCTGCACCCTGATCAGAGCAACTATGCACACCTGGGCCCTGGGTGCTGGGAGTATTTAAGCCCTCACAGTTACCTGCAATTCCCTCTTTTGTTTCTTCTGACTGCCTTTACAGGTACTTGGTTTGGTTTGGTTGGTTTGGCCTGGGTTGGCTTGTCTTGGCTTGTCTTTACTTTGATTTTGTTTGGCTTGTATTGGCTTATCTTGACTTAGTTTGGTTTGGCTTGGCTTTTTTTGGTTTGTCTTTGGTTGGTTTGGCTTGGTTTAGTTGTAGTTTATGTTTGCTCTTTACTCATACACCTACTTTCACCCATGCAAGCCTTACACAATACTGATTTTTACTGATTTACACACCTCATATCTTGAATATTCTAATTCGGTTCAATTTGAATTAATAAAGACTTGTTCGGGAGTTTATACATGGTGCGTGACTTCCTTCTTCTTTTTGTTGTGACCACCTTAGCTAGGTCGTGACAAGCAGGGGCTCGTCCAAGATTTAAAAGCATTCAGACTCCTCTTTGAGGAGAAAGGGGCAAAATAACTCATCTTTCTTTACCAACTTAGTTTGTATTTTTGGAAAGAAACTGCAAACAGAGGTCCTTCCAGGTGAAAAGAGAGGAAAGGTAGGAATGGCTTTATTAATAAAGATGACTGATCTGACTTGTACTCAACAGTCTAACTGACTTTGGAATAATAATTACAACGGTGAGTCAAAGAGGCACAGTTTGTACCAAATCTCAATGCACCTTGATGCACTCGGCTTACAACACAATCATCTCTGATTACACACTGATGAGACCACTGGAGCAGATGTCCAGTGAAATTAGTCCTTCAATATAACAGCTCGACACTCTTTGTCTGTCTGCCCTAAAACTGTCTTCATTGTCTTTCTTCTCTGGAATTAAATCAATGAAATACAGCCCCTCTCCTCCTTCAGGCCTCCTGACACACTCGTCCATCACAGCAAACCGAAGCTTTGACCCGTCCTAACAATGAACCTGTTAGCAGTCCACAGAGCCTGTCTTGAGTCATTTCTTACAACAAGGCTGGTCTAAATCACCTACAATTGACCTTAGCTGCTGTCCTGTGGGGACCGTGTGTCATATACTCTCCAGTATTTATCAGCTAAGGGTCTTTAAGGAGGATGGAGCAAAAAGGAAGGAAACACCGGTATTTCTTGACTGCCAAGCTAAGTGTCCCCGTTTGACCCCACTGTACTGTCATTCATCAGTGCATAAATTGTGTTGAAACTGAAGAAACTTCCATATTTTGATTGTTAATGTAAAATATTCCCAATAAATTTTTTTGTGATCAAGTTTTTATTTAATTTAACTGAGAAATGTAGAAAGGTACAAGTCAATATTACAGCAATCAATAAGATATATATTCACATATACCCGTACCTATAAATGTATATTGTAAGGTTCGACCGATTTATTGGCGAGCCGATTAAATCAGCCAATTTTAGCCCGTATGAGACTAACTGGCCAAAACTTGCTGATTGTTGCTGATATTTTCAGAAATAAAATGCGGAGAGTAAGATTTGGTTTCACTTCGAAAATGTTCCGCCATTTTAAAAGATTTCCTTATCCTTACTTATCCTGTAGATAAGTCGGGGGATCTTTTTTGAGTTTGTCAGAGTTTCATGATAAATACGTGGAATATTACTGAGATTAATATTATTGAGAAGTGTTTGAAAGGCTCAAAAGCAACCGTTTGTTAAAAAGATAGTAAATATGTACATATATTACTTAAATTAACAAAAAATTGGCAAATTAATCAGTAATGTATGATATGATAAGTGTATAAATAGAAGTAAGTAAAAATAATGATAAAAACAAACGTACAATAGGTTAAATAATAATAAATTACATGTACATAGTCCCAATAAATTAAATGTATTATGTTAGACTCTATTTAAGCATAAACAGGACAAAATAAGCAAGAAAAAGCTTTGAACATAGGGGGCGCAAAAGCTGGCACAAAGCAAAAGTTCCTCACTGTAGCTTTAAGTATAAGAAAACTACCAAAGTTGTGCAGAAACACACACAAGGATTTACGAAATCCACAGGTTTGCAAATGTATTCAAATAAATTCATTCTTCAAAGGTTAGTGATGAACTCAGTGGGAAGATCTGAAAAAAATAATGTCATATAGAGAACACAAGACTGGAGCATTGTTACAAAATGAAGCAGTCCTTAAAAATTGATCTGAAATGTTTGGCGCTCAAAGTTTTCCATGGAGAACCCAGAACCTTTCTGGATGTGCAAACAGATCATTTAAACACACAAACCAATATGGATTTGCTAAAAACAAAGAAATGTTTAAATAAACTCGGATGCACTAACATGTATACTGTACATATGTATTTCTTGAAGGTCAAAAACAACCCCCCCCCACCACCACCACCACCACCACCACTACCACAGCAAGTATCTTGTCACTCTGACACATATGGAAATTTCCTGCTGCTTCAGCTCAAAGTAAGACACTCTGGTTACATCTTCGTAGCACATATGGTCTATAAAATCCATCATGCTTGCACCCTCCCTGCAAACATTATCCCCCATCCTCAGGCCTCCAAACTCCCATCGGATCTGGACTTGGCTGAGTGTGCTCTAAAGCTGGGACTGCGACATAAGTACAAAATCCAGTAACATACAATTTACAAAATAAAAGCATAAAGTGTCCTCGGGTTCTGTCGGGATGATTTCATTTTGTGTAAAATGAGGGGCAACTGCAGCTTTTGTAAAACTATAAAGAACAAAAACAGAGTTTCAAAGTCCAGGGACAAATAAAAAGCACTCCTTGTACCATCTTCTCTGTGCTTGACCCGCCATGACAAGGGTCAATGGAAAAGATTGTTTTGTGCTTGAGAGAGGGGAAAATAAAAACAGAGTGCTAGCAGTGTGGAGTACAGGGATGAGTCCCAACTGAGTGGTTGGAGTGGAAGGCCAGAGGTTAGAGCTGGGCCTCAAGATGAAATTGGGACTGGAGGAGAAACCTGCAAGGGTGTAGAGGTTTGCTGAGTAAAAAAGGGGGCTGATCCGAAACCTTGATGTGAGGAGTTGAGATGTGCAAAAGTGCAGGACCTCGATGTGGGAGCCGGGATGCAGAATTGATACTGGATCTGAGCCAGGAGCTGCAGAGATTGAGTGCTGGGGGAGAGGACTTGAAATGAGCTGTCAGGACTGTCAGGGTGCCTTCAAGTTGGAACAGTAACTTCTTTTGTCTGATCCTCAGCTCGATTACTAATAAAGCAACACGATGTGCATTCAAAGTTCAGTGTTTGAGAGTTAGTTTTCATGATTTGAAAACCACTGACGCGGTTTTTTGATCGTCCCTCTACGCGGTTAACTCCTGCACAGTTTCTTCGAAAGCCTCTGTGTGAGTTTAAGGGTGAAGAAAAGGTTATCGAGTGTAAAAATAGTGCAAGACAAGCGCAGTGGAAGTATCAGGGGGTCTTATTTTTGAGCTTTTCATGTCAAAGATTGTGAGAATATCCAGTTAGAGCTGCAAAAGATATTTGATCTAATAGTTTCGTCATTTGAACCTGATGAATTCTCAGGAGGTTCAACACTTAAAGAAATCCCGCTCACATTAAACCACAAGCTCCTATTTTCATTTTCAGTTTAAGGCTACCCAAAGTTTCCAGATTTACATAATAAATAATAAATCGGCACCCAGCTTTTTAAACCCACAATAACAAAAACCAATTAAAATTATCTTCACCTTTTAATCACTTTAGGAAAGGGACGCCGCTGTTTCTGTGCATTAACATCAAACGGATAATATAAGTCTTAAGACTCGGCGCACACCAGAGGATTTTATTCGTCTTATCTGATTTCGAAAAACGTCAGAGACCCCACACATGACGAGGACCGATGACAGATTACACGGCTTTATTCCTGTAGTGTGTGGTGTGTAACGATGTGGTGTGTAACGATGTGGTGAACAGACCACACACATACAACTTTATTTTTTTAACAGCAGACGTCAGACTTTCAAAACTGAAAATCTTGTGAAGTCAAACTTTATTTTCAAGCAAACGAACATGGCGGAATGGCTGCTTAGTTTTCCGATACAATCCTGATATTCTCATGTTTTTAACTCGTTCTGTACAACTGAATTTCCCTTATAGGATTAGTCTCTGAACTGAATGTGTTGCTAGTCAGTTATTTCTTATTTAATAGTTATTAATTGTCCTCACATCTGCAGTCAGAACACTGGAGAACACACTTTTAAGATGTCAAAACTGTTTTGAGACACAGCTTTGTCAGAAATGCGATTAATCGCGATTAATTGTTGAAACTGCGATTAATCGTGATATATATATATTTTTTGACAGCTCAAATTAAGATTAAAGATCAGGTAGAATTTTGTCAACAGCTTCAATGGTGATAAAAAGCTGCTTTAACTAAGTGAAGAGTCAGGTCAGGGGCATATAGACGGTGATTAATCAGTATTTGATTTCTTTCATGCTGTTTTTCCTGCTATTGAAATTGATGCAAATTTTCTGACAGGCCTTCTAGTAAATATGATGATTATTCCTTTTAAATAAAAGAAAAGGTGTTTTACCAAGAGCATATTTTGAACCTTATGAAATTCAAGTTTTTCTTCTCCAAACAACCTCATTACGTGTCAAGCTCCAACATTTTTAATCACATTTTCAGACCTGCCGTTTCAACACATGTTGCTCCCTTATTCAATCATTTTCAAAAAGGATGAGATTATTTTTATTCAGAATTAAATCACCTTGAATTTTTTGGTAAACATTACCCAGCACATCTAGCGTTATTTGTGGATCAGCAGGTGTGTTCCTGCTGCTCTGTCTCAAAATTTGCAGAAATTCGTGTAACACTGGAAACTCACGGAGCACAGCCCAACACAGCAGGCGTCTGAGTCACCTGTCAAGAAACAGGAGAATGAGACGGCTTCCTTTGAATTACTCAAAAAGACAGATGGAAACACAGACGCTGATGAGAACAGTTCTATGGTAGATAGCGCTGTCACACACTGAGTCACATGTTGAAATGAAACACCTGGAAAAGCTCATGAAATGAAGTGATCGATATACAACATGCTAACGGAGGAACAGGCACGTAAGCAGACGGGTCAAAACGCACACACAGAGTCTTTCAAATGTTCGCACACACACAAATGTGCTCTGCAAAGATATACAACCCTGTCACTGGTTTTGATACAGCTTTGCCAGTAAGAATAATGACTGGGCTTAGACAGTTTTCCTGGAATCCATAGTTATCTATACACCCGGCTCATCTCCTCGGCTTCATGCACAGTTCATCCGTCTTCTGTGCTGGAAGATTTCAGCAGGATTTCCGCCACAGAGTGTAATAATGTCGACAAAAGGAAAAAAGACACATTGGCTCCTCTGCTTGTGTATGATATCCCACTTTTTTTCAGCTATAGGTGAACTGGGAAAAAGAAAAAAAAAAACAAAGTTTCCTGCAAATAAAAGGTTCAAAAGCAGCCTGTCCTGGTTAGTGTCATGACAGCGCTTCTGCAAAACCAGATTAGTAATTAGAAGCTTACAGTTAAAAAAACAAAAAAAACAATAAAAGAGTCTGTATTTTCAAATGTGTTCCAGTCTCTGCTCACTTTTCCAAGTCTGGATGCAGCTCCGAGTGTCCATAAATCAAGTGGGACTTTGTTGAAACTGGTAGAGCGTGGTTTCTGGTGCTTCTGCAGCCAGCTTCAAGTAGACATTCAGAAAACTGCAGTTTCTTTGCACTTCCAAATCAGCTTCATTTCTCCGGACTGGAGGTTGCCACTTGGTTCCCTTCCACTGTCCTGAAGGGCTTCGTTTCTACGAATGGAGCATCATATTCAGCATGCATCACAGGAGCTTCTGGCAGGGTGAGCAAGGAAACATTTTGAGATATTGCAAAATACTTCCATTTCTACACACTGTACTTGTAATAACATGACAGATTCTCTAAACTGGGACCAACTTGATAGGTAACAAACCAAACTCTACCTCCATCAGGCATGTATTAAACCCACTCCAGTGTGAATTTTTCAAAAGTATCTATTGTTGAATTCACTTCATTTTGACATGATCAGAAAAGTATCGGCTCTGAGAGATTTCTAATGAATAATGTACAGCGCCAAATTAACAAGTACATCCTTTGGGAAACTTATGAGCTCAATGTTTGTTGGAGCATCAAATCACAGCCTGGAGTGACCCTGCAGACGGCATGTCATGTATGATTTTTAGGATTACAGCTGACTGTAATTCAAGAGGAAGACGAAACTATCAGAGCTTTTGTTGATCTGACTGAGCTGCGAGTTATCTGTCATATCCTTTTTATATTTGTGTAAAGTAGATGTATTGGTCATTGTCTTTCATCTGGTGTGCTCTTAAGATTAAGCACATCATGAACTGAGATGATAGAGATCTTTCTTGTTTCAGAGATTTCTGGCTCAGTTGATTTCTGCAGTGTGAAATAGATCCAAGTGCAACTTTCCCAGGATTGATGCTCGATGGCAAGCAGAGCCACAGATGAACTAAGAGAAAATAAAGCCAGCAGAGCAGCTTTAGGGCATGTAACACGCAGCAGAGACTGGGTTTCTTCCTCAGTGGTTACTTTAATGACAGCAAGAAACTCAATCTGGAGCAGGAAATAAAACACAGGAATGGGCCTCGGCAGGAATCTGCTGCTGAATCCAGCAGCTGTACTCCCTGTTGAGACATAACTCAACTCCTCTGTTGAGAAATATGAAGTCCACAGGTGAAACAAGATCAAAACAGTGCTCCTAGTGTGCAGCAAAGCTCACTATTCCTGTGCGCCTTCTTTGAAATCCTGCTGCAATGTGGGAAAATAGCGAATTTACAAAAAGTACAGCCCTAGATTTTTTATTGGTGTCATTGTTGTGATTAAGAAGCATGAAAAAAAAAATTTTACAGGCTGACTGTGAGCTATGAGGAGGAAGCAGTTCAAAGAAAAGAAAGGTAACATGAAAATAAAACTCATTTACAAGAGCAGAGCAGGAACAGACTGAGAGCTACTGAGGCATTCCTTAAGAAAAGTTTATTTATTCATCACTTTTTAATTTGAAGACGACAGAGGATGGAAAATGAAAGTGGGGGAAGACGGCGAGATATGACATGGTGTAAAAGGCCAAAGGTCAGAATCGAGCCATCTGCCTGGAGGGCTGAAGAGGGGACACATGACTGAAGAACAAGCTAAGCTAACACAGATGGCTAATATTTTACCCAAATAGCAAAAAGCTAACATCAGGGTGAAGCTGAATATGGAGTCAAGACATCAGTGACACCGATAAGACCAGACACAGCACAGAGTCAGGTGGAGCAGGGGTGGAGGTGAGCTGCAGAGCAGTTGCAGTAGAGGACAATCAGCTGAGCCGTTAGCTCGTTACTAGAGTTGGTATAACTAGAGAAGCAAGCGGTCTGCAACAGCCATCTAACTCGATGTTACGCTGTGTTTTTCAGTGTAAGTCATATTTTTGTGTATTTTTTTTATTCTATGTTAAATTCAACAGGAACAGTTCTCGACCAGGATCCTGGACTGTTGGTGAAACTTGAGTTGAAATCCTGCACCCTTTCGGCCTTTAACAAAATAATAAATTACGGTCCTAACAAGGCGGACTGGCAGGCTCACACTGGGTGACTCCTTGAAGGGCTCGGTGTCAGCTTTTGGCAAGAGGCCTCTGACACAGCAGGTGGTCTGGAGTTTTCCAGACAGGTCCTGTGTCTCTGAGGAAGGTTTTTGAACAGGTGGTAGCCTGGGTGCAAGGTTTATGACAATCCTCGGCGCCAGTTTCTTTTCTGCCCGTGGCATTAGAGTCATCAGTGATCGTCTGCTGACAGCTTCTGACCTGCTCAGCCGTGCAGACGTCTCTGTGCAGTTCGACGGCGGGGCCAGAGGTGGCCTGCTGATTGATAGGTCTGGAGGGCATCTGAGCGCTTCAACTAATTATGATTAATGCCTCGGTGTCTGCTGGATCACAAACTGCAGATGCGTGAAATTAACTTTAATTACTCGGTTTGTACAGTTCAGTTGTTTTTGTTTTGTTTTGCTCTGATAGAACAGAGACCGAGCTTCTGTGTGGATGAGCTGAATACGTCAACCATCGCAGGCTCAGGGTGTGCATTTAGATGGGCTATATGTAAATGATCTATGGATCTGGAGCTTATTCAGACGCTGCATATTTTAGATGTATATGGTAAATATTTCATCTCACAGACGGCTTGGTTTTACTTCACTTTGACATTTCACCTCTCTGTGCAGAATCGTGTGTTCAGAGGATCAGACAAAGACTTTCCACACTCTTTTCAAACTCCACAAACTTAAACTAAAAAAATAATAAAAAATCATCATCCTACAGACTTTCTAATAGTTAACTGATAATGCTTGTGTATAAACACATACTTGCATGTGAACATAAAGTGTGATGGGCAAAAATCTGTCAATATCATAAGCTAAGTTAACTTCAAAAACCACAAAATATTTTAAAAGGTCCTATAAGAAGTTTTTGGATGTGAATTGAACAGACTGAATTAAAGGCGGGGTAGGCAGGATCTGAGTTAGTGCCAGTTTTTGGAGAGGAATCTTGAATGTAAACTCTACCCCTCCCAACCACTTTTCTCCTCAGCTCCTCATCTCCCCTCCCTCTCTGCCCCAGAAAGCCCCGCCCACAAACAGACGCTCCTGCTCGCTCTTATCGTTCCAATTAAATTCAGATATAATGCAGATAAATACTTCAGATAATTACAAATGGGGCCCAGTCAATGTGAAGTAAAGAGCATTTACTTTCTTGCGCCTGTTACTTGCGCACAGGCGCAAGAGGGTGTAGGTGTCAGCTTAGTAGCTTAAGAGAAAGCACTGTTTTTATATTAACACATAAATTATTCACAGTAAATTATTCATTTGATCAGAAGTCAGACATGAACTATCGTACAAGAAGTCTATTTGATTTTTTATTATTATTTTTTATTTGATTTAGAGTAAAGGCTGATCCATGTCCCATCTGTTTACATGGAGGAGGCAGGCTACAAGACCTATGTCAGCAGGGAGTCATTGAAGCGTTTGGCCTCACTTTTGGGGCTGTCCTGTCATCCATCATTTATTGTTTCATATTGTGTTATCTCTCATTAAAGAAATAAAGGTGGGAAAAAAAAATGTTATTCTAGCTGATGTGAGAAAGAAAAACAGCCAGTTTTTGTGAAGGTTTGTGCGTTTTTTCCTTCAGTGCTTGAAGCGAAAAAATGATCCAAAAATTAAGGTTTTATTTTCTGTGTCTTTTTCCAGCAGTGCTCTCAGCTTCTCACAATCAGTGCTGCTCTCTTGCAATCAAGCTCAACAATCAAAGTTGGCCAGACCTCTTCGGCTCAAATATTCGCTGACAAACTGGCACTAACTCCCACTCATTACGCTTTTAAATTTTTTTCCGACGTAAACTTGTCATCTTGCCTCTTCAAGTTCCTAGAATATAAACAGTTTTAACTAAATCTGTCTGCAGGCTGCAGGTTTTAAATGCAGGCTCACATCTAACCACCATCTCCCACCTTCAAGTTCAAATGTTTGTTGTGCAGTTGGAAATTGTATGCTTTTAACTGGCTGTAAAAGCCTTTTCTTACGGTTGTCTACCTACTAAACAGCCCTTATCTTATAGATGGCCTCCCCCGGTGTGAACATGATAAATACTCTTTTAAAGCCACATTAAACCGCCTCATTTCATGCTGGCTTGCTTAAAGTTGCATAGATCACACTTAATGGAGTCATAAGATCGCATACAATATTCATGAGCTCTTCTCACATTCAGCCAGCTTTATAAAAATACACTGAGCAAACTTTAAACTACCTGCTTTTCTCGCTTTCGCTTTTGAGTCCCCCTCCTTTGTGATCTTTTTTTGGAGCGATCGTCGACTCGCTTTCGGTTTCTGCTTGGGAAAAAAAATGTCCACAACTGCAAAGAGGGCTCTAAATAAAGCAGATGTGAGGAGAGCATAAAAAATCAAGATAACAGCTTTTTTATGACAACAAAAGATTTTTAGAAACAAAGATAAAAGAAGAAAGACATTTGAACCAATAAATGTAATATTCAACAACCAGAATGCACATAAGAGTGGATGAGTTTTGAGGTTTGTGCTCTTATGACATTGTTTATCACAATGTTTATCACTACTGACAACAGCTTTTCTACTTTTATTTCCATTTAAATTTGCATTTTTCTGAACAGTGACATTAAATTAACATTAACACTTCCTCTAACTCTGTCATAGTGCACCAATTCAGCCCTTTATGTGTGTGCTACCAGTGCCATAATAATATAGAGGCAGACCACAGACTGTTGAAATGTATGTCACAAATGCTCAATGGCTTTGGAGCTCCCCCTACTGACTTAAACCCCGCCCCTCTCATGTTAACTGATGGAACATAGGTCAAACTGTAAAAGTGGAATAAATACTTTGCTAACATGGTTTCTGTCATCATAGTTAGTTCTTATCCTGCAGATTTATTTTATTTAAAATTGGGGGCCTTCCAGTTATCTGTGCCAGATTAGCAGAGTAGAGGAGAAAACCTGACAAACACTGATAGAGGAGTCACTGAACTTTTAATATCTTTAAGCTTCTACTTCAAATCAGGGCTGTCATGGATGGTAACCATTGTTTCAAAAATAAAATATTAATATTCTGCTAAAAATAAACATACCACATCACTGTGAGTTACGGAGACTGGAAGGTGACATTATTTTTTTTTGTTTGTTTGTTTGCACATGTGATTTAGTATCTCACTCATGCGTTTTATTATATCGTTGATACGTTGATAAACCAAATCACTTCCTGTAAGTCCGAATATCGCCGATGGCAAAGTCGCTGTGCTTTGAGGATCCTGATGAGCTGTCTCCTACTCTAAACAATTCAAAAATCTATAAAGCTTCTCTTTGTGGGTCATACCTAAATGAAAGAAAATGTTGATATATGCTCTCTGTCCATGACTCTGTCCTATTTACAAAAATGCATGCACAAGAAATAAATAAAATGCACGTTTGAGATACTTAATTGCACGTGTGAATTTAAAAAAATTAAAAGTTCACATCACCTCCCGGGCTCTGTAGTGAGTTCATAGTAGTGGCTCAAGTTTGTCAGTGGTGGGTAGATGAAGAAGAAGTAACAGACTGCTAGTGAGCTCACTTTATCATCACTTTTACAAACTAACAATTCAAGATTGATTGTGAATCTTAAAACATCAAAGCTTTTATCTATTTAGGTTACCAATTACCTTCTATTACTTACCAATAACTTACAATCTACCAGAAGTAGTTACTTCAAAATAAAAGCATAGTTTGACCTTGTAGGAAATAATAAAATAGGGTGTGACCTCAGCCCTGAAACTTTAACAGCCAGGTCACTTGTGTTTATTTGTCTTCTAGTTAGTTTCCATCTACGTATAGAATAAAACAGTGTCTAGATCAGCAATACTAATAACTAAAGATTAAAATAGCACTATTTTATGACTTACAGGAACAGTATATTTATGAATCACTATCATCTTATTATCATCTCTATCCTGAGCTGAGCTACCTTCTAAAATCCTCCTCTGTACCTCCTCTTGTTTTGAGCTGTCTTTTCTGGCTGATTTTCTCCAGAGGTTAAATTCCAGGTGCAGTCCAGGAGCTGGCAGCATAATGAGCTGCTGCTTTTGTAAATCAAGGCTGAGTACACACAGATTGCAGCCATAAGCTCAATGAAAGTTGCACATTTGCATGACACCCCTTTTTCCCTGCAAATACGGCCCTCAGAGTATTTGTCTTTAGTGAGAATTCTTTGTTTTTCTTTCCTTTTCTTTCTTGAGGCTGAAATGGAAATCATTAACGACAGCTTGCATTTGCATTTTGCATGCAAAATTAGGAGGTGCAATAGCTACTCGGTGTGAGAAAACCATTAGATTTCACTTACATCCAGAGAAAATCCCTGGAGGGGGGTTGGATTCTCAAATTACATTTGGTCCCCAGGTAGTTTTGTCCATTGCTAATAGGACACTTGCTATGTAGCCTCAGAGTTTTCCTGTGCTAATGCTTGTCAAAATGACCCATAAGGAGACTGTTTTTTTTCTGCATAAGGGAGATAACTCCAGAATTAAGGCAATGCATATAAGAGATAGCAAACCTTTTTATTTCTGCTCATGCATAATGGCTCTGCATGTTTTAAACCTGAATTTAAATAAAATGGTTATGCTGTGAAATAAAGCCAATTCAAATGCCCAAGATGCATGTTAACGTCAGGGTAAGAATCTACTTTCTTTCTGTTTGATATGACTGACTGTAAACCTGACTGCAGTCATTATATATCACAGTTAGTCCCATCACGACTTTGCATGCTCTCCACATTTCACACCATGGTATATTTCAGGCCGCAGACTCTCTATTCTGTGTTGCATGGCTTTCCATAAACATACCTCAGGATGTGATGGTGCTTTGCTTTATGGGTGGAATGGTGCATTGTGGGTAGATGTGAGCCTTGTTTACTATTGTGCTTGATGTGCTCACAGCAAAACCCCTTGGAAAAGCAGCAGCAGTAACAAAAGTCATTTCCAGTGATGAAGAACGCTCTCTCGGTTAATGTTTTGGAATAAATGCTCTGAGGCGACCGCGTGGACCGTTTATGGAGTTTATCTTTGGTTTTATGGACGGTTAGCAGAGTTGAAGGCCTTTTCTTGGAGAGTTTTTGTTGTGCTACATCAGGTGAAGTTAGTGTCGGCCATCTGGGCCGTAGAGCACACTCAAAACACACTCTTATTTTTTTGTGAATTTTACCTTGGAGGAACAGTTTCGTGTGCTTCATCTGTGTCCCAATGAAGGGTTCAAGAGCTTTTCTTAGATGAGCTCTTTTAGGTCGAATAAAATCAAAATGTATTTTCTGTACTCTGGCCAAATTTAGTTTAAAAAAAAACAAACACGTTTGCTATCTGCGAAAGAGGATTAGGGCCACGTGAAGCAAAAAAATAATTACAGGAAGGAGAATGAATTCAAAATTTCAAGATGAAAGTCGAAATTTCGAGATTAAAGCTGAAATTTCGAGACTATAAGAATCGCAATTTGTCAATAAAGTCAAAATTTTGAGATTAAAAATTGAAATTTCAGGATTAAAGTCAAAATTTTGAGATAACAAAATGCCGAAATGTTGTGAATTATGTCAAAATTTCAGGATTGAAAAAATTAAAATTTTAAGATTAAAGTCGAAATTTCACGATTAAAGTTAAAATTTCGAGTATAAAAAAATCGCAATTATGGCAATAAAGTAGAAATTTCAAGATTAACGATTGGAATTTAAAGATTAAACTTAAAACTTTTGAGGTAAAAAATGTTGCGGTGATGTGAATAATGTCAATTTTTTCGAGATTGAAAAAGATCTAAATTTTGAGAGTCGAAATTTCGAGATTAAAATTGACATGAATATAGTCAAAATTTTGACTTTTTAAATTTTTGACTTCAATCTCAAAATTTAAATTTAAAAAATCCTTGCTGGGTGAAGCCTCCGTGAGAACAGCACCCTCTGGTGATAGGCTGCAGTATAGGTCTCCTCCAGCAATCCCTATGGAGTTGTGGACACACTTTAGAAATTAATCACACAGAATATAAATTTCTCGTTCCTCTGGTTGCGATGTTGACATGTAGGTATTGTAAGACTGGTTTGTGCTCAAGTCCTCTTTTTTCCCCATTTTTTAAAGCTAATAGGGGGTTTAAGTTTTCTATTACCGACACTTGATACAGCCTATGGGCGTACGAAGATTGCGTAGCTCACCCAGGGGATATGCTGTTTGAGCCGAGCGTCATCACAGCGACTCTCCCACCAATACAGTCTATGATTGGTACCTAATGTAAAATGTAATATGCAAACTAATGAATATAAAAATGTAAAAATGTACAAAGATATGATAAAGCTAACCTTGATATTGCACACATTCAAACCAAAGGAATTTAGATAACATTGTGACAAATGTAGGAGAGGCAGCCTTCTCAGGGGGCGAACTTTCTTAGCAGAGCCTGAGGTTTAAATAATAAACATCGAGGATATTTAGTTTGCATGAGGCCGGATGAGAATTTCAGACACCCTACACACTGACAGGGTCAAAAACCTGACATTTCCTTAACCTTTCCACCAACAAGTTTGCAAGTCAGAGCAAACTACTTTACCTTATTTGACTTTCAGCACATGCAAATCAATATGAAACTTTCTCTCTGTATAACTGTATTTATAGGTTTTTATTTCTGCATAGAACCAGAGTTATAGACCCGAAAATGCAGGCTCAGTCAGGCCAGAATGCAGTGCAAGAGTTTATAGGACTATTTTGGTATTTTTTGGAGTGAGGTTACATGAGTCAGGTGTATTTGGTACTGGTCAGCTCGGCTCATTCAAAGGTAAACCATTGGTAGAAGCAGGAAGTAGGGTATGCTACAGTTTTCTGCAGATGGGGTCAAGTCTGCAACCTAAATAAGTACATTTCAAGAGTCTCTGACCCAAGCATTCATCTCAGTTAATGTGTTTGCTCTACTGAGAAATTTTCCAGCACTTTGCCATAAAGAAGCCCATTTGTTTTTCCTCTGTTTGCTCTCTGAACAGACTCTATTTGGGAAAACATACTGCTATAAAAACCGATCAAAATCAGTCTCTTAATCTCTTGTAACCGCTGGTTGATTGGTTTGCACTTGCATGAAATTACTGTCAAAATCTTCAGTGCTTTTCCTATTATGCGCCTGATTGCAAGTCAAACAAATCATAATTGCACATTTTAATCTTTAAGTAGATCTATAAGTAGATGTGCACACACACACAGTTTATGTCAGTGGGTGTTTAAAATGGATTGATTTGCATGTGATGTACAACCAAAAGAAACTAACCCAAACTGTGAAAAAGGCCAGGTGTATTTTTAGAGTTAACAGAGATTCATAAATATATCTGACCAAAAATAATGGTTTGGTTTTATCCTCACAGGGCTATCAGTGTCTAAGAGATAAATAAAACATTTCATACATGATGTTTGTGCTTTAACTGGACATGACTTATCGTACCGTCCTCTTCTCCTCGGTTTGCCCTTGTGTTTTCAGAGCACCATCATACAAGATAAGAAATGACCCCCATATAAAACAGATAAAGTCTGAGTGTGGGCAGGCAGATTAATCAGGACACTCCTCAGGAGGCTGCGATAAGCATGAAAACAGTACAAACTCTCCTCTAACACGCACACAGTGAGCAAATGCAGCTCGAATATTATCATAACCGTGCGGCAAATCCTCTGAACAAATCCATTCAGCTCGCTCTTTGTCTGCCTTTTTTTTGCTGTTTTATAAGCTTATTATAGTTGATTAGGTCTTTATTTAATTTAACTAAGTCCCTTTGAGAATTCATGAAACAGAGCAAGAACAAAAGACCTGGTAGGATTAAGTGCTCTTTAGTGTGATTACAGTCCTGATCTTTGGGGCTTACCCGTGCTAACATTTGTCTTCATGTACTGAGAGAACAGAGCATTAGGTTTGTTACAGCTTCTTACTCACACTTTCAGCTTTTAATGCATAAAAAGTTTTATAAGTTTCTTTCTTTTTACCTTTCAGGGTGAGATAGGACACTGCAGTAGCCTCCATGTGAAACCATATGGATGTATTGTAGCTATGAATGTATAAAGACTGAAAAAAAAGCCACAAAATCTGGCTGATGGAAATAAAGAGATGCATGAGAAATGACAGCTTAGCTTGAAAAGCCATTTTGGGCCAGGACTCACCCCCACCAGATTAAGCTGTGCACTCGCCCCCATTTAAATGAGAGAAAGAGGAGAGAGAGAGAAACAGCAAGACAAATGATGTTAATATGCTCTTTGCATAGATGTGACTGTTGCAGCGCGGTGATTTAAAGGCCTCACTGTCGTCCACCCTCCATGTTTTGACTCTTGTGTTTTTTCTCCTAGTTTCTGTAGCTCTCTTAGTCATCTGACTTTAAGGAACTGGTGATTTCCACTCAGTCAGACCAAGTTAAAGCCTCTTCTTTTCACTTCCTCTTCTGTCTGAAATATTATCACCATTATTTTTGGTACAGTACATCTCCTGAAGTAGCAGATGTTTACCTGCTTCAGTCCGGCTTACTTTGGTACCCCATTAAACCTTGGAGGAAACTTGAACAGAGACTTGATTGACTTCTCAAAACACAGGAGATCCGGTTTAGAGTTTTGATCCAGGACATCTATTTTCTGCATCTGTTTGAAGATATTTCTTTGCATAGTAAAATAAACTGTTGTCAGATAATCCCCAGTAGATTAGAGTTAATATGTCACTGCAGTCTGCTTTGGCTAATCACACAGACTGTATTTCCTGCACACTCCAAAGCCCGCTAATAGGTGACTGGTCAGTACAACTCAAACAGCAAAGAGGAACTTGAACCTGTTGCATGCTGACGGTCCAGACCCCCTGAGTGCATGTTCAGTATTTTTAAGTAGAATCTGTAAATTGATGTTCGTTTTTCATCAAATTTGGCCGACCTGTCTGCACTGTCCACATCACATTTGACACAATCACAGTTGTATACCTGCATTTATAATCTGTATAAATAAACAACAAAAGTGTCCCCCATTCTTAGCAAACCGTGCCATCACTCTTTGTGATGTTTACCTCTGGACGTTATGTGCTGAATTATTTCTCTATTTCTGAGGTCAGAGTGACAGCTATCACTGTAGATGTTTGATCAAAGAGGTTTATGCAGTGAAACACCAGCTGACTGTCCATGGCCGCAGTTACGATTCAGTTGTGTCACTAAAATGAACAATGAAACAAGTTAAGTTTGAACTGAAGCTCTATCTTTGTTTGGTTGCACCGTGCAGACTTGAGGTGACTCCACTTTGATCAAGAGAATCTCATTTTTGAATTCGAGAGTCTGACAGGACACGTGTCTCATCTTTGGTTTTTATATCTGCCAGTATCTGTCAGGGCTGGGCGACATGGCCTCAAATCAACATCACGCTATATAGAGCAGTTCACCTTGATAACGATAAGTGGACGATAACTACTTCACAAGCTGCTCACCCCCTCCCACATTAACTTTGTCTACTTCAGCCGCCGCTCCAGCCGCTAAAACGTTTGAACCGTCCTCCATCTCCTCACCTGTCTTTCCCTCTTTGTTATGGACTGGATGGGGTGGAGTCATATCTTAGACGTAGGACAGCGTCTTAAAGTTACCTAAGACCATAGCCTACCGACACACATCCAAAACCAACTTCTATTTACTTATTTTTTTACACCAAATATACTGATATGGGCAAAATGACGGTTTTTGTTGTAAATGTCGGTATCTGTAAATTTTTGGTTTATTGCCCGGCCCTAATCTGTCAGCAGGTTTGCTTATTCCAATCCACAGCACTTCACTTCTCTTCTTCTGAGGGGGGGCTTTTCATCTTTGGAGCCTTCAGCTTCTTCATCGTCCCTCCTCCTCCTCTTGGACTGACAGGCTGAAGCTGAACCAACAAGAGAGAGAGACAGAGAGAAGAAGAGTGTTTGATTGTCCATCCAACAAATGCTGATCAAATATTTCCCCAGACTGATAAATCTCCAATAACTCTCTTCCTAAATCTGGGGGTTTGAAGCATCTTCAGAAACATCCCACATCTTCCAACAGTAGCAGGTTTTTGTCCAGAAACACAACTTTCACACACACAGGACATGAAATAAGAGGTAGGCTATCACTTTTTCTGCAGGGGGCGCCAGTGTGACCACCAATTTTAAACTGGGTGTCTATTTCTCAAACTCTAAATCTTTCTGCACATCTGGTTCACTGTTTTGTGCAACTTCAGGTGAAATATTTTCCAGCATATTTTCGTTGTTACCAGCTTGGCTCTGTGGGAAAACTCAGCTTTCATTTTCAGCTTTGTGCATGGCTATCCAATTATCCAAGAGAAAAACAGCTTTCGCTGCCTCAACAATGGGACATGGAGCCTGATTCAGAAAGTCAGAAAACTAAAGTGTTCAGGGAGAAAGAAAACAACTGGCTCCTCACTCCCTGGATTCTCATTTAGTCTCACTCACGCACACACCTACACCTAGAGGAGTTTGGTTTGATTCCTCTTAGGGAGTAATTAGAAGCTGCTCTGGTCCATCTGGGGGCCCCCTCACCGCTCTCCATTACACAAACCCACTCAGCAGCGACAGCGCAGCACTCGATTGTTGCTGAATGAGTCACAGAAATATTTAAAGGGGGAACTCAGCGGTGTGAGATCCCCAAATAAAGGTCATCTCATACTTTAAGACAGCTCCATCTTTCCCTGTCCTCAAAAAAGGTCAAACTCTCCCCAGGTCTCTGACACAGAGCTCAGCAAGCACACATGGATAATAGACCGGAAAGGAAAATAGTTGTGATGCAGTTGAGGTCGAGTCCTGATACACTTTATTGTACACTGCAGGAGGAGGAGGAGGAGGAGGAGGAGGTCCAAAGATGTGATTAAAAAATCTTGCCCTGGAGAAACTGGAGGTCATTAAAGCTCCTCTACAGACACATCCGTCTTCATTTTCTGTCTTTTTCCTGATGATGATGAAAAATCTCTTTTTATTTGGTCCTATGGGAGATGAAGCTGACCTAACCTTGTTAGCCAATTGCAATCTCATGACCCACCATATCTGTCAATGACATCTCGGGCTTGAAGTAATTACTGCTACAGTACATGAATGTAACTAGAGAGCGTACAAACATATATCAACCACCATCTGGGGCAGGTTTTTGTCGCATATTGGGCTGGGAGATATGGCCTAAGACCAAACCTTGAATTATTTCTTTTTTTAACGAACAAAGTTTATGATTTTAATCAGTTTTTCCTTCAACTCAAAGAAAGTTCCTGGATGGTTAGCTACCTCTATGGTCATCAGGGGATTCAGCTGTTCGGAGGCAGACACATTGCAGAGCCTAGTCGTTGTTGATAAAACACATTGTTAAACTTGTACTGCTGAAAAAAATGACATCCCTCACAGCTCTCGAACATTCTTTTGATACGTTCTATAAGCAGCAACAGACTTGTCGATTTTACAAGTTTAGTTTTAGCAGGTTGACCATATTCTGGGGGCGGGGTCACAAAGTCACACCAAGTCAATTTAATTGTCTTTTACGCGCTTCTTACTCAGTAAGTCTGCATGTCACAAACTCGAAACTTCCGTACAAAACCACAGACATTTGAAGGATTTCATAAACTTCTCCGGACAAGGCCGGACAGCCCGTTCAGCCCCCCAAACAAGAGGTTAAAGAGGACGTATGGTCATCCTAGTTTTAGTACATGCTACCTGTTAGTGTTTAGGAGCGGTAGCACCAGCGGCACCTTTTTCCTCCTCAAGTACTTCGCAGTGGAGCTGATTTGAAGAACAGTTCTTTGTAGATGATATGTTTTTGTCCTCCATGCACAACTGACATTTAACCATGGAGGTGTTTTGTTGTCAATTTATCCCAAAATAATAATAATAATAATAAAAATAACATCAGTATGAAATTAATCTCACTTAAGCTTAACTGGACGCACCAAGCTGTAACCAGGTTTAGTACGTCGGTAAAACTGTTCTTGTATCGGAGCTTTGATTGGCACTCTTTGGCTTTTGGAGTCAGCCTCAAGTGGACACTGAAGGAACTGCAATTTCTTGCTTTTCTGCATGGTCTTCATTTTTAATAATCTAAGCTGCCGTGGCCTTTTAACCCCGTACAAACCTTATGGTTCATGAATGAAGAAAAAGACCGAACTTTGGGGAAAGTTAACACATCTTTTGCTTATTTGAAAGAACATCGTCTTGAACTTTAAGCCTGAAATCTTCTGTTTTGCAAAGTTTTGCATAAAGCCAGTAAAAAATCTATTTACCCTACACCAATAAATATTTTGTTTTTCTTATTCCAATCATGTCTTTAGTTTTTTAAATTTGATTTGGCTTTAACAAGAGTAACTAACTTCTTCATAACGGCCCTGAATAGCTCTGCAGCCTGAGATTTCTTCTTATCTAACTTGCCAACACTGCAAACACTTGTGTCTCATGGACCAATTCCAGGTCAAAAAATCTCATAAAACTGAACATAAGCCACCGTTATCAGACAAATCCAGGTTTTCATCTTATCTTGCAGTTTTAAAAGCCATAAAAAGGATTTGTTTTCAGTACCAAGTACCAAATCTGTTTAATAAGTTTCCAGAAACAAGATGTGGTATCGTCATCAAGAGATGAAAATGGCTCACATGGCAATTACACCCGTCTCATATGAGAAAAACTATGTCCTACTTACAAACACTGAAGTATTATCAAGAGCAGATTCATGTTTGGAGTTCAGATCTTTTGTTTTGCTCAGATAAAACTCGACGAGTTTCAGGCTATACATCCTCCCTATCACCCCATAATTACTTCCCATCCTCCAGATAACTTCTTTGACCACTCTTAGCGTCTGTGGTAGAAGTAGAAATTAAATGTCTGCTCCTCATTGACCTTCTCCTCTAGGGTCTTGTTTGTTTTCTTTATCCTTATGAAGCAGCCAGCAGCACAGAGAGAGAGAGAGAGAGAGGAAATACTCGCTGCTCTGCTCTCCTCTCTGTCAGCTTCTGCTCACTGCTCTAGTCTGAGCTCGCAGATCTCGCCTGCAGCTGTGGCTTTTAAACACAATGTCGGTTTCTCTCCTCTGACCGGGGCCTTTCTTTACCTCGTTACGCTGGAACTGAATTCGGTGTGAGAGCATAAAAGAGGATTTTTGAGACAAACATGGGGGAACACATCAGAGGGAAAGCCTTCGGTGTAAATCTGATACACTGACAGCGATTCATGCTGGTGTCCGGGGTCCTATGGAGGAACTATTAAATATGAAGGACATGGTATTATAGAAGGTTAAACCTCAAAATTAGCAGTGTTCTGGTTCTGGTTAAGTATAAGGGCCTGTGTCCATGAACAGCATTTTTGTTCAGGTAGTGCACACAGCCTTAATTTCAACAGAACTTACTGCTGTGACAGACCTTGAAAACGTACCCCCTAAAAAATGTGGTTAGTTTCTACCCCATATTGACCTCCACTATTGTGCTTGACAATGTTGACACCAGAAGTCCCGCCCCTTTCTAAATTTGATTGGTTAGTGAAGTGGAAGTGACACTAATGAGATGGTAAAAAATGTAAAACCAATTTCAGCTGAGGATGCAGCAACAAATAATGATGCTGAGGCTGTTTTTGTGCCTAAAGGAAACAGATACAAACATATTTTGTAGTTTTGAATGTCGACACTAAACCTCGACAAAGTTTCAGAACATGAGACACACAGATCTTGGCTGAATCCTCAGACATGTTTTCTGGCTTCTCCAAACTTTGCCTTTCCTCTTGGCAGCTCAGTCATAGACATGCCCACCCGGAGGCTGGAAAGTCCATTTCACTGCTTGGCTGTTCCCTCCACTCTGTGCTCTGTTGATTTGGGAATTTGGGTTGTGAAGGAAAGCCAGAGCTGCGTCCTCTTTCCAAAGATGGAGGCACCAGAAAACAGCGGGACATTTGGCTCTTAATGCTCACCGCTTAACCGATGACTGTTTCATGAAGAAGGGCCAGAGGAATCTGGATTAGCATCTCAATTGTTATCAAAAGCTGGGGCTTGTGCCACCTAAAGAGACCTTCCATGCAGACTCAGAACCACAAGCTTTAATGCCCGGTTTCTTCTTCTATTTCTGCCTCTGTGTAGGGTGAGAACTACATACTTCCAAGTTGCTCTGCAATACTCCACCAACCACTAGTTGGCAGTTGGACATGTCATATCACTGGTTTCTGGTCTTGCTGTATTCCATCCTTGTGTGTGTATTGGTAACCATCCGATTTTAAGGTCACGATTCAATTAGATTCTCTTTTTCTTTTTCTTACAGCACAGAGGCCTACACCATTTTTAGACTGGTCTAGTCTACAGTCATTGGTTTTATTCATTTATGTTTGTACTGTAATTGTAATGGTAGGCTGGACCAGTGATGGTGTTTTCCCAGTTGTTAAATCAACATCTTTGTGATGCCGGCAAATGTGTGCGGCCATGTTCATCGTGTTACCTATTGTCGGGTATGCAACAGGCACGTAGCATAGTTTACACACTGTCATCTTCTTGTTGACAACGCAAACGTTGTCGACGTAACTCACCGGAAACGCAAAGTATTTCCATACTTGAGATTTGTGAGAGGCAGGAGCGGCTTCAATGTGACTACAATGTCATTTGCTTCCGCTTCGCACATCTCCGAGACGTGGAGGGAGGGGATCGTCAATCCTCTCTTTGATTTTGATTCTTGAGATCATGACGTACTTTCGATCGATTTCGAGACACCCCTAGTAACCATGGTAACTGAATATGGGTGTAACATATTTGAGTTAAGGCTGATAAATGTTATGCAGCCGTTGATTATGCTTCAGACCGAAAGAGAGGAGGAGACAGACTAAACGGCCACCGAGGAAGAGGACAGGGCGAACCGACCAACCACAAAGCTCGCAGCCTGTGTCATTTTAACGCACATTTACATTTTTTAGGAAGTGTTGATTTGCCAGAAGACCTTTAAGCGATCTGGTGCAACACACTTTACCTGCTTGTATAAAGAGAGCATGGCTCCACCACTAACCTCATGTTACAGGCCAAACACACAGAAGGAAATGAAAAGTCAAATATTCACAAGTTGTGGTGAGGTTCACGGAAATCTGGAAAATTGCAAATCTTGCCCGGTAGTCAAACCTTGGTCCTCTCTCACATTCTCTGCACCTCTACAACTCCACATTATTCATGTTGCATTTTCCAGCACCAGCCTTTTGACTTCCTTGTAAGTGCATTCAAGGTCTATTTCATCATGTTTTAGCCAGAAGTCATAAAAAAAGCGCAGGAATGAAGGCACCCTGAGCAATTAGAATGCCTTGGGGTGCTGCGCGGTGTGGAAGTGTAATTTTAACGGGGAGGTCTGCTTGGCTGTGCAGACAGAGACCATCACCAGTCGATACATGCACCAGAGTTTAGAGTAAATGGGGATGTGCCAGACACTGTTTTGAGACATCAATATTCTTGTTAATGTCTGCTTGCTCCAAAACAGCACGGCAAAGACTCTCCAGCATATCACAGAGAGGAAATAACGGTGTTTGAGTCCTCCTATAAAAGCTGATGTTGAATTCATAAGCCATTGCTGTGAAAACTTTGCTAACTCAAACGTTTCCAATGAATGTCAATGAGAAAGTGTTATGAAGTGGGGGACAAGTTCGCTCAAGGCTGCAGAGGATGGCGGCGCAGGATGGTGGTCTGTGTGTGTTTAGAGTGCCATTAAACAAAACAGAGACACTGATACAGCATGAAAATCATCTCCAGTTTCCATAGATCCGGCCCTTTTAGCCGCAAATACTCTCAGAGGTCAATACACCTAATGCATGTGAGCAAGACAGTAAACGCCTTGCAGCATAAACATGACAAATATATGGATTTGGCGTCGTAGTCCGTCATGCTCCTTTGTGTTTGCTTTATATTGTTCTAACAAGGAGGGGAGATGGGCAGCAAATCAGAGAGGAGAGCGGACAGATTGACAGCTCTTCATCACTCTGTTTTGTTATGGGGATTTATAATTAATCCTTCTGAGACCACCGCTGACTATCCTCTTGACCAATGGTGAAAAAAAAAAGAAGAGTACGAACTGAATGCAGATACAACATACATTATTCTGTCAGAGAGCGGGTTCATCCTCAGAGAGTTTCCGTGCATATTCAGAAAAGGAGGTTGTATGTGGGATTAAATATTTGCAGCTTTAAAAATTGATTTTTTGACTTCAAAGTTTCTTCAGCTTGCACGGCATTACAAAAACATGAGGACCAATTTTCAATATTATTTCAACAGGAAATATTCGAGAAGCCAAATCTCAGCTGCATGGTGTTTCATAATGTAACAGAAAAAAATGAAAGAAACTGAATTTGTTGTTATTTTTAGTATGAAGGAGGACGATGCTTATCGTACACAGAGGCAGAAAGTGTGGTACCCAACAACCCTTTCACTCAACTCTGATATAAATCCAACAGAAGGAAAGTTAAAGGCTTGGGGAAATTTCTAGAGTGAAGGATAAAGTCCACATTGGGCAGTAGCGAGTGGGGATGGATGTGCTCGGTCAGGCCGTGTCAGACTCAGAATAAACAGACACAACAATGCGCATCCAAATGGCACTCAACTCACACAACCTTGGGTGTCGGTATGATGTGTTGCAAGAGAGTGGCAAAGCATCAGTTTCGGCCTCAAGGGAGGGAGGCCAAAACAGCAGTGAGAGATGGTTTAAAGATGAGGAATCCACGCGCCTGGATTTTCAGGTGGCTCTTTTTTGTCTTTACCTGGGGCTTTGTAACATCCTCGCAGCAGTCGGCAGGTGTTTGATCCCCAGATTGGCCCTTAAAGTTGGAGTGTTCCCATCTCCTGCTGTCAGCCTCCTCATGCAAACTGTGCACACAGCCTTGTCAAGATTCACCAGCTCTTCCCTGTCATTTGGTTGAAACCAATGTTGCCAAATAGGGAAGTCATTGAGACCAGCTCACTGGGAGCACGGCCCTCAACCTTCGCTCTCCTTTTTTCCCTTCTGCATGATCTGGTTCTCTCCAGCTTCCATTAACATGCTAACAAGTAACTCCAAATTGCCCCTATGTTTATAAGATTAGATTAGATTTTTTATATGTAATTGCACAGCAGTTTTTATCCCAATGTTAATGATGTTTTATTAGTTTTGGATACCTTCTAACTTTGGTTAAAGATGGGATGGAAGTGGGTCTGATCTTACATGATGGGGCTCAATCATTTCCCATCTGTACGCTGGGTTTTTGTAAAAACAGTGTGATTAAGACCTGCTTTAATTAACTCTTGTTGTTAATTAGCACTATATCAATAATGATTGATTGATTAATTGCCTACGGTTGTAATATGGTGTGCCAAAAGGGACAAAAAAAGGCAATGAAATCAAAACGATACATCACTTTGTAATCAATATGTTCACACTGCCAGCCCAGCTGAAAATATTAATAAATTTGCATGTGTAATTAAAAAAATGATCGATTTCCAGTTTCTATTCCAAATAAACCTGATCACAGTTTTTTAACCATGTCAATGCTTTGTTTATTTGCAGACTTATACTAGTTTAACTAACTGAGGGTTTCATAATGTTAGAGTTTCAGGTCAAGATTGGCCCAAAAAGCCATGAATACAGTATCGTAGTGATACTATACAGAGCCCTAATGGGGCGCTCACACCAAGCTCGAGTAAAATCATCTACTCGCTTAATTCGTGCAAATCTAGACACATAGATGAATAGTATTTACTCGCATCATTTGTGTTTAAATGGTAGTTTCAACAGTAATCCCTGCCAGTTTAACCAACAGGATTAAGTGATAGACAAAGGTTTTTTACAATCTACCAGGTAATCCGACCTCCTCACTCACTTGCCTCCAGGCGAGCTCCTATTTATTTATAAATGAGACTTTAATGGCAACTGGAAATTGGACCAAACTCTGTAAGTTATGGTTTGGGTCACTCTCATTGTGTTTCCTTGGGTGCAAATAGAACACATTTTGGAGTTTGTTTTCTAATTTGGCACTTAAATGGCAAAAGCATATATACAGAGGCAAGTGATAAGTTCAGTTGGCGAGGAGCATCATTAGCTGATCAGAGTGAGAACATTTAGTAGAAAGATTTAGACTTTTACTGAAGATCTCAGACTAAAAGTTTTTCCCTCCCCCAGTTTTCCAGCCTCGCTGTCAGCCAGCTTGGCTCGAATTGGCACAAAATATGAATTTTTCAAAGTTTGCTTGGAAAAAAATGAGAGCATCAGAAATATCTTCTGTGGAAACTCATTCCTCAGAACTTCTGCAATTGTCTTCAGAGTATTTCAATCTGAGTGTTAGTTTTCAAAGTCTGAAAACGCTGAATGACAGAAGATCTGAGGAAGATACTGCGGCAAGCCGAAATGATCGACTCACTGAGGTGTGGGACGAGTATGACATCGTCCATTAGTACGTGAATGAAATAAGACTCTCTGATCAGACGAATCCTTGCAGAAAAGAGGTCGCTCAGCAGGAACATGCGATGCTGGTGATTCGTTGTCCTGCTGAGAATCGGCAGACATGCTGGTTAGTTTAGTTTGACATTCTGAGAGGGGAGTCTCTTCTAAGACGCAGATTAGAAGGACAAAGCACAGTCATTACTCTGAAGCTCCCCCCTGAGGTCAACTTTATCCCCCGTCCTTGATTTTGAGGCTCATCTCCCGCAGGTCTGCTACTTTTAATCAAACAGCAGTTTGAATAGATCCTGTTAAAGTGCCTTTGTCTCCTGTGTCTGAGTAGCCTTTGTTTCCTTCACTCTTTGTCTCTCCTTCTTGACACGGGACCAAACAGGATACAGGACAGAAATGCTGCTCTCACAGAATAAGTGCTGATACTGTGGATGTGAGAGGTCAGCAGTATTGAGGAGGAGAGGAGGGTCATTAGAAGGATTTTCAGACCCGTCTGTCTGTCAAAGTGATTCCTTTTGACATGTGATCTTATTCTTTTGGGAAATCACGTCAGACACATGGGCGGACGTGAACATGAGTGTGGGCGAGGACTGACAGTCAACCACAGAGATAGTAAGGCAGAAAGACAACCAGAGACTTCCAGTTCATGTGAACATACAGACAGGGAGACATAGAGAAAGTGCAAGCAGACCATCAAACAGGTTCATTTATCAAAGAGACACAAAAACATTCGACAGTGTTTTTGGTGACGTTGACAGTATTTCCGTCTTTATGTACCTCTGTGCAGAAAAGAAGAGGGTTTGAGGAAAGACGAGGTACATGTGCTGGGAAACACAGACATACCAGGATTTTTTTACGATGACTCCAACACAGAATCTCAGGAGAGAAAGTCTGAACAGAAACAAAAACCAAAAAACACACATGTCATCAGTCACACAGACTTTTAAAACACTTGTAACAGCTTCAGTCTGACTGAAATCTCTCTGAATTAAACTTCTTACTGTCAACTCAACAATCATCCTTTCTTTACACCAGAAAATTTTTAACAAAACTTAGGAGACTAATGCTGTGTTCCACTTACCTCGGAAGTTGGATGTCGGAGCTGGGAATGACGCTACACCCAAGTTGACGGCGTTCCAGTAAACAAGTCGGAAAACCAAGATGGACGCCTACTGTTAGCTGTTGTTTACAATTGTCAGTTGTTGTTAGCCGTTGTCAGCTGTTGTTAGGTGTTGTTAGCTATACCATTTGTAAACAACACAACACAGTATTTTACTCTTACAGACACCATAGCACCGTGTTCACAGTTAGACGTTGGGCAGTACAACATACACCACTTATTTAATTTCACAAAAACAAAACAGAAGTGCTAATAAATAATACATTACGAGAGCTTTCACTGTTACTCTTTACTGTTGATGCACTGCGCTGCCATCTTGGATTATGACGTTGTCGTCAAGTCGGGGTTGGTGAGGATCGTCCAACTTTCAGAGTTGGAAATCTAACTTCCGGGGGGTGTTCCAGGTGAATTTCTGACTCGAAGCGTAGAAATCCAAATTCAGGGTATTCAAATCAAATCAAATTTTAATTGTATAGCGCCGAATCCCAACAGTCGTTATCCCAAGATGTTTTCCAAAAAAGAGCAGGTCTAGACCACGCTCATTGTTTGATGAATTACCAAGAACAAACCATAAGATGGGATAGATTTGACCCCTTATCTAACATAAGTGACAGTGGCAAGGAAGAACCCTTTAACAGGCAGAAACCTTGAACAGGACCAGACTCATGTTAGACAGCCACCTGCTGCTGCTGAGTTGGGGAGAAATACTGTTAAAACACTAAAATGTAAAAGAGACGGGTCACAGACTAAGATTTGAAAGGTCACTATTAATGAAAATAAACAGTATTAAAAGTAATTGGAACATGTTTTTATCGCCTTTTTTCTTGACTTCTGGATTTCATGTCACATTCACCCATTCACACTACATTCATAGACTGATGAGCGCAGCCACTAGGGGCAGTTTTGGGTGTAAATGTCTTCAGCATGTGGGCAGAGAGCCCTGAGATTCAGAGATGACTGGTATCTCTCCTGAGCGACAGCCGCCCCTGTATGAGTCATTATCAGCTGGTTGTCTAATAAAGCTGACTGTAGGTACAAAAGATGCCTGCATGTCTGTGAGGTGTTGCCAGGAAAGTCTTCTTTGCAGAGGCCAGCTTTCACTGATGTGATGTGAAGGATCAGATTACGAGTTTTCTCTGTCTTCCATTGAGAAGAATAGACTACCAAACCCACTGCCTGCATGAAAAATAATGAACACCCCCTATTCTAAGCTCTACCCTGCTAGTGCATTTGAAACTGGAATCTCACTGTGAGTCTATTGTTATTCTGAAATGAAAACCTATTGAAGGTAAGGCTCTAAAATAGCAAAGTAATACTGTAGCTTTGTGATCTATGAGCTACCTGGTATGGAGGAGAGGCTGGGAAATGAAAAAGCAAAATAATACACAGGACCTTGGGAGGAATTCACTTCTGTGTGATGCATCGCTCGGCCATTCCTCAAACTGTAATTACCCCGATCTTTGGATTCCCAGCCTATCTGGAATCTGACCACAGAGCACAGAAACATGAATAATGGAGGTCCTAAAGGAGTCTCAATTAGGTTTTTATATTGAGGGGAAATAAATGATTCACATCTTAATATCTTTGGTGCTAAAGAGGCTTTTGGAGATCTCTGACAGATATTGTTTTATATTAGTAATAAGTTATTGCCGCCCTGCAGCAGCACGGCCCTCGAACCATCAGGATTCACCGTGAGAGACAGAGTCAGAGAGGCATGTTATTGTAATTCCACCACATCTGTTTATGTGTCATTAAACAGATTTACATTATGTATGGCAGGCCAAAGGTGGACGGATGGATATGAAGAGCATCAATAATAATGAGGCAGACATTGATAGCAGGAATGTGGGTTTGTGTGTGTGTGTGTGTGTGTGTGTGTGTGTGTGTGATTCCTGTGGCGTTCACTGACACTCTGCTCTTAACCCGGAGGGAACGCCAATAAACAGATGGGTTCAATGTGTTGACATGCAGTTAAGTGCAGCAGAAGGGTTCATTACCCCGAGGAGACGATCGCAGAACAGACATGGCTCTAGTTCACGTCAACCGTGAGTTACCGTCATTCATCACGGTGACTCTGCCTGATGGAAACAGCCAAGCTTGTGTAAGCTTTTATCGTTACTAAAGAAAAGGAAACGAGGCAGAATCGAGGAAGGAAAGAAACGCTCATATTTTGTGGGGTAGCTAAACTAATTTAGTCTCTGCCTCATGATCACCAACTTTGTTTCATTGCATAAAAGAACCATAAACTATCAGGAAAAAAAGTAGTTTAAGCCTGCAGGATGTTAATCTCTGGGTTTTCCATCTACTATTAAATAAAGTGGAAGAGGAAGTGACTATATTTGGACGAGGAGATTTAAGAGAGGTTATTGCTGATCTGTTTTGATGGACTGAAGAGGAGGTGATAGGGCTGGGCGATAAGGCCTCAAATCAATATCACGATATATTCAGCAGTTCACCTCGATAACGATAAATAGATGATAACTACTCCAAAAGCTGCTCACTCCCTCCCACATTAACTCCGTCTACTTCAGCCGCTACAACTTTTGACCCTTTGTTACGGACTGGATGGCGTGGAGTCATCTCTCTGACATAGGACAGCGTCTTAAAGGGACATGAGGCAAAATGACGTCAGTTAGAATACAATAGAATATTCCTTTATTGATTATTAGTTATTGTCGTTATCTGTCAATTTTCGGTTAATCGCCCAGCCCTAGGGGGTGATACCTTGTGGCAGGCTATAAACACATCAACTCTTCCACTTGCATCCACAGTTTTCAGTTATGTGCCACTGAAAGGTTATAGTCAGTACATTTACATGCACAGTTTGTTATAGCTTGATGAGGCTATTTAATTAGACTACTGTCCCTATCCCAGTTTACAACACCAGGCAAGAATCTGTTAATTGATAAAGGTATGTCCAGCCTTGCTCTAGGAGCTTTGGCTGTCTCACACTTTTAACCCCATGTCCAGTTTGAGTGAAACTAGCTTAATAAATCAAAATGTCAGACTTGTAAATGACCCCGAAGCTGTAAAAATGCACAAAATATTTTAATATAAGTTGTTTTGCAATGTTATTTCATTGAAATGAAGTAAACTCCTGAATGCACACGGACAGCCAAAGCACATTTATAGTAAATCTTTTTATGACAAATAGCATCAGCCAACCGCTGTAGCACACCGATTCAGGTGCATCACCTCAACCTCCTGGTTTGGATATTACCCAATATACAAATATCTTTTCACTAAGTCTGACAGAGCTGAAAAAAAACAACAATGCTTCCTTTGAACAAACAGTCTCTGAGTGCACACACACACTACACTAAGACCGTGTAAATCTAAATTAATTTGAAGACAAACATCTGGACATAAAATTTGTCAGACTCTGTAAAGTCAGGGGCAGCTCTCTGGTTCATACAAATTAACTTTCTTCACCACCAAAATGTTAAATCTTCCCCACTACCTCCAGCACAAGCATTGAGGAGGTGTAAAAAGTTTGTGTTTATGTGCGAGATTTTAATATGTCATGGTTGGATGTGCATTACGATGATAGTATATCTCCTCTCACCAGAATAGAGCGCTACTTGACTAGTCGTAACATTTGTTCAACAACTCACAGAAAACCAGCCGAAGTTCTGTTGAGTCCATCTAAATCAATCCCTAACCCAGAACTGCCAAGTTAAGTTGAAAACCACCCAATCTGACAGCAGTTGGCAAAGCACATGGCAAAGAGTGAGTTTTATCCTCTCTTTGGTCTGCTGTTTTTTTTTTTTTTGTTTGTTTGTTTTTGTTTTTCTACCTGATGAGCCATCAAGAAACCAACTATTAAACTATTATACTCAGGAAGGGTCAAATAAACGAGCACTGAATAAGCCAACCCAATCAAGTTTAAGCACAGAGAGGAAACTTCTAAGTAAATACCAAAATACTGTATAAAAATAATACAACAAAAAAAAAAAAAAAATGCCTCAAGTGGCCAATCAAGGAACTGCACATTTTACAGGGTTTCTACACAAGTACGGAAAAGTATGGAAGCAATTTGATCAATTTGCAGGTCTTAAAAAATTATGGTAAAAAAAAAATAAAGTATGGGAAAATATTTATGTTGACAGACTATATTACCACAGTTATAAAGTACAGTTTTCTAAAATAGAAAAGTAGGTATTTCCAAAAATAATTCCAAAAAGTAGGGTATGGAAAAGTACGGAAATTCCAACTGTGTAGGAACCCTGATTTTAACCCTTTCCAGCCCTAAAGATTACCGCTGAACTCCAAACTAAACACATTTTGAACCTTCATTATGTTTTATCACGAATATCAGAGAGTAAATGTTGCACTTACAGCGATCTGAATTATACATGAACTCAGAAATGAAAATTCTGGGGTTTTTGACAGAGAGAGCTTCCTTTGCATCCGTTTCTATCAGCTTTACAGAGATGAATACAATCTTTTCTCTCATTCATCTGCACTGTTGTCACAACACCAGCACCTGCTCTGTCTGACTCCTTTGTTGGGAATGTGCACACATGGAGAAAGCTGATTAGAGACCTCGTTATGCAGATTTGTGTTTACATGGCCAAGAAACTGTCTTTGGCAGGAGGAAGTGTAGCTGAGGAAACAGGGTTGTCTCATCTCATAACTGCTGGGTTTCTTACAGTGTTTACATGACATCTACTTACTCTAGCTTGACAGCGGCCTTATTATTGGATGTAAACACACTGGCTGTTCAAAATTGAGTCTTAAAACTGGAATAAACACTTTTACTGGGGGAACTTTTTAGAGCTCAGCTAATTAGCGAGATAAAATATTGGGCTCTTCAGCACCCTCATAAAAGTCACAAGAGTAATATCTCAGATTTGAGAGCGCCATCTATCACTACAGGTGTGAAACAGAGGCTATGAACCTGATAGAAGTCTCATTTGTTTGCAGTCATTATACCCAAATATCACTTTCAATTTAACAAGAACCTTTTAGTTTCTCTATTTAAAGAACATGGTTTTGATTCAGATGTGTTTGTATGCTGTTTAAGGTGGGAAAAGTGACTCACAGCTGTGGGATTTGAGCCAAGTAGAAGCAGACACGAAGGGAATAGTAATCTCCTGCAGCAAATCTCCATAAGCATAAAGTGTCTGCTTTTAAATGTTTGATCACCTCATTTTAATTCTCTATGCATCGGGGGCAAAGGTGTGAATTATTTCCTCTGATACTCTGGCTCGGTGAGTGACAGCAGACAGGAGCGTGTTGCTGAGTTAATGTGATTTATCCGGAGAAGCCAATCTGCTTGTTGACAATAAAACTGCTGGCAATTTTTAGCATTTACCGCATGATCGATAAAGGCCAAACACTAAAACTACACAAGAAGTATTAAAAACTTTTTTCATTGGGATGGTTTGTCGGTGTCATAATTCTGTTCTTGTTGTTCAGAGGATTGATGGGTTTGTCCACTAGGGGGCAGAAGAAACAAGTTTTAGACACGTTACTATTTTAGTGATATTGCAAAAACATGTTAGCTCTTCAGCATTTGTCATGTTGATTACAAATTTCATATGCTTTTCTTGTCCACAGTTAGTTTGGCAGCATGTAGGTAAAGTGATTACAAGCTCTTCAGCTGTTTCACAGTAAATTACCATGAGGGCTGTCCAATATCACATTTTAATTTTATGATTACCAAAGCAATAAAAGCCCTCTATAACGATAATTAATAAAGCTAAAAAAATCAAAATATTTGGTTGAATTGAGAGAAGGGCAGATATGGATGGGACAAGACGTTAATCTTGGCAAATAAATGTAACTGATTCATTTACATTTTAATGATGTAAACAGACATATATTTCATCAGCCCAATAGCCAATACTCCATTGGAGAAGACAATGTCTAGTAACGCGGTTGTTTTTGATGCTTTTAATCTGACATTCCTACTGTCTTGTGTTAAGGTTGCTTTATTTTAGGTGTTGTAAATCCATGCTTTTATTTTGAAATCATGTATATGTTATTTTAAGTAGATTATAAATGACTGAACTGAAACAAAAAGGCTAAAAGAAAGGACAGAAAGAATAAATGTTCAGTTTGTTAGCTCTTATCTCAGTTAATCCTGGAATATCAGTATCAAAAGTGTCAGCTGATTAGGGCTGGGCGATATGGCCTCAAATCAGTATCACGATATATTGATCAGTTCACCTCGATAACGATAATGGACGATAACTACTCCACAAGCTGCTCACCCTCTCCCACATTAACTTCATCTACTCCAGCCGCTACAACTTTTGAACCGTCCTCCATCTCCTCACCTTTCTTTCCCTTTTTGTTACGGACTGAATGGGGTGGAGTCCCGTCTCTGATGTATGACAGCGTCTTAAAGGGACATGAGACCATAGCCTACCTACACACATCCCAAACCAACTTTTATTTGTTTATTTTTTTGACACCGAATTCATTTACATGGGCAAAATGTTGTTGGTTATTGTTGTAAATTTTGGTATCAGTAAATTTTCAGTTTATCACCCAGCCCTACTGCTGATAGCTCAGCAGTTTAAGCACCCTAGTCGACTTCTGGCCTCGGCCCTTAACTGCATGTCTCTCCTCACTCTCTATCAGTCTATCCTCAGCTGTCCTTTCTAATAAAACCATAAAAATAGCCAAAAACATACAATGTTGAACTGCAAAGTTTCCAACTTTAGTCAGTCAGGAATTGTTTTTGAATTAAAGAGTCACTTTGTCTGGTTACATTTCATTTACCTGCCCAGACAAAAATAGCAATCAATTAAATGTCTCTATTATTCCCTACAATCCTCTACTATAGATTTCCTTCACTCAAGGACAGCTTTGGTAAAAAGAAAAGGAGCCTGTTAATGAAAAAAGAGCCTTGAGGGATGAACCAAGGACAACCGCAGAAGGCTGTAATTTCCAGAGGAGGTGCATTTTCTGTCAGAAATCTCCTTAACTAGATATTGATTTAGGATAGTCGCAGTTACAGGTTTAGTTTGGGAATAATACTCTTCAAGCTTGATGTCTTAACTTAAAACTTTATTTTTCCAGTTTAATTAAAAACTTCTGCATCAGTTATAGCTTGAAAAATCTCCATGCAAAGTGGCCAAATTCAGAAAACATGCAAAAGCCCAAACAAATGCAAAAGCTTAAAAGAAATCTGTGCTGCAAAAAGCTGACATAACTGCATTAACATTAAACGTGCTGCAAACAGAGTATGTTTTGACTCGCAACAGTGAATACAGCAGCGAGAAATACAGCGGGAATTGCGCTTCCCACTCCGACTGGGACATCAAAATGTTGACTCAAGCAAAGGACCAGATCTCCTGAGACTCTGCAGACTGTTGTTGTTGACGGAGGTGCAGCGCAATTTCGAGTCTAGAGAACAAAATGAGAACATCAATTACAAAAATGTCAGTGTCCGGGGTCTAATTGGATTCAGTGTAACCCACAGAGGGATTACTGGTTAGATACAAACCGTGTGGTTATATGAAAAAAGAAAGATAAAGGCCGAACATAATGCTACAGAGCGTTTACTAAAGCAGAGTAGAAACCTTGAGAAATGTGAAGAAAGAGGATCACAAGTATGAGGAGTAATTCAGCAGAGACTTCCTGGGTAACATGTTTTAAAGAGCTTATAGTGAGGTGGTTTAGGGTCCATGTATGAGTTAAAGACACACTGGTGTAACTGTAATCTGTGAATAAAACCTCTAAAACAGACCGCTCTGCCACCCACAAAGTCTGCCTTCAAATCATCTGTATCATCATTGATTTCTCTTTCATCATCCACTCCTTTTTAATATTGCATCTGCTAATCACTGAGTTCAAAGAGGAGATTTAAACTCTCTACATTTAATAGTTTCTATCCAGTCCTTTCAGATTTACTTACAGCAGAGGGCAGAGATGATTCATGACTTTGTGACTTTAAAGCTGCTCACAGCAATGAAGTTATAATTACTGCAGAGGCAGAGACTGTGACCCAAAACAGAGGGACCATTTGTAGTGAAACCTGCTGAAAAGTGATGGGGAGAAAAGTGGATTGGGACTGGGCAGATGTGATGTAACAGCTAAGAAGAGGTGGGCACAGTTAATCCATAATTTAACAAGATTAACTGTTAACCCATGAACTTTAAGAACAGTTATTCTTTTTAGAAGTAAAACATTCATGTAAAAACCTGATGACAGTCTGACAGTCCATCCTTTTGGCAGCGACGAGGGTCCTCAAGGTCCAGATTCCAGGTTTAATCTAAACACATTATAACTATAAAGATCCACAGATTAAAATCTGAAAAAGGCCGTATGCTCTGTTTAAGTCATCTGGGATCAATTTTACCAGGTAAGACCAGCTTTTGGATCCTTCTTCTTTCTCAAACCTGGTGATTTTTCCCATCGGCATCAATATATACATCAACAAATGAACATTCAAAATACTGAACCCTCAGATGTATTATTCAGTAATGACAAGTCCAACACTCGGTATCCTCTGGTGATTTTTCTTTTACAAACAGTCCAATTTGGCTTGAACAAACTGACCTAAAACAGAAGCACAGTCTCGCCTCCCATTAGTTTGTAGTGAGGGGTTTTAAAGCAGAACAATGGTGGTCTACTTGTTGGGAACTTTTAGAGACTGGCAAAGGGCTGGAGCTGAAGCAGGTCACCACCTTCAGCTACATCAGGCCTGTCAATTAAAATCCCACTCTGATCTTTTTTTTTTTTTTTGTACTACTTAAAATGTTCTCAGCGCTCTTTGAATTGTGATTAAGTTTTCACCCAAAATCACGTTACCTGTTTCATTTTCAAGGGCTTTTCTTCTGCAGAGCTCCAGTAGCTGGGCGGAGACAGCGCGACTCTGCACACTTCTAGCTTGTAGCCCAACATTGTTAGTGTAGTAGAAGTGGCAGGTAACATAGAAGCTATTTAGCTCTCAGACACTAATGTCTTTAGGGACATGATTAAAGTTAATATCATAATTAGCTTTCTGACGAATATTGCAATCTGCTAACGTACACGCTTGTTCCACAATTGTTCTCTCTACTTTTCCAAGTCTGGCCTGCATAACTGGGCTCGGGGGGCGGAGCTTGGAATTGTGACATAGGAAATCTTACTGTGTCTGAGCCTACATTTTGGGTCTGCCAGAGATTCACAGCATTTGAATGCAGCATTACTCAGAAATGTAATTTTTCACTTACTTTTCTCATGATATGTCCTGTAGCATCAGAAAAATTCCATATGAACATGTAGACAACAAGAAAAACATGATTTTCATCAGAGTGAGCCTTTAACACAGCTGTACCACTGTTTATGCAACCCAAGTCTTGGTCACTTCATCTTGGATAAAGAGCGATTAAGATCTTCACTATTTTTTTTTTACACTGGCTATAAAAATGTTTGATTTGCTTTGCCCAAGAAATTTAGTATTTTAGAGCCCACCTTTTTTTTTGCACTCCTGCATTGACCGCCACTTGGTTGTAAACTCTCCACCAACTTAAGGCCCTGTGATTGATGTGGGTCGACGCTGATCACAGCATGTTTGTACTGTGATGTTGTGACTCCCAGTCTCTCTTTCTAATGGTTTTATAAGAGATTAAAACCTGGAGTAACATAAACAGTTGTAAAAATCCCTCTAATTATGTGTGGATTATAATTAGCCTTGAAACAGACATCAGCAGAGCAAATTTGGTATATTCCATTATATTCCACTTTCTGTCTTTTATTTGGTGTTTCAGCACATCTAATCTATTTATTTCAATCAAAAAAGAGCTGCTGCAAAATGAGCTCATGCAGTAACAACCACAGTAAATAAAGCCAGCGAATCCTGGATGTTTTCTTCTATAACACATTGTCAGACATATTGTTAGTAAGAACTGGCAGCTGCAGAAACAAGTGTATGTTTCAGATTGGCTGGATAACATAAAGCTTGAACGGCCTTTAGAAGAAAACCGAGACAAACAGGACATCTGACAGCAGTGGATGAACAAGTCTCAGAGGAGCCTTAATCTTCTGTTCCTGCTAAAAAACTTCAGTCTGAAGAATCAAAGTCCCCAGATCCACCGGCACATTGTCTCTGAGTTTGACAGCAACAAACAAACCCAAGGTCACTCAATCACAACGACATACTAGAGGTGTTTTTCTCAGCTTTTTTTTTTTCTCCTTTGTCACCACGGAGAGACGACTACAGAGAAAGGAAGTGTCACAGCGCATAGACGTCCTTGGCTGAACCCAATTTGAACTGTCTGATTTTGGACAACATGACCAGCTGGCTCTAAAGGAAAAAAAAGTTTGAAAATGCCAGCTGGACTTCTGATTCCCCAGGCAGAAACTTTTCAGTCTCTTTGTTCTCTGTTACTTAAACTCCAAAAACAAGAATTAAACCCAAACATGGAGACATGAAGCTTTCATCAGTATTTGTGCACATTACAGACACAGTCTCATAGTAATGATTTGGCATTAACCACTGTGAAAAAAAAAGCCTCATCTCTCCTCTGTATATGTCAATGTTTGTTGCTACAAGTACTGCTCTTGTCTTTATCTAAAATTAAATCTTTTAATTACACTGGTTTGAGTCTGTCTGTGACAATCTCCTTAACAGCCCTCACGTCTGGCTAACATTTCTCCTGAAGAGAGAGACAGCGCCAAATTAACATTCAGCTCGCATATGATCTGTAATCATCTTTTAATTATCAGAGCACGCCATGTGAGCAAGGTGACACGCCACAGGCGCCACACTTACAGTCGCACCACAAGGCCAAAAGTTTGTGGACACCCAAATATTACACTCACACCCAGACTGCAGATGTCAGGGTAGAGTCGGCTGTGGAAATGCAAGAGATGTTATGGTTTGCTGTACCAAACCAAACCAAACCAACCTGCTGGGAAATTAGTGTGAGGAAAAAGGAACAGTGTGCTTACCTGTCAGTCAAGTCAGCCGCGCCTCTGATTCTAGTTCAGGTAGAACCCTAATAACCTCCAAACGAACATGTTGCAATAAAAAAATCACTCTCAAAACAGTGGGTGCAGTGAAAGCCCTGAACTACCATAGTTAACCAAGGTCAACTATGGGGTATTTTATCAATATGTCATTCAAAATAATTCACTCTAATTCCAATTAGTAAAGTCTAAAATATTCAAGAGTAAGTCAAGTCCAAGGTGAACTTTGTGGTCATGAAACTTCAGGTATCTTTCCCAAAAACTTCCCAAATGATGAACTAATTGTCTTTCTTATCTCAAAGACTCCAAAATCAGGCAACTGGACTGTGATGTCAGGGTAGTTGGCTGATTTACTCTCACTCACTCTTCTTGTAGTCAAAATTATTTAAACTTACAGACATTGTGAAATCCCAGCACAAATTATGCATAAAGCTAAAAATAACCTTCTACCACAAAATATACAGAATTTGTTTGGGGATCAAGAGGGAAGTATAACTTCAAAATTAATAAAATCCACACAAGCAGAAAACGGTTTTGCATTTCGTTCTGTGAGGTGAGACTGTGGATTGGTATGTGTGAGGAGTTAAAACAATGTCCAAACATAAAAGAATTTAAAATAAAATATAAAGAATATGTTTTCACGGGATACAGGGATGTACAATCATAGTAACTTTAATCATTATCATCATTGTTTTGTTGTTGTTTTGTTATTTTCACTGTGGTGATTATTTGCTATTATTATGATGATGATGATGATTAGTGTTATTATATAATAATATGGTATGTATTTAAACCATTAGTGTAAGAGAAGGGGTGGGAATAGATAAGTCTCGACTTCTTCCCACTCCTTTTTGAACATTAATAAATTTTTAATCAATATTATTATTTTATATGTTCAAAATAAACTTTAATCAATCAATCAATCAGTTTTGGAGTCTTCGAGATAACCATGACCTGGATGAATGAGAATCTCCATGGACTAATTGTTTTTCTTCTTTTCTTTCAGGACTCATCACCGGCTGATCCTGGAGTTGTGGATCTCCTCCCCCCCTACCCTCGTTCCTCCTGCTGTGTCTCCCTCAGGTAGAAGTTCATCTGCTTTATGATGTTTCGTTTTGTTCCTGTTTGAAGTGGTAGTTCACTTTAGAGTCTGAGTTTATTATTTCACCTTTTCACTGAGTGTTTCGAGACTTAGGTCACGATAAAAAGTGAGGATTTGTGACACTTCAATTATTTACTTCAAAGCTTTTAGGTTTCATAAGTCAGCAGTTAACTTAAAATAGTTTAGATTGAACAGTTTTCTAGACTTTAAATCTTTGCTTCTGAGTGGAAATGTTGGTGCACTTCAGTGTTATCTGTCATTTCCATTCATAGCAAAGATTTAAAGTCTAAATATATTTTTAACAAGAAAACGGTTCAATCTGAAATTAGTTCAAATTAGAAAAACTGAAGAGAAACATGGTGAGAAAATTTAAAGCTGAGCGTTTAAGTCCAAATAGTTGAGTAATTAAGAATAAATTTCATATATTAATAATTTTAATCAATACAAGCTGTAGGCCAAAATTGAAATTGAAAAAAAAAATGCAATATTAATCATTACTCATCTAATATTTAAATAGATTAGATGAGTAATGAGTCAAGAAAATATAAAATTTAGGCAAAATTATGAAAAATTAAACTTGAAAATGTTTGAACTGATAGGAAATAGTCAAGAAAAAAAGTTAAGATTTTTTTTCAATAAGTGGAAGAAAATGTTGAACTTTTTCATGATATTCTGATTCATTGAGATGCACTTATATTATATAATGGACATAAATACACATGTCATATAAGTAGAAAAGTGTTGTCATTAGTAAGTTTAGCAACATCTACTGGCATTAAATAACTCATATCAACTCAGAGAATATCGACCTTAAAGCTCCTCTGAGAGCTCACTTAAGTGTCTAAAACTGACACTACGAAAACACTCAAAGCTGACAGACTTTAACTTTACCGTAAAACTTAAAACTTTACCTCAAAGCTTCAAACAAACCTGCTGAATTACACTGAATTACACACTAAGCACTGAGAGCTGATCTATCTCTGCACACCTGAGTTGGATTTAAAAAGTCCACAAGGTCAAAAACAAAAGTTACTCCCTGAGCTGTAACTACTGCTGTATGAAAACACAACAGCAGCTGAGTGTTACATAAAAAACCCAACACTACAGCTGCTGAAAACATGAACAGCACTATCAGGGACTGAAGACCCTGAAGGTGTTGAGCACAACAACACAACTCACCCACGCTGTCCTCTGCAGGTCCCACGAAGCGCCGAGTCTCCAGTCCTCCTGCAGACACCTGAGGATCAAACACGAGGAGGGGAAGACTTCAGGATTTGGAGTTGAGGACCCAGTTAGATAAAGCAATAGACATAATACAGAAAATACGCCCCCTGGTGGTCAGTTTTGACATAACTTGTGATTAGCTTCTGCACACAAGTTTTATAAAGTACCAGATCTGATGTTTTTCTGGATTTTCTATGCAAAAACGTTCGTTAACAGTTACAAATAATTTATTGAAGCCAATGAAGTCATTACTTTCTCTTTTTTTTTTTTTTTTTTTTTTATACAGGTTTTAGCTTTAATTTTAAATGCTGATGGGTTAAATACATTTAAAGGGTTTCAGAGCAGTATAGACACAGGAACACAACTGATATGATCGATTATTGGGGGATTTTTTTATCCAGTTACAATTACAGACAAATGTTAGCCTTAACCCTGGCTGATGACATTCAACTTATTGTTTAAAATATATATATATATTATGATTACTTAAAATGTAATATTATATTGCTATTAACATATATATGTATATTAGCATTTCTATCATTGCCATTATTGTTTATTTTTCATGTGTAGACTTTTGTTTGTTAATTTAAATATACATTTTGACCTTTACAAATAAAGATTACTAAATTTGTTGTATTTTATTCTTGTTTTTATTTTTATCATGAAATGAAATGGATAAAAATCATGGACGACAATATTACATTTCATACAAAATCTTGTTTTCGTATCAGTGCTGTAAAGTTAACATTAAAAAAGTTCATTTTGGAGTAAAAACAACATCACAAAGTTAAGCATTTATAATCATGATGTACAGTAGGGGTGGAAAAAGCTCTGTCACTCCACCCTGCTTTCTTGTTTGAGCACCACTTTCTGGGTAAAATACTACAACACAACAGAATATCTCTCTCTGCATTTTGTGCCGATTTTCTCGTCGCACAGGTGTGTGTAGGATGCAGCTCTCTTTTTAAATAATATTTAACTCTAAATTTTACAGATTAGACGTGATAAAAGGTGGCAGAAAACAGAATCAGAGAAACCCCCGGAGACGAAGATGCAACGGTTCTGTTCTCCCACAGCGACACTCTGCTGCAGCTCAGCGATGACAAGAACACAGAGAACCCCCTCCTTCACCACCTGCTGGATCACAAACCTTTTGCCCACAGACTGGTGGTATTTTTGAGGTTTAGATACTTTAATGCCTAACAACAGTTTTTTTTGTTGTTGCCAGAGAAGCAGAGAGTCGGGGTAAAACCTCCAGCTTTCACTCAGACACTTGTAGGGTTAGTGTGACTGTATGGAGGATGGATTTTAAGCTAACCACTGGTATGAGGTTTTATATGTGGGCTACCCACAGTCCAACCTGGCATGAAGGGATTTGATTTTGCTGACAGGTGCTCGGTGCTTTTCCTCTCATGACAGAACAAGGAATAGATGTGGTTTTGTTTTCAAGGGTTCAGCAAGAGATCACACACTGTCCCCTGACACTCGACTACCTCTGTTTCCATGGAAACAATGCAAATACACAGGTTGCAGGACAGACAGCAAGAATGTTGTTTTTATTTTTTTTTATTTTATTTTATTTTTTGGGGGGGGGGCTTTCTTCCAGCTTGGCCTGGGTGTAAATGTTGCCATCAAACCCTGGAGTGAATGACGGTGTCTAAATTGGACGCACCTGCAGCAATACTTCATACTTCATAACTGCTCAATTGAAATGTTCTTTTTGTTCAACCCTATTAAGCTTTAAGCACAAACAGGCTGAACCATCTAACCCCAATTTCTACCGTATCCAGAATGGCTACGGAAAGGCCATATTCACCGATCACAGCTGATTGTGACCATTGAAGTGAATGTGTCAATTTCCACCGACTTCTTTCCGTTCCGCTGCGGATCGCCAGACTCTGCAGCTGATCGCAAGAGTTCTATTTTATCTGGAGCATGCCAGATAAATTCAGCACAGATTAACCCGTGCTGGAAAGGAAGTCGGGCACAGACACAAAATAAAACATCCGGCTTCTTTTCAAAATAAAACACTCCGTGTTTCAGGCGGATCGTATTTCACACCATGCAAACAGGCGGGGACGAACAAGTGAAAGGTTTTTAGACCACATTTCACCCTGATGACACCATGGATGAGGAGATGCTGATTCTAAAAGTCTAGAAGTGGATTTCCTCCTCTGGAAGGACACAATCTACTGCTTATGTGGCTGTCTATATAGAGACAACCTGTTATCACGCGATTGCTCGTGAATCCGCGGGTTCTTGTGAGTTCTTGCGATTCCCGCTGTCCATAATCCGCAATGAATTTGGGCCTCAATCACTGCCGTTCCGGATGCGGTGGAAACTCGGGGTAAACAATCATGCTTACAGGTTTTAGATGGTGTAACCACATGGGCTGCTGAGCCACAAAAGAGAGACTGCAGAAGATCTTTTCTTCATATTCTCGTGTTTTTTGTTTGTGCTCATCTCCCTCTCTCAGCAGGATTTGATTTAACCCTTTGGAGCATCAGAATTTTCACATCAGCATGGTGCACAGCCTCTGTTTGGTCTTTGTGCCTAACCTTAGTGTGTTTCTCATTTGACCCAAATTCATTTGCCCTTCTCTTACTACCTGTCTAAATTGTTTGCACTTCCTCCTGGCCATCCCGAGAGCAGGATGTTGGCTCCACATCCCGCTCAAGCTAATGCTTGATCCTCTCTTCAGTTGAAAGTTAAGTACGCCATGTGTTGGCGTTATAGGTATAAAATCAACTCATTATTTCTCTTGATTTGCGCATTAGTTTTAGCTGTATGATTACATTCTGTGGAGGCGTTCCTGAGGTTGTCTCCAATGCAGACTCGCCGGTATCAGGCCAAGAAACAGTCCAGTCAGTGTGCTGATGAAACAAATGCTTCCTCTGGCTCAGTCTGTACGAGAGGCCCATCAGGACTGATCGCCTGCAACATCAGCATGTTGAAAGCAGATGGCTGGTGCAGCTCGCAGTCGTATCTCTCTCCCACACCAGGCTCTCTGGGTAGATTTGACATAAGCTTAATTAATGATTTGTTAACTGCAGAGGCGTTAAAAGGAGCACAGAGACAGGCGTGAATTCCAAAAGAACGAGCTAAACTGGCCACTAATACGATGTGAAGGGATTTCTTACCACATGCTTTACCAAATGCTCCTTCTCCCGCTTTCTTTGGAGCGCTCTGTGATCAGCTCAGTGTGAGCTCTAAGCATGCTGTGAGTGAGAAACAAGTTTCACACCAAAAAACTAAACATCACAGATGTTTTCTAAGTGCTGAGCATCCTCAGAGCTTTTCCACCAGAGAGCAGAAGATTGTTCTTAAATCTTTCAGTGAAATATGACAGTCACTTCAAATGAATTAAGCTTGGCTGAGAGATCAGAAGTTTGGAGTTTGATAGTTTAACATTAGGAGATAGAAGAAGTTCCCTCCTGCGCTTTCTCCTAAAAATGGTTTTCTTAACACACAAAGAGATGCAAAAAATGACCACAAATAGAATTTGAGCAAAAACAGAGACAGGAAACAAGCACAGATATGCAAAGGGACCGGAGAAGAGGCGCCAAAATAACCACAAAGAGATGCCAAATGAGCATAGAGACACACAAAAGCATCCAGAAAAAGGTAAAAGAAAAAAACTGACCTGAGTACACAGAGGGATTGGGTTGAAAAGGAACTACAAAGAAACCCAGAACAACCACAAGAGACAGAGAAAAATGACCAAAACAACGACTCAATACAAGCTCAAAGAGACGCGAATACAGAGACAGAAACGCTTAAAAAGGATTGTCAGTCAATAGATGGGAAACTGATCTATTGTTTTCATGTATTATCATGGTGATCCAGGCTGTTGGCTGTATAGACATCAATAATCTGAGTTATTGTGGTCATTCCGACAGATCCCTGATTGACAAGCTGATTGACAAGCGGCGACACAGACAATTAACGGGAGAGATATCAGGTCATGTTTTAAGTTAGATAACATGATTGATACCCTGTTAGCTCACATCAGAACACATAATAACATAAACACACAACGACTTTTACACTAACAATGTAGGACTTTCACACCCCAAGAAGGAGCTTTCATTGGGGATATGGTCTATCACAGAGAAATGGGAAAACAGAGACAGAGAAATACCACAAAGATGCAACTATAATGCAGGAGGAAAGGCTTTAAACATGTCTTGACTGGAAAATTGCTCTGTCATTTTAGCTTTAACACAGGTGTCAGAGTGGATTTGGCGGTGTTACTATTTCTCTTTACTTTGCTTTTCCTACGGTTGAGTTTGAGTGTTTGTGGGGCCGCTCTGGCTCAACAGTTGAGTCGGTTTGATTCCAGCTCCTGAGGTCTGAATGCTGCTCTGCCTCTTTGGCAAGGCACTGAAGGTGGCAAAGTCAGCAGCGTATGAACTGGTGCAAAATAAGACACTGTAACTGAAATTATTCTTAAATTACAGGGTGGATGTGGAGAGCTGATACATGTGCCGTGACATGTCTCAGCTCAATCATAGAAATGCTTCTCTGCTTCAGTTTGCTTCAGACGTGTCTAGTTTTCAATGAAGTCCACACACACGTCGAGCCGAATAGTGCAAATTGACTGAGACCGGAACAGCACACAGCATCAACTTCAAACTAAAACACCGTGTTCAGACCCCTGACCATTACTGTTGATGAGGGGTATATTATTACCAACCACAAAACAAACTTATATCTGTCATACCTGGACTTTTAACTGTTGACTTGGTTGCAGCACAACAAAGTCCATAAGTAAGGTCTACTCGTGCACTACTGTGCCAAAAACCTTTACAAGTAAAACAACATTTAAGTTTACTAGTAAAGTCCAAATACCTCACTAGTAGCACTAGTAGACTGTTCTAAGCCTACCTGTAGTACTCGTAAAGCCAAGAGATTCACTAGTTGTACTAGTGGACCTAATGCAAATGAAGTAGAGGGGGCTAATAAGCAAATCCAGCACCCTGATTGGTTGTAGCATTTCAATAGCCAATAGGAAGCCTGTATTTTTTGTTCCCGCCCCCTTCCCAAAAACATGCCTAAGTGGGGTTAGGTTAATTGGCCACTTTCAAATTGCCCGTAGGTGTGAGTGTGGATGGTTGTTCGTCTCTATATGTCAACCCTGCGATGAACTGGCGACTTGTCCAGGGTGTCCCCTGCCTTCGCCCGAAGATGCTGGGATAGGCTCCAGTCCCCCCGCGACCCCGGGAATGGGAAGAAGCGGTAGAAGATGGATGAATGGATGGATAATAATAATAATACATTTTATTTCTGGACACTCAAGGACACTTTACAGAGTAAAAACATACTGCTTACATGGTGTACAAGTGAACATTTTTTGGTCTACTAGTATTATCAGTGACAATTTTTGCTTCACTCACACAGTCTACTAGCACACTAGTAAACAAATATTGTGTACATGTGCTCCAAATCTAAGTACTAGTATAGCTCAACTACGGTTGATATCACTGTTATCAAATTTATGCTCAAATGGCTTTCCATAGACCAAGCAGTTTGATCGCACACTCCAACATTTACAATAAATAAACAGGACAATAAGTATCAACTGATCGGGTTTGATCTGATGATTTCACAAACAAAACTGTTTTCATCAAGGCTGCCAGAGCTGAAAGTTAGAGCAAGTGTCAGACAGAGTTTCACTAGTTGAATGTGACAGACGTGCTAGCACATCATTGAGATTCAGCGCAGGTTTAGATCAGAGCCGGCATTATTGGCCACATTTCATGGTCTGGATCTTTTAAATTCCATTTCCCTGCCAGCTAATGGAGGCCTGCAGGTGGCTGCTTAGACACTGATCTGCTCTCAGTACAGTGTGTGTGTGTGTCAGTGTGTGTTTGATAGGTAATCCTCACAATTTCAGATCCCTTTTGAACAATGAAAAATAGAGAAGTCAGAATAAAGTGGCTCATCAGGAGCCTGTCAAAGTGCATATTTATTTTTATAAAAGTGCGTGAAGCTTTTATCTGAGTCTTAAGTGACTCATCACATCCTCTATTTATGGAATTATTTCCTGGAAATCAAACAGAATTGTCAAAATACTTCTTTCAGACAGCCTTTTAGGAAGTGTGTGAAATGTATAAACCATCACAAGAATAGTGTGAGCATTTTCAAGTGGTTGGAATTTTCCTCAGTACTCGCACACTGGCTGCTCCTATAGGATCCACCCCCTCTGGAGTACCCTCTGCGGGACACTGGCAGGTTTAAAGCCTCATGGTTGCATCACCTCAAAGCCTCATGAGACAGTGTACCTGAGGTGACGGCTGGCTCAGAATGGCTGCTTTGTTTGCAGTGACACCCGCTGGAAAACGGAGGAACTGTCAGCAGTGTGACAGCTTTTGCCAACTTTCGCCTGCAACATTTCTCATCAGTTATACCCTCTATCCCCCCATAAATCATGCAGCTGGACGCAGAACTCATGCTCCCATAGATTGCATTATCACTGTGTACTCAAGTCCTTCGCTTGGCATAAAACACACACAGCTCAGACACAGAGAGACGTGTGTGTCAGCAACATCTGAGCTGCTTCAGTCTGTAGTAAACAAGCCTTTCAGGTCAAACTGCCCTCCACTGTTCAGCTCCACATTTCTCCACAGTAATGACACTGCCATCTAGTGCCAGATGATACCAATCTTCTGCCTGTGTCCAGGAATGATCGTCTTAACACCCCTTACCCAGCTGCTGCAGCAGTTTTACATACATAAGAGTCATTTGGATCTTAAAAGCAAGATTTGGAAAAGGAGGCTCTGTCCTCAAGGGTTTTCATGTCACATTCAACCTGAAGGATAAACCCCAAATTTAATGGGGAGATTATATGTGCCACTGACCTACAGTTCCCTCTTAATCCACAAGGGGGAAGGCTAAAGACATTGCATCACTGAGGATGGAGAGTATTCCTTGGAAGAGGAATGTGTGCAGAAGTTTGCATAAAACGACTGGACTGATGACAGTCAGATACCTTGTACAGATACCCTAACCAGACAGGTTTCCACTAATTTTCTCACTTGTTTTCTTTCTTCTGTCCTAACATACTATACTATGACATTTTTTTTATCATACTATACTATGACATTTTTTTTCATACAATACCATAAAATTTTTTAAACATTCTATACTATGACATTTTTTATAAGAAAATACTATTACATTTTTTTCATACTAAAATATGATTTTTGTTTCACACTGAAATATGAAATTTTTAACATACTATACTATGACATTTTTTTATCATACAATACTTTGACATTTTTTATCATACTATAGAATGGCAATTTTTTAACATACTATACAATGACATTTTTTACCATACTATACTTTGACATTAATATTATACCATACTATGACTTTTTTAACATACTCTACTATGACATTCTTATCATACTATAATGACATTTTTTTCATAAAAAAATGACCATTTTTCCCCACTAAAATAAAACATTTTTAACATACTATACTTTGACATTTTTATCATACTTTATTATATTTTTTAATGAAATTTTTATTCCACTAAAATATGAAGTTGTTCACATGCTTCACTGACATTTTTATCATACTATACTGTGACATTTTTTTCCCACAAAAAAATGTAATTTTTTGTTCTAATTAAAAAAATAGGTTTTTCACGTTCTTTTCTGTAGCAATTTTATCATTCTTTACTATGACAATTTTTATCATGCTATACTATGACATTTTTAAAAAACTAAATGATGACAATTTTAATCATACTATACTATGGCATTTTAATCATACTAAACAAGTAATTTTTTATGATACAATACATTGACATTTGTAACCTACTATTCCATGACATTTTTTTCATGCTAAAATATGAAAACTGTGTACACCAAAGAATGACATTTTAAACATACTAAGCTTGACATTTTCAACATACTACACTATGACATTATTGATAAAACTATACTATGACATTTTTTTAATCACACTTTATTATGACATTTTTGAACATTCTATACTATGACATTTTTATACTATACTTTGACATTTATATTATACTATACTTTGCCTTTTTTGAACATACTCTATGAAATTTTCATCATACCACACTATGACATTTAAAAAAAAAGACAATTTTATTCTAAATAAAAATTTTTTTTTTAGAAGTTTTTCACATATTATCCTTTGACATTTTTATCATACTATTCTATGACATTTAAAAAAAAATGTTTTTTTTTGTCCCACTAAAATATGAGGTTTTTCACATACTTATCTATGACATTTTTATCATACTATACCATGACATTTATAATATACTATTCTGTGTCCTTTTTTTCCATGCTAAAATATGTAAGTTGTGTACACCGAAATGTGAAATTTCTTACATTCTATACTATAAAATTTTAAACATACTATACTGTAACTAGTACTATACTATACCACTACATTTTCTGTCATACTATACCTAGACATTTTATCATGCTATACTATGACATTTTTTATCATACTATACGATGACAATTTTTTATCATACTATACTATGACATTTTTATCATACTGTACTATGACATTTTTTATCATACTATACTGACATTTTTATCATACTGTACTATGACATTTTTTTATCATACTATACTATGACATTTTTAGCATACTATACTATGACATTTTTTATCATACTATACTATGCCATTTTTTTATCATACTATACTTTGACATTTGAATCATACTAATCAAGTTATTTTTTATAATACTATACTATGACATTGATAATATACTATTCTGTGACATTTTATTCATGCTGAAATATGAAAGTTGTGTACATCAAAATATGAAATATTTTTTAACATACTATACTATGATATTTTTAAATAAAAAATGTTTCTCACACTAAATTATGAATTTTTGAACATACTATACTATAACATATTTTATCACACTATACTATATTTTTTCACATACTAAACTATGAATTTTTTATCATACTATACAATGACTTTTTTTATCACACTATACTGACATTTTTATCATACTATACTATGACATTCTAATCATACTATACTATGATATTTTCATCATACTATACTATGACATTTTTTAACCTTCCACTCCGACATTTTTTATCATACTATACTATGACATTTTTATCATATTATACTAAGACATTTTTTTCATACTATACTGACATTTTTATCATTCTATACTATGACATTTTTTTATCATACTATACTTTGACATTTTTATCATACTATACCATGACCCTTTTTATTATACTATACTGACTTTTTATCATACTATGCTATGACATTTTTCGTTAAACTATACTATGACATTTTTATCATACTATACTTTGACATTTTTTATCGTACTATTCTATGACATTTTTTATCATACTATACGATGACTTTTTATTATACTATACTATGACATTTTTTATCATACTTTACTATGACATTTTTTATCATACTATACGATGACCATTTTAATCATACTTAAGTTATTTTTTATCATCATACTATGACTTTTTTCAACAATCAATATGATAACGGGGACTCTGATGTTTTTGGAGGCATTATTTAAATAGATCATCCTGATCAAGAGAGTTTTCAGAATCCCCAAATCTGACCAACATATTACGTTATTAGGGTTATTGCTCTGTCTGTATCAACTACAATAAAATTTAAAATGAATATCTTAAATTACAGACATTTACTTTATTCAGCTTTTAGATTTATGTATTGGTTATCTAATATGAAATCAGGAATATAAAAACTTACTCAAAAGTTGCACACACTCTATACTCTAAGTTACATTACTGTTAATAATGCTTTTTACAAATCCTCCCGCTCTGAAGTCTGCACTGTTTACTGCCAGGCTATAGTGCCCTCTGCTGTCTGAATGTTGCTCTTGCACTTACATACCACAGTCACACAGAACTCATAGAACCAACACTCAGTTTTTATTTACTTTATTTTTTTTTAAGTTGTGCGACAGTTCTCTATCATTTATAAAATATAAAACGACAAACAATCATAAAAAGAAGATAAATTGTAAAACTGCTCTTAATTACAAAAGACCACGGACAGATGATCGCTAAAACTTCATTTAAACGGGCCTCTCCAGATCTGGTTTCCTCAGCCAAAGACTCCACCTTTCTTTTCTGTGAAAGAGAGGGGAAAAAATGTTGTTTTCCCTGCAGTGCAATCTCTTTGTGAAATTCACCTTTAAATAAATATTTCCCTTACTTTTTGCATTGACGTGATACACCGCCTCCATGCCACCTTTAATATGGTCAGTGACGTGACAGTGTAGCAGCCAGGTACCAGGATACTGAGGTCGCATCTTTACAGTCTGGACAGGAAGAAAGGGAGACAGCACATACAAGTTCATACATGTTTATACAAGTTTACTTTGTAGATCATGTATTGTGGCTTTTTCTGTCAGTCTAACTTGAAACTATCTTCTTTTCAATAGTTTCTCAGCTAAAGTAGGCTGTCTCTGTTTACTTAAAAGAGCTTAGTCAAGTAAGCAGTGGCACCTGACAAAGATTTTTAACAATTATCATGAAAGGATGACATAAAGCAAGTGAGTAAATTTCTAATCTGCACTTAACTTGTAAATTACAAATGTTCTTTAAGTTTCAAATCAGTGACTGGTTGTGTTTCCAGCCTGGAGACTTCACTGACTCTGCAAAAGTTTAGTACAGGACGGACACACATAACACGCCAGAACCAACAGAGGGCAGCAGAGAAGGCCTCATAAAAAATGAAGGACATGTGGTGTCTCCTGTATCTCTGTGGGACCAACCATAGGCGTATAAGCTGACTCATATTAAGGCTGTCTTTACAATTACATCACATTTTGGTCACAGCTCTAGTACTTCATTTGCTTGAACAACAGTTGTTACCATCTATCAGCCTGAAGTCAGTATGTTTTAATGTTTTACCTGGAAGGTGGCTGGAAACAGCTCGTACACGTCTGTCCGATGAGGACCTCCACCCAGCTGGAAGACAGAACAGTCAGTGTTGGTTTGAACCAGAGTATGCATGTGTTATATGTAGTTATATTGACATGTTTGCATGTCCTGCATACCTTATATTCCACCATGTGTCCATGCCAGTGTACAGTATGTATGTCCACATCATTGCCCATCCCCATCAGGTACCAGTACACTTTATCACCCACCTCCATGTTCAGACCATTCAGGTTTCCATACATCAAACCATTTATGGCTGCAAAGTAGACAAACAAATATATATTAGAGAGAGAAAGAGTGAAGGTATTAAATTAGAAGTCCATCTGTGTGCATATTTATCTCACAGTGCATCTTGTTGCTCTCTATAAAGGTTTCATCGTCCTTCAGGTTTGCACGAGGGTTCCTGATGTGGGTCCTGATGTTTTCATCCAGGTACCTGGAAACATGAGAGTGATCATTCGCCAAATATTGCACATTGCAGACATACATTAACACAAGTTACAACTTTTATGAATTTAAATATCTTGAGTTTAAACAGATAAACACCATTAAATTTTGTTGTGTTTCAGCAGCAGAGTAATGGTCAGTATAGATCTTAAAGCCTTATTCATTTAAAACCAAAACATAATTAAGACAATAAAAGAAGGAGCAAAATTAAGTCGTATTTTGAAATATCATTTTAAGGTCTGTAAGAGTTTGATCACATTTGGTAAGAAAACTGTCCACCATTTTTAAAAATAAAGACAATTTTACAAGAATAAAAATTATAATATCACAAGAATAAAATCTTACTTTAAATAAAACTTGACTTTTACTCACCAGCTTTCATTCTCATCAAAAACCAGGAAAAGCACAGCTAACTCTTCGACTTCTTTCTTCATACCTAAAGACCTGGAGGCGACAAAGTTTGTACAGCACTATATCAGCACTTTATCTCATGGGTTTCTTCCATGCAGAGCAGCATATCAGAAAATTATCTGGCTTGGGTGACCTAAATTAGATCATGAAGTGAATTTCTAAAAGTTTGCTAAGTTTTGGATTAACGCTCACGGAGAGAGAAACACTCACCTGGCCCAGCTGCGTCGACAGATCACCAATGGACCGATCAAACCGCTGTACAGATCCTGGAGGACAGGACACAATATTACTGTGTGTGTTTTCAGTTTCAGCAATTCATATGACACAGCTTCAGTAAAAATGTAAAACCAATCAGAAAAAAAGGGGTTGGGAAATTTAGAGGTCCAAAATAAGAAAAGAGTTAAATCAGATCTAGAGGTTTGTGAGGTAACAGGACAAAAAGTTATTTCCCTCCTGTGTCAGACATCAACACCTCATCTTAAAAATAAAGCTGTAACTACAACTTAACTTTTCTAGTCTTAACCCTTTAATAATGTGTTAATATTTATACATAGACACATCTCAAAAATAAATCAAATTATATGGATGTATTATTCAGTATAAGTCCATAATTTAGTTTTCTACTGTGTGTGTATTTACATGTATATGTGTATACCTTGGCGACATCAGTAGTGGAGTAGTATGCTGACACAGAGCACTCCTCTTGCTCTGTTGTAGGTCCGGTTTTCTTTGTGACGTACCAATTATATGTGTGCGTCTCACCTGGGAAAGACATCATACATCGATACAAACATTTTTTTTATTCTGATGCTTTATTAAGAAAACTGAATCCTAGTGTCCTCAGACGGTTGAAGTTATACACTTTTTAATAACACAGAAAATAAGCACGTTATCTGTGTTTAGTCTGTGTGTACCTGGAGGTGTGTTGTGGACATCAGGAGTGTCTGTCTTGACTCCATGAGCGTGGATAGAATAAGGCCGGGACGCCATGTTTTTAAAAACCACCTTCACCTTGTCTCCCACGTCAGCATGAATCATCGGACCTGAGTGAAGGAAAAGTGTTGGAATAATTAAAAATCAAAATGCTGACATGATAATATTTCATACACTATATTTTGTGGTTTTTACAGATATACTCAAATCCTACCCAAAATGCCAAGGTGTTCCATATCCGCTGCCCTTTCCACCTGCTTGGTGAACTTGTCATTAGTGAACTGGCGGTAGACCACCTTCTTGTAACGGGAGCCAATAAACCCGCCCTGTTGGTCTAGGAAGACACCTGCAGGACTACAAAAGACGAGAGGAAAAGGAAACTAAAAGTTCAGTGTGCTCATTTGACTGAAAACTGGAAAACAAAACCTTGTACCTCTGCAGGTTAAACCGTACCTTTCCTGACCGCGGAACATCTCAGCCTCCCAGGTGCGGTTTGGAGAGTAATCCCAGGTTAACTCCATCGCAGCGATATAGTAGGTCTTTGAATGCAGCATCGTCTCACCCTGACGCTGAAGGAGGCTGCACTTCTGAACCGTGTAGTTGGCTCTCATCCCACCACGATAATGATTCACTGTAGCCGACACCACTTCAAACTGACCTGAAACACACACAGGGGTCACACTATTAGAAATACGCAGAACCCAGACTTTAAATCGTCTTGATTTGCATTAAAATAGTCTGTATTTGCCATTTAATTGCCAAATAAGCATCTGGTTAAAACCTACATTGTCCAGATTGTATCAGAGTCTCAGAATAAGCTGTAGAGGTTCATACCCATGCTGTCAGGCTCCATTGTGACAGTACGTGAGATGTGAGGGAAGACGCTGATGGTGTCTCGTCTGTTCTGGCGGTAGATGAAGCGGTTTCCCTGGAAGTAAAGACTGACGATGTCCGTCTCTGAGCCGAGTCCTGAAAGGTGCCATGTTACCCTATCCGCCTTGCACATGGTAAGGCCTGGGAGGTTCTTGTACACAAACCCATTGATGGCTGAAAGAAAAAAAGACGATATCGTAAAAAAAAATCCAGCATCATTTCCTCAGAGTTTAGATTTGTCTTCTACTCACAGTGCATTTTGTTGCTGTCCATGAATCCCTCATCTTCCTTGTTCACGGTGGCGGGAGCAGTGGCGAATGCTCGGATGTTGTCATCCAGATACCAGCTGAGGTTTTCATCAAACACTGTAGCCATGAGGTGAAACTCCTTCTGGTAGTTTTTCTATATAAAGAGCAGTGAAGATGATACAGTGTGGTTTCTGACATGGATCCTTGCTTTAACACTCATTGCACTACAAGACATAAAGTTTGGACTTCTGGTCTTTAACCTTTAATAACCCCAAATGTCTAATTTGCTTTCCTCACCTGTACTTGACGTTTGAGTGATCCAGGCCGACACACGAGGAGCGGCCCCACCAGCCCAGAGTTGGTGTCTTTAACAGGATCCACTCCAGAGTAGTACAGATAGGTCAGACAGTCGGCTTCACCCGCTGTTGGACCAGCACCCACCGGTACCGTCCACTCATAGGTGTGCACCGCCCCGGGCCTGACCATAGCAGCTGGAGGAGGGGTCACCACACCTTAAAACACAAACAAACAACAATTTATAGTGAGGTATAAAGAGTTTTATGAAGCGGTACTGTCACTCAGGTTTGAACTCACGGGTTAGTCTCTTAAGCTCCCGCAGTTTCTTGTCAGTGTAGGACTCTGAGGATCGGGGGGCAAAGAGCAAGACATGTATGAGACATGAAGAAGTTTTGCATGGATAACAATTTATCTGCATGGTACTTTCATGTTTTTACCTTCCAGTTCATTATAATAGAGAGTCCCATCTTGTTCGATGTTGTACTGAACGCCATGGGGTTGCATCGTGTAAGGTCGGGTGGCTTTGTTCTTGAAAACGACCCTGATGGTGTCTTTCTCTTCAGCTCGCAGTATAGGACCTAAAAACAGGAGCAGATGGTGGTTTTATTGACCATTCTGGACAATTTATTCAATTATTACTCAAAGACAAGTTGGTGCTGTTTGTACGAAGACATCTTTAAAGAATTCCCATCATCCAAAAGATGTCAAATATTATCAAATCCTATAAACTAAGCATGCAAAGAGACAATAAACCCAATCCCAGATTAATTACCCAGAATCCCAAGGTGTTGCTCCTCTGGGCTGCGAAGCATTTTCGTGTTGAAGGTGTTGTCGGTGTATTCGGCGTAGCGGGCCTTCTTGTAGCGACTTCCAATACGGTTCGGTCCTCTGGTTACATACATGTCAGCCTCACTGTTTACACACACATGAATAAACTCTCATTTTTCCTGTCAAGAACATGATCACAGGAAAGAGACTGTTCTGTAAAATGTTCAATAACAGACCCCTCTGAAGGTGTGGTCGGAGCGTAATCCCAAACTTCCTCTTCAGCAGCGATGAAGTACTGTCTGACCTCTCCGTGTGGCCGAGGTTTGTGAACGTTGGGGAAACACTTCTTGATCTCGAATATCGCCTGCATTCCAGCTGGAAAGACGTGAAATAAAACAAACTTTAAAGCTTTAAAATCACAGTACAGTGCAGTGATTTCATGCTGAGAGTAGAAGATGCTGTAGCTCACCCATCAGATGGTCATTGACCGTACACGTCAGCAGCCAGTGCCCGACGTTATCGGCCACCATTTCGGCTGTAGTGCTGGAGCCAGGGAAGAGGCTGACTGTGTCTGTGTGGTGGTTCTGAGCGGTCAGGATCTGACCGTGGAAATGGACTGAATGCATATCCACCTGTTGAAGACAGCTGACATTTAAACCTCATTTGGATGCTTGTATCTCACATCTTGGCATGAAATTTAATAGTAGGCTACGAGAGATTATTTATGATAAGTGTTGCGATGATGTTTCTAACCAAAACTTTACCTCGTTGCCTAGACCAATCATATGCCAGTAGATCTTGTTGCCTTGGCACATGCTCAGTCCAGGCAGGTTCCCGTACAGGTAACCGTTTATACCTGCGATCCACACACAGTGTTAACACGACAATGTGGAGAAAGTGTGAGCATTTAGAAATGTAGAGGTGGGTGTGAGAAGACTCTAACCGTGCATTTTGTTGCTCTCAATAAAATCCTCGTCCTCCTTCAGGTTTCTTCCAGGATATGTTATGTAGGTCCTGATGTTCTCATCCAGGTACCAGCTAAAGTTCTCGTCGGACACCATGAACAGCAGAGCGTACAGGTAGTCTCCTGAACGGTCTCCGTATAAATCCAGGGTTCCTACAGAGGAGAGGAGAGGATGTATCAGTATTAGTGTATGAAAACCAAACATCATATCGACATCACCATGTATTAACATTTTTCAGGTACCTCTCTTGCAGACGATGAGGGGTCCTATCAGTCCTGAGTTGATGTCTTTCGGAGCGCTGACGTGGGAGTGGTAGAATCTGGTCATGCAGTTACCGTCATCTGATAGTGGGCCGTGGGTCTCTGCGAGGGTCCACTCCAAGATTTTTGTTGCACCAGGAGCCACTGAGTCATCAGTCTTCAGTTCTGGACCAGTACCATCTGGGTACAGGGCTCCTAAATGAAGCGAAGAAACACACCTTCATTTATCCCTTACCAAACTGTCAGACATATTTCGTCAAGGTAATGAAAGTTTCAGAAGTTCAAAAGTGGTAGAAGTTTCAGATAAGGACTCAAATTTGTGACAGATTTTTTTCAAGTCCTCACCTTCAGCTCCTTTGCTGTAGTTCAATCCATGTGGGTGGATGCTGTAAGGTCTGGATGCAGCATTTCTTAAATGAATGATCACTGTGTCTCCTTCCTCAGCCATCAGCAGAGGTCCCAGGTAGCCCAGCCATTCCGGCTTCGTCACCTCGGTCCTGTAGCTGCTGTCGGTGTACTGCTTATACACGGCTTTCTTATAGATGGAGCCGATCCGCTGGGGGCCTCGTTTTAAAAAGACAGAGGCTTCTCTGCAGAGAGAGAACAAAATGAGTGAATTTTAATCTCGTGTTGATTCCAATTAAGAAACCCTCTGATCTCTGATCTTGCCTTTTGACAGCAAGCATTTTGGCTTTTCAGATCAGAGGAAGCACTGATGTTCCTGCTGACTGAAAAAAAAAATGCCACTCTAATATTTGTGTAAACATAAAAACTTTTACTCAGCTTAAAAAAGTCCTTTGAATTGGATCAAATAGCCAAACATCTAAAAATATTTTACCGGTTGCATGCAGTAGGGGGCAGTGAGGGCCTGTGTCCACTTGCAGCTTTTTTGTTCGTGGACACAGGCCCTTGACGCTTGCGGCTCCTATTTTACAAACAAAATCAATGCAGTTCTACGTTTTCAGCACACTTGGAGTATAAGACCCAAAGGTGCTGAGCGAATGTTAAGCAATATCTAGAGATCACACTTAATTTTAAGTGCCCACATACTCTCTTATCCTCTCTTACCTTTAAAGCGGCTTTGACCTTCCAGGACAGAAAGTCTTTATGTTGTGAGAATAAAGTCAGGATAAAGTCGTAGTTTTGGTTTACTGTGAGCAGCCAGCTGTCTGTGCCAAAATGAGGAAGATGGGGTTAAATTGTACTCAGTGTTTAAGCATCTCAGCACCCCAACTTTTAAAGTATCAGGACCCAGAGAGGACCAGAAGCTGAGTTGCGGCAGTATGTGGTTAATCACTGATTATACTAATGGCTTTGGGTATGTTTTACTACGACTTTATCCTTGTGATGAAATGACTTAAATTATTCTTTTGAGTTTTAAAAACATTAATTTCTTAAATGTGGCCTTAAAACTCTGCCGTAGACAAGGGCTATTGGAAAAAAAGGCTCTGAAATACTTTTCAAACTCTTAAAGGTCTGACTTTTTTCACAGAATCCTGATTCTTACATCAGACCCACACACAACGTCAACATTAACATACAAAGTTCTTGGTTTGTACTCACTCATCCTCCTGCAAGGTGCGGTTTTGTATGACATTCGTCCCACTCGGGGCATAGTTCCATGACACCTCCTCTATCCTGAAGAAGTACCCTCTCGTCTCCCCTGACACAAGCGCTGCTGCACAACACAGCAGCAACACCCCGACCAACCCCGTGGACATCATTTTAGATTTGGAGTGGAAGAGGAAGATGAGTCTTAATTTATATGGTAACAATGACGACAAACTTCAGAGAACAGTCCGATCCATCAGTCAGTCCGTCTGAGAGACTTCAGACCCTGTGGGTTTATTTATAACCACTCAGCTAACCAACTGAAGGGAACATCTGAGAGGGGAAGAGAGGTCACCGACCAAAAGATAAAGTATGAGCCAACCAATCAGAGTCTTGATACCTTGTTGAATCAGTTTGAATTTCATAATAATGGGAATTTTTAAACTTTGGGACATTGTTTATACATAAAAAGATCAAATTTGGGTTAAATATGTGTTACACTTAATTGAGATTATCTATTTTTAAGATATACCACTCTCTATTTTCTGTTTTAGGTCAACAGCAGTCAAAAATCAAGAGCACTCTTGTTCGTCTGATTATTCAAACATTGATTTTTGAGTAAGTCGATAATGCTGTTTGAGTTTATCCAAAGAGAGTTAATTGAAAGGCCTCTAAAGAAGTCCAGTGTGCTGATGACAACTGATTTTAAGTATTTTAAAATCTATACAAACATTATTACTGATATGAGTGATTCAATTACTTAAATGTTTGTTTAAAATAGTTAAATCTTAAACCGCTTAAGTCAAAGTAACTACACTTTAAAAAAAGGTTAACAGTTTTTTTTTTTTTTAGAGATTTTAAAGCAGTCTTATTACTATTATGACATACAATATGGGAAAACATCCTTTCTTTGCTTGAAAGTGACTTGAAATTGGTTCAGCTCCAAAGGTTGAAGGCTAAATTTACTCAGTTCGGGTCCGGATTATTACATAAGGCTGGAAACTTCAGGACACACGCAAAGTCCGGGAACTGATTGCATCACAGCAAGCAGGCCACATTCATACATGCACACAAAACAAAAAGAGTTTATGTACAAAAAAATATCACCTGAGAGAAATGATCAGTCATGAAGAGTTGCAAGAGGAAAGCAAGTTTACATCTACTCAACATGTGCAGCATGTAAACTTCTTTCAGGGTTAAATTCGCTGAGTTTAATACTCTGAATGTCCTTAAAGTGCCTTTGCTGTGACTCTGAACTTGTTTCAGGGTTTAACAAAGATCATCTGCGTAATCATAAAATGGAAAATCTTCTTTTTTATTCAAGACAGAACAAACAAAACACATACATTATAAAAATATGTCACTAAAATATATATATAAAATGTCTGTTAACACTGATTTAGCGTCAGTGAGACGCAAACAAAATTTTAAAAAATTCTCTGAAAATGAAAACAGTGGAATAAACACACAAAGTATGCCTGTGCTCCTCAGCTGGTCCAGTGTGTGAATTAAACATGACAGAGAGGACACTCTCTGAGGCGTCAGTGTGATCACTATAATACCGAGAAGGTGCTTCACTTCTTACAATGGCACCATAAACACTGTAAAAACATGGAAAGTCTGATAGGAAGATATGGAGTGGTCAAATCTATGAGGTATATACAGTAAATAATGATAATAAAGAAAGTGAGCGACCTCAGCGAGAATGAGACAAACTTTACGTGATCAGTGGTCATGGAGTTTAAAAAAGTTTTCTGTGGTCATTAAAAAACAAACAAAACTCTTTCTGTTTGTGTCCTACAACACCTAAAATCCATTTTACCTACTTTTATCATTAATATTATTATCACAGAGGCTCTACTTTGTCTTTATTATATACATTATTATGTACACAATGGTCTGTGTGGCCGCTTTTCACCTGTTTAAGTAATTAAGCATAATTGTTTTTGTTGTTTTTATACAGGACACACAGAAATACACACATGAAAATCCTACATATCAACATTATCATGGACCGATAACTTATCGATCCAGAAATATTACAAACTGAAAATGACATAGTGGTTCAGTGATGTGGGTGAAAACAGGTTTTACTTCATGTGTGTCGACATAAAATACTGGGTTGAACTCTCACACACACGAGAGGAAGCTGTGTGTATGCATGTGCCTGTTAATGTCCCACAGGTCTGCATGTGAATACCTATATATGTGTGTGTGTGTGTGTGTGTGTAGATAAATGCGTATTTATCTAAGCATTCAGACTGTACTCCTGCTTATAGCAAAAAGGCCGACAGACGGCATTGACTAAACCGCTCCCCAGCTGCATGAGACAGATGATGAACTCCATCACAGCCAGGCCCATGAGCACACACAGGAGAGTCACGTTCCATTCCACGATATTGACCGGCTGAAGACACCGCGACCAGGTTTCTGGCTGTAAGAGGTACCTAAGATGGAGAGAGAGAGAGCATTTACAGGCAGTGTGAGGCTGTGCACTTAGAATAGCTTGTAAATGAGATGTGGACACAGCTGATTTATTTCACAAGAGAGGCCAGCATGGATCTGACTTTGCTAAATGCAAAGAGAAGTCTGTGGGATGACACACAAACTCAACTTATGGAGGATTTGTTGAGTTTAGCATAATGAGGAAAAGGTTTAAAAGCAGTCCTTGAGGTTGCACTACAAGAACCACTAAATAGTTAAGTTTTTTTCAGTGTGCAAAAACTCCATTGTGATGCATTGCAGCAAAAACAAAACTTAAACATATCACATATTTATATTGCCTTCATGCTGGGGCGGCACTCTGGCCACATTGGATAGCTGTCAGTCATTGAGTAAGCTAGCTACATTTTTTGAGCAAACTTTCTAATGTACGAAAGAGGGCTAGGGCCACAAGGAGAGGAAAAAATAAATTCAGGAGGGTGATTTTTTTCATTTCCATTTGGGGATTTAAGTCAAAATTTCGAGGTTAAAATCAAAATTCAAAAGTCGAAATGAAAAAATTAAAATTTCGAGAATAAAGTTGAAATTTCGAGATTAAAAAAATTTGAATTACTTGAATAAAGTCGAAATTTTGAGATTAAAAAATCGAAATTATGTCAATAAAGTTGAAATTTTGAGATTTTAATCTTGAAATTTTGAAATAATTCACAACATTTTGTCATCTTGAAATTTCGACTTTAATCTTGGAATTTCAATTTTTAATCTCGAATTTTCGACTTTATTGACAGAATTTCGATTCTTTTAATCTCGAAATTTTGACTTTAATCTCCTTCCTGTAATTATTTTTCTCTTCATGTGGCCCTCATCCTCTTTCATACTAATGGGAGGTTTGGGTCAAGTGCCTTTGGACCTGTAGATTCTAAGATGGTGCACAAATGCTAATGGACTGATTTCCCTGCACAAATAGCTCTACTTACTTGGCGGTGCATAACACTAATGGTAAAAGGGTCTGAGTCTATATGTCAGCAGTCACATTCTTGTCAAACAGAAAGATAAAGTTGTGAAAGACTTATTGCCAGAGATATAACTTAGTTTTCTTGAAACTCTAGAAACTCTAGATCTTTGTAGACGGGTAACTTTGAAATTACCCCTCCTAGAAGCTGTGTAATGTATTGCATGTGTGTCTCCATACCTGCCCCCCTGTTCTGCAAAGGGGTAAGACCATCCAAAAGCGGTGAAACACTGGGGACCCTGCACCAGAGTGAACCCCGATATGACCAAACAGTAAGAAGACCCCACCAGTCCAATCACAGCTGCCAACACTGACCCGCACATCTGGAGAGAACATGCAACACAGGAGCTGTTCATACAATCATTTCACAGATAAAACAACAACACAGACACACACATGTTGGAAAAATCACACTTGCAGCTGTGCATGTGGCTGCAAGGCTGTGAGCCAAGCTGACCCTGTGCTGCGTCGACTAACAATGGGCTCCTTGTTAAATTATGAACGCTGGATTAGCGTTAGCATGCTGCCTCATAAAGACACAGTGTTAGCTGGCTTAATGACTACTGTAGAGCATTATCAGCAAGTGTTCGGAAAAAAGGAAGGCTATGAAAACCTACGAGTGACATTTGGTCTCCTCATACTAAACATACAGGTCACTACATCGACTGTAGAGATTTTTATAAGTAGAATCATGTTTTATTGGGTCTCTTACCATTAAGCTTTCATTCCAGCAGAAGCTGCATTTCCCCATAGAGATGAAAACCACAGCTGGAACCAGCATCTGGAAGCACAAAACAGAAGTTTGTTGGTCTTTGGAGGGAAAAAACACGCGAGCAGCCTTTGCCAGAAGTTACTGAACACAGAAATGAGATTTTATTGTACCCTAAAGCTTGAATTTTGAACCACATACGAAGTTTCTTTATTAGAAATCGTCCCTTTAAACATCATGTTTATTTGTAGATGATTTATCAGTGTTTCATTTAGTTAATCCTGTTACAGAGCCCCCTTCCTGAGTGAATCCCACAGCTGTTTGCTCTAAGGTTTTCCTCTCACTATCCATCCTTTCCTCCTTACTTCCCTTTTCCTGTCCTGTTGCCTCATCCCCTACAGTCAAGGACAACAAATCACACCCAACACAGGAGAGAAGTTTCCAAGGTTTTACACATTAGCACATGCACACAAAGATCACAAAGAGAAGTGCACAAGGAGAAAAACAGAGAGCACGGTGAGACAGGAAACGAGAAAGAAGGAAAAAGGGAGGAAGAGAGGGAGCTAAAGATAGATTTCTCTCAGAGGAGTTCAGTTTGCACTTTGACTTTTTAGTGTTGTGTTATTTCCACAAAGACCGGGAAAGCTCAGGAACGGAAACACAAGGGAGGGAGACAAACAAAAAGGTGGATCAATCAACGTAGTCTATGGGATTCACTCTTTTCATATGTATTCAAAAACAGCACTGAAACTCACTCACTAAAAAACAGAGTTTGTATAATTTAAAATGTAAGGAATATTCAGGTTTTTCTTTGAGACAGGCTTCACTAGACAACTTTTATCCTAAATCCCTTAGATTAAAATGTATCATCAGGTGAAAACTGAGGAACTTCAGTGATGTTTTTATTATTTTTCTATTCAGTTAATTAATTGATAATCTTTTATTACCTTCACAGCAACCAACAGCTTAAATTTTACCACAGAAGCAGTTAAAATCAGATGCCTATGTGCTTAAAGTAGGTACTCAGACATGTCCTCTTTTTCTGGGGCAAATGTCTGTGGTTTTGTCCGTAAGTTTCAAGTTTATGTCACGTGGAATTACTGAGTTAGAAGCACATAAAAGACACCTGATCCGACCCGAAAAACTCTCAAAATTAACTTTGTGCGACTCTGTGACTCCGCCCCTGCGTAGTTGTGTCCTCTTTTTGGGAAGTCAGAATATGGTCACCCTACTTAAAGCTCCTGTGAGTAAACTTTGGCGCCCCCTATTGACAATCTCCGCTTATTTCATCCTTTCCATGATAAATTAGTGTCTCCTGATAGAAAAATCTCATCACACTGACTTTTGACAGTCAAATGCATCATTAATTATGAAACTGGACTGTTTCTCCAGCTGCTGGTCCGACATCTACCCCCTCACACCAGTTTCAGACATTAAAATCTACTTTGTTAAAACTGTTTATCTTGTCATTTCAGGAATATCTAAAAACTCGCAGGAGCTTAAACAGGCCTGCCAGTCCACTCTCCCCAGTCCTCCACAAACGTTTGCCAACCAGTTGCACAAATACGACAACTGGTTGGCAACAACTGTAAAACCATTTTCAGCATCTGCACATGCGTACATATTCACACAGGCTCTTTGGCTTTTTATTGTCTTCTTTGTGTTTCTACTTTTGCTGGTTTCTCAGAAGTTGTTGCCTATTCTTTAAGAACATTTCAGCAACTTTATGGAGGCATAATCCTCGAACTTTTATTGTGAAAGATTTGCAAGAGAGGAATTTCGGGCATACAAAAGGATCATTTTAAAGGCTCAGACTCTGCTCTTTCGTAACTCAACCGGAGCTCATAATCCCTCTGAACATGAATTCATCCTCTTTTACTTTCTGAAATGCTCATCAAAACCAAAGACAACTGTGCTATGACTTGTTTTGAAGGATTTGCACCAAACTCCTGCAAAAAAAAAGACAAATTTCAAAAGCCTTTGAGAAACTTTGTAGGATACTTTCTCTTTTTCTGTCATGGCCTGAAACGTGACCTTTTGACTCAAAGGAAAAACAGACAACAAAGTTTGATATGCTAAAAGCGTGAAGCCTTATGAACCCAACAGGAGAGCTCTGCTGGTCAACAGGGTCAATCTTGTCTGGGAAAATACAATCTCTCCTCTGTCCCTCCTTAAAACCAAACCAAAAGAATAACTCCTTTCTGCTTGGTCGCTGTATAAAGCCATCAGATCAGCAGCATGTAGAGCAGACGGATTAACTGAATTTACACAACCCTCCATTGTTCTCCAATAACAACTGCAAACACCCTCAGTCTGAATGAAGTTGAAGGGAGAACGAGCAGAATTTCATCTCGAGCTGCAACAAGATGATGTTTCTGGGATTCAAAGGTGCATAAAAACTACAATTACACAGATTAGGACCTGAAAAGCTTAGTTACAGAATAAATAGGCTCAGAAAATGCTTCAGTCTTTAAAGACTTTATCTACATGTAGCGGAGGATGTGTCTGCTGTCACTGAATAAGACAAGAAGGAAGGAGATGCTTGTTTCCAGTGAATGCAGCTTTATTCTTCGGTTTTTAAAGCGCTCACAGTGGTCAAGTTTTACTGTCGCATGGATAAAATGTTGTGAAAGACTCTCTTATATTTGAGTTGACATGAGAAACATTTTCATGCAGTTATAAAAGGATTTACTTCCTTTAGTGCCGGAGTGGAAAAAGTACAAGCCTCCTCTTTGCAACTGATAGAAATAACTCATACTACATCTCATCATGGCACAGTAACAGCTTCTGTTTTTTAGCTCGAAGAAAACTTGAGTCCTTTTCGACGGACACGTGACTATTTAACCTCTGAAGGTAGGCTTCACATAACAGCTTACTAACACATTTTAGGGAACCTTTAAGACTCTCGAATTGAAGGAAAAAGACCAAAACCTCTTAATACAAAGCTTAATCTGCAAGAACTAAGATCTGGTCCCTTGTACTAAATAAATAAAACAACTTTTTGATTTCTCTCTTAGATCATTTTCCACTTTCATTCAGCTTTAGGTAAGTTTCAGATTCAACACTGACATTTTAAAACACACAGGAAACTCAAGAACCCACAATGGATGAGATATCAAAGGATGAAATCATGCAAAACTTAAAATAAGTGACCTTTGTGTGTGATTATCAAAGCCATGAGCAGCAGCTAACGGTCACATGTACTAAAACCTCTGTGATATAACCCTGAAAAGATCAAATAAAAGGTGATTATCATCATTATTCATCCATAGATGTTGTGGGTTTTCTTTACTCACCATCAGTCCCCCTCCTCCAAGTCCACCAAAGTACCAGATGAAGCTGGCCAGGCGGTCCTGCTTGAGGTAGGTGGTTTCTCCCATAGGAAACAGCAGCAGCAGGTTGGCCACAATACAGCAGAGGGCCAGGGGCAGCAGGGCCAGGCCCAAAGACCTGGCAAAACCCACCGAACAACACATCCCGCACCTGAAACACACACACTCACAACCGAAGGGAGGAGAGGAAAGAGCTGGAGTGGTCCGAGGAGAGCGGAGAAAAAGAGAGTGAGGGGAGGGAGGGAAGGGTCAGAGCAGCTGGGGAGACAGGAAACAAAAACAAGTGACGAGAGTCTGCTGAGTGAGTGTGTGTGTGTGTGTGTGTGTGTGTGTGTGTGTGTGTGTGTGTGTGTGTGTGTGTGTGTGTGTGTGTGTGTGTGTGTGTGTGTGTGGGTAGATTCTCCATCCTAACAGTGGGAGGTCTGCCAAGAAACAACGTGCACCAGGAAACACACTCACACTCACAGGAAGAAGGCTGGCCAATGAGCTCAACCAGAAATATGACAAATCTCACTAGTGCGTGTGTGTGTGTGTATGTGTGTGTGTTTGTGTGTGTGTGTTTCCTACAGCCAGTGCCTTAAAAAGCACTACAAAGAGTTTATTTCATTGAGAATGAATGAGTCACCACTTTACACACACACACATTTCGTCTTGTTTTACTTTTTAAAGCTCCTGTACCTTTCAGTTTATGTCAGTTTTGGCGCCCTCTTGTGGTCACAGCAGTCTTTGCTTATCTTGTTCTTCAAATGCTAAAGTCGTATCTCCTGGTTAAAAATCTTTTGAAATTGTAAAAACAGGTCTGTTTCTAAAGCTTGCTGGACCAACGCCTACCCCCGCCCCCCTCACACCAGTTACAGGCATTGTTGATCTAGATGCTGATGATTTTATTTGTTTTTGTGCGTTTCAGAGATGCACAATTGTTTATTTCTATGAAAGAAGATAAGGGCCACAATAGGAGAAAAAAATAACAGGAGAGAGATTTTTTAAATTTCCATTTCAAGATTAAAGTTGAAATATCAAAAAGTCGAAATTTCGACTTAATTCACGTCGACTCTAATTTTGAAATTTCAACTTTAATCTCAACATTTGAGGTTTTTAGATCTCGAAATTTCAACATTATACGCAACATTTTGAAATCTTATAATTTTGACTTTAACGTTGAAATTCCAACTGCTAATCTCAAAATTTTGACTTTATTGACATAATTTAGATTTTTTTAAATTATTTTTATCTCTTCATTTGGCCCTCATCCTCTTCCGTACATTTCTGTCTGATTCATAGTCAATTTAAAACTCCTCACAGGAGCTTTAAAGTCTCTATTTCAAGTAAAAGTCCTGACTGCAGTTAGTTACTTAGGAGAAATGAATAAAATCTAGTTATGCCGCATTAAAGTCACTCACAATCATTGACAATACAATATATTTTAAAAAGTGATAACAGCTTTTACTTTCCAAACACTTAAGGTCATAAAAGTGGCGGTAAAATACTGTAAATACTTCAGAGCAAGAAAGAGGAAAGTGTTATCAGTTACTTTTCATATATTTGGTTGCTTATATTAAATCCAAAGCATTGATAAACTAAGCAATATATATCATGGTCCATATAAAGGAGATCTTTCTAAATCCCCTCTATATTATTTAAATTTGTTCCATGTGATTCAGACTGTTTTTTTTTAAGTTTCACCTTCAGATTCAACGTTTTTCAGTATTCATCACAGCCTCCATAGGTAAGGCCGCTTCTTTATAGGTCAGACCGAGCTCAGCAGGTTTATAGGGCAACATGTCACAGAGCCCATGTATGTATACATATGTGTGTTTTAGGGGCCCTAAATGTGTTGAGCTGCTTTTTAATCCTGCAGGAATTCAGATAAACTTTGCTGTAAGCTGTGACTGACCAGGAGTGACCCACACTAACGAGATATTTGAACCAGCGGTAATTAAGACCGATTGTGTTTGGGTGACCAAGCACGTGGGTCTTTACAAGGGTAAATGGTTGGTACCGCTCAGGGCTTTTGGAGTGTTAAGGGGATAATAAATGAAACAAAGTCCAACATGTTTCTACATCGAGAGATTTAAGGAGAGTGTTTCAGCTGCTCCTGCTGCAGGGTGCAAGCAGTTCAGAAGATGTTGACCATTTCTTTAGTTTAAACGCAAAACAACAAATACAGAGTCATTTAATTTATCCTTGCTGTTCTGTTTGACTTACAGGGTTAACAGGGTGTTTCCTGCAACCTAAAAATCTACAGAAAGATAAAACTCTGATGTGCAAAACTGCAAAACATGATCCAGCTGTCTTAAAAATTATAGTAAGAGATTGATTTGAACCACAGAGATGATCTCGTGAATGACCAACACAGTACAGGAAGTAGTCCGTCTTATTGCTGATGATCTTGTTTTCTTTGTTGGTCTTGCAGAAGCAACAGTTTTATCTAAAATCTCCCAAACAGGGGGGCTCTGGTTTGGCCCGTCAGTTAAGGATGATGCTCTCTGTGTTCTGAGGCTACAATCCTCGTCACAGTGGTCGCTGCTTTGACTCCCACTCTTGACCCTTTGCTGCAAGTCATCCCCAACTCATAACTTCCCATACTTCCTGTCTTTCTTTAGCTGTACAATCTAACAGAGGCTAAAAAATAAAGCTAAACTACTTTTGAGTAATGAAATCATCACACTCTCTAAAAAAGATGACATTGAGCCCAACTCAGTTCTTCTATGATCATCACTCCATAAAAAAAGACATAAATGTTCATCATTTGAAAATAAATAACATTTTATTCATCATTTGTGAGAAAACTCACAAAATCATGATTACAGGCATAATGTTTTAATAAATTAAAAGACAGAGCAGCGATTCAGATTGAAAGAAGAAAATAAACTTACATGAAAATGTAGGAAAGAGGGGTTTTTTTTGATTATTATGATTTTATAATTATGATTAAACTTATTTCATTTCTCGTATCATAACCATAATACAGGGTTGAAGACGGCCCCCTTCAGTTTGGTTAGTTTCCTCGTATTTAATGTTGTTTTTGTCACATTTTATCCACAGCAAAGGCACTGGAGTAAAATAAAATAAATTAGTTTATGTGTCAGTAATATCTGCAGAAAAGGTCACTTCATACAGTAAACTGAAGATGCTTCGGTGCAGGAAAATAATTCCTTACTACTGTCACAGTCAAACACTGATAATACTTTTCTTCTTCATTTCACGGTTTGAGATTTGTCTGAAAACTCTTTGATTCATTTCTCTGCTGTAACTTAAAGAGGAAGTCACGTACGTCTAGTATCCCTGTGCGCAGCCGTCCCCTCTGGGATCTGACCCCGCCCACAGAACCCTGGATGGAGGATCAGTTTGACTGATGGATGGATTCCACCAATCCCCGACTGTGATGATCTGTCCACGTCCAAACTGGGACCTCTTGTGGCCTGTGTGTTTGAATGGGAGGATAATGAGAGAGAATACATGGAGTCCAATTCACTACTATGGTATTTCTATTTTAGGACCTGAACACACCTTTACTTTTGAATTTCAGTGGACATAAAGGACAGGAAGTTAGGCTGTGGGGAAGATACTCTGAGCTTTTTCTCATCCTTCCATGACAAATAACAGATGTCAGATGTCCACTTCCTCAAACTTGATTTGTGTTATCAAATGAGCAATAACTGAACTGATAATAAAACCGATACAGATCAGGAGAGTTTTGAGAATCTATTATCGATTAAAAAAATGTTTTGAAAAGTATTACAAAGGACATCATCATCATCATCATCAGTAACACGATTAACTGATTAAAAGCAGTGGTTGTAAAAAAAGCGTCATGACTCACAGGTTTGTCCCATACTGTTTCTCTACTTTAACCTTTTGGTCTCTACCATCTCAGTTCAGCTTGGGGTCTTTTATGACCACATATGAAAGAGGGTGGATAGTCCAGTCCAGGTACTCTAACTTATTTATGCCCTCAGTGATAAGGCTGCTAAATGCTGGGAAGTAGCTGATTGGTGGCCTGTGTTGAAATTGGGGTCTCAGGATAGTTTTAGTTCTTATTTTCCTCTTTTTATGGCATGATTTCTTATTGCATTTTAGTCATTTCACTGTTGCATGTATTGCACATGTATTTATTATCTACTGATTTATCTCTTGCTGATTTGTGGTGGTGACAGGGAAATTGTTTGGGCCATATGCTGCTGTGAATGTCTGGTATTTGTCTGTTCCTTGATCATTTAATAACAAGGTGGGTTACAGTGAGATGAATTGCCCTTTGGGGGATTAATGAAGCATGAAAATATGACTATAATTCTAACAGGTGAGTTACCTAAATCTTTTAGATCCCTTTAAAAAAAAAAAGACATCTCAACAGGGGGGGATTGGCTCGCTTTTGGGATCAGCACCCAAGGAACTGCAGTTATTGGCTCTTCTATGTTGGTCTAATATGTCAGAACAAATAAAAGGTACCTGTGATTGGCCAGTTGACTTTGTGGCCCCGTCTCCTCAGCTCCTCAGCGACCTCCTGATCCACCCCCTCCTCCAGATTAACTGACCACTCATGAGCTGTAACAGTAGACGGCACTTTATTAAGTGACAAGAAATGCAGTAACATATCAGATTAAAACCATGCGTCTAAAATCTCTAAGTGTGCGTGAAGTTTGGAGATCTTACTTTTGGGGTCATACTGCACAAAGACTCTTGGTGCATCCAGAGCCTGTTGGGGATTCATCCCAAACTCCAACATGTTTAACAAAACCTAGAAAAGAGGAGAAACACTGGTTATAAGTTAAAGCCGGTTTGATTTCATTCATTGTGAATCTATTTTATTACAGTGCACCTGAACGTGTCCTTGTGGTTGCATAACAGCGCCCATCACCCCCAGTGCGGCGAGGAGTCGAGGTTTTTGTGACGTGGTTGCGGAGTCTGTGAGAAGTGCAGGTATTATGGTGTGATAGGGCCGCTTCCCACCAGCGAGACAGTTAACGTGGTTACGCTGAAGAGAAAAGGCAGCTCCTCTATTCTGTAAGGAGGAGAAGATTTGTTTTTCTTTTCCACAGATAATGTGGATCTCCTTACATCAGTCTGTTATTCTAAGTTCGTCCCATGATTGATTTTTTTAATGAAAGTTTCCAGCTTTGCATCACACGTATTTACATAGACACAAGAAAAGCACAAACCCGCCACACATCCCTGTTTTTGTAAGATAGCGGCGGCATGCAAAGCTGTATCATAAAATCTCTTCATTCAGGCCTGATGTTTTACATGCTCAGCTCTGTTCCTTGACTTCACCATATTAAGTAAACTCCCCGTTTGCTGTTATGTAATCCTGGTCTTCATCACTGAGCCTGTTTAATGGACCTGTTCCTGCATTCAAGGCACACAGACCTGCAGAGAGAATCCACAATCCTTAGGGACCAGCCCGCTCCCAAAGCCCAAATATGTGCTGTTGACAAATGAACAGGCGTTGCCTTCGCTGTCGATCACACAGAAATAGACGGTGTCACTTCCTGTTGTCAGGCCGGGGTCTACCTCTTTCATGGCCCTGCAGAAACAAACAACAGAAAATAACCAGCTAATTCTCCCTGCTTTTGTATTTCCTCTTTATGTTGATGATGAAATGAAAAATTCCCACTACAATCAAGCGTGTATGATAAATGCTTTATTTATACTAATATTTAGGTGTGTATAAATGAAGAATAAGTTTGGACGTGGTAATAAAACTGCTTTTTTAAGGCTCAGGTAGGATCATTTTTGAACTTTTGATAGCTGTATACCAGCTTTTCTTTATTTAATTGAAGATTAAATTATGAGCTGCTTTACAAGCCTTATAATCTTACACTCTGCTAAAAAAAGAAGCTGGTCTGTTCCAGTTATCTAATTTTTTGTCAAGTATTTTCCTGCAGAAATTAAAAAACCAACATTGAAAAATTCTTCGACTGAAATGCACTGAAAGAAAAATAAAGGTGGTAACTACTTTATCACCATGCACTTTCAACCAGAGTTTTAATGCTGCATCAATTATATTCCAGATGAAGAGGGAGGGGTCCTGTTAGAAGTCCAAAGCCCCAAATGTCAACATTTGCCATCAGTTACATAACTTTTATTATGTTTTGTCACTGCGTGTCCTCCTACAGCTCTACCAATCTGAAAATTCAAGCCTGATCATCCCTGGGAGCCAATATTTCAGCATTGATTACAAATTAAAAAGGGAGATGAAGAAATCTGATTTATTGTCGATGAGTTATATGTAAAAGCAGGTTTTATTATATTTGAATATGAGTTGTAATTTCCTGCTTTTATGTACTCTTTATGTTGATCACCTCCTCACGTGCAGAAGTAACAGAATAAATGTGAAGCTTGATGAGTTATGTACTAAAGCTATAATTATTATGGTGATTATTGTCTGTTTGTGTTGCTTTACTAAGCGTGTAGTTTTCATACAACATATATAGTTGTTTACCATGCCTGCAAGTGCTTTCTATTTTCTGTACTCTTGACATGTGTGGCCTAATGCGAGACAAATAAAAGACACTCCAGTAAAAAGAGGAAAGTGCAGGTTTGATGAATGTTTTTAGAAGTGTGTTACATAATTTTAGGTTATTGGGATATAAAACGGACCCGCAGCAGGATTTAGTACCACAAGAGTGTTTGTGTTTGTGCATGTTATTATATGATTATGTTGGTTAATACTTTTATAGTCAGTCTGTCTGTTTGTCTTGTAGCTCATAAAGTTCAAAGTCTACAGAAATGACCAGCAGACACACACACTGTTGCCAAAATAGAGACGCTCACACACTGAGGCATGTAGGGATGGACATGAAGGCGGCAGGGAAGTACGAGTCCACAGTCCTATCTAAAGTCAACAGAGCCCGACTGGTACACACTGGTACTGACAAATACACACAACAGGGCACACACCTTTCCATGCTGATGAGCTGTGCTCGTTGGCGACTGTAGCTCTTATCCAGTAATGTTCCCAAGGGGACGGTCACATGGTTTGGGTCACCCAGGTAACTCCTAGCATCAGTTAATGCCAAACGCACAGCCTCCACATGTATATGGACGTAGTCAGCGCTGTTATGGGATGCATCTACACACAAATACACACACACAAGAATTCAGAACTGATGGCTTCCATGACTGATTGTGTCTCCTGGTTAAAAAGCAACAGTTGACACAGTAATATGATATTTCACAGTCGCACAAAACCACCCCACAATCTGAACCTGCTTAGCCTTTGCAGGGTCAACAAAACTTGGATTAAAAAATGTAGTTTGGGCTAATCTGGGATTGTATAATTACATTCGAAAATGTCAACACTTGGATAATCCATAAATTTCCCTGGAGCAGTTTCTACCAAAGAAATAGTTCCTTTAAGCAGCAGTGACAGAAGCTTCAGTCATAGAGCTTCACATCTTCAGCAGCACAAATAGAGACATATACCTCTGTTATCATGCAGAGGGGGTAGAGATCTACGAGAATATATCTCTTTATTTTTCAAAGTGAGAATGTTTATGCTTTTTTTCCCCCTTCGAGATGTGGGATTCCCTCGAATAATGTCATACATAAACCTTTGTTGCCACATTGATTCAGCCTGTCAGTACCTTTGAGCGGGAAGTTCTCCAGGATGTTGAGTAGCAGCAGAGCAGCCAATCCCTGACTGTTCGGAGGAGGCTCCCACAGACGCACACCCTGGACACACATTACAGTCATTCCCTCTGGCGACTATATTAATCAAAAACTGTCAGACTGAGCATCTGAAGCGACGACCTCACCTTGTATTCTGTGCTTATGGGGGTGACGACCTCACTGTCATGGCTGCTGAGGTCATCCAGAGTCATGACTCCTCCGTTTTGGTTGATGACATCGACGATGGCCTGGGCCACTCTTCCCTGGTAGAAAGCAGGTTTACCACGTTCACCAATCTCCTGTTAATGTACAAGTCAATCAATCAATCAATCAATCAGGAAAAATCAATCAATCAAAACAACAGAGAAGACGACTTATTGGAATAATTGTGTTTTCATGGAATAATGTTGAAAGATAGAAGCTTAATAAAAATGTTTACTTTTATATATATTAACCTATCCCATCAGTCTTAGCCTGTAAAGAGAGGTAATGTAAGAACGATTGATTATTCACCTAAAGGAATGACCACACACACCGTCATCACTGAGGAATGACCCGTATGATACCACAGAAACCCTCCATCAATGAGGCTGAGGTCACTGCCATTGTTTCTGCTGCCTCAAGAATCTCATTGTGTGTGAGTGTGTGTGTGCTGATCTATCGTGGGCGTACTTGGCTTTGATCCTACATTTCCAAACCTCTAAAGAATGAGTGTTTAATGCCATAATTTGAACTATCATCAACCAGCGCATGTTTTCAAAGTGACACACGGGGAGACCAGCGCATACGCACACGGCGAGGTCAGCCATTGTTCTGTGAACTCTCACTGACAGGAAATTACAGAATGAGTATGGTTCTATTGAGTCTAACTTTGTCTACACGCCAACGGTCGTGGTCTGACATTCACACAAATATAAGAACATAAAGGGCTGAAAAAGTCATGGAGAGCCCCCATCAATGTCTCAGGACAGTTATGAATGAAAACTCTGACCTGTCTTTTCTGAATGTAGACATTTTCAATGTTTTGCCTCAGTTTTTACAAAGATGTTTATTTGTTTTTATTTGCCTGTAACAGGTTCTGTAAGTTGAGCTCAATGTTATCAATCAATCAATCAGACTTTGCTGAAATGGAACTTTTTGTACAAGTTAAAGACGCCCAGAATGATACCTCAAATACACTAACAAGCTCACAATAACAAAGCCACACAGGGAAAATATCTATCTCTATCCTACCTCTGTTCTTCTGATAATCAGCCAAGTATGGTTGATAACTTTTTAAGTGCTAAACCAAAAAAAATTGGCAAATTCGGCTTCTACCGCCATCAACTAACCAACCTGCAGCTGCCAAAACTTTAAATCCATTCTTCCTTCCAATCAAAGTCTTCAGAATCCAGTTCCTCTGCACACCTCCTTCATCACTACCAAGTCAGTTAAGAGCTTATTTGTTTCCATAAAATAATATGGAAGGTCTAAAGACACTGTTGTCAAAGTACATTTGCAGTTAAATTAGTTTTCTGTGTTTGTCTGTTGCAGTTACAAGAGGCCTACAGGGTGTGGATGTCATCGTAGTCTTAAACATCACAGCGGAGAAGTTCTTTCTTATTTCAGGTGTGGTCTGCAGATGTTTTATCCCTATGAGATTATGAAATCAAATTAATCTCAACTACATCTGTTCTTTCACATCTGATAATCAATTCAAAATGGCCACGTCTGAATGTTCCTCAACTATAAAACAAAACTAAGATTCTGTCTAATTCATTTTCCCTTTCTTAAATCTATTATGGAGTTTAATGAGTCTACTGTGTCTCCGCTCAAAAGCATGTCTAAGTTCTAAATTGTCACTGTCACCTTAATCATTTTTTCTACATGACCTCATATCGCTCATATTTTTATACATCCTTTCACTCCTTACATTACATCTTTGCTTTTCACCCATCTCCCAGTCCGCCCTTCCTTGTCCTGCTTCCACACCCTCTCCTCCACCTTCCTCTGCTGTTTACTGTTTTATGTCCTCAGAAATTTCCCCATCACTGCACAATACTCCTCCCTCTCTTATTTTGCTTCCACATTAAGTCCCGCACACTAATGGGTTCAGGGTTAATTACCTATTATTCCCCTGGGTTCATTCCAGGCCTTTCAATACAGAAGGCTGAGCCCAGTTCAGAGAAAGCAGAAAACTTCTGAGAGAAGGTGAAACCTGTTTTGTGATGTTTCTGGAGATCTGTACTGTTCTGTTTCCTTCAGGGAAAACTGACCAAATTCTCCTCACAAGACCTATAAATACTTATTTTTTTGTGTTTACTTTCAAGGATTTACCCTCAAGGTCTGAGCCAGAGAGGGATTTCTGAACACTTGTCCACTTTTGGGTGCATGACCATCAATGAGCAGGTCTCCACCCAGTTCCTTCCCATCATCCCTCAAAGCAGCAACCCACTTCGCCCAGTGGTGAGCTGCTACCTCGGCAACAGGAAACCCCACCTCGGCCAGCTCCACAGCCCCGCTCAGCACCTCCTGCAAGGACAGCTGGGGAAACAGGGAGAGGAAACACATGCTTATTACCTCACAGGAAACCTCACTGAGCAGGAAGTGTGAGTCATTGTTTAGAAAAAAAGAGATAGAGGTGTTGGTAATTTCCTCCAGGGGGTTCCAGACAAAAAAATCTAATAAATGTTGTGAATCTATGTGAGTAAGAGGATACCAGGGAATTCCTTCCTTCTCCTTTATCATCACATACAACACACACATTTTTGTAAACAGTAAGGTAAGCTGGGGTTTGGGCTTCCTACTTGATGCATTTGCACACAGGGACAAAAACACACCTTGTGGCTGCCAAACAGCTGAACAGTATCACACCAGCATGCAGGAGCCCCAGGTACGGTGATATTCAAGGCATCATAAGGTGAAGGAGGGGCCTCTGCAGTGTAGCCACGACTTTCAAAGAAGTCCAGAGTCTGAGCTCTGGGTGAACGACCACTGAAGAGACAGAGAGAAAGAGAGAGGGAGTCATGTCAAACTTCTGTTATGAAGACAACGATAGCAGTAGTACCAAGAGAAAAGTTGCTACCTTCCGTTTATTCCTCTGATCTCCCCCATGTTTTTGCTGTAGAACAAGCAGAAGGCGTCTCCACCAGGACCCGTGCTGAATGGCTCTGTTACTGCCAGGGCAGCTGCTATGGCAACCGCAGCATCTGCAGCATTACCGCCACGCTTCAGGACATCTGCACAAAAAAAACAAATCCATGTATCAGTAATGTAGCTGACTTTAGGTGGATCTTTAAATGTTAAGGAACCTTCTTTAGAGCATACTTTGAATAAATTTACTTCTATTCGTGGTTGAATTGGGTGGCAGTAGCTCAGGAGGTAGAGTGGTCAATTCCCCCTATCCCGAGTCTGTCCGTTGTGTCCTTGGGCAAGACACTTAACCCACCTTGCTTCCAGTGTGTGTCCTAATATTATTATTATTATTAATATTTATTTATTTATTATTTATTATTAAATGTAAATGGTAAATGTTTATATTTAAGACTAAGTTAGACGAAATAAATGAGCAACTTTAGGGTCAGTGAGATTTTTTTTTTAAACTGCACCTTTTTCTGAATTTTTGTACACAAGCTAATAACATACATTTTGTGGTCTGACAACAATAAGATGTGGTTCATGTGTGATATATAGTTATGCCGTTTACCTTTAGTAAACTTTTGGGGTTAACTCGTTTTTTTACAGCTTCAGCTTTGACCACCCCATACCTCTCTGTGTATTGTCCTGCATTTCAGGCCCTTATAGTTTGGATGAAAATACTGTTTATAAAAATGTAAAATAATCAGCTTTTTAAAGATACTTCATAACAAATGATAGAACAAAAGTTTGGGGAAGAAAAGCTCTTGAATTAATGCTTTGAAAAATGTGTTCAGAACAAGAGCTAAGACTGTTAATTATTCATACTTTTACATGAAAATACTTCTAAAACATTTAATATTGGAGGGGGACTCTTCGCAGGTGAGTGTCTCCATGGTAACTACGCTCCACTTACCCAGTCCAACGTTTGAAGCTAACGGCTGGCTCGACGCCACACAGCCGTGTAGACACACCACAGGTGACCGACGAGAAGCGAAATTTAACTCGGTATCACTATCCATTCTGCTCAGACTTTCAGCGACTAAATAAAATAACGAGGTAAAATTATGGGGTTAAATAAAGAGACAAACTCGAGAGGCAGCAGACTTTCAACTTCTGATCGATTGCTCTGGCATTAATTAAGCTTGGCAGCAGTCAGGAGCTGCCGATAACAGATAGCATCGATGAATGTTCAGATTTAAGAGGAAGAAATCGATGTTAACGGTGAAAAAGACTAAATATAAAGTGAAAATATCCTTACATCTGCTATGGTTACTTAGTCCTCTTTATCTTTATAGTCTAAAAGGACAATACAGATAATTTTATCTATTCTACAACCAACCACTGACAGAGAGGGAGAGAAATAGATACGGTGGCCTTGAGGATCATCTGCACAACGTCTTTTGAGACACAAAACAATCCAATGAACATTAAAAACATTTAAAATGCAGTTTTACAAAGAGAAAGAATATCTACATGAAATCCAAAAATACTTATTATTTATATTTTCACAAAATTGGAAAATATTCCTTGAAACAAACAAATTCACACAAATGCAGAAACTTTTCACAAAATAAATCAATAACAAAAATTCAGAAAACACAAAACTTTCTCACTGAGTGCAACAAATGCAATAATAATAATAATAATAATAATAATAATAATAATAATAAATAAATAAATAAATAAATAAATAAATAAATAAATAAATAAATAAATAAAAATAACCCAAAACAGTTTCTCGAAGCCTTGATAATATTTTAATTTTTAAGTGTATCCAATAAAATTCAGTGGGAGAAATCCTAGATCAAGTCCACCTTAGGTTTGGACTGTTGATATTTTCATTTAAAATAAAAAGTTAATAAAAGGTTAAGTTTGATCACATTACTTCTGAGCTATGCTATGATAGATAGAGGGGGTAAAATATGATTATCATGGAAGTCTAAGAATGTAGACTTCATCTACAGAAAGGGGCAGAGCCGCCTCTTTTGCCTGAGAAGACTCTGATCGATAGACATCTGTAGTAAGATGCTGCAGATGTTTTATCAGTATGTGGTTGCAAGTGTTCTGTTCGATGATGCAAGACGTCTTAACAAACTGGTGAAAAAGGCTGGCTCTGTGGTTGGACTCAAGCTGGACTCAGTGGAGGATGTGGTGGAGAGATCTACACTAAGGAAAGTGGAGACTATTCTAAAGAACATGGATCACCCACTTCACAACACCTTGATGGACCAAAGGGCCAATGGTGGTGGACGGCTCCTCTCTCTTCGCTGCAGGACAGAAAGATTCTGAAGATCTTTTGTACCAACAGCCATTAGACTTTATAACTCTTGTGTAAATAGTAGATAACTTTTTTAATAAAGTTCTTCTTATTCTCATGTTTTAATGCTAGGATTTCATCAGTTATCATTTTAACAGGCTGGAGTTTACAGGTTGAAATGTCTGACTGCGTGACAACTTGATAAGGCCAGCTACATTCATGGTTAAGAGATTGCGGTCGAACGGTAGCCATTTTGTCCCTCTGCTTATCCCTTTGAGTTTCAGTGTGATGAGGTGATATTCAAGAGATGAAAATGGTGGATTTGACCCACACAGATTAAGTAATGAAAAGTTCTTATTACTAACTCAACCAGAGGTGAATATAAACCACTGGTAGCCAAGGGGCCCTGCTGTATTGATCGACTGTCTGTCACTTCCTCTTTTGTCTCCACGTACTCAAAACATGTGGTAGAACATTAACTACTGTCTTCTGTGTGCATAAACGGGGTATGCACTCATGAGTGTGTGTGTGTGTGTGTACATGTGTGTAATTCTTACATATCGCAGGTGGCTGCTGTAAAAGTGAAGCAGTGAGATCACTCAGAGGGATAGGCAGGATAGAGGGGGCTATAAAGGCAACTCGACTGAAGCATCAGCCATCGTAGAAACAGGACAGGTGAGGAGCGGAGAGGACAGTTTTATGAGGAGACAGCCCAGCTTCGGAGGTGTGAAGACAAAAAAAATAGTTTGAGTTGGGCAGCTGTAATATAAATAACTAGATAGATAAAAAAGTCAGCAGGTGGAGTGTTATTATTCTCCAGCAGACCATCTTCCAGTGGATGTAGACAGGACCAGGTCAAAATTTAGATTTCAGAGCAGACAGCTTTCAAACAGACCAACTCTTGTGGACTACTGCTGCCTAGAAGATACCTAAAAAAACGACAAATAATTAGTTACTTCCAAGGAGCTTGAAGCATCAGTGTCAAAATGTGCTCAGGTGGCTTTGCCAAATGTCTGGGTATCACCCTGATACCTCTGGCCATCATGTGTGTGCTGTGTAACATCCTGCTCTTCTTCCCCGGTGGAAATGTTGTAGACTCAGAGCATATCACGGACCAGGTCTGGTACTTCGGAGGCATTCTAGGATCTGGAGTTCTGGTGAGTTATTAGGAATATGGTTATTGAAAGCTTAAGAAAACCCATCATTTTGGTTTATCACAGAGTAGGTGAGGCATGCAGTGTGATACCAATGGACTTTGTTACTCTTTACGGGGCAATTTGCTGCAAATAATCATCATTCTCATCAAAGTTAGTGAGATATTGCCACCTAGATTGATTTATTGTTTACATTACAAAAACAAAGGTTGTACATTTTTAAAAGGCCAATGTTCAGGAATGTTGTTTTTTTTTTACCTGAAAAAGAAGAAGCTTATTGAGTAGTCAGCAGATATTTTTACCCCGACAGCTCAAAAAGCTACACCTAAATGAGTTGATTTAGTAAAAACACAAGAATTAGACGTTTACAATAATTTGAAGTTGCGTTTTTTTAAAGTGTTAATTTTAGTAGTTTTGTGAAGTTTGTTAAAGATACAAAAATGTCAGTTCAGGTGGGAAATTGTTTCAGCTTAAGCCAAAATTTACTTCATTAACTAGTTATGATATAGAAAATTTTTGATAGTGTTTGGACTCCAGGCAGTTTAATATCTGCCTGCATACAACAGAGGAACCAATAATTTGTTATCTGTGTGTGTGTTTGTGCGTGTGTGTGAACTTTGGGTGTGTTCGGGTGACAGATGATCTTCCCAGCCCTGGTCTTCTTGGGCCTGAAGAACAATGACTGCTGCGGTTGCTGTGGCAACGAAAGCTGTGGGCGGAGATTTGCGGTGAGCAGATGTTTTGCTGTTAAACTTTCTACAATAATGAAATGATGATGTTTAATGTTGTGTTTGTACCAAAACTCTAGTATTGGGCTTAAAAGAGACTTAAAAGACTCACAAAGGCCTTAAAAATCCAAATGCAGCTTAAGCTCTGCAGTCTTGTAAATTAATTCCTTCCTGAGGTGTCAATTTCTTTATCAAAGCAGCTCTCAAAGTTAAATATTTATCATTTACTGCGTCACATTTTTTAAACTAATAAAGGCTGCTGTAAATAAGGTGGTGCCTTTTATTAGGGGCGTGTCCAGATTTTTTGACTGGGATGGTCAAACTTGGCGACTAAGTTATGCTGAGGTGGCATGAAGTATGTGCACACACACCCATAAATGAAGGGCATTTACTAACCCTGTTTATCTTCACTCATTAATCCAATGATAAATCAGGTTGAATATTATTGAATGACGACTTTCTGCTGTTCTGCTTTGGTTGTCTGTAACATTCTTGGACATACTCCTGAAAAAGAGATTTTTAACCTTAATCAGGCAGAAAAAAAGACAGAGCCCAAAAAGCTGGTTTCAAATGCTGGTTAAGATTTTAGGGTGGCAGATGCCACCCACAGACACCCTGCAGACATATATACATATATATATATAAAATGACCAGACCGACAGAAACTTTAGCAGTTTCACAAGAAAGTTCTTCAGAGAGGAGTTTCCCCGGACTTTATCTCACAGAGCTGGTATTGTTCCCCAGCAGGAACTCATTCAGATCAATACTACAGGAATGTGTGAGCAGTGTGACATACAGGGGCAAACATGGATTTGCCAGTTTACAGTACAAACTTACTCACACACAGACAGGTACTGATACATACTAGAATCTCTGTTGGTTCTGTACTGTCACCCCGCTCACCGCAAACTGAGATGTTATTGATTTACATCATGAGTAAAAGACCCCCTCCTCTCCAGATGCTGAGCTCCATCCTGTTTGCAGCGGTGGGTGTGACGGGCGCTGGTTACTCAGTCATAGTTTCTTCTCTGGCCCTGAACAAAGGACCTCTGTGTGTTACTAACGGAACAACCTGGGGCACTCCTTTCTCAGATGGGTGAGCTAAAAGATAATAACTGATATTAAATGCAGAATAAAAAGCACAGAGCAGCTTGAAACTCAATATTTTTTATTCTTCACCTGAAAGTGTTTGTTGATCTCTTTTCTCACCCTCTCTCTCCAGTAACTATCTGAGCGACAGTTCTCTGTGGAAGCTTTGCTTGGCGCCAGAAGGCATCGTGTCGTGGCATCTCTCCCTCTTCTCCGTGCTGCTGGTCGCCGGTTTGGTCCAGATGGCGCTTTGTGCGGTGCAGGTGATAAACGGCCTGTTCGGCGCTATCTGTGGGGACTGCTGCGGCTGCTGTGGAGGGGTCAGTATCCGATTAGAGATTATTTCCCTGTAATTAGGATTAGATTAAACTGTTTTGATGCTGTTTTTAATCACCGCAGGGATAGATCAGGAAATATAAATGTAAAAATTAGGGCTCGCTGATGTTTAAGGATCTGACAGGAAGTTTAAAACATAGTTGGAGACACTGGTTTGGTCTAGTAGTTACATCATGTACTGAGGATTTCAGCCTTTTAGCAGGTGGTCCAGGTTCAAGTCTTAAGTGTCAGTAATAAAATTAAATGTGTTCATTCCTATTCCCTTTTCAGACTAAACCCCATAAAACACCGACTTTTGTTTTTAATGTTTCAGAGTGATGGAGCAGTTTAAACACTTCCTACAGTCAGAAGAGCACGAAGACGGACGACTCCTGTATTTAATCTACAGCTAAAGGATGGAGAATATTCTCCTGCTTAAAACCACACCTTTTATATTGTGTATGAGAGCTCATTGATTACATCGTGATAACTATTAATACACACATGTGAAATGACAGAGCTCTTGAATTTATCATTATCCTATTTTGTGACCCTGACTTTATGTTATTCATATTTAATGTGCAGCTAGTGATATTCCTATGGCTCCAATTACTGACAGTTGTTGTATTAATTGTGTTAATTTCCCTTTTTAGTCTGTACCTATTTGTCACCCTCTTTCCCCTTCAGGAACAGATTCTTACAACTTTTATCCGTTTTACATGACTGCACCCTGCTGTGCAGCTTTTTTATTGCATGTGTTACTCTTCCTGGGGCCTGAAGGTTCATAGAGACAGATGACCTGCATGTACAGTATATATGCTCTATCAGGAGTGAGGTGTATTTGTTATAGATGAGACAATTCACTTTAATTTCAATAACACACTGTACAATTGTGTTTATCAAACATGCTGTAAAGTCTCTCCACATCAAATCAGCTTGTTTCTCTCTGAGATTAAAGGTGTACTTTGGTCTTTTCACTGGGAAAAATTTGACACATCTTAAGGTTTTACAGAGACTTAAATGTTACTGTCAATTTGTTATTTTCTCTTGTACCAAATGTGCTTTCACAAACTTGCCTTCACTTGTCAGCTGTACTGTAATAAATTAACTTATTCCTCAAGGCTGTGAGTTATTGGCTGTGCTTCCAGTCTGTTAAAGGGTTTGATAAAAAATTGATTCAGCAGCATTATGACTGGCATTTCTCTTTTATGCCTATTTTCTTTTAACTTTGTTTTGATTTGTAAACTACTTTGTGAACCTGTTTTCAATAGTTATGTAGAAATACATTTTATTATTATTATTAATAGTAATATAAGTAGTAGTAGTAATAGTAGTAGCAGTAGTAGTTGTAGTAATAGTAGTAGTAGTAGTAGTAGTTGTAGTAGTAGTAGTAGTAGTAGTAGCATTAGCATTAATAGTTGTAGTAGTAGCAGAAGTAGTAGTAGCATTAGTAGTAGCATTAGTAGTAGCAGTAGGAGTAGCAGTAGTAGTAGGTTGCCTATAGGCTTTGCTATTTGCATTCTTTCCTTTACTGTAAAGTAGCCTAGAGTCAAACTTCTTGTATGTGTATACATAGATTTACCTGAACATAGATTTACCAGTTTACCTGAATCATCCTTGAAACAGCCGGTAAATAACTTTTTCCAGTCAAATTGTTGTAGCGGAACTCCGTTGACAGACTCCTCTTGTCGAACACGGATGGATTAAACCCGCGCACCAACGTCTTCCGCACTTCGGTGACCCCGGGAGGGAGAAAAGAGTATAAATAATGTTTTCAGCCTGAATTAAAGGTATTTATACTACATATTTTTCTTAAATGTTGTTCCAGTTCAGCTCAGAAACAACCTCCAGCTTTGTGAAGGTTGTTGTCAGTGAAGTTAGTTACGATTTTACATGTTTTTAATCTCTCCTCATGAAGTCTGTCTGCATGATATGAAGAATAAATTACTCTAAGGAGGATTTTTAACTGTTTTCTGACCGCACAACTGATCTAAAAATATTGAGATTATTTTTAAAATTAAGATCATGTTTGGCTTTATTTCTGAACCTGCGTTACATTAAATAGGAATTTTAAAAATGCTGTCTATTTATTTTTATTCAAACCTAAAGTCAGTGATTAAATGTCTTTTTAACTTGATTTCTGTTCACCTTTACCCTCAGATGTTCTCTGCTGTGCTCAGAAGAAGTACTTTATCAGCCCAAAAGGTATTAACCCTTGAACATTTTTAACTCTAAGAACTTAAATGATCATTAATTGTCAATTTTAACCTTTTTTTCCTCATTTAAATCTCTCTCAGGTGTGGCAGTGGACAGGTCCTCCACATAGAAGCTTCACCTCAGCCCTGATTGGAGCTCATAATGGTGGATCCATCTCCAGGCAGACCTGCTGGGCCTCAACATCACTGCCTTTACTTTCAAACAGTGATAATGGACGAGTGAAATACCTTGATGGTCTCGGGTTCAGGAGGACACAGGATCTTGCTGCGTCATGTTCACTGAGGAGACAACATTTCCACTCGTCTGCTGTGAGGCTGAAAAAGCGTCCGCTGCCTGAGCCTCAACCGAGGGAACTGGACCTGCTGCGCTATGACATGAAGGACTTGTTGAAGGGTCCCAAACCCGCCTTGTACCTGGGGTTTGCGGGTCTGATCCCCTTCGTTGCCCCTACTCTGTTCATGGGTGTGATTGAGGGTTACTCTCCAGAGCTGGCCTACGCTCAGGTGGCGTACAGCGCCTCCATTGTTTCCTTTCTTGGCGGAGCTCGATGGGGGTTCACTCTTCCTGAAAGCAGTCCAGCCAAACCTGACTGGATAAACTTGGCGAACAGCGTGGTCCCCTCCCTGTTGGCCTGGGTGACCATGCTGATGAGCGACAATATTGTTACCGCAGGAACCATGGTTATTATGGCGCTGGGAGTCTCCCTGCACTACGATCTGTCTCTGCTGCCCACCTACCCCAGCTGGTTCAAAGCTCTGCGAGCCGTCCTGACCATAGTGGCGTTTTTCTCTCTCATTGGCACTTTGATCATTTATAATTGGTTCCCAGAAAAGAAGATATTCTCAGATTGAATGTCAAAGATATTAAAATGATGTATAAAGACTACAAAGTATTGTTGTATGTAAAGTTTGGAGTATACTGCCCCTCATGGAGGTTAGGAATTGTCGAGTTATGTTCAGGATTTTATAGGTGATGCCAAAAAACAGCCTCTAAAGTCAAATCGTTAAGTCCAATGTGTTAAATTTCATAATGAAATTTAATAGAAATAAAACAGTTTCCATCAATCTGGACTTTGTAAAGTTAATTTTGTTTTTGAAAAGCCTTTGGTCAGAAATGTAATGGTTTAGTTTGCAATCTTTATTTACACTATCATGCACTAAGGCAGGGGTGTCAGACTCAAGCACAGCAAGGGCCATAATCTGGATTAAGGTCTAACCTGAGGGCCAAACAGGGTCAACAACATTTCACCAAAACCGTCAACATCCTTTCAAAAAAATATGCAAAACAAAAACAGCAATGATTATAAGTCATTTGGAAATTCAAAAAAGATAAAAAGATAAGTTTAAAGGCATGACATCTCTATTTAAATTATTGGTTCAAAAGATAAGAGCATGATATTAAAAATAGAAAAATAATGCTTTTAAAGAATACTTGAGGTGAACGTTGAAATCAGGTTTAAAAGGTCAAAATAGGACTTAAAATTGGAATTTAAAGTATAAAAATGACATAAATCTATATACTGAGTCGAACAAAATCAAAGCATGAAATAAAAAATCCAATCAAGTTTGACTTGTAATCTTGAAATGCAAAATTAAAAACATGAAATAAAACACCAAATATTTTTTCCCCACATTCATGACTATTTATCGAATCTTCCTGACTCTTTAATTTCATAGATTTTCGTGGTTTATTAAGGACATTTTAAATAATGATGCTCAAGTTTACATTATTATACTGGAGGAAATCTGCAGACTTCATACTGGTGGGCCAATAATAATACAAATATATGATCTTGTGGGCCAGATTTGGCCCCCGGGCCTTGAGTTTGACACCTGTGCACTAAGGCCTTGTTTGCATGTGGTTTTAAAAACTGGAACAAAGGTGGGAAGTCTCAGCCATAGGTGTGAACCAGAAGTGTGTAGGGTGGATTAACACCCAACCTCTGAGGCGACACGGGTCCAGTTTACACTCAGGATTAACATCAGATATGGATGGTTTGATCACAGGTGTCTAGCTTTCACTTCAGGTGTGAACACTTACCACTCAACCCATAATAAAGAGGTTGTTATTTAATGTAATCAGGTGTGACTCAGTTGCTGGGGAATTAGAAATGCATTAAACTGGGAAAATATCATTTTTTAAAAAGATATTTTTAAATCTTTTTCAGGATATCTCTAAAATGTTTCCTGCCATAGTCTGCAAACTCATTAGTTTCTCCCTGAAGTGCATTATAATTGGAAATACTCACATATAGTACATATACTTAGCATGTTGGGTTACTCTGCCTGATTTTGTGTGAACTCTATATTTGACAAAAATGCAGCAGAAGGGTCTAAACTAGAGGAGAACATTTCATCCAGACACCAAATTAGCAGAGCAACTGTCACTGTGTCCTTTTACTTGTCCAGGATCAGACGACTAAAGACGGGCGTCACTGGAGGAAGAGGTGTTATGTAAGATCTAAACTGGAGTAATCTATACTTACACTCTCAAGGGGCCGGAGCAAACCATCAAAAAGCACAACATACAAACACTTACCCAGAACAACACGCTCAGCTCAGGATGAATCCACTCAAACGTCTCATTTTTATATTCAAATATTTTTATTAATGGAAAGACCAGCATCTAATCAACCAAATATTGGGAAAAGGCAAAAAAACAATAAGGAGGGTGGGAGAAAAAACACATAAGGCACATGACTCTCCTGTTCACCAAACTCAGCCAAAAGGTGCAGTAATGATGTTCTGTGTGTAAAAAGAGACCTTTGTGGAAGCAACTAAACTCAGGTGGCAGAACAATGCGAGTCAGTGAAGAGTACATACAGTATTGCACTTTAAAGTTTCCTCAAGTGGGCTGATGAAACAGCTCCCACTTAACCCAATGTGTTGAGATCTCTGGACGTGAGTGAACAACTTTGGTCTGCCTATTGGAGTTTTTAAAAAAGTGTTCTGCATAGTGGATCGGTGCGATAAGGTGCTTTTTGGTCAAATATTAAAGGAACAAGTGTCGTATCTGGTGCAGTGACATAAAAAGAACAATTCTTCTAACTGAAATAAAACATGACATCTCTACCCTGATCGACGGTTACACACACACAGGAAATAAACATGCTCTGAAATCAAAGTTAGCCTTCACCAGCATATTTGGTTTTCATATTCTTTCCATCTCTTGTTGTAAAAACTTAAAGCCAGCTGCCCCAAAACTGGACCCCGAGACTGACGGTTGACTTCAGTCTGAGGGTGTTTTCTTAAAGCAGGTCAAACAGCACACATTTGGAGACACCGCAGAAGTCTTTTGTAGAAGTCTTATCATCTTTAGCCCTGTGTGAATACTGCAGGAGTTTGTAAACAATATTTTCTATATAATGGCTCAAATGCTCAGCCAAAGTCCTGCCATCACCTTCAAACTTCTACAAAGGATCCTTCTGCTGCATGTCCACTCTTAAGTGACGTAAAGGTAACAAGTTCTTAATCTGACAATTCGAATCAAACAAAAATGCTGCAGACCACCGCTCTCCGTCTACTTCTGAATACCCAGACCAGACCGCATGTACTCGTAAACCACGTAGCTGATGCTGACAGCCGGTATGACCTTCATGAAATTGGGCAGGATGCCACGATAAAGTCCAAAGAAGCCGTCCTTTTCCAGGATCCTCTTCACCATCAGGTTCATGGGCAGCTGCTCCGAGCCCTCCAAAGAAGCTGAGAAGAAAGAGGAAACTTTAGAGAAACTTTTCAAATGATTGGAATATATGAAGTTGTTATTTAAAGGGAATCCTTTTTTAAACACAAATATCATATAACCTCACATTTTTAAAGATTTTAATGATCACAGATGGCTGCACAAAATTCAAGAAATCATTTGTGGAGGTATTCAGAGCCAAAAATCTTTTTGTTCAAAAGTCAAAGATAATATATCAAATTTAAACTAGTTTATCAGCATTTTAAATGCACGAAAACAATGATTCGATGCCAGCATTCTATATTAGCTGCTGAAAACCAAAACTGGTCGACCTCTACTCCAAACTATCATCTCAAATGTTATTAAAAGAAATATGAGCCTGTGTCTACACCTGTAATTACTTAAGTGGCCACTTGGGGGCAGCATAAAAACTATAAACACAGTGACAAACTCTACTGGCATCTAGGAAAGTCTTTAAAGATCAAATTAAGGGTTATAGAAAAATATAAGTGTCAAATACTTTAAGTTCTTAAAGTATAAAAACGTCTGTGTGAAAAGACTATCACTAATAAATTAAAATAGGATATATGTCTTCTCTTATTGTAACTTATTGCTGTCATTTATTAAAGAATTTTAAAGCTTCTGTGAGGACCTGTGCCGGTTTTTGCACCTCTTACATCTGAACTAGTTCAGTCTTGCACATGTTTGGGTAGTGTTGTCTGACAAAAGTGAAATGTCGAAATCACTTTGAATATTTGTCACGGAAAGGTTCAGTCAAAAACTCCTTACTGTGACTTTAAAGCTTTCAGTCACAAACTTTGAAAAACACGATTAACTACATTTTGATTTGAAAATTAGGTCTTCTGATAGACTCAGACTGAGGTTTGTTTTTTCTGTACCTTGCGCCTGCATCCTGGTTCGTATTAAAGCCAGGGGGTAGCTGGCCAGCTGTCCACAGGTGCTGGACATGGTTCCACAGCCGAGCAGCACCAGAATGCCAGGATTCGCCGTGTCTTTGGCGTAGTGAGACAACCAGAGGTTCTTCAAGGTCTGAGGAGAAAGAAACACGTCATAAAACATCCATCACAAGCCTTCACTGTTTTATTGGCAGATGGTGCTGCATGTTTGAGTCTTGTGTCTGATAATTCATCATCATCATCAAACCTCATAAACTGCCAGGTCGATGCCAGCGTAGGGGATGATGCCCAGGATGTTGGGGACGTAGCCCTTGTAAAACGCCTTCAGTCCCTCTTTCTGCAGGATTTTCTTGGCACAGTCGAACATTCCCGAGTACTGTCCGGTCTTCCTCAGGGTCAGGCGGGTTTTCATCACCTGGAAAACACAGGAGTCAGCTGTAATATTTGTAAACTAGAGGCAGTTATCTTTAGTTTGGTTTAAGCTGAAAAAATTTTGGATGTTTTTCATTCTTTTGATTCTCTCCTTTAGAGAACGATATGACTCAAAAATCAAAATTATGACCACAATGAAGTCCAGCTCAGTTTGTGCGAAACATCAACTTTATAAATGACTCCTGCAGACGATCTCAGCTCCTTTACATACAACATACTCTCACTGTGTGCAGTTCGGTGAATGAAAAGCAAAGCACAAAGACAGTGTGTAGTTGGAATTTAAGTTTTGATCGCATCAGATAAATGGGTGAAGAGGATAACAATGGAAATTTGAGCGATCTATGGATGTATCAATACTTTTTAAAGCTTTTTTAAATGTCAGTACTGTTAGTGATTGTTACCATGATTATATCTAACTCCCTGCAGCCGCTGTTGACTGTGAAAAACGCAAATACAAGCTCTTATTCTGGTTTACATGCCTGCCTATCATGACGTGCTCATGCAGTATCACACTTTAGTTTCTTTAGGCTTCGTCCTTCATTGACAATATGAGTGTAACATCCCGTTTTTCACCTGATTTTAATAATTACTCTTCCTATAAATGGAAAATAAGTTGGCGGCGCACACAATAAAAATGTTGTTTTGTTTTTTACTTTTGACTTATCTATCTAGTCCATTTAGTTCAATGTAAAAGTTAAACTTATAGTACAAATAACACACTCAAACACCAGCAGTAACTATCATTAAAAAAATACATTATTTTAACTTCATGGCAATCTTAATAGATGGATATTAATCAACCTACATACAAAGAAACACTGTTAAGTTGCACCTCCACTCACCTCCATAGGGTAAATTGCAGTTTGAGCCGTAGCTCCAGCCAGCGATCCGGCCATGAACCTCTCGTGAGTCTTCACCTTCCCGGGCTCGCTGGACAGAAGCTTTTTATACTGAAGAAACAGAGTTACAAAGAAGTGTAGCATTAGAGGTGTGGAGGAAGAGCGATTATACAACCAGGCAACACTGATGAAACGGTCAGTCTTTGGAGCACAAGGCCTGAGGTGTGTTCAGTGTTACATTTACCTGCTCGTAGGCCATGAATTTAATGGCAGTCTCAGGGGCGATCTTTAGGACATTGATACCGTTTCCTCTCCACAGAGACGTCACTCCTCCTTCTTTTAACATCTGCTTGAAACCTCCGACCAGGCTGATTTTGTTGCTCTTGGAGGCATGCACCTGAAAATATGAGAAAGGAGATATTATCACTTCTGCTACATTAGCTTAAACAAATAAAATAATGCTTCAAAATCAATAAAATGTATAACTAATCTTTAGAGTCGTGTGTACTCTGCCCTGTGTTTTAATTTAATGGTGTATGGTCTGCAGCTTTTCCTGCATTTGAAGAGCAATTTTCACTTCAATCAAACACAGAAAAGTTATTGATCGCTTTATTCATCGTCCTTCTGCGCACTGCAAACTATCACTAAGTCCTCCTAATGTCTACTTCAGCATAGTGGAAGTGGGCTGGACTAGCATTTCAGTATTTGTTTCATTACCTGTTTCATAAAATATGACACTACTTGATATTTCATCAACTCAGTCTGCAGGCTGCTGCTCATGTGCAAGATTTGATTCCTTTCTAATTCAGATTATTTGTAAAAACTCTGCGTTCAAGCATCTCGTCAGGCATCTTGTCGGCGTGCATTCATGCTCAATTACCTCGAGTGGTTGCACAGAATCAGATCAGACACGGAACTGATTGAGATGCTTCAGTAAAAATCAGTATAATCCTGTTTTTATTATTTTGGTAGAAGCAGCTGTGTGCTACTCGAACCCGTGGTGATGTCCTGGTTGGAGGTGGCTGATTAATCAGGCTGATTTCTGGCATTTTGAAGAAATCATCTTCTTTTCTAAATAATGGTATTTTTCTTGTCAGCAATCTGTTCCTCATTTTATGTTATCTTTAAATTATTTTCTTTTATCAAATTCACTTTTTAAAAGGTGAGATCCACAAAAAACAGTCAACCCCAGCTGAGTACCCTTTTTCACGCTCTTCATGTGATCCACAGAGAAAATCAGACAGAGAGGATGTTCTGATCTAAGCAGTAAAAGTACGTCTGGACTCACCTGCATGAAAACTTTCATCCTGTCCAGCGGGGCGGTTCCTGTACGGGACACGGCGCCTGCCATGGCCCCCGCTGACAGCTGCTTCCACCACAACCCCGTCGTCTTCTCCTCCTCTGTGAACTCATCCGGGATGGCGAGGCTGTCACCGATGTCCAGCACCTGAACAAAACACGATCACAGAGCTTGAAAGAAACAAACGAGCTCTTCAAACTACCAAACTGTCCAGGTGTATCTTTGATCGTATGAAACTACGACCTCCACATGAGAAAATAATCAACATTCAAAGACTATTTGAAAGTTAATGAGGACTATTTTGGAGTTAATTCCAACTGATTCGAAGGACTGATGATTCCCAGCTTCACCTTGAACTTCTAGACTGGCAGGACAGGACGAACGTCATGTCCTTATTCAAAACCTTACATAACAACAGCTCCACGCTGGGAGATCAACCGCTTCATTACACGGCCCTTTATAACACTACTTCATTTAGAAACACAACATTAGCAACAGTTTAACGCTGCAGCAGACATTTCAGACAGATCTCATGGAAAAATAAAGACACAAAGAAGCAAAATTTCAAACTTTGGCTCAAGCTACAAACACAATAGATGAAGATGCCGGTGAGGAAGAAGAAGATTCTGCACATTTATGAGTTATACCAAATATTTAAGCAGTTCTGTAAGGGCCAAAAGTTGATGTCAACATTATAGGAGTGTAAAAATACAATAATGCATAAGCTGACCAAGTAGATAATGGCAACAACATCACCCAGCAGTAATACTCTCTATCTACAGTCAGCGAAAATAGGCAGAAATGTCAGCTTACGTCTTGTTTTGAGCTCCTCTGTAAAAGTAGAGCTTTCATTCATAATCATGAGACTGCTTGGGTGGAGAAGCCGGATACACAGACCTACCATGTCCACCTCCACCTCATAGATGGCCCCATCATCCTCAAAGTCGATGTAAAACCACCTTTTCTGTTGTTGCTGCTGCTGCTGGAGCTGCAGCAGAGCCATGGTCGACTCGAGCCTCGGAGAAAAGTCCTCTTTCAACGAACTCTGTGCTAAAATCTCGATCTGTTCAATTCTCTACACGATCCTAATAAAGAGCCCGGTCACACGTTGAGGGCCTGAGGTAGGAAAAGTTGAACCCCGAGGAGCCAGTAACCATCGGCGTAAATACTGGAGATGACGGTAACTTCTCACTGCCATAGATGTTCCCACTGACGCCTGATCTCTGCTGCCTCTCTCCTCTCCTGTCCCGTCCCGCTCTGGATTCACTTCCTCTCTCTGGTGAACTGTCCCAATCCTGCTGACGAGCTAATCCTCCGTCAGGTCAGACTGAAATTAGCTTATCTCGGCCTCGGATTAGCGGCCACAGGTTTATTTGTGGCTGTGCCAGTGAACAAAAGGCGGCAAACGTCAGAGATTAGTCATTGACTGGAGCTGGCTGTGTCTCTGACATGCAACCAGAAAAACCAAGTCACAGTGTGGTCAGACACAGACGTATGAGTCTGTACACTTTAAATATTCAGATCTGAAAAGTTTGGATTTGACTCAGCAGCTCCAGAAACTTTAGATAAAAACATGGGTACTTACAGAGATTGTTATTCTGCCTTTTATTTTGTTTTTTCATTATTATCTTTCAAACATCACTTCAGATCTTTTTTCTTAAACTTCAAATAGTATCATTTTTGTTAATTTTGGTGTCATGTTAGTGAGCGTGAATCCAAGGGAGACGACTTTCTGCCCTTATACTGGCTAAAATGGATAAAAAATATAAACATACTGTGTTTAATCTTCACTTTCCCCACTGTTTAAGACTTCATTACAAAATTACAAGAATTGGACCATAAGATGTCCTAAACTCTTCTGTTTGACTTGTAAAGCATAAAGGTCCAGAAACTTATAATGTGTTTCTATTGATTTTTTACTTTTAATTTTTTTTACCCTTTTTTAGTTTGTTTTACTTTACTTTATTTATTTTATTTTTTCCTCTCTATTTCCTTAATGTGGTTATTTTATTCTATTTTATTTGCATTGTTTTACTATGATCTGATTCTGTATGATCTTGGCGTTGTTTTTACTTTGATATTTACAGATTTATTCATCTAATTTATTCATTTATCATTATTCATTTATTTCTTCTCAGGTGTTGAAGTGAATGATCGCTGTTAAATTAAAACCAAGGAAATCTCAATAAAAAGAATTTTAAAAGAAACTTCTAATAAACTTCATTTTCTCTGACAGATTGATCACCTTTAGTCATTTTTAGGCTCATGTTTTACAGACAGTTATTCTAAACTCCTCCTTGTCACCTTCTCTCTTCTCACTCTTTCTAATGAATGAGTCTAATCTGTTGACGTAAAGGTCCTGATCGATTGCCAATCTCCTTCTCCAAATCCAACATCAAGCCAACAACTCTCTTTCACAACTTTCCCCTTTAGCTAAAAGCGCTCTTACGCTGAACGCTGGAACGGTTTGAAGAAACTGAAGGTAAAGGACAGAGAGCCAACTGATTTGCCAACCTGTTTTATATAGCCGCTTCATCGTGGTTTATTTCGAGGCGAAAGAGCGAAGAGGACAAGCTCAGACTGGCCTTGACACTAAACAGAAATTCTCTTATCTTTCACAACTTTTGTTCCCAGGCCGTAATTCAGCTTCAGTTTAGTTTGTTCTGAGAATTCCTGACTCCAAAATGACAAGGAACTCAAGGAAATTTTGGACTTTTTGAGACATCAAGCTACAAACAGTAAAGGTAACACAACCTTACTCAGCAGATTGATGATGTTAATATATTTCTCCCTGAGTCATAACAGGTACAGAGTGTAGAAACAGGAATATCAGCAATATCTCACTGTCGGATTCAGGATCAAACGCTTGATGAAGCATGTTACACAAAATACGAAAGCCCAAATTCAGCCAGTTTGTTAGATGGCAACTTCTGTTCAAGGGGACTCCCTCCTATACAGATATAAAAGGGTCATCCAAGGTTTCCAAAAAATAAATCATAAACATATTTACAACTACTGTATTCTCTTGATTTCTAATGAAATACCACTTCTCAAAAGCAGATTACAAAGTGCTCGACAATTTCAGCTTAATCTATTCTGATAAATGTGGCTAAATTCTGCACACTGCACCTTTAATTTAAAGGGATCGGTAGTCTAACCAAAATAAGCCATAAAATATCAGGCCAAACTTAATATCTGGCTTCATCTTTAGGAGGACATGTCACTTTCACAGTGAGAGGACACAGACGGTCTGGTTGCTGAGTCATGCTCCGTCCTTACCGTGGAGTGCTTCCAGTAGCGGATAATCTCCTGCAGATTGGTGGCGGGGTTAAACAAGAAGTGTTCCCTCCATTCATTCCAGTCCACTGTCATGGTGCCGTCCACATCGATACTGTGCAGCAAAGACAAACAGGAGACATTCAGGACGTTTTAGGCTTTTTAACAGGTTAATGGGGATGGGAGGTTATTGTAATTCATCCAAAACAGGAATCATGCATATTATTATGACCTAATTTCTCATTATGCCTTCATCACTGTACTAACACCAATACAAACAGACACATTACATACAATGTGGTAATTTGATGTTTGAATGTCTTTTAAATGTTTTGAGATACTGCCAGTTTCAGTTTCATAACTAAAAATGATCACATATTCAAGTATTAGTAAAGAGAAAGCCTCTGATTGGTCAACAGATCAAAACAAAGATGGCAGCCTTTTTCAAACCCAGCCAGCTAGCGACAGAAGTGACACATCTTTGTTAAAATTTATACATAAATCCTCACAGATGTCTTCAGTTTTTATGAGGGACTGGATCCATAATGTCTCTGAAGAACACTGATATTCTCTGTGGGGTAGAAAAAGCTCCTTAATGTCACAGAAACAATTTTTTTTTCACTGGGAAGCTGCCGGTCTCACGAAGCGAGTGGATTTTATAGTAAGTCGCAACATTGCATTGTTCTATTTTTAGATCTAATACTGTGTGAACACAATAATATTATGTTGTATACCACAGCAGCAGTGTCGAACCTTTAAATACTAGAACCTGAAGTTAAGACAATCCTACTTTTTAAAGATTTAAAGGAAAAAACTGTGTTGTATTTGGGAATGACGAGAAGACAGAAACAGAGTGACGATAGCAAATCAAATATGATATTCAAAGGAATTAAAAGTTACCAGAGGAATTTTAGATCTTGTTGCAGATTATCTCTTGAGAGACATCAATATTATTTCAGTCCACTCCCCTCTATAATTTCCTCACTAGAGCTTTCACACAGAGGTCAAAGTTCATCCATTAAGCTTCACGTCACACCCTCCAGCAGCGCTCAAGAAAATTGGCTAATGGATTACCAGTGATGGCGATAGTCTGTCTAAATCCCATTCACTTCCCCAAACAATTAAGTCTGTCCTTTCTCTGTGCTCAGTGAACAAAAGACAGACAGAAGGGAGTTCAAATCAAGACTAAAAAAATCAAGATTATATCACTTCATCAATAACATTAAAATCCAATAATGCTGTCTGTGTTGGAATCCGTCAGAGTTCGCACATTTTGTTTGCACGTCAATGCAACTAACGTGCAAGTTATCGTCGCATACCTTTAAATATTGCATCACCTTTCAGCCAATAGATATATAGGGATGAAATTTTCATACCTGCTGATACTGAGGTCATGTTGATAATATTATGCGTCTTTATAAAACACACATATTACAGGAATAATCTATGAAAATATGTCATTATTCTTCTGTAAACAGACTCGGCACTGGCATGTTTGCATGATTTGTTCATGCAAATAAATTAAGTTGAACTTGGGCTTCAGAGAGAGAGAGAGAGAACTTTTCAACAACACTTTCAATGTTTAAAAAGCAAAGAAGAAAATTCAAAGAGCATCCCCCATCAGCAGAATTGATTTAAGTCTTTAGGTTGTTCACTAGCTTGTTGTTAGCGTGCACAATTGTAACTCCAGCAGTGATCAGCCCTGCTAGAATCTGCACTGACTACACTTATAATTGAAAATATTGGATAATTATTGTGTATTTTGAAACAAATGTGTCTTCTTTATCTCTTCTTTTAGTCTTTTGTTCGGTCACTCTGTCCTCATCTCCCCTTTCTTGTCATCTTTCATTCATTTCCTTCCTCGGTGTCACATCTCCAGGCTGACACGCTCATCAATCGCTCTCTGCGGTTTTCACACAAATCTCCCCCGTCTGACTCACAGTCATGCATATCCTGCTTTACTTCTCTTTGCGCGAAGAAGTGTCTTTCTGAACATCTGCAGCGTCTGACTTTCTGTATGCAAATGAGGCACACCCTGCAGAGCACTCTGCAGAAACCTGTTCTGTCTGTTTAAATTGATGCTGAGAGACTGGAAAGACTGATGATGGCCACTAATGAAGAAGCTGAAGAAGCACTCCAACTCGTTTTGTTTATGTGTGAATAAAGATACTAACGATACATCTGTGATTAAAAATAGGATTGTCTGTTTAGGCATGTAATGTTGCACTGACAATTTTTGTTGATAATTCACAATTTTTTTCACTTTATAAGAGGCAGGAGAACAAATAGTGATAAAATGTGTCAGATACAATCTGAACTAAGATTAAAAAGTGAAAATGTGTTTATATTAATATATTTGAGTTATTTGGATTAAACTTGAGCATGTTTTGTTCGCGGTGGACCATCACCTTTGACTCAAAAAACACAAAAATCTCGTCTTTCATTTGTATGATTTTCTTATAATTATATTTTTCTCACAATTTTTGTCTTTTTTTTAACATTTCTTCCCCTTTGCTCTGTGTCCCTAAACAATCATAAACAAGTTCACCTAAATAAGCTGGTAATATGTTTTAGCTTTGTCTCCACCAAACGACACACATTAAACAAAGAAGAGGTAAAGTTAAAGCTTCTGTCGTAATCTGTCATGATTTCTTTAAGGTTACGAAACTTGCTGAAATCAATATCTGCATCTCTCTATATGACCTACAAAGGGAAAATTAGACCATCAGCAACAACAAGACTAACTATTATACTGTATACAGACTGCTGAAACATGTTTATGGCATTAATTCATACATTTGACTTTTGAAGACAGCGGGTTAGTTTTTTTTTTTTGAAGTATAGATTAATGCGTGTAAGAGACGAGATAAGCAAAGACCGCTTTGTCCACAGGGGGCGCCAAAATTGGCACAAATCAGAAGTTCCTCATAGGAGCTTTAAGTCAATATGAGAACCAATTATACCGAGTATTTTGCACCAAAATTTTGGGGCATTTTTGGTCTTTATTGGACAGGACAACTGAAGAGGGACAAAAATGTGGGGAGAAGAGAAGTAGACATGAAATGTAGAATACCACTAACTGCAGCTGGGCTAACCAGTGCCCCTTACACAGCCCAGGTGCTGAAAAAGAGAGTTCATAAAACTCTATATTTGACTTTTCTGCACAGGTGTCCTTTAAAACTACAAATACAAGGCAATTTTGAACAGAGAGTACTGATTACTTGAAACATTTACTTATGCAGATGTGAAAAAAACTAATGGAGGGGTCTAAAATATCATTATATAGGCTTTCCCATTTAACACACAAGGACTGACAAATCCATGATTAGTGTCTGAATTTACCCAGAGGTCTACCTGTGCACGTGACAGCCATTATTCAACCTTGGATTAGGGTTAGATCAATCCTCTCTTTAGTTAGTGTTTGTTCCTGCATGTTTTTCCCCCTCTCAAACTCAGATATTTCTCTTTTCTTTATCATGTGCCGTCAGTCCTCCTCTCTGCCAGTTTCACACAGCGACCTCCCTATCAGCCCCACGCACAGGACCACACCTTCTCCTCTTCAAGTCACTCTAAATTCGAGCTCTGTGTTTATTCTCAGGTGCACGTGCCAGAAAAAGACAACACGTTCATAACTTCATCCCTTCAGGTTTAGCTCTTAACCACTTAAAGCGCGAGTAAGCTTTTTAAATTGAGTACGAAAGAAGCGGACTCACCTCTGTAGGATTTTTTGCGCCCCATCTGTGCTGATGTCCAGACCAAGATCAGCCAGTGCCTGCTTTATCTCCAGAGGGTCCACTTTACCTGTTGAGACCACAATACAATAATCCTTCATTTCTACTTCATTTCAGAGCCATACGTCAGTAAGTGCTGATTCAAGTCTTAAACCTTACCATCGTTGTTTTTGTCCAGGCTCTTGAAGGTCAGCCTCAGCTTCTTCTCGTGTTCTTTTAGATACCTGGAGAACTCGTTAAAGTCGAGCCGGTCGTCTTTGTCTTGGTCCCCGGAGGAAACGATTTTCTGTACAAAACACAGGACATGATCAGTTCCGTATGTTCGTATCACTGATGGTTGTGTGGTGCTTTATCTCCTCACAGGGTGGAGCTCAGTCATAAATCATGTTCTTATTTGTTGGCAGAAAAACACAGAAATGTCTAAACTACATTCTGTCTATAAATGATTAAACATTTTTATTCTTACATTGTTTAGTTTTGCTTAATTTTGCACTGCAACTGTCCTTTAAGACTATCTCCGTCATCTTTTCTTAAAGTGCTATGTAAATAAAGTCTACTCCTGTTTGCAGAGGGATTGACCTAGATTATTTAAAGCATCCATTTGTGATTTTAAGATGCAGGTACACAATGTAGAAAATGGGCTTGCCTAAGATCAGTTTATGCCGGCATGAATGATCAGTCGATACAACCCAGAGACCTCTCCTGAACTTTTACCTCACTCAGTCATAAAGTGATCAATCTCGCCGATGAGCGTGAGGAATGTGAGATTATTTGATTTATAAAAGGTGGGACCATCCGCCTGGAGTCAGAGCCACCAATAAAAGCTCACCTACACCTTCTGTTTGAACTTTGAGACTGTTTCAAATGTTCGCATGCTTCTGATTTTCCTGAGTGTTGTGTAATGTAGAGAAACCAGATTTCTAGGGTTGTTCAATGTGTGCTCGAGGGGGTTTGTTTATGAGGGGCTCTGGAGGAATGAGTCTGAGAGGTTCAATTCACTCAAATGGGTTCAACATGAAGATTTTAAAGAGCTCTTTCTCTAATCTTACAGGAATTTTTTAAACTTAAGTCCCCTTTCAACTGTCTTGTGTTATATAACATGAGAAATGACTGATATCACTAAGAAAACACACTCCAAATGTTGTTTCTTTCAGTGATAATCTACAGATTATAATCTCATTACAAATGCAAACTACAGATTTTTAAAAATTTTTAAGTTTAAAGCCTGAAATGATCACTGTCTTTGTTTTGGGAGACAAGCAGACACACTGGAGCAGTATATGGGACATGTTTCCCGCCTGAGGGCACCTGAATGGTAACAAGGTGGGGCAAAACAATGCTATTTCACCCTCCTACTTGGTGTGTATCATGGCTTCAAAGCATGACCTGTATCATCGAAGATCCCCAGAGTTAGAGAAAGTTAATGAAGAGATATAACAAGGATGTCATGATACAACTCCGAGTGATCATGTGACTGAGTCCTGAGCTTTAGAAAAGCTTTAAAAGTGACTTTCAGAGTGTTTTCTAGACTATCTTTTCTTCATCTGTGTTGTTTTGATGGTTTGAACCCAGTTTGTCCAGCAACAATTTTACAGCATCAGTCACTGAGTAATTAGCTAAAAACAGGATGAGCACAAACACAAGTTTTACTTTGAGGTGTTCAAGCCAGAAATCTTTCAAGAAGTTCATGGAAATAGGTGTTACACATTGTTTCTAACCTATAAAGAGTATTTTACTTGTTGCATTTGTTTCCATTTTATGCTTCATATTTAATTGAGTCCTTAGTGTGCTAGGATCATCATGCCTCCCTCTAAGGTCTGTTTTTGTCCCGGGATTATTTAAAGTGTACTCTGAGGATATGACAAGTTATTACAGGAATGCAGTCCTGCGTATTTTGGGCACATCTCTTCTTGTAATAAAGCTTTTGTGTGTCATGTTCAGTGTGTCCATAGCTGTACCTCTGCTGCTCCCTTCCCAGCTTTGATGCCCATGGCAGCCAGGCCTGCCCTCAGCTCGGACACATCCACTTTCCCATCCTTGTTGGTGTCCAGTCTGGCGAACAGCTCCTCGTACACTTCGGGCGTATCGCCAGCGCACCGACAGTCCGTAAAAAACAGTTTCCTAACGACTTGATACATGGTTAAATATCTTCAGACAGACACAAAACTGTACAATGAGGCTGCAGAGGAAACACACACACACGAACACACAATCCGATTCCTGTGGTTGGCACTTCTGGTTTGAGACAGGGAGGAAGAAACGGGAGGCTTCAGTGAGATTTCCGCAGTGCAGCCTGGAAAAGAAGTCGTAGAAAAGTCCTCATAAGGCGATGAAAGCTCTAAAAATGATAGTATGAGGATAAAAAGGAGTCTGTTTGCAGATGAGGTAGGTTTGCAGCGCTGTGCAGACAGGGTGGAGGGAGTCAGTTTGCCTGAAAAGACCTCCTCTTTTACTGCGCACACAAACATTAGAGAGACACACCCTTCAGCAGGAACAACACTCACTCACTACTATGAGACTCTATGGCGGGTATTTTCACCGAAGAAGAGACACATGAAAAAGCTTCTCTTATGTTTTCTCTGTGGTTTCTAAAGGTTTTGACTTTTCAAACTTTGAGTGTCTTTTGTTGAGGTTTTGTTGTGTAACATCTCCCCCACACACACACGCATGGAAAATTATGCATAGGTTGTGTATTAGAATAGCTCTTGTCCCAGCCGTAGTAGCTCTATAGTACGAAGTCCATATTAGAGGCCATCTGATTCAGTTCAGTGAGTCATACCCACAGGAATCCGGCAGCTGGTCCAGACAAAACATCCCAAAACTTTTCAACCAGATTACACTCTGACATGTTGGGACAGTACGGTGGCCGAGAACCGCCACTGCTGCAAATTAAAAAGAATGCAGAACGAAAAAGTAAAGAAACCTCAAAGGAAGTTACTGATGCAAAAAAGAAAAAAAATCTGAAGCCCGCTGCAAACAAAAAAGAAATGGTGCAGATAAAATACAAACAAACAAAAACTTACAACAGATGTTAATGGTGCAAAAAAATACTGCGAAAAAAAAACATGCAAATAAAAGAAGCCACAACTTAAGTTTATGACACACACACAAAAAACAAAACTATCAACCTGAGTCGATATGAAGTTGAACTGGAGGATGCTGGTGTAGTTTTAGCTTCAGTTCAACTTCATATCAACTCAGGCGCCACATGGCGTAACCAAATGACACATTAAAAAGTTTATGAAGTGAAATTAAACAATAACCTTTCTACTAACTTCTTTGCTCGTCTTCTCACCGTCGTCTTCTGTGCTTAGATCGTAAAACACCGGTGCATCATCATTATTGGTCCCCTGTAGCTCACTCCAATTGTGGCTTTTTTTATTTGCATCCTTTTATTTTTGGAGTAAGAAACCTTTTTTAAATTTTTTTTATAATCTTTTTTTTTTTTTAATTTGAAGCAGTGATGGTTCCCAGCCACCATAGGACAGCAGACTTTCAATTGATACAGTGGTAAATTAAATTTCTGGATTAACCTTATAAATTCTTATCTCAATGCTTGACCTGTTGCAAACATAAGTTGCGCTCCAAAAAATTGTGATTTTAAAAAAAGTTTTACAGCAGAAAAAAAAAAGATCCAGGTGGAATATATAGAAAAACGTATGAAAGCATTATAAAACATGGAGCTAAATAAGCTAAAGAGCAAAATAATGTTTTAACACAGAGAAAAAATGTCATGGGGGATAATTATTAAAATTCTTCAGCTAAAATATTCCTGTAGTAACAAGTTTGTACCACCAGATGGCGAAAAATGTCAGATAGCAACAGCTGGTTTCACTTTATTGTTGTAATCCGTTAAATCAGTGCTGCTGTTACTTTGCCTGACCGCTAGGTGGCGACAGAGAGCTCAGTGAAGGCGGGCTTCTGTGGACGGACATCAAGTTAGAAGTTGGCATCAGCATACATCCGTTTGGTCCACTTTTATTTAAAAAAATAAAAGCAGGCCTCGAAACGTGTAACGGCGTATACGTATTCGCCACCATTCCATTAGAAGTAGTTGGCAATATTATACAAAATAGAAAAATGTCTTATCCGAACGTTTTTATCCTTAGTACTCCGGCAGTAACAGTCATATTTTATTGTGTAAGAACATTTCAACAAGCTTTTCTTCGTATGAGAATAGCGTGAGGTAAAATTACCTTACTTTTTAGGGGGATTTTTGTGCATTTTAGTCAGCTTATTCAACAAAGGCATATAAGAATACAACATGTTTGACATTTGAAAAGATTAGAACTGTAATTTAAAACTAATTAGAGAATTAACCAACTTGACAGGGCTTCTAAAATATTTTTTATTTTGAAAATCTCAATCCGGAAGTAATTGCCTTTAATGACTTGCATTTTTGTCACGACTTGACTGTTGTCACTAGCAGCTTCATCGTCCTCCCACAACACAACATTGTGACCATAATCCAGCACAATGGGGCTGTAATGTCATTTTACAGCATCTTCTCTTAAACACCAATTCTGTTTATGGATTTAATGATGATGAAGAAGAAGAAATTTAAGTTTAAGGTGGATTTCGAGCTGGATGAGCTCTCGTCTGTCCCCTTTGTTAACGGTGTCCTCTTCTGTAAAGTCAGACTGCTGGACGGCGGTTTCTCCGAGGAGTCTTCACGGTAAGGCTGTTTGGGTTTCTAATAAACTAACGTTAAACCTGTTTATAATCCTCAGAGACTAATTTTAGAAATAAGCCAAAAGGCTGTGTGACTAACGGGTCTGTCATTTATTTATACAGCCCGTCTATAACGGTATTCAGGTTGTCCTTTCAAAGCCGTAAAACCGAGTAATATTTGACACCACTGCTCAGGATATCTTTGAATCGACTAAAGCCAACAAATATGAGTTTTATTAATCACCCGAGATGAACATTTCTAATCATTAGTCTGAATTTTTTCGTGTTTTAAGAGGACATCTGTTTGCATTGTAAAGGTTCACTTCCTTGGTGGTTGTAGGATCGATTTCTGAGCTCTGAGCGTCCAGCTGACTTTTCACATACATCTGCTATGAGCTGAATACGACTCCCCTCTCCATGCCTGCTAAATCAATAACACTGACTTATGTCCTGGGCTGTTTGTGGTCCTCTTTTGATCATTTAGTTATCACTGAGCTTTCTCCATAAGGCGTGCAGAGACAGTCACTTCTTTTAAGTCAAATTGAAAAACTCAGTTTTACAGACTTTTATCACTTTTACCTCTATCTTATTTCAGCTTTACTGTCTTTTTCGCTTTTGTTATACTTGCACTCTTTTAGGCTTGTCACTGTTTTATCTCTTGCTCATGCTCTATTTTATTATTACCAGTATTACCTGTTACTATTTTATTATCATTGTTAATATTGCCTTTTATATCTACTATCCTGTTTCCGCTTTTGACCCCCTTTTAATTGCATTTTCTTTTTTCTTAACTATCTTATATTCTTATTTTGGTCCTAATGGTCTCATTTTATGTTGCCTGCTATGTTGCCATAGCTTTGTATTTTTCTTTTTATATTAAGTTGTCCTTTATAGAGTTTATTATATCATTATTGCAATTTTATTTCTAATTTATTTCATCATTCATATTTTTTTCTGTACATAGAAAATTTCAGCACTGTCTGCAGCACATTAGGGATGCACGATACTAGTTTTTGCCGATATCTGATTTGCAGATTTAGCCAATACTAATACTTGTACCAGTCCGAGTATGTAATTTGCTTTTGGGGTTCACTAGTCTGGCTGGGCCATCCTGTTGCGTGAATCACTTGATGTTCCTACATTAAGTGATTCACGCAACAGGATGGCCCAGCCAGGCTAGGGGGTTCACCACATCAAAAGACCACTCATTAAACGCGGTTGATTCAGTCATTTTCATGTCAAGTTCATTGACCTTTGGATCATCCTTGTTAGGAACTTGGGTGACATTTTTGGAATACTATGATCCAGGATGACAGATCTTGTAATGAAGAGTGATAAAGGAGAGTGTTTTGTTCCTCTTTCTTGCAAATACACATATCACAGTCTGTTTCTGACACTTTAAAATACTTTCATTTAGCCAGCAAGTTGACAAACTGACACTCTAGTGACATTATTCATATTTGATTATAGATAATTAACCCGCCTCAACTCTACACTGCTGATACAGACATTTGCTGTAAAAATCGTGCATCCCTGTATGTGTAACTGAGCTGACAGTGGTCTCTAGAAAATGATCTCATACCGATTACTCAGAGGAACTTGCCGTCCATAGCAGTGTTGTTACAATGCTGCCAAGTTCTCGAAAACTCCCAAACAAAAGCTCAGACTAAGTATGGTTAGTAATAAAGAAAAATCATTACATTTTGACCTGCTAAACTCACTTTTTATTGATCAACACTGGGTTAATGGGTTGCCTTTTTGGATAAATCTCGAAAAATCACATCTTTACAGGCCTTCTTCTGAAACCTCTTCTATACTTTGACTCATAAATTTCAGCCGCAACTTTCATGACTCATCTGTGAAACTGTGAGACAGCATTAAATATAAGTTTAAGATTATTAGGCCATATAGATAAGTATTTGCAGCTGTTAAGAGTTTTTAATCCGTTAAAATTACTGTCTAAATGTACAAATGATGCCTCATTTTAAGACTCACTGTATATGTAAAGGTGTTACAAGGGTTATATTTCTCAACATTTCTCAGACTCATAACAGGATATTCTTACACAGACCGACAGTACTATCAGATTAATGTTAAAAGGAACTTTAAAAATGGGACACTTGGGGCACCACTTGGCCTACAGTCAATAACGTCTGGTGGGAGGAAATAACAGTGCTGATTATTGAGAATCTAAAAGGTCTTATCAGTGTCGTTAGGCATTAAAAAAAGACCCTGTCTCTGCTGTCAGGTTGAAACAAGCACAGACGGTTAGATCAATAGTAATCTGATTTGGGTATCTTCACACAAAGAAGATATTTGATTAGGGGGAAAGCTTTTGTTTTGGTGAGGATGGCTTCACTGTGATTACGTAACAAGCCCCCTGGTTGCTCTAAAGTAAGTAGGTCTTATAAAATAGCCAATAGTAGACATAGTGTGTTGTACTTTGGGATTCAGAGTGGCCCAGATGTCACAGTATCAAGTCCCTTTGGGTATTTATATGTATATTTTGCATTTTTCACCCGAGTGTTAAATCACAGCAGTCTAATGTGATTCCCCCCGACCCTCTTTTGAGTCATCTGATGTGTGAGTGTGAGGGAAACAAGAATTGTTATTTTATGAGTCTGTCTTTTCCTTTGGTGTGGCCTGACATCAGAGCTGTGCTATTGTTTCTGCCCAAAGCAAGCTTCCCCTCTTATATAATCTGCTTTTTTTTAAGAGTATAGCATTTTATGGACATCAGGCTTGTTATTTTGCCCCCAGACATGAGAAAACTCTGACATTCAATGTAACAATGTGTTTGTGAGTGTTCATTGTGGCTGAAGTGTGACATCAGCTGCCTTTAGAAGAAGAGCAGCTGTGGTTTAACGAGACATCGAACCCACGTACAGAGAAGACAGCCCACTTGTGCCTAAGAGCAGATGTACTTTTTCGCTCTAATGGTATTTTGCTGTGCTGACAATTGCTGTGGATTACTGTAACAAGGCAGAATTTCCAAAGCACACAGTGTCCAGCTGGCTGGGAGTTTCCTCCCCGATTTTGCAAGGATGAAGTCAGCGTTTGTGCATGAGGAGGACAGAGGATGGGAAGGAGCAGTAGAAGTAATACGAGTGGTAATAGTAATGTGAGAATGTCCATGGATTTGTATCTTTCTTTTGAAGTGAATTTGTCCGTTATGAAGTTTATTATATCGTTGTTGCAATTTTATTTCTAATAAATTTCATCATTCATATTTTTTCTGTACATACTGACCGTTTCTACAGCTATGTTAAATATTTTAATCTGATGGTTGTCTCATAGCAACCTCAAGATCAGATTGTTGCTATGTAGGAACAACTGTTGCTAAGGATGCAGCGCCAAGTGAACAAACAACAGTCAAATCAACACACTGATAGAAGTTCGATGAATTTGACGTTAGTTTGTTTACAGTTGAACACATTAAAAAAAGGAGGTTAAAGATATTAAACTGAACTGACACTGTTTGCGCCAAAACATTACTGAAGACTCGAACAGTCGTGTCTGAATGGAAAATACTTGAATCTGATTGGTTAACATCTCATAACAACAGTCCGTTACTTCTCAAGATCAGACTGTTGCTATGTAGAACCAACTGTTGCTAAGGATGTAATGCCAGTTAAACAGTAGTCGAATCAACACACTGATAGAAGTTCGATGAATTTGACGTTGGTTTGTTTACAGTTAAAAACATAAAAAAGGAGGTTAAAGATATTAAACTGAAGACTCGAACTGTCGTGTCTGAAAGGAAAATACTTGAATCTGATTGGTTAACATCTCATAGCAACAGTCTGTTATTTCTCTAGACCAGACTGTTGCTATGAAGAACCAACTGTTGCTAAGGATGCTGCACTAAGTGAATAAACAGTAGTCATATCAACACGCTGAAAAAAGTTTGATGAATTTGACGTTGGTTTGTTTGCTGTTGGAAACATTAAAAAAAGAAGGTCAAAGATATTGAACTGAAGTGACGATGTCTGTGCCAAAACATTACTGAAAACTCGAAATGCCGTGTCTGAAAGGATTTATAAAAAAAACAGCACAGCTTATCTTTAAATCCATCAAAGCAGATAAAAATGAACGGCGTGTGGGCTGACTTAACAGAAGGCAGTTGGTTCGTTGAGTGGGAGAGGAGAGGATGGCAGTGAGAGAGTGAGAGAGAGCCATCTGGGGTATCATAATGCTGCCCACGCACACACACTCTGTTCTCTTTCACTTCGTCTCATCCTTTCACTGACAGGAGGCTACACCTCACCCTGATTTTAACCCCCAGTTACCGGACCAGGAAGCACGTGCAGGGTAACCTTTTGGGTTCAGCAGTAAAACAATCAATAGGCAGAAAAAAAAAGAGGACTGAGATTAACTGGCTTGTTCATTCAGAGGCAACGAAATTCAGAGGATAAGCACATAAGCTAGTATTGGCAGCTTGAACCAGCCTTAAGCAAGAAGGAGAAGTGAGGGTTACTGGATGGGAAATAAGCATCAGATACCAGCCAAGTTCTTGTGAAAAATGGAAGTGGCTGGTATGTGTCAGATACAGTTTAGAGACACACTCTGATTTGGCTGCTGAATATGAATATTTAAGTCAAATAGTTTGCTTTTGTTCATGCGTTGTTTTCTGCAGTTGTAAGTAATGATACATGAGTGAGCTTGGGTGTTATGTAGGGCGGTTAGACTACTTATTGTTTTAATCTGGATTAATTACAGAATTCCTATAGCTAATCCAGATTAATCCCACTTCTGTTTAAACTCCATTGTTTTCCATTGTGAAATATTTGTAGGTTTGTATTAATGATGCAAATCTATTTTTAAAGGTGCACTGATTTGAGAATCAGATGAGTGCACACTGGTTTACATGACGAAGTGTGCAGCAGTGCATGTAAAAAAAATCAAATGTCTATATTATGGGCAGGTATTCTGATTAGTGCTGATTACTGATGTCAAGAGATCCCCATCTTATACATTAGCATTTACACTTTTCATTCTGGTTGCTTTCCATGTTGCATTTCTCTTTCTCTTTCGCTTTCATGATGTGGTTACCTTCTCAGTCTTAGTAGCTACACCTGCATGCTTGGCTTGTGGGTGACGGCCCAGATTTGGCCCACTCAGATTTAGTGATACTCTAATCCTGCTGATACTAAGTGTGTGTTGCCTTATGACATGTCGACTGAGCTGTCTGGGAGGCTTTTGAAGTGATGTGTGCAATTCAAAGCAAAGTGGCATTAATTTCAATCATGGCAGCAGCAGGGATACACTCTAACAGCTTAACTACAGTGTTTAGCAGGTAATTAAAAGAAATTAATGCATCATTTAGGCAATTCACCACAGCGCTTAAACAGCTTGCTGTATTACACACTCTTCAGTGCAAAGCGTTTTGGATTGTAGACCTGTCGGTGAGTTTCGAAGTATAAATGTTGACCCAGACTTTGTGCTTAAGCCCTGTAACTGTCTTTCTTTTAAGCATAAAAATGTGACGCACAATATATTTCTTCTGCTTTCTATTGCTTTTGTACAATTCATACAAGAAATTAAATCCCAAATTCAGCCTGTGCTTGAAGCAATCTTTGCTCATTTAGATTTCAAACTGCTATCCAAAGCTTTCTAACATCCGGCTGCAAATCGCCCTTTGGGATCTCAACAGTGCATGTTTTGTGACCTTTACAGAGTGCTTAGCGATGATCTAACTCTTTGTGATTTCCCCTGACAGGGAGCCGGTGCAGGCCAACTGTGTTCGGTGGAGGAAACGGTTCTCTTTCCCCTGCAAGATGAGCGCCAACGCAGGAACCGGCGTACTGGACCCCTGCGTGTGTCGAGTCTCTGTCAGGAAGGTACAGTTAGAGGCTCCTCGGCTCCTATTATGATGCTTTTACACAAATGTACAAGGTTGAATCATCATCATTAGTTTTGGGGAGAGAACTGCTTTCTCTCTGTAATGTCAGGCGGTTTCCTCTTTCAACAACATTGACTGGTAGGTTTTTTACTCAGTCATGCTCTTGTGGTTTGTTAGTGGCTGTTTATGAAACAAAGTAATTGATATTGATGCATCTTTATGGGCCTCAAAAGCAAAAGAGACCATCAGTGGTCTCAGCTGTGATTTCTCTGTGACGTCAATATGTGTAACAACCATTGCGGGGCTCGTACGAGAAAAGATGAGCGAGAGTACAAAGCAGAAACAACGACTCTTACAAGAAATTGGTGTTGAAACTGGTCAAGTGGTGTTTTTGGAATAGGAAAACACTACTTTTTATTTAAGAATAGCATAAGGAAATAGAGGAGCGATTACTTTGTTCACAGAGGTCATTAAAATCTACTTTTCTGAGAAGCACTGACATTCAAATGTTCTCTTTTTCAGGAGCTGAAAGGTGGGAAAGCATATGCAAAGGTAAACCTTCTTTACTTACCAGTATGTTATTAGTCTACAGGTCAGCTAGATTTACAGTAATCATCTCAGGCCAAGTCAGCCCATAGCAAACAGATGGCCTCTACAGCCTGCAGGTTGACTCATTGTTATGTCTTCTGTTCTTGCTTTTACTCTTAGCAAGTACAAACAAACTGAACACACTTCAATCTTTAAAATGAATTGTAAGATGTGTTTGTATTTCTCATTTTCCCTAAAGTTGCTCTTGTTTCCCGACCTCTGTCATGTTACATCCAAAGATTGTCATATTGCTGACCAGGCAAAACGCCCGTCTCCTAAGAGACAACAAAGTTCACCCCTTTGTCTCTCTTTCTCCTTCAGCTCGGCTTTGCAGATCTGAATTTAGCAGAGTTTGCCGGCTCAGGGAATACAACCCGCAGATGTCTGCTGGAAGGCTACGATACCAAAAATACCCGCCAGGATAACTCCATTCTCAAGGTAACTTTGGAGCTGCCGCAGAGCAGCCACACCGGTCTGATTTGACTGCTTTAGGAGGAGGTCCTGGTGTTTTGAATACAAGCCTGGTAATTCCCTGAACTAGACATGGAAAAGGGGTTTTGCATAAATGTGTAGGGTTACATACAAGAACAATAGCTTTGTCTCCAGAAATGCTACGTTCATGCAGACATAATTAATCTGCTGTATTTATGAAGTGTGAAATAAAATGAGTGGTTCTGGTTAGCAGTGACTTTTGCAGTTTGTTCTTTTGATTTTCAACCATTTGGATAAAAAACGTTTATTTTTTCGCTTTAAATTAAGAGTCTGCAGAGATTAACTCCTCTCTTCTTTTCATAGGTTATCATCAGCACTCAGCTCATGGCAGGGGATCCCTGTTTCAAAACGTAAGTAAAAGGAGTTTCCTTTTTTCAGTGTAAGACTCAGAGCTGAATCTGCTCGGGTCAGCAGGAATACTGTACTGAGTCAGTCAGAGTTGGTCTCAGCTGACCTTTGATCCTCATGATTTTTATCCATCGAATTTCCGTCAGATGGCAGTTTTTAGATGAGACGGCTTGTTAGTTTAACTATTGCTGCGCCACTCCCATTCAGATGTGCAAATGAGCAGTTCCCTAGAAACCTGATCCGGCATGGCGACCTGTCTCAGCGCGTCCTCTAGAGTGGTGTCCTAAAAGTGCTGTAATCAAATTGAAGCGAAAATGCAAAAAGGCCAAAAATAATCAACATTTAGTGCCAATTGATCCGCCGCTGACTCGACTGCTGAAACATTATTGTCAGTAGCTCTGATTCATTTCTCATCCATTGTAGGAATATGCTGCTCAGAACAAAAAAAAGGGTCATATACACAGAGAAAGAGAGGAAGAGAGGTTCAGCCCAGCCTCAGGGCAGAGTTTGACCTAAAAACTCGTCAGTAGCCTTCATTGTAATGCCTGAATATAGTTGTTAACGCTTGAAATTAAATACAGTGTGTTTTTTAATATTTTTCACTTCCGTCCAAGCTGAGAGATATTCTTATTTAATTCTCTTTGTCCTAACTTGATATGATGTAGTATCTGTGTTTTTATCCCATATCCCTGTGTCTCTTTATTCCCCTCCCTTACTTTTTGAAAGAATGATGGAAACTCTAATGTACGAGTGAGGAGAAAAAGCACTATTGTCTTTCCTCTGTCCTCAGGCCTCCCTCCACAGCCACAGTGATCGGGCCTCCTCCGGCGGAGAGCCTGCTGGAAGACTCACAGAAAGGCTGTTCTGGTAAGACCAATCACGTCACGTTACACTCCTCTGCTCTGCTTAGTCATCCCACTGGCCTTTTTTCACCGTCTGATGTGCTCTCTTTTACGGTGCTGAAAATTAAAGGACTCACAGATAATTTAGAAATATCCTTCATAGTATTTAAAGCAGTAAAAATACTGAAACTTGTTTTCATTTTACTTTAAAGTCAACTTATTAAGAAGTTTTGACTGTGGCACTCAAATAGATTACCATCAAAGAAAATTTAGAGCTATTTACAAGCCAAACTCAGGCGGGAAAGGACTGGTATTTATCATGTGGAGCACTTTTTTGGGAGGGGGAACTTTTCTGCCATTTTTAAAGGATGGGCCACACAACCTGAGCCAAAGCCAAACCGGGGCCCTTGAGTCCTTCCTCCCAGTGTTCTGAATAAATCATCGTTTTTAAGCACCAACGTCAGACAAACCTGTCCTCTTTCCATGTTACTCTTTACTCCGGGCCTCTACTGTTTTAATTCTTCAACCATTCATAATTTGTGACACAGTTAAGCAATTGATATGGTTAGCTCGCAGGAATGTAGCTGTCCACAAAGATCAGTGTGTGCAGTACACAAGGCTGCAGTTTGAAGTGGTGTAGCTGTACACCCTTGACATCCTAACATCTCTATAAACTCAAGTTAACTGTCGTAAAGCTCTGGCTTCCTTATTAGTGTCAGTATCATTTATTCAGCTGCAGATGTTGTTCCTTCTTGTATGTGAGGTTATTTATTCGTCACCTAGCTTCATAAAAATGAGAACATCTGCTCTTCCTGCCACATTTCACCCTCCTTCCTCCTCCTGTGTGCGTCTGTTCATGAGCGAACACATTGCTCGTTCCTCCTGGAAGCTTCAGAGTGTGTAGCGCAGCTCTTTCATGTATAATTTAAACTAGTTCTCTTTTAGAATAACTACAATCTGCTCCGACCCTGTAGGCTCTCGCATGGTTAAAAATAGGACGTGTGTCTGTGTGCAGATCCGTGGAGAGGAGGGGGTTGTATGTTGGCATGTGATCGCACTGTATGTATTCGTCTGTTGGAAACGATGCTTTCCCCATCCAGCAGCATCGTGTCATGGCTGTGCATGTTTGCAGAGTATGTGCATGCATTATTGTGTCATGTTAGAATATGTTGATAAATGGGTCACTGTTTCAAGCTGTGATCACAGCGTACCAAGAATGTGCTAGCCACATTCTTGAAAGAAGAATGCCACATAACAAAATCATGTTTCTTTTGATAAAATGACAAACTAGCCCTTTTATGGAGCTTCATTGTCACAGTTTGAGGACCTGTAGTCCCACCTGGGAATCACTTTTAGTCCTAACGTCCAACATTTTACTTGAACATTTGTTGTCAAAGTATAAAAAGAGCATCATTCTGCCTCTTTAGGTAGAACATACTGTTCTGTGTTGGTCATCAGTTTGTTTATATAACTGTTATTTTCCTCCTCATATTTTTTCCTGCATTTTGATCATGTTTTTGTCGGTAAAATATTGTAATAGCACTAAAAAGGCTTTATCCTGCAGTCACTCTTCTAAATGTGTTTATTTTTGCCTCGACTGTTGCTGTTTTCCATCAGTAGTAATTTGCTCTTTTTTAGGAGGATAGTAATGTGTGCAGATTGTGGGAGTTTGAGAGTTTTCTTTGTTGTTGTTACAGCTCTCTGTGGGCAGAACTAAACGGTGTCTATTCACTGCATTTTTTTATGTATGATAATACTAAGCTGAGTGAAGAGCAATGGCCTTGACAGGTTTCACAGTTTGTTTGGTACCAGTTTCTCTTTATATAAATCAGCGACAGAAAGTTATGAATGAATACATCCTTTGAAGCCTCCGGGGATTATTATCGTAAATCTGAGGCCTTGTCCACATGGAGAAAAAAAAAAATTTATTGTTTCATTTTGAAAAAGTTTTCTGTAAATAAGGCATTGTTTCAGGAAATATCCTCGTTAACACAAAACCACAACAACAACAACAACAAATAAAACGTCTGAAAACAGTGAAGTGTATATACCAAGCCAGTAAGTGGCGCTGTAACACTGCCCAAAACTGCACTAAAAGACAGAAGAAGAGTACCGAGTATGCGTATACGCCAAAGTCTGTATATGGACTGGACGTTGTCTGCCTCCTCGCCGGGTGAAGCCACCCCGAGAACAGCACCCTCTGGTGACGGGCTGCAGTATAGGTCATAAATCCCGCCTCCTCCAGCAATCCCTATGGGGCTCTGGACAAACTTTATAAATTTATTACACAGAATATAAATTTTTCTTCCCCCTAGTTGTGATGTTGACATGTTGTTACTGTAAGACTGGTTTGTGCTTAAGTCCTCTTTTTTCTGTGCAGCTCAGTTTTTAAACGTTTTTGGGGGGTTCATGTTTTTTTTATGATTGACACTTGATACAGCCTATGGGCGTATGAAGATTGTGTAGCTCACCCGGGGGACACGCTGTTTGAGCCGAGCGTCATCACAGCGACTCTCCCGCTTAATGAGTACAACGCCACAGCACCATGTTGGTTTCAGGAAGTGGAAAAAACGCGGAAATTACCAAGAGCTTTTTGGCTTCAAATCGGTACACTAGCGGAAGGCGGAACCAAGGTGTCCATAGTGTATACAGTCTATTGTGACATCATTTCTAAAGAGATGTGGATAGGTATCCACACGGGTACGAAACGGTTGTCGTATAGAGATACTGTTTTCAAAAAAGTATTGTTTACAGACACCTGAGACGCTGTTTCCGTGCAGATAAAATATTAATACGATAAAAAACATATGCGTTACTCCTAAATTCGTTTCCATGTGGGCGGGGCCTGACATGTCTGTTTGTCTAATCCAGCAGAGAATCGAGAAGGAAAGTGTCCGGTCGTTTCTGACGATCTTGGAGGGTGTGGCCACTCCAGGACGTCCAGCTACGCCAGCCAGCAGTCCAAACTATCAGGTAAAGTCTCCATACATCAAGACTGTAATTGTTTATTTTTGTTGACCTGATACGGATCAGACAGTAAAACTGCAGATGTTCATATTCAGCTGTTTGAGGTTGAGAAATAGTTAAACTTCTTTACCTCAAACACCTGATCTTTTGCTCTCTTATATCATTTTCTAATACAGGAAATGCGAAAGGTCAAGCTGAGAAAGTGCTTTTGACTAAAGAGGAGGGAAGTCATGATATAATTTTCCAGCTACAGTCCACCAGAGTAGTTCAACCCGAGGGCTTGAGTTTCCATCAGAGGCAGATCAGATGTCTGTAATAAAAGATCGGAGGAAGTAGAGATGAGGACTGAGCGCCGCTTTAGTGGCCATGAAATCTTGTATTTCCTTCCACGTGTTAACTGCTGATAGATTGATTTAAACTGGCATTAGTGTGCAGGAAGTTTGGCCCTGTTGAGATTTCTCATGCTTGAACTGGCTTCCCGCAGACTAGGACAACATGTGAGAGTGTGTTTGTCACAGCGCTGCTAAATCTTTCAACACGGTACAAGCAGCAAATCTGCCCAAGAGCACGGCTAAAATCATTTAAAAAGCAATAAAAAGCGACGCAAATAAAATCAAACCCCTTTTCAATTGAGCTAAACAAGCAAAAAAAGGTACTGTATTAAGTATTCAGAATCTGTGCTCCTGTGTTTCAGGCTACAGCACAGGCCACTCCCGATCCTCCAGCATGTCCGAGTTCAGCCACCGGAGAAACCACTCAGTAGGAAGCGCCTCGACGGGCATCGGCAGCATCCCAGAGCCAAGCGAAGAGCGAGAGAGGGAGTCCAGACCCTGCCCCGCTCTACCTGAATACCCCGTCCCCACCGCTGCCACTAGCAACCCAGCGGGTACACCAGTACAGAGTGCCTCATCCTGTGAACGCCTCAACAGGTGAGTTTCTAGGTCATCTGGCAAGCCAAGAAGTATGTTGCTTCTCAAGAGAATGCGGTTAACAAGCCAGACTGTTGGCCTGTTTTTTTTTTATTGTCGGTAATGAGACTATAATAGCAGGGAGTTGTTTTATTGTTCAACCACACCTGAGAATTAAGCCACAATACGGGAAACAGCTGCGGAAGAATATCTGTGGTTTCATTATGAACTGTCAGTAGGGGCTCTTGTTGTTTATTAAAGTGAGTCACTGAGTTGGTGAGAGCTAAAAATGTCCAACCATGAGTCAAGCACAGGAGCTCATCAAACTTGGATCATGGATAGTTGTGAAGAAAACTGATACCACTCACGTGTGTGCATGTTAATGTGAATCTGCTTAAGCCTACAATAGTGTCCCTTTACCTCCAGAGTGATGACAAGATTATTGAGCTCTACCTGACCTTGCATCACATGCCCCCCCTCGATCTTGAGTTTACGGTTGTCAAAATGAGTCTGAATTCGCCTCACTGACCTCCTCTCCCGCAGACACCCGGTGAAACAGGACTCCATGGAGTCTCAGCTCAAGAGGATGGACGACACACGGGTGGACGCCGACGACGTCGTAGAAAAGATTCTCCAGAGTCAAGATTTCACACCGAGCCTCCTGGACTCCAGTGCAGAAGGTGAGCAAAAAAAATCCAGGAACTGAACTGAGTCAAGTTCTCAAACCACAATCACAGCTGCTGCGTACTTTGCATGTAAGACAGGTTCTCAAAACAGATGTATACAAGTGGCAGGATTTCCGGGTTATTGACTCTCATATTTTCTGACCACAAACTTGTTGAAAAAAAAGTTTCAGCTCTACAGTCAAAAAATCAATTATTATCAGGTATTAGCTGCAGCTTGACTTTGAAACAGCACTTCATTTATCCACCATGGGGCTGATTTAAATAAGGGAATAATCACCTAAATATTTCGGTACTTTATGTTCAGTCTGTGCACTTTGGGGAGAAGGGTATTGTTTTTCTTTCCAAGGTCTCATGCAGCTCAAAGCTATGAAATAAAAGCTGCTGTCAATACATGATTATTTTTAGATTGCCTAGCAACTGGCTGCTCCTCACGACTCGAGTTATACATGAGGATGTGTAAGCTCTATACCGACTGAACGTTACTCCAACGCTGTCTGTTACAGAGGAAGGTCTGCGCCTGTTTGTCGGTCCTGGTGGAAGTACGGCTCTTGGGAGTCATCATCTACCAACCAGGTGAGTAAAACCTGACTTCAGACCGACATGTTATAACTATGGAATGGATCATCTTTATACAAAACCCAATTCCATTGAAGTTTGGAAATTGTGATAAACGTAAATAAAAACAGAATACAATGATTTGCAAATCCTTTTAAACCTATATTCGATTGAATACACTGCAAAGACAAGATATTTAATGTTCAAACTCATAAACTTTATCTTTTTTTTGCAAATAATAATTAGCTCAGAGTTTCATGACTGCAACACATGCCAGAGTAGTTGGGACAGGGGCATATGTTTACTACTGTGTTACATAACCTTTCCTTTTAACAACACTCAGTAAACGTTTGTGAACTGAGGAGACTAATTGTTGAGGCTTTGAAGGTGGAATTCTTTCCCATTCTTGCTTGATGTACAGCTTCAGTTGTTCAACAGTCCGGGGTCTCCGTTGTCGTATTTCACGCTTCATAATGTGCCACACATTTGGGAGACAGGTCTGGACTGCAGGCAGGCCAGTCGAGAACCCGCACTCTTTTACTTCAAAGCCACGCTGTTGTAACACGTGTGCAGAATGTGGCTTGGCGTTGTCTTGCTGAAATAAGCAGGAAGGGCGTCCATGAAAAAGACGTTGCTTGGATGGCAGCATATTCCTGAGCCCATGTGATGATATCCTTTACACATTGATGTCACTTTTTGATACAGCGCCGCATGAGGGATCGAAGGTCACGGGCATTCAGTGTTGGTTTCCAGCTGTGCCGCTTATGTTCAGTGATTTCTCCAGATTCTCTGAACCTTTTGATGATATTATGGACTGTAGATGTTGAGATCCCTAAATCCCTTGCAATTGTACTTTGAGAAACGTTGTTCTTAAACTGTTCGACTATTTGCTCATGCAGTTGTTCACAAAGTGGTGAACCTCGCCCCATCCTTGCTTGTGAATAACAGTTTTTGCGGAAGCTGCTTTTTTACCCAATCATGGCACCCACCTGTTCCCAGTTAGCCTGCTCACCTGTGGGATGTTCCAAATAGGTGTTTGATGAGCATTTCTCAAATTTCTCAGTATTTTTTGCCACCTTTCCCAACTACTTTGTCATGAAATTCTGAGTCAATTATTATTTGCCAAAAAAAAAAAAAAAGTTTATGAGTTTGAACATTAAATATCTTGTCTTTGTATTCAATTGAATATAGGTTGAAAAGGATTTGCAAATCATTGTATTCTGTTTTTATTTACGTTCATCACAATTTCCAAACTTTAGTGGAATTGGGTTTTGTATTTATGCTCAAGCTTTAAAGGTCAGGAGCAGCAAGAGGCTGCTGGATGAGCAATAATCGGTGGTCAGTCTGTTATGTTTTGATGGACCCACAATCTTCTCATTCTCATCTCCACCTCTTTTCTTCCTCAGCATTTGTGACAAAGTAAAAACTGAAACTTTTCTCAAAGTCTCCGCGCCTGTAAGATAACCACAGATTAATTTTATGATGACTGATAGAAGGTTTAAGTTTCGCCTGTTTTGTTTGTCATCCTAGGGTTGGAGCCGGAGCGTACGAGCAGGTGGTGATGAAACGTTAAAACTTGCAGCTTCTTCAGGTGGGCCGACACCGCTTACATCAAATAAACTCAATGTGAGGCTGTGACGAGTTCAGTCTGCATTCCTACAGCACACAAGTTACCAGATCAGCACTGTGCCCTCCCTGATCACTCTGTGAATGGTTGACATTTGAACAGTGCCCTCCTGTGTTCATTTATGAAACTGTAGCTCCCTGATGAAGGGTGAAGAGAGAGAGTCGAGGGCGGTCAGATTCCTCAAAATGCAAAAGTAAACCTGTCTGTTTGTGAATTTCTGATGGTTGATCAGCCTCATCTGTGGATCAACGTGTCACTCAGAAACCAAATCTGTAGCCGATTCAATTCGACACAAACAAAGCTCGCTCTCTCACTCTCTCTCTTTCATGGAGGACACACTGTGAGTGTGTGCATCATCAGAACAAACTGATATCTACACTGAAGAGTAGTTTGTGCTTTCTAAACATTCCTCTCGTCTGCGTGTGTTTGGACTTCCTTCTCGTGTAGGATTTTTTTTTTTTTTTAGCCCAAAAGCTGCTAAAAAGCTCGAACTGTTGGCACTGACAACTGTTGGTGTGTTGACGGTGATATTTTACCACAGAGCAGCAGAAAGACGCTGTTTGAGGTGTGAAAGCAGGCTGTGTGAGTGTACTCTGTGTTTAAGACCACTGTTTGGAGTAACGTTTATCCCGCTATCACGAAGAAGAGGAGGAACGTGACTGAAAATCTCGTCGGAAATGCAATATTGGTACTTTCTCAAAGAAAAAAAGCAGAAGAAGCTTTGCTTAAACGTGCCAACAGATGTTATTGTTTGTACTCATTACGCATAAGACTGAAGTTTTCATCCGTTACAAAGGAGCCTCACGAATCAAACCCACAGTGACTACCTTTTTACCTTTCGGCTTTGTAATGCTCAGCTCTCACTGTCGCATCTACTGCACCCTGACAGCTAACAAGACAACAAAAGCACACATATTAAATCAATTATAAAGGACTGACTGCTCCAAGATAGCTTAAAAATGTTGTTTTCTTAAACTGGATAAGAAGGCTGGAAAATGTTTAGGAACAAACTGTGATTTCCCCTCAAATTAGCCAAATGTAGAGCTCCTTTTTTAATTTTTTTTGTATTATTTGTTCAAAAAGGTTATAAAATACTCAACCTTCAACCTAAAAATGAAGGTTTTGCTTATCTCTGTTACGAGCCCAATATCCTGCTCCTGTAAGCTAATGCTCTCTGCCTTTGTAGGTCAGTAGGAAACCAAATATAAAAGGGGCTTCTGCCGTAAGCATCCATATAGAAGAGCATATATCTACTGCCCAGCATTTAAGCTACAAATCTATTACACACCTACGCTTTGCAACTCAACTACTTCCGTCTGAGCTTTCCTGTTGACCAGGAGGCCAATCGAGCGAACAAATAGGAGATACTGTGACGTATCTAGTTTCAGTAACGTAGTTTTTACTGCTTTAGGATTGTAAAATGAAGGACTAGTTAGGTGATCCACTGCCATGAAGGAAATGCTCCTCAGCCTCTGTCTTAAGAAGATGCAGAGTCATAGTTCTTGTGTATCTTCTCACAGCTTACAAACTGCTAGACTTAAAGTGCAGCCTTGTAACCGGTCGAAATATCAGCCGCAATCAGTATCTGATCGAGTAGCTCTGCGACTGAACGGTAGTCTAAATCCGCTGTCGGCGTCCTGCATGTTGAGGATTCAAATCTGTAGCCTTATAGGAGATTAAGTGCACAACTAATCCGTGTTTTATCAGACTAGCCAAAGTACACAAGAAACAGTCGTTGTCAAGGACCATGTCAGGTCTATGCAGAAGGAGAAAAAACAGACGCATTAAACTCGTGAAATCAGACTGTGCAGTATCTGTGATCTTCTGTCCTCAGTCATAAGCCATAATAGAAGCTAGGATACTTCCTGAGTTTGTCAAAGACATCTGTGTTTGGTGTTCCAACTATCCGTCAGTGTTTTCTCTGTTTTAATGTTGCTGTGTTCTGCATGACGATGTCCTTTTGTTAGCTTGCAGAACGTGACACACGGTCATCTTTTACCTGATTTAATACTGTGCCATCTTTTAATCGAAGTATTTCCACATCGAAGGAAGGGGAAAAATAAACCTTTTGTTTTGAAGATGTCATGTGAAAACAGATATCGGCACAGTATTCGCTGTGACTAAGTCAGTGTTCTCATTTTACGTTCATTATTTTCAGCATGGTTTGGTTTGTCAGTGTTGAAAGTATCATCTAGAGAATATCATCTGTGTTCGGATATCTTTCATTGCTAATATTGTGCCATATTTTTGCGAAATATTTCATCGTTTAAGTGGGGGAAAAAGTGTTCTCACTACATAGTACTAAAGTGTTTAATGTTTGATTTACGGCTATTGAATATCAGCTATTTGAGCTCTTTTTAGTGTGTTTTTAGGATCAAAATCACTCGGTTTACCTGTGGGTCACAGGTATGTTCATCTCGGTACCTAACATGTTGTTCCAAACATGGTTCTTTCTTCTCTTCTGTGAAGCTGTTGTCTATATAAAACTGTAAAATGTATTCTCCTGTAAAGTGTTGTTCTGCGCTGTTCTGGCACTGTCCAGTGTTTCCTGTTACAGACTCGTTCTTTTGACCAACATTTGCTTCCTTATCAAGTGTATGGATGCTTCGAATGTGTACCTTGCACTGTTGAATAAAACTGTTTAAAATCTTGAGCGTGTGTGGGTTTCACTGTAACTCAAAACTTCAAAACTCTCATATTTACAGCTTTATTTTTCTGGTTACATTTGGACTGACAACCATATTTTAGAGGCCAGGGGACACTTGAGTTTTCATCAACCAACACTCAAACATTTGATTCACAACAGAAGAACAACTGCAGGAAGTTTGTCGTCTGTCCAGTATCTGCTCGATAAATCTGAATTTGTCACCTACTTGTCCCCAAAACAAAGGCCTTCTTCTCCTCCTCCCATATTTGTCTCCCAGTCTTCCTCTTGTGCAGCACTGTGGGAACACTGGCTGGCCTCTGTATAACCACTATCCTCCAGACCTTCATGGTCCTCTTCATCCTCGAGGTCTAAAATCAAAGAATCACATTTTAAGTATTCAAAAAATGGTAGATACAGAGTGCGTTATATGAAAGGTGTGCCTAATAATGCATTCCTAATGTGCATATTTATCTACACTTCTATGAAAGAGACTGAGTTTTAGCCGTACCTTGTTCTTGTTCTTGCAAATTAACAAGCAGAGAGAAACCGTCGGGGCTCAGTGTAACTTCAGGCTCGTCCATCAGTACATGTCGGAGATTACTGAGACTTTTACTCAGGGCGCCGACTTTGGGGCAGGAGGTCCACAGCACACCCAGAGGAACAGAAACACCCCTACCAGCACAGACAGGTGACGTGAGAATCTTAGACAGGAGACGGTATTCAGATCCAAGTGACCACTCTTTGACTCCAACAACGTTTCTCCTCATCATCCTCGAGCAAACTCACCTTTGAAGTCGGCAACACTTCAGTCCGCGCTGGTTCTCTGCCGTGCGTCTGTCACGGTGATCCATCAGATAGTTCGTTTCTGCTCCACATGCTGCAAAATAAAGAAATGCAAGACTCTGTGTGATCAATGTGCTAATGCATTTGACACTGAGACTCTAGCAGTTCAAGTGTCCTCGTTCTGGTCACCTGAAGAGCTGAGACGTTCATCTCTGCCTCCCTCAGTCTGGCACGTTGTATCATTGTTATCTCTCTCCTCGTTCCCCTTCTCCGTATATCGACTCTTCAGCTTTTCTGTCCAGCCCAACACCTCAGCCACCAGGACCCTCCGCAAAATGTTGTTGTCATGCAAGCTGGGGTAGGTGATACTGTACAGCTGACACAGGAACAAAAAAGGCATCAATATCAGGTTATCGGGAGGAAAAATATCTACAAGTCATTTAAAACTTAAAGGTGGGGTAGGCAGGATTCTGTTAAAGAAGCATCTTTTTAGTGGTGTTTATACAAAAAAGCTTTTATATCAGTAAATAGCTTTTAGTTATTGATGAGATTTGGTAATATAACGATATCGCTGTGTTTTGTTATGTCTGTGTAGTCAACATTTTACATTTTTAGAGCGGTCCACTCCACAGAAGAGAAATTCAATGAGGCTTTAATAAAGCATTCAATAATAAATTCAATAAGTAAGCCAATAATTTGTTTTTTTTCAAGCATCATGCAAACGTAGAGTGAGGCAAGTCCATGTTTAATACAGTCTGTGTTGAGGGTCACCAGCAGAGGGCAGCAAACTATGTGACGCAGTAATGGCTTTCACACATTCATAATTTCTTGGACATCACGCTTCAGGACATGTGATTTTGTATTCCTACCACCTCAACTTAAAAAAAAGTGACTCTTCTGTCATGAAAGCTGAACACATGATCAGAAATATGTCCAACCCACCGCATAAAATATCTTTGTGAACTTTTAGTCCAAGAGTGTTTAAAGTCCACCTCCAGTTTACTCACCAGTGTGTATGAAAACTCATCCTCTGCATCATCTCCAAACAAGATATTGCCGTCATCTCTCCCTTTGAGCCGCTGAAACACAGCAATCTGAGAGCAGAAGCCGACTCTTTCCTGCTGACCTGTTGGTGCCTCTCCAACACCGGTGAACTCCACTTCATAACCGTACTCCGCAGATACCTTTAGAGCCCTGGGTGCAGACAAACTCAACAATCTCAGCTTTGCGCTGTCCGCTTCATTCAGAGGTCTGGAAATGTGTCATTAAAACAAGCGTACCAAGACTGGAACTCCGCTCTGGTCCACTCAAACTTGTGGTCATGGTGCCTGAAGCCCTTCAGTCCAGGAAAAAGGGGGTTGAACTCAGAGTTTGGGGTGCTGACAATAACTGACACCGGGACCATGTGACCGAAGACCACCTCAGAGAAACGCTGGACATCTGGGAGAGTGAGGTGCTCTATTCTACAGGACAAGAGCCAGAGAGTTAACACACTGATATAACAGTACAGAGTCATCCAAATATTTAAAGCACTTCATATAAACAGCAGACAAAAACAGAAAATCTATGACCTATGACACAATATACGACAAATCAAAGCTGACACAGAGAAAGTCACTTACAGCTCGATACTGGTCACCAGATCAAATCCTCGGAGGCGGGTGTCATTCTGCGTGACTGAGCCCTGGTACAGCTCGATGCGCAGCTGATCAAAAGTCGGCTGCAGATAATCGGTTGATACAGGACGTAGATCATGCCTGTAAGAGACATGCAGAGAGGATTAATTATCTGTCATTTCACGGTTAGTTGAGATGACAGCAATTGATTTTAACTTCCTCTCTGCCAGGCAAATAAAAGAGAGGCTGTTGGAGCTGACTGGGAGTTTCTTACAAATCCCTGATTGAGCAATCAAAAATTAAAAAGGCTTAACCCTTACTATCAATTTAAATGTAATATACATTGTACGAAGGCAAGACCATCCTTCACATTGACAATAAATTTCACTCTTTAGTAGGAGTTTCCATGCATATGAAAATTGAAGATATTTCAGTTTTAAACTGATAGCAAATCAATGCTTTTCTCAGAAAAAGTCATATGCTGATTTGAGTGTTTGTGCCTTGTGAAAAAAGGGGATTACAGACAATCAAATCAACAAATAATCAAAGATAAAAACTTACTACCAGGAGGAACTTTCAGTTTGTGCTGGTTTTGGTGACCCAATGGACAAACTGATGACTCTTTTCACTCCTGTGCATGTGTAAACCATGTTTTCTGACCAAAAATCTAAAATCCTGCTGTCCTGTCAGTAAAAAAGCTCCTCAGAATGGCTTTCACCTGGCAGTAACTCACATGTGTTTTTTCAGTTTAGCACCGTTGATGTCCACCCCGACCAGCAGCTCCACTTCACGGTGAAACTTCAGGTATTTGAGCAAGCTGCACTCACCGCACCCCAAGTCCACAACCTGAGAGAGAAGCCATTGTTAAAGCTGGATTAATTACAAGAGTCTACTTAGATGTTAAACAGGCGAATAACCAAATCCCCAAAGAGGAGAAATCCATGTTTGTTTGTTGGAGTGCAAGCTAACGTCAGATTCAGCTCCGCCATATCAACTGTTTCAAGCTAGCGAGTCAAATGCAACAAATTAACGTTAATTAATCACTTTGCCCGTTAATGGACGATAGTTTACCTTCCTGGGTTGGTTTTTCTTGACAAAATCGATGACAAACTGATGTCTCTGCCTGTAAAGCGCAGGAGTAAACATGGTTCCCATCTTAACGTTCAAGAAATCAAACGTTAACGTCTGAATGTGACACCGTCCGACACCAGAGGGATGTTTTCTTCCGCATTGACGATAACTTAATTATTTTTCAAAAAATGTACAAAAAGATACTTGTTTAAATTATTATACAAATTATTTTGTATTATTTTTCAAGTATTCAAAAGTTATAAAAAAACTTTAAAAAAAAGTTCGCACATCTGTTCTCTAAATTGTGATGGGCACGGCAGTTCTTTTAGATATACTGAATCACTTTAATCAGTTCACTAAAAAAGATTCGTTCAAAGGATTCGTTCACCAAAGCCTGCTACTCTGACCTCCTGAACTGATACACAGCTGAACGGTTCAGGATTCGGTTCACTTCATAGTTTCTGGGACCAGGAGACGAGAGTGTTCGGCTGTGTTGCTTTGACAAACAGGTTTGTAAAAATGAACTTGTTTATAAGTTATGATCTTTTAAGTGTACTGTCCTATGTTATGCTATTTATCAGGTCTGCTTGGTAAATTGCCTTCAGTGAGTGATTCGTTCACTGAACATTTAGAAGAATTCACACTGAACATGCACCGCTCCCTCGCAAACTGCTGCAATGATAGGATGTTGAGAGATTAATGCACTACTTGTTACATGCTGTGTGCATTTGCATGTAAGTTGTTGTGGTGGCAATTTTAACAGTGAAAAAGAGGTAGTTTTGTCTACGATTCCAGAGAGTGTAGTTCGATGAGTGATTCGTTCACCAACTGATTCAGGCGTCAATGCATGTGGTCTCTGATTCACTGGCTGCTAGCCTGGTAATGCTGTTTCTCACTTCAGCTCAACTGAAGTGAGAAACGAACGAATCACTCGAGGAAGTGATACAGTTCAGTATGTTCACTTAAAAGATTCAGTTTATTTGAACGAATCGTTTGCAAACGAAACAACACTATCTCCAAAGCGGATTGCCATGGTATTTCCGTCAGATGTTAGTCCATTTTTCATCCCAACTAACGCCAAAATAAACCAAAGTTTCGTTGAATTTGTAGAAAAAAAATAGTGTATGTTTTTAGTTGATGTTATCCAAAATATCTGTGGTAGGTTCACCAAAGCAAGGATTTTCCACAAGGACAAATGAGCCCTATAGGCCTGCTATTCATGGGCTTTACTGGGAATTCAAGGTCCCATGAAAGTATGTCACCGTAACATTAAATGCATTTAGGATCAGTTAAAAGCTTTGAAAACTTTGTATATCACACTGAAAATTTGGGATGACAAAAACAAGAGAGAAAGCCCATTTCTAAGCAACACTTTCTGCATTATGTCTGCATTTCAATGTCAACGGGGGCCATAAATTTGTATGTTCGGGCATTTTAACATTGACATTCAAAGACAAAGAACTCATGATTATCCATTGATACAAGAATGTTCTTTTCACAGCTCTGGACAAACACACAGTTTTAATAAACAAACACTCCAACACTCATGTTTACTCATTGGATAGTTTTATTTGTTAACAGATTTAATTTATTCCTTCATTTGTCAGAATTCACATAAAGACCAGTCACAAGAAAAATATACTGCATGGTTTTTAAAGATATAAATTGTTTAAATATATTTCTTTAAACTACTTTTAGCTTAACAATTATTGAGAAAATCTAATAGCCTAACTCAAAAATAAAACAATCTTTGATAAATATAATTTCAGCAACACTTTCAGCTATGATGCCACATGCTGCTAGGATACCAGCCACAAAAATTAAAATATGTACTATATGCAGTTTCTATAAGATCCACAAGCATCCAAATCTAAAGGTTCTCCTTTAATTTATCCGACAATTTAATTTAGTTAAATCACTTCTTTTTGTTTTACAATTTCAGTCCTAAATTTTTTAGATATCAAACTGGTAAAACTTGTTTTTAAGGGGGAACGGTGAAAAAGTTGAACATACAATTACTTCTGAGTCCATGTCAATATGAATGGCTGTGTGTCGTTTCATTAACGAGAGCCGGTTGTTCTGCTCACTGGTCTGGTGTAGTGACTTTGGGTGATGGTGTTTTTGGCTCTGATTCTGACGCTGTAGGTGGTCCACGGCTTGAGGTTAGTCTCTGTGTAAAAATCACCTTCCACGGTCCTCACTCTCTGCTGCTTGTTCTGTTCCTCCTCAATCAAGAGCGTGTACTCGTTCGCATCCTTCACTGTCGTCCACTTCACGTACAAAGAAACTCCACTTACTGTTACATTCTGCAGTTTTGGGACTTCAAGACCTGAGAGACAAACAAAGAGGGAAACAGAGCCGTGTGAGAATGGGACAACCTTTGGAGTGTACGTCTACAATGACCGCGGGACAACTATGACTCATTATCTCACTCATCCCTTTCTTTTGGTGGTGCTGTAACACGACACTCACCATTGTCAAAGTGGGAGAAAACTTCTGTGGTCCTCAAATCTCTTCTCCTGCGAAGGCTTAGCGAACCTGAAGAGGTAAATAAACTCTTGTAACAACTTTCGAGAGCAAGAATTAAATGTGACATGAAGAGAAAAGCAAAAGTAAGCATTAAATAACAGAATTGACTCTCTGTGACTGACCTGTTATCTCAAGGCTTGGGTTGCTCTCTCCTTCATCATTGTAAGCTATTACTGTTGTGTTATCAGGATCAAAGTCGATGAGTTGGCAGAAGAGTTCCTCTGTGCTGCACAGCTCCACTCGCTCTGCTCCTGACTCATCATAGATCGTGTAGCCCGTTGCAAACACCGATGACTCCCAGGAAACTCTGACTGACTCACGAGTACCGGAGTATTGCACATTCTTTGGGGCGCAGGGGACTGCAAAAGAAGAAAAGAGGAAAGGAGTTTGTATTTGATTTTTGCACTGCAAAGAAAAAAAATACACTGTGCAGATTGAAAGTTACCTGTGACTCCAATGAAGGCAATAGATTGCTCACTTACACCACCCGAGTTTCTCGAGCGTACAGTGAGGTTATACGCTGTGCTGCAGGGCATGGGAAACTCAAAGTACGGCCTGGGAAGCCAGTATGATGAAACCTCCATCACAGCTTGTGGGCTGTCCTCAATTCTACCGGTTATCTCCACAAGGTACTCAACGTCAGGACAATCGATGTGTTCCCATGATGCCATGGCCCAGTGAATTTGTCCTATTCTCTGCAGTCTGACTTTCGGAGTAGACGGCGGGCAAGGAGCTAAAGAGGAGAAAGACTCAGACTTAGGAGTGTTTTTGAACAAAACTGCTCTTCTTGCTGACTTTTGTTGTTGGATTTATTGATTACTACAATATTCAGCTGCACGCATGCTGATGAAGACCAGGAAGAGAGTCCACATCACGCCAGTTTGAAAATCTCTGCATTGGTTACCTGTGTCTTTTTTTCAATATCCTGTGTGAATGGACAGCACTTTGTGCCACAATCTATGTATGAAAAGTGCTTTCAAAATACATTTTGATTGATAGATTGATTGATTTCTAACCATTACATTAACTGGAGTAATTTACAAATCTATAAACAAACAACAGGGTACCAAAAACAGTTTTAACCTTCTTAAAATGGACAGCAATCAAGCTTTAAAAGTTTGTATGTGAGGCTCAGATTGTAATGATACTATCAGCAGAGATGGTCTAATCTTTCAGATGTAATGATTACCTGCTCCCTCCTGCAGAGGTTCACTCAATGAGCTGTTGCAGAAGCCGTCAGAAGCTTCCACAGAGAAATTGTAAACCTCTCCACATTCCAGGCCCTCGATGACACAGGAAGTGAAATCGCTGTCACAGTAAATCGGGTCTCCCTCGAAGGGTTGAGCGCAGCCATAATACTCCACAGCGCCCTCACTGGCATCCCAAGACAAGACGGCAGAGTTTGTCTCGCAGTCGACATCCACGGCAAGACCAGAGGGCTCACAGGGCACTAGAGGAGAGAGGAACCCAGAAGTTGACATAAGACCGACAAATCCTTTTTGATCACAGTAAAAACGGAGGCCCACATGTTGTCCCACGTGTCTTTACCTGATCTAAAGGTAGCAGTGGTGGCGGGGCTGGTGCAGTTGTCTCCTGTCGCTGTGATATTTAAGCTGTACGTCTGTCCACAGTGCAGGTTGGCCAGAGTGCAGTTGTTCATTGAGGTGTTGCAGTGCACGACGTGTCCATCAGCTCCTGTTGATATGAGCAGGTAGGATGTAGCCACATGGGAGTGTCCCCACGTCACTGAGGCTCCATGATCCTCACAGGATGGTGTCATCGTCACATTCTCTGGAGCACAGGGGGCTAAAATAGGAAAGAGAACAAACAATTGAAAAAGTAAAAAAAGGACCAAAAAAGCTAAAAACACAAAATTTCTTCAGAGTTTCTTTAAAATTATGTTGAAATTAATTTGAATTCACACATGCACCCCTACGCGACTGAATCAGACTCTACTAGTGAGCTGTAAAACACCTGTTTTAATCTTCTTTGGTGGACTTCTGAGGCTGCTGCACTTATCAGAGGAAGTTGACACAATGATGCTGTAATGCATGCCACACTTCGCTTTCTTGAGTACACAGGAGTTCCAGGAGCTGTTGCAGGAGATGATGGACAGGTCGTGGCCCTCGGCGGTCACCACGTACACAGGCGTGTCCTCGGTCCTCTCCCATTCCACGAGGATGGTGTCGTTGTTGCACTGGGTCACTGCGCTGACGGACGTGAGAGCACACGGACCTGCGGTACAAGAAACATACAGATGAGAGAAAGTTTCAAACAGTCAGTCACTCATAGTACATAGTCCAGTTACAGCAGGAGTCACTTTGAGAGTCTTGCACCAGTTTAAATACCTGTTTCAAGCTCAAAGGTGGTGCTGTTGCTGCTGTTGCAGTGCTTGTTGACAGCAGTGACATAGAAGGTGTACAGCGTTCCACACTGTAGATCTGGGACATTACAAGGCGAGAATTTGGAGGTGCAGTTGGAGGTGTGACCTCCAACCCCTTCGGCCACAACGTAGTAGCTGTCGGCTCCTTCTGAAGCCTCCCACGTCACCCAGGCGGAGTTTGACACACAATCCAGACGGCCCTCAGGTTTACTGGGCACACACGGAGCTGTGGAGGGTGAAATGGAGAAGAACAAGTGTTGGAAGAGTCAATATTATATTGGAAATAGTTTTTTATTATTAATATTTTCAATTATTATTTAATATTTGTCATGAAAAAAAATTATATTATTATTTTCAATTTCTATTATTTTATTATTTATTTATTTTTATTATTTATTTTATTTATATTATTACTTATTTATTACTTTATGTTATTTTTATTTTATTATTTATTTCTTTTATTATTTATGTTATTAATATTTTTATTAATAATATTATTAATATTTTATGCATATTTTGAATTATTATTTTATCTTCTTTCTTTCTTTCTTTCTTTCTTTCTTTCTTGTATTTCAAAGTTTAGTCCAACTAACATTTAGCACTTTATCTGTCTTCATCTATCTTTCTTTGTGTAAATTTTGCCTTTGAATAAGTGGATAATCGCTGAAATCACCTGATGAGGTCTTCACCACAGCGCTTGGCTCACTCTCACACTCGTCTCTCTTTGACACCACAGTGATGTTGTAAGTCTGTCCACACGGGAGGTTGAATATGGTGCAGGCGGTGCCGGAGGAGTTGCAGTGTAGTCTCGCTCCAGTGTTGCTCACCGCAGTCGCGTAGAAGTGCTGAGCGTCAGGGTTGGGCAACCATGAGATGGTCATGTCACCATCATCACACAGAGCATTAACAGCCACGCTCTCGGGTGGACAGGGGGCTGCAGGGAGACGATTCAAAGCGTTTAGAATAGTTTAGTTTGAGCACTCAGGAGACAACAACAGGTAAAAGTAGTAAAAAAAGAATCTTAAGATCTGCACAGTGTGGTCATATATAGTCGTGGATGTTTCCAACACCTGTTTGCATGTAGGAAACTTCACTCTCCATACTGGAACAGTACTGGTCCTCGGCAAACACGGTTACATTGTAGGTCTGTCCACACTGCAGGTCAGTCATGTCACAGTGGGTCTCTGTGTGGTTACATTCAGTCTGGTGGCTTCCATCTGCTGTGACGCCAACTGCGAGATATGAGAGCGCTCCGCTGGCTCGTTCCCACGTCACCGCGGCGGAGTTTGAATGGCACAGGAGAGCCGCTTTGACATTGGTCGGCTTGCAAGGAACTGAAGACAGACAGAGGACAGACTCTCTGTTACATATGCAGCATATCTACAGTATGGATCACTGGAGTTTTTTCAGGGGTGTCCCGATACAACTTTTTGACTTCCAATACAGATATTGTAACCTTCAATGTTGTCAGATACCAATATTGATCTTATATTGGCACAAACTTGTTCATGACAAGTTTTTCACTCAGCTGCTATGTCTTTTTTGGACTTAAACAAAAAATACTGCCACACTCTTACCCTTTGCTACTTTGTTAGTACCTTAGTACACACTGTTGTTGTGATTTTGTGGGCTCAGCTTGCTGGATCTGGGTGCTGCTAGATAGAAGAGTCTGGAATGGACTGCTTGTATCGGAGTGCTGTGTAACGCAGATTACAGAATCCTTATATCCTTATCCTCAATCCTCATGTTCCTGCTCCCTATCATCCAAACCATAGTCTTAACTTTGAATTAATCACTTTTATTTATGGATGTTTTAGGCCTTTTGGAAATATAATATAGATATTTGAGTTGAGATGTTATTTTATTGAAAGCTTCAAAAGGGAAGTTTATGGACCCTTGTTTTTTTTTTTACCATTTATATGCCTTGAATTGAACTGTTTTTAGTTAAATGTGAATTTTGTTTGACTGAAAAAAGATTACCGGTATAATTTAAAAGGAACTTTTTGATATTTCAGTGCATTTAAATTAAAATCTGATGGATATATTTTATTTATAGTTTATAATTTTGTTTTATTTTGAATGTCTTTTCTTGGTGTTCTATCAAGTATTTTGAGTTTATTAATAGAGTTTGTATAAATTACATTTTTCGTTTGTGTTTATTACTTTTCACCCAGCTCCAGAGACAAACCACTCGCCCAAATCTAACCTTTTGTTATATGTATAATCATTTATAAATTAAATTCAAAATTAATATAGCATTATCTAATATATCATAACATAAATATAGTATATATTTCATAAGAGCTACAGCTGATATCAGACTGATAAACGATATCAATATCGTATCGGGACACCCCTAGTACTTTTCACACAATTAGATTAGCTATTCAACTAATCTAATTCAGTTCACACATGACTATTTTACACTGACCTGACTGCAGGCTGAGGTAGGCGTTACTGTTGTCACACACTCCGTCCTCAGCCGTCACCGTCAGGTTGTAGAGCTGACCACAGTGCATGTTGAGCAGCTGGCAGTAGGTCCCAGTGCCGTTACACTTCGTCCTGTGACCATCGGGACCGTAAGCTCGCACCGTGTAGGATGACACGACCTCGTCTTCTTCCCACGTCACTACACCTGTGTCAGCGCTACACATCATCTCTGCCGTCACTCTCTGTGGGACACACGGCGCTACAAAGAGATGAAATAAGGTCAGGTGTTTCCAGTGCGTTAAAACGACACACACTTTGCCTCATAGGTGCACTGAAAGTTGCTGTTTCACCTGTGTTGATCTCCTCAGGGTAGCTCTCAGCGCTGCTGCACGCCTCATCAGAAGCACTGACAGTGATGGTGTAGTTGTGGCCGCAGAGCAAGTCAGTGAAAAGATAGGTTGTACCGGTGGTGTTGTAGGAGGATGTGTAGCCACCATTGCCTAGTGCGACTGTGGTGTATGATGTTGCCCCTTTGCTAGGCTCCCAAGAGACTGCCACAGCACCAGATTCACAAACCACCCGGGACTCCACCTGCTGTGGTACACAGGGAACTGCGAGGACAGAGAAGGAGACATTTAGATCTTGCACAAGACATAAGGATCATGCAGCCATCATTTGTAAACATAGGTATTACCAGCTCTGTTAGGATAAAAACAACTCCTCCTTTTAATTCTTACAGTTCCATCAAGAGGGTTCAAGTTCCCACAAGTGTCCAAAAGGGTTAAAGTCCCTGACTGAGACATTCAGTAAAACCAGTGCAAGGCTGAAATTGCCGGAGACATCCAGAGAAGAGAGAAAAAAGAAAAAAAAAAAGACCCAGGCGCAAAGACAAAAGTGGGATCAAGAAGAGTCCGGAAAACCATAACTCTCCAACTTTCAGTCTCATGAGAGATAAATATGGGGGTACTTTTGTTTTTCTGAAAAACGATGTTTTCATGGTGTCCAGGGCAAACATGGAACAGATGAATATTTTTTCTGTTTGTCTTATTGATTTTAAATCATTTTATGTCTTTTTTATTTTAAATGGTTTTGTATTTTGGGGCACACAGATGGCCAAGCGGGTAAGTGGGCCCCATATATGGAGACCATGGTCCCTCCCCACATTTCACCCTGTCCCATCAATAAAAGGCAAAAATTGTCCAAAAAATAATTTTAAAAAATTGTTTTGTCTTTTTGATTCTAAATTTTTTTAATCTCTCGTTTGTTTAATCTTTTATGTATTTCCTTGCATCTGTAAAGCACTTTGAATTGCCTTGTGTATGAATGGTGCTATACAGATAAACTTGCCTTGCCTCTTTTTTCCCGTCTTGGTTAAATTCAAATGTTTTTCCTCCAATGACATGCACACACAGTCAGTACTTACACACTATTCTTCTCTGATACAGCAAAATAAGTCATTTACTTTCGAGCTTCAACATGTTGGGTCCCCCTGGTGGTCCTTACCTGCATGCAGCTGTGTCACCTCACTCTGTGTGACATTGCAAATGCTGTTTACTGCTATCACGCTGATGTTGTAGGTGAAGCCGCACAAAAGGTCTGTAAGGATGCAGGACTCTGATGATTCAGCCTCACAGCCAGTTTCATGTTCTTCCAAGCCTAAGGCCTGAACGATGTAGGAGTCAGCTCCGATACTGGGCTCCCACCCCACCCAGGCTGTGTTTGTGGAGCAGTCCATTATATAAGTGACATCTTCGGGAGGGCAGGGCACTAGAGGAGGAAACAGGAGAAGATGGTTTATTGACAAAAAATGAGAAACTTTCTACAAAATTGCCCTTTTGAATTAAAAAGAAGGTTTTTTGAGGACTCACCTGACTTCACCTGCAAAGTGGAGCTTGGAGGGCTGCTGCACATCCCGTTTGAAGCCACAGTAGTCACTTCATACGTCTCGCCACACTGCAGCTTCAGGAGCTCACAGTTCGTATAATTGCTGCTGCAGATGGAAACATTCCCGCTAGAGGAGCGGGCTGTTGCCGTGTAGTTCACAGCACCCTCAGCGTAAGCCCAGTCCAAGAGGGCGGAGTTTGTGTAGCAGTCCAGAACAATGGAGGCATTTGTAGGTGTGCAGGGAACTGAGTGAAGGGAGGAAGAAACGAGGTGACAACAGCATCATATGAGGAGATGTATTCATATCTAAAAGGATTTTGAGTTCTTCTTACCTGATTCAAACTCTAGAGCTTGGCTGGGCAGACTGGAGCAAATCTCATCCTCAGCCACCACCTGGACAGAGTAGGTCTGGCCACAGGTCAGGTTGGTCAAAATACCTATAGGGGTTGGGCTCTCGCAGATCGACACGTCTCCCTGTCTGCTCTTAGCTGACACTCTATAGGACACAGCGCCCTCACTGGCGCTCCAGGACACCTCAGCCTCATTTGCAGAGCAGTTCACCTTTATTTCCACATCAGTAGGGACACAGGGCCCTGGGGAAGACATGAGAGGGAGATTACTCAACGCTGAACCATGAGAAGAAGGCTGAGATTATATGAACAGGACTTTTAGAGGTTCCTGATTCAAGACATTGACAGTAGTGAGCAATAAATGTAGGAAGAATCCAGACATCAGGGTCAAGTACAGACGAATATCTAGATTTTCATCTCTGACTGACCTGACTCCAATGAATCGCCCTCAGCTGGGTCCGAGTCACACTCGTTGTTCGAGGCAATAACCTCAACGGTGTAATCCTGTCCACAGTTGAGGTTCTGCATGCCGCACTCCTCGGTGTCAGTCCAGCAGCTCATATTATAACCGTCTCCCTGCGTGACTGTGGCAGTGTAGAAAACTGCTCCAGCAGAGCCGGTCCATGAGACCACGGCAATATTAGAGAGGCAGTTCATGGAGCTGGAGACATCAGTGGGGGGGCAGGGCACTGAATGGGAGAGGAACAGACTAGACTTAGGGGGGACAGGTTTTTTAAAAAGCCTGTTAAGGTATCTCATCCAGCATTTACAGAAACTGCAACATCCCAAACACTAATGTTGTGGCCAAACCACACGAACCAAGACCAAGACGTGAATTGAGAGCAAGTCAGGATGAAGATCAGGGCAGGGTGAGACCAGAACAAGACCAAGACCATATATCAGAGAAAAACCATCATGAGACCGACCAAAGAAGAAAAAAAAAAGGTTCTCTTTCCTTATTTAACTAAATTTGTTCATCTAACTTTTTAAAAATTTGAAAATTAAAGACAGATTTATTTGACCACGTAAGTCCACGTAAACATCATATTTCTGAAATTAATAAATGGATGACTAAATAATTTCAAAGCAAAAGTCAGACCTAGCCGGAAACTTTCTGTTTGTTGAACCTGACCCTTAAAGAGTGCTCAGTTGGAAAACACTCTGAGATACTTCAGTATTTTAGAGAGTGAGGGATAGGAGGGGTACCTGACTGGAGCACTGAAGGCTGACTGGGAAGACTGGTGCACTCGGAGTCTGCTGCCTGAACAGACAGGAAGTACTTCTGTCCACACTGAAACTCAGAAATGAAGGTCCAGGTGTCGTTTGTGCTGAGCTGCACTCTGTGGCCGCCGTTGGTCTCTGCCGTCACAACGTAATACTCAGCGGTTTCACTGGGGTCCCAGGACACAGATCCAAACTTTTAAAAAGAGATAGGAAGAATATTCAGTGTAAAATTCAATTAACCTAATAAGTTTAAGATTTACAGTTGAACTTTGGGAGTAATGGTCTGTTTAAATGTTTAAAAAAAGCAGTAAATATTTACCTTATAAGTGCAATTCAAAGATGAATCCACGTTCTGAGGGATACAAGGAGCTGCAAAAGAAGACAATATGTAAGACAAGAGCTCAAAATAGTCTCTTTTTCTTTTTCTTCCTTTGTGTTAAATGGTGTTTATAAAATTGTCAGAGTAAAAGTGGAAAAACTTGTTTTATTTCCAGAACATCCTTGTTTTGTATCTCCATTTGTTCATACAAGAGAGAGCAAAACGAAGAGCAAGAGTCAAGTCTAATTTCCAGTTTATGATTTATTTTCGTTCTTGAAAACTTTCCTGAGTTTACCTTAAATTTGTTGTTTAGTGTTTCTTCTTGACTCTTTCAGATTTAAAAATATTGTTTGATGTATCACACTTCACTGCTCAAAGCTCATTTACCCATGTGTATGGAGGTGCTGTTGCTTGGCATGCTGCTGCAGAGGTCGTCATTGGCAACGACATGAACTGTATACTGCTCGCCGCAGTGCAGGTCGTCCCAGGAGCAGATGGTCGTGTTTGAGGTGCACATGTGGGTGTGGCCATCTTGACCCACTGCGATGGCCATGTAGAACTCGGCCCCGTCGCTCTTACCCCAGCTGACAGAGCCTGTGTTGTTCTCACAGGGTGTGAAGCTCTCGACATGCTTAGGTATGCAGGGCCCTGAGGACAAGGAACATTGTTGCATCATAGTGGAAGTGATTTATCGTGTACATAGCGAGGTACAATCACTGTGTTTACATGCCCACCAAACACCAAACATCATTTAGACATCTTTTTTCAGGCTAAATCATGTCGGCATGTCATGGTCGTAATTTAGCCCAAAAAAAGACGTTAAAACTGGGCTTTATTAAGATGGTCCAAATCTAGACGTTGTTTTGACGTATGGCGAAGACGTCTTTTCAACCACTTTTTGTTGGATGGGTGAGCACAAATAATCAGAATAAAGGCCAGATCGGAATAAAAAGCTACATGTAAACATGTCGATCGCAAGATTCCAGTCCAATTCGGCTCAATCAGACAAAAATTGTATTCCGATCAAGAGGGCTGGTTTATGCCGATCGTTATTCCAAAACGCGTCCATGTAAACACTTATTCCGATCGTGACTCTCTAACCTGACTTGATCTTCACTCTTTAGCCTTTGGTTTATTTATTGAGGCTTATAAAGGAGGTTTCATTATTAACACTCTGACACAAAACACAATCGCAGGTGCCGTGTCTGCTCCTCCAATAACATAACAAAGTGTACATACAGCGAAATGATGTAACATCTGACACACATGATGTCACGTCAAAACTCCTCAATTGGATGGAGTGAGCCACTACCACATTTGTTGGTTTGTTGACAGCACAGGCGTCAATGCAACTCTTCTTCTGCAGCTGTTTTCAGCAAAATCAGACAACTCTGCACATGTCCAAAAGCTTCTAATCTGAATAAAACTTGGTGCATGTATACACACGTCATTTGATTATTTGATATTGCGCCCAAATAAGCAGTGGATACAGATTTTCCAATCCCTCAAATTTTTAATCAAATCAAGAAATTTAGCATCGACATGTCAACATGGCGATTGAGCGGCATGGTTACCTGTCTTGAAATCTGCAGGCCGGCTCTGAGGGCTTTCACACCGTCCATCCTGGGCTTGTACAGTGAAGGTGTAAAGCTGTCCGCAGGGCAGATCTGCCTCTAGTATTGTCTCCTCAGTCTGGAAAGCTGTGACATACCCCAGATCTCCTGTGACCATCACCCTATAGGCTGACGCCCCATCAGCCTCAAACCAATCCAACACGACTGTCTCATTATAACAGGACCCAGAGAGAGTCAGACCAGAAGGCTGGCAGGGTTCTGGAGAGGGGACAGAAAGGAAAAAGTGTCAGACAATATCACCAATGAGACATGTGACCCCTTCACACGCATAAGAAAGTTATAAAGTAGAACGGCTGTGATAATTAGCCGTACCTGTCTTAATCTCCACAGCACTGCTGATCTCACTGCAGCACATGTCAACATAAGCGGCTACTGTAAATTCATAAGTTTCCCCACACTGCAGTTCGGAGAAGTAACAGGTGGAGTTGGTGGAGTTGCACTGCTTCATAATTCCCGTGCTGCTGTAGGCGGTCGCCATGTAGAGCTCCACTCCGTCACTCTCCTCCCAGTGCAAGTCAGCTGTACTCGTCCCACACACCAGGTCAACTCCGACACGTTCAGGTTTACACGGCCCTGAGTGACAGGATTAGATGAGCCATGCGTCACGCACACTCGAGGAGATACTTCATCTTAAGAAGGGAGGAGATGTTGTTCAACTCACGTGTGCTGAAGGTAACCTCAGTTTTTTTCTCAGTCCGACAGTCCTCGCCGATAGATATGAGGCTGATGTTATATGTCTGACCGCACACCAGCTTTGTCAAATTACACCAGAGCCCGTCTGTCTCACATGAATCTGAGGTGCCGTCCATTGCCATGGCAGTCACAGCGTACGAGTCTGCTCCAGCTGTCTCGCTCCAGGAGACTCTGGCTGTGTTGTTATAGCAATCCAAAGATGCAGTCACAATTTCAGGGGTACAGGGAGCTGAGGACAGAAGGGAGCAAAGACATACGAGATACTGATGAGGAAATGGTTCAATGGCTTTGAAGTAAGCTCCAAAGGGGGCTAAAAGGTTGAATAACTTATCTGTTCAAGTGCATGTTGGACGGACATCAATTCATCTTACCAGCGACCAGCAGGACGGGGGTGGAGCTGCTGCTGTTGAGCGTCTCTCCGATGGCGATGACACTGGTGTAGTAGACGACTCCACAGTGGAGGCCGTCTACTTCACAGTAAGTGTCATTAGAGTAGCAGGACATTTCGTGGCTGTCGCGCCCAGAGAGAAGAGCCTCGTAGGCGATCGCACTATCGCTGGCCTCCCACGACACCGCCCCCATGTCTGTTTGACACCGCACACTGGTCTGCACATTAGTTGGCGGGCAAGGCTCTGGGGGGCGTGAAAAATGATTTTAATACATGTTGTATAACTCCTTCATCTTTGTTTTTCACCACTTTTGAACCTGATATCTATAACGGAATACATCATAAGAGGCTCTATATCTGTGACCAATCGCTGCTTTTGTTACTGATCCTCTCACTGTAGGTCGTCTAAATCGATGATCTTCAGGTATAAAAGTTTACTGTTAGTTTCCTGCAGATAACTTTGTCTGTCATGCATGTTAAAAAATAAAGGATTGGTCGATTTTACTCACCTGTCATAATGACGACGTCTTCGGTTGATGTCGACAAGCCGCTGCAGACGTGATTGTTCGCCGTGACGCTGATGTTGTACGTCTGTCCACAGGTCATGTCATACAGAGCGCAGTAGGTGTCGTTGGCCATGCAGGAGACCATCAAGCCCCGATCCGTCACACCTTTGACTGTGTAGTCATCTGCACCAGCAGCCGCGTCCCACAGCACCTGTCCGACTGTGGTGCTGTACAGAGTGTTGATTCTCTCAGGGATGCACGGCTCTGATTGGCGAGACGGAGTCAAGCATCGATGGATTGATAATTTAGTTATTAATAAAAATGAGCCAGGCAATTTCCTTTAAATGATTTTTTTAAGTATCATCGTCTGTGTGCTCACCAGTGATCAGCTCTCCTGCCATGTAGGCATCGCTGCTGCAGGTCTCCCCAACAGCCTTGACGCACAGAGTGTAGCCCTCTCCACAAAGCAGCCCCCCCAGGTCAACGAAGGTGGAGTTTCCTTCCCAGCTGACGTTGTGTCCTGACGCCGTGATAGCTGTGACCTCGTAGGTCCAGGCGCCGTCACTCGGGTACCAACTGACCATCGCCGTCTGCTTGTAGCAGTCCATGGTTGCCTCGATGTTACTCGCCTTACAGGGAACTGAGAAGACAGGCAAGACAGTTAGTCCTGTTATTATCCTTCACATTTAAAGGTCTTAAATGTAAAACTATAAACAAAAATAAGTTGTTTCACGAGAACTTCTTACAGCTGGATTATAAAAAAGCACAATTATCTAACTTCTGTCCCACCTGAAGGCGTTTCAACCTCAGGGGTGGGCGGGCTGTCGCAGCATCCATCAGAAGAAACCACAGAGACGTGGTAGACCTGACCACAGCCGACTCCTGTCACATTACAGGATCCCTCAGTCGTACCCAGGCAGGATGTGGCCTGACCGTTACTGTCCCGCATCGTGGCGATGTAGGAGTCTGCTCCTGGGCTGTCAACCCAGGAAACAACCAGAGTGTTGTCCTCGCAGTCCATCTCAGAGGTGATGTATGCAGGAGTGCACGGCGCTGTGAGGGAGATACAAAACAGACATGAAAGTTTTTCTTCAACAGTTTCTGTTTAATAGATTTTCAACTAAACTGGTCTGATGGATTAAAACATGTTTTTGCAGTGAGATCATTCCTTATGCAGCATTAAAAAAATGCGATTTTCAGGAAATAAATCAACCCCAAAAATTATCTCCCAGCTTCACTTAACTTGAGTTGAACTAAATTTAACATACTCTCTTTACCTCACAGATGTTTCCTGTGCATAAATGTGCACTCATCAATGGCTTGTTCATTGTCTTTTCTATATAAATACAGTATTTCATAAGGCTTGGCGAAACCAAAAATTTACCGATAGCGAAATTATACACAATAACCGAGGTAATTTTGCCCATGTCAATATATTCCTTGTCAAAAAATAAATTAATAAAAGTTGGTTTTGGATGTGTGTAGGTAAGATATGGTCTCATGTCCCTTTAAGACGCTGTCCTACGTCAGAGACGTGACTCCGCCCCATCCAGTCCGTAACAAAGAGGGAAAGACAGGTGAGGAGATGGAGGACGGTTTAAAAGTTGTAGCGGCTGAAGTAGACGAAGTTAATGTGGGAGGGGGTGAACAGCTTGTGGAGTAGCTATTGTCCATTTATCGTTATCAAGGTGAACTGCTCAATATATCATGATATTGATTTGAGGCCATATTGCCCAGCCCTAGTATTTTCCTGACACACACGACCTATAAGGTGAACTCAAACAAACCTGTCTTGATTTCCACGCTCTCGCTCGTTTTGCTCTGGCAGTGGATGTCCTCTGCGGTCACGGTTGCTGTGTAATACTGTCCACAGTGGAGACCCTTTAGGTCACACATGTTCTCGTGGTCGCTGCAATTCACCTCATGTCCATCCTCACCCACAGCCTTCACAGTGTAAAACTGAGCTCCTCTGCTGTGGTTCCACGACATCGAGGCCACGTTGTGCTTGCAGCTCAGGTTGGCTTTGAGGTTCTCGGGGACACAGGGCACTGATGAGAAAAGATAGATACAGAAATTTTACTCTGCTGTATTTGACTGAGTTTCATTTATCCTCCCACTTTATTGAGTATAAAGTATCTTCAATACCCGTCCTAACAATCTCCCCTTCACTCTGGGAGCTGTTGCAGGTTCGTCCCTCGGCCACAACAAGCAAAATGTACATTTCTCCACACGGCAGATGAGTGACGTCACAGCTGCTGCCCGGTGCCGGTGAGGTGCAGCAGGCGGAGCCTCCGTTTATCTGCTCCAGTGTTGCCGTGTACGAGAGCGCACCAGGGACAGCTGACCAGGCGGCAGTAACAGAGTGATTCGCGCAGCCCACGGACATATTCACGTTCTCAGGAGGACAGGGAGCTGTGGAGATAAAGAATCTTATTTTAATAAAATCAGCAAAGTCATGGCCTATCTTAACTCTCGCCATGTCTAAGTGAGTAAATATGGGGTTTGTTGTGTTTTCATGCACCTGTCTCAGTCGTGATGGCGTTGCTGGGAGCACTGCTGCACTGCTGGTCACGGGCCTGGAGGGTGAAGGTGATGTTTTTGCTGCACATCAGCGGTGGCAACGCTAACGTCCTATCTGAGGTGGAGTTAAACTCATATGTCTGGACATTGCCCTGGCTGTCGGTCGCCGTGACGACATAGTCCTCCGCCCCTTCTGACTCCTCATACATCAGCCAGGCTGAGTTTGTCAGACAGTCCATCTCTGAGTCAGAGAGTTGGGGAACACAGGGAACTGGAAACAAAGACGAGAGGTAAGAAAGTTCGTACGCAGGAAGACTTAATCCATATCCAGACATTTAGGTAACTGTCTGCTACCAGGGTAGGCAGGTAGACAGACAGATAGATAGATGAAACAATGGATAGAACGATAAATAGCTAGATAGATAGCTAGAAAGATAGATAGATAGATAGATAGGATAAAAAAAGGACGACAGAACGATAGGTAGAACGATAGAACAACGATAGATAGATAGAACGATAGATACAATGATAGATACAATGATAGGTAGAACGATAGATAGATAGATAGATAGATAGATAGATAGATAGATAGATAGATAGATAGATAAAAGAACAGATAGATAGACAGAAAGATAAATAGATAGAATGATAGAACATCATATAGATAGAACGATAGATAGAATGATAGAACGACAGAAGGATAAATAGAACCATAGATAGAATGGAGGATAGAACAATACATAGAACGACAGATAGGACGATATATAGGACGATAGTTTGATAGAACAATAGATAGGACGATAGAATGATGGATAGATAGATAGAACGATAGATAGATAGACAGATAGATGAGTTTATTTATCCCGTCATAGCAGTCCGATAAAATACAATCAAATAAACAAAATACTGAAGAAGACGAGAACGAAAAACAACATATAAACAACATATTCACACGCCATTATCTGTCCTCACCTGTCATGATCGTCTGTGTGGGACTGTCTCTTCCCACACATCCGTCCCTGGATGGTGTGATGGTGATGCTGTACTTCATTCCACACTTCAACCTACTGAAACCGCAGCCAGTGCCTTTGCTGCTGCAGTTGTGTTGGCGACCAGTGCTGTCGACCGCGAACACTGTGTACATGACCCCGGGTGAGCTGTTGCTCCAACTCACAGACACGTTACCCGAAGCACAGTCCACTTCTGGGAGGAAGGTGCTGAGAGGACAGGGAGCTGAAAGAAACAGAGACAGAAATTAACAAAGTTTCAAAAATGAATAATTATGATAAAAAATGAATAATTATATTTGTTTGCCTACCTGTAACGACCTGCTTTGTGGGACTGTAAGAGCTGTTGCAGGCCTCATCTTCAGCCCACACTGTGACATTGTAAGTCTGACCACACTGCATGCCTGGGATGACGCGGTGATGATCAGCGGTCTTCCAGATGCTAGCGTCGCCACTGCTGCTCACTACAGAGGCGCAGAGCTGAACAAAGTGACCCGTCGACTCCCAGGTAACGTTCAGGACCCCAGACAGGCAATCGAGGTCGCTCTGTATGTTCTGAGGCTCACATGGAGCTGGAGGGGAGAGCAAAAGACGAGTTAGAAAAAGTAAGACCAACATTTGGACGCACAAACGGGGACATTTGAGTCCAACATGGTGGTTTGAACATGTAAGTAGCATGCTGAACGAGTGCTCAAAAAAGTCTGACCTGTATGAATCACTTCCATGTTGCTCTTGGCTCCAGTGCACTCGTTATCAACACCTACAGCATGGACCTCAAACCGCTGTCCACAGGGCAGGTTGAATATCTTACAGGTGGTGGTGGAGTTCGTACAGGCCCACTGCCGGCCCTCTTTATTCTCAGCCACCGCCATGTAGGAGAACGAGCCCTTCGAGGCCTGCCATGACACCACGATATCATTGGAGTGACAGGAGGAGTCCACCGTGAGCTGGGTCGGAGGGCAGGGAGCTGGAGGAGTGACATTGAGGAGTTGATATTTTAATAAAGGAAACAGAAGAAGTCTGTAAAACCATCACAGAAGCAGACATGTAAACAGAGCAGGTTTTACTTAAGTTACCTGTGTTGACTCTGTACCAGTCCCTGGCTGGACTGGGGCAGTTCTCCCCCTGTCCGCTGACGCTCACCCTGTAGCTCTCCCCACAGCGCAGGGAGCTGATGTTGCAGGAGGAGCCATTCGAGGAGCAACCCTTCAAGTCCACGATGTCAAAGGCATCTGCAGAGGCGTTGTAGTAGAGGATGCCGCTGCCTGGGGTCCAGGACACTACAGCGGTGTTGGTGTCACAGTCCAGGTAAGTTTGCAGACCACTGTGGGGACAAGGGCCTGGATAGGAGGAGAAGCAGGGAAGGGGGAATCACATAAGTATGAACGTACAAAAACGACTGACTACCCTTTAAAGATGCAGCTCGTTCCTTCGGTTTCATTACCTGTCATGACATAGATAGTCTCGCTGACCAAACTGATGCAGGATTCATGGCGAGCCACCACTGTAATGGAGTAGTTCTGCCCACACGGCAGGCGGCGGAAATAACAATTGGTGTCTGTGTTGTTACACTCATCGTAGTGGCCCAGATCGCCCTGAGCATATACAGCATAATTTGTGGCTCCGGGTGCCGTGTCCCAGGTAACTGAGGTGATACCTGTGACGCAGTCCACTCGTGCAGTGGGGTGCTTGGGAACACATGGAGCTGCGGGAGAGGAAGGGGAAGGGTGATTTTATTTCACAGCCACCATTATAACACTTGAACTTTACTTCAGTAGTCAAGTCAATTTTATTATAATAACCAAGTGGGTGCTCATTTTATTTTAACTTTGATCAAGTGGGTCTAAAAGTCATGACAGTGAGCCACCACACATGACATAGATATCACACCTGTCACAGATATCATATTTGACACACTTGTGCTTATTTTACTGAACATTTTTGCATTTCTTTATTCCTGCTACTTATCAGGTATATTTTTATTGTCACTTTGCAAACCACTCCTGCAGAAATATGAGGTCAAAACACAGTAAAAACTCAAAGTTAATGCATGCAGAGGTTTGTTTGGTATGTTTGCAAAGTTGTGTCAGTCAGGGCAAAACAAAAAAATAAGTTCAACATTTCTACTACCTCTACAGCATCTATATTTTCTGATCTCTATTATTTTTACCTGTTTTTACTTGAGCCTCTGCAAAAGTTATTTCACTGCTGCACGTGTCCGTGAGGCCGACCACACCGACGGTGTAAGTTTCTCCACATTTCAGTTTTTCGAAGGTGCAGTTGGAGCTGGTGGAGTTGCAGACAGTAACCCTTCCTCTGCTATCGACCGCCGACACCAACTGAGTCTGGTCTGGCCCCGAGTTACTCCAGGTTACAAATGCCATGTTCGTGCTGCATTGTAGATTCACCGACACACCAACTGGTTTGCAAGGAGCTGTGAAAAATAAGAGAACAGATATCAGAGAGATGTGAGGTGTGAGAACTTTTAGTTTTCATGTCATGTTGTTGGATTTTGATGTGATTTTGTACAAACACATCAGAGTAACAAGCTTACTTAGACACTCACAAAAATGAAGCGTATCTTATCCTCAGTTAATGAATTATGAAGATATGTTTATCTTCAATCATTCCAAATCAAAGAATTATCTGAACTCAAGCTACCTGACATCATCGTATAGTCCGAGCCCTCGATGATGCCACAGTCCACCGACGATGTGGTAACAACAATGCTGTAGTTGAGACCACATTTCAGTTCCTGGATGGTGCAGTTGGTTGTAGGAGCATCACAAGACAAACGGCTTTCGTCGCTGCCGATGGCGAGCGCCGTGTAAGTGCCAGAGTCGACGACGCTCGCTCTCCACTGCACCGCAAAGGTGTTCGCTACACAGTCCAGCTCTGCGACCACGTCATCAGGCAGACAAGGAGCTGTGGCGGGAGGTGGAGAGGAGAGTTTTATTAGTTTTGTGGCATCAAATAAAGAAAACGCATTAAAAATGAGGCTTAACTGATTTACCAGAGTCAAAACTCAAAGATTCCCCTCTGCTACTGTTGCACGTCGCACTGGAAGCGATCATAGATGCTGTGTAACGGTGTCCACAGTCCAGCTTCTCAGCACAGGTGGTTGTGTTAGAAGGACAGAACACCACATGGCCGTGGTCACCAGTTAGTGTGGCTGTGTAGGAGATAGCGTGGGTAACAGGAGCCCAGGTCAGATTGCCCAAGTTGGTGCCACATTCAGCTCTGGCAGTCAGGTTGGTCGGAGGACACGGAGCTGGAAGGTCGAAGATTCAGGAATAAATCAACGTGTCAGTCATATTTCAGATTTTGGCCTCTTGCTAAGAAAAAAAAAAACAGGCTCTTTTGAGACGTCAACCAAGTCTTTTTATTATTGTTGTGTGATTTGTACCTGTTTCCGTCTCGATGGGCACGCTGAAGTTACTGGTGCATTCAGAGTCAGTGACAGCAACTGACAGCGTATACAACTCGCCGCACTGCAGCCCGGTGACCACATGTGACGTGCTGCTCGTGGAGAAGTTTGCTGCGGTCCACCCTTCTCTCTGTGAGCGTATGAAGTACTCAACACCGCTTTCTGGACTCGGGTCCCAGCTCACAGTGATGTCATTGTTACTGCAGTTTGTCACTCCAGTCACTCTGGTTGGGGGGCAGATTACTGAGAAGAAAATGAAAAGAAGCGTTACATCTCTGCCATTTTTGAACACCCGTTGTCCTTGTAGCTCATGAAGACAGCTCGTTTTTACTATCTATGTGAACAGCTGTTTCTTCAAGTGTGTGGTATTTGAGTTAGAGATGCACCGATCCATTTGATCTATTTTTTCTGATCCCATCCGATACCGATACCTGAGCTGAGCGTATCGGACAATATCCAATATCGATCCAACCCTACTGTTGAATGAATGAACTGTATACCTTGCCATGTGAGTGAAGGCATCAGGCTTGACATTAGCCTTGTTAAAAAAAGGTAGCAAATTAACAGATAAATTAACTTAAAATTATTTATAAAAAAAAAAAAAAAAAATTGCAGATTAGCACACAGCAAATAGAAGTACCGTATTTTTCACACTATAAGGTGCACCTGATTATAACGCGTACCATCAATGAACGCGTCTATCACGCCTATTTTCATACATAAGGCACACCGGATTATAAGGCGCATCAAGCCGAACAAAACAGTCAATAACTCTTCGAGGCTACAGTAGCTGCAGCGTTCCGACAAGCCAAAAGGATTTTAAGTGCGCCTTATAGTGCAAAAAATACGGTAAGACTTCCATGTAAACATTTAGCGCAAAAGGATGACAGACATAGAATATAGAGCGAACAGAATCACTGTTTTGCTGTGTGTGATATGAATTAAAAGAAAAGTAGACTTGATCGGAATGCTGGATCGGCGTCCTTCATCAGACATCCGATCAAGTTAATTTGTCAATATTGGAGCTGATGTCTGATTCAAATATCTGATCGGTGCATCCCTAATTCGAGTGTCAAATATGTAACTATTCCTCAACACTCTCCTACCTGACTGGAAAGTAAAAGGCAGACTGGGTTCACTCGTGCAGCCTCTCTCAGTGGTGACCACCGTGACGACCGCCGTCTCTCCACAGTGGAGGTCTGTGAGGGAACAGTTTTTTCCACCGGAGGAGCAAGTGTGGTTGTGATCATCCGGCGCGGAAGGAACCGCTGTGACCACGTAGAGATCTGCTTGCAAGGCGGGATCCCAGGTCACATGGCCGATGTTACCTTCACACTGCAGAGACACGTGGACGTTGGTGGGAGGGCAGGGACCTGGGAGAAGCCGAGAAGGGTGGAGTGATGTTATTCGTTATTAAGTGGATAATTTATTACTCTACAATAATACAGTAAAAGTGTTTCCAATCTTCTCGCTCCTTCCTCACCTGCGATATAATTGTAAGGGTAACTGTGATAGCCCTCGCAGCTGTCGGAGTAAGGCGTGACCATGATGACGTAGGTCTCGGCGCAGTGCATGTTGGGTATGTAGCAGCTTGTGTTCGGCGTCATGCAGTTTTTCACGTCACCGTCTCTGGCAGTAGCCACCACTTTGTAAGAGACTGCGCTGGCACTTTGGTCCCAGCTCACCAGTGCGGTGTTGTTTTCACACACAAGGGAGGCGCTGAGGTTCATGGGAGGACAGGGGGCTGATGGGAAAGTGAAAGGACACAGAAGGATCAAATGAGAGTCTTATAAATGTTGGGGAGATGAATTAAAATGTACAACAAATTTCTTTATAACATACAGTAACTATTTGATAACTTGCCAACCAAATATCTTGTAACTAGTGTTATTTCAATGTTTTATCATGCTATGATGGTAATGATTATTCACGATTGCTACAATGGAGTTACGAACATAAAATGCAACTTTAAACAATTTTCTTTCTGCGTTTTATCCAAACAGAAATCAATTGAAACCAACTAATGTCATAGAGGGCACAACGACTTTAAATAATGTAAAATTAATGACTATAATTCAATAAAAAAGACTGTATTTATGTTTCATGGTCGGAAAAAAGTCTTAGTGTTACGGCAAAATTAAGTTATGAGTAAATCCAGCTCCAAAAGTCTAGGTTGGAGCTCTCTCCAGCCACTCTTCGCTCTCCTACCTGTCTTTATTTGTGTAACACCGGGCACACTGCTGTTACAATGGCCCGCCACTGCTGTCACTTCCACATAAAACATGCGACCACAGGGCAGTGACATCGGGGGGCAGAATGTGGTGCCGGATGGGCAAGGGATCATGTAGTCTTCGGAGTAGATGCGAGCGTAGAAAGTCTCTCTTCCCAAAGTCTCGTCCCAGCTCAGGAGGGTGATGCCAGTTTCACAGGAGTACGTGTACTCCACGTTTTTAGGGGTGCAGGGTGCTGGGTGAGAGTAGAATACAGCCAGTTATGATGACACTAACTCAAGTACTTCCTATATACCTTACCTTAATGCCTAAATACTCAAATCTTATGGCGGAAAAAAGGTTTACAAAGTACCCTCAAATAATCTGCAGTGATAGCCTGCAGCAGATTGTAAAATAATAGACTAAATAATAACTCACCAGTGACAACCTCAAAAGTAGCGCTGGGTTTGCTCAAACACTGAACTCCTTGTGCGACAGCATGCATGGTGTAGGTGTGTCCACACATCAGGTCATCCATGTCACAGCTGTTAGTCGTGGAGGAGCTGCAGGATGACCGGTATCCTAGGTTGGAGATGGCGTGGACGGTGACGTTCATAGCGTCTTTGTCAGAAATCCAGGTGACCGAGACGTTGTTTGAGACACAATCCAGGGAGTAGTCCAGGATCACTGGAGGGCAGGGGGCTGAGCAAGGACAGAATCATGGATTACTAACTTGTGTTTCAGGAAATTCTTTTCATTCATATAAATGTTTCTTCACTGTACAGTTTATACAACTCTGCATGGAGTTATTTTATCTGTCTGATCCATCATTTCTAATATATCTACTTAAATTTTAGTCTAAACTTGAGCATTTTTTAAAATCCTGTCTCATCCCTACACAAATGCAGCACCTGAGATCAATCAGCAATAAACCAAAAAGACAAGTGAGGAGATGGAGGACGGTTCAAAAGTTGTAGTGACTGAAGTAGACAAAGTTAATGTGGGAGGGGGTGAGCAGCTTGTGGAGTAGTTATCGTCCATTTATCGGTATCGAGGTGAACTGCTCAATATATCGTGATATTGATTTCAGGCCCCAATCTCGATCTATGCCACAGAGGTTTTCGTACCTGTTGTTATGTTGGTTTTGGCGAGTATGGAGCTGTTGCATTTTCCATCTCCGGCCAGTACGGTCACTGTGTAATCCTCCCCACACTGCAGCTGGGTCAGCTCACAGGAACCGTGGGGAGAATGACAGGAGTCCATGTGCCCGTCGGCTTCGGCCACGACCGTGTAGTTTATCGCTCCAGCACTGCGCCCCCAGGTCACTGTCGCGACACCGGAGGAGCAGTTCAGGGTAGCGGACACATTTGTAGGGTCACAGGGAGCTGTAGAAGGGTGGAGTAAAGAAACATTAGGACCATACCATAGACAAATCCCAACACTAACAGTTAAAATGTCTTTGAAACTTAACCGAAGCTGTACCTGTCATTGCTGAGATGGTGCTACTCTCAGAGCTGTTACACCTGTCATTTACTGCCATCACTGTGAATGTGTACATCTGAGCACACTTGAGGCTGGAGAAGAGGCAGCTTTCATTCTTTGAGGGGCAGGAGGAAGAGAAACCTCCGGCTCCCTTCAACGTGGTGATGTAGGACGCAGCGCCGGGTGTTGTGTCCCAGGACGCCTGTAGTGTGTTAGTTGAACACTCCACCTCACCTCGGACGCTTTCAGGAATACAAGGAACTAAGAGAGGGGGAAAAAAAGAAGGCAAACGATGAGGAATATATAAATTTTTAATTCTCCATTAAACACAGTACAGTGCACTGTCATACTCACCAGAATTGACTACTTCTGATACACTATGTCCATCACATGTCTTGCTCACGGCTCTGACTGTCACATTGTACTGCTGTCCACACTTTAAATCACTCAGTACGCATATCGAACCCTCTGTCATGTTCCGCAGTACAGTTCCATCTGCAGCCAGAGCGGTGACGCTGTAGTTTGCTGGCATGGACCCGGGCGTCCAGGTGATGGTGAGTGTGTTGGTGCTACAGTTCAGGGTGGTGACCACATCCTGGACGGCACATGGAGCTAAAACAAGAGGTGAAGAGTTAGTGTCAGTGGTAGTGTTTCAATAAGATTGACTTTTGACCACTAAGGGCCGGTAGAGTCCCATAGCTCGTGTGTATATTTACACCTCACCCACTCACAGTGAACAGCAAAACTGTAAGGTTGCAGGTCAAGACCAGACAAATATAGTGAATAAATTCTCATATAAAGTAGGGGTGTCCAGATACAACTTTTTTACCTCCGATATAATACCGTTATTGTAGCCTTCAATATTGGCTGATACCGATATTGATCTGATATTGGCACAAACTTGTGGACCAACATCACTTCTACTTCTTGGTACTTTGTTAGTGCTTTATTACACACTGTTGTTGTGATCACATGGGCTCTGCATCCTGGGTCCGGGTGCTGCTAGATAGAGGTGCTGGAGCAGAGTCTGGAATAGACTGCTTGTATCGGAGTGCTGATATCGGAGACTTTAGATGCAGGCTGATATGATCAGATATTCGATTTTTTGCTAATATCGGACCGAAATCCAATATGAATACTGTATCAGGACACCCCTAATAAAAAGCTCTAATGGACTCTGATTTAACATGATTAAAATCCAAAAATTATCCTGTACTGTAGAAGACTTGAAAATAGCAATCTTAACAGCTATTTTCTATTAGTTTTAAAAGAAAGTATTGATAACATGAAAATCCATTAAGAAGTGTTTTTTTCTTTCTGGTGTCTACAAGTTTGAGACACAATTACATGCTCTAAACAGTGTATGATTCCCGCCCAAGTTGTGGGGTATTTTCCCTTTTTTGAGGTATCTTGTCTCTTTTAAGTTTTCCAAAAGCACAGAAAACATTGGTGATGAATATAAATCCTATATCAGACTTAGCCTTCACCGGCAAAACAATGCCACAGATTTTATTCGCTTTGACAGAAAGTTTTAGAGCGAAACAAAATGAGCATGCAAGCCTCAAAAGAAATAGTTGAAAGCTGCTATTTCCTCCCACCTGTTGTTAGTATGACCGGTTCACTGTCAGGACTCTCACAGTCGCCGTCTGAAGCCGACACAGTAAAAATGTACTCCTTTCCACATTGCAGATTATGCAAATGGCAACTTAGGTTCATTTGCGCATCACAGATAACAGTGTGTCCATCTGTGCTCACTGCCCTCCCAGTGTAGGACACTGCGTTTGGGCTGCTGTTCCAGGTTAACATGGCGGAGTTATTGGCACAGTTGATTGAGGCATTGAACTGAGAAGGAGGGCAGGGCGCTGCAGAGGAAGGACAGATACGTGTTATCTTAGAAAAGCACTTCTCAAATAGTTTGCTCCTCATTGTTTTTACCTGTTTGTAGAGTCTGAGGAGCGCTCTCGTTACTGGCGCAGAGGTTGTTTAGAGCAGACACATGGATGCTGTAAACCTTGCCGCACATCAGGCCCTCCAGCATGCAGGATGTCCCGTTGGAAGGGCAAAGCAAGCGCTGCCCATCTCTGCTCACAGCAGCTGCTTGGTAGGAATCAGCACCAAGACTTGCTTGCCAAGTCACTTTCACAGAGCTCTGGCCACAAGTTCTTCTTGCCACCACATTAGTGGGCACACATGGAACTGAGGAAGAGAGTAGACCGCTTAGAGTCGTCATCAATCAGACGGATTTACATTTTCCTGATGAGGATTTTCTGGGAAAATATTTGCCACAATGCTCCCTTACTTTTGCCAACATGAAGCACTGAGGGATGACTGACACACGAGCTGTTGTAGGACATCACTTTTATGGTGTAGTCCTTTCCACACTCCAGCATGTCGAACGTCAGTGAAGGCTCTCTTGTGTCGAAAGTCATGTTCTTGTCGCTGTTTTGGATGAATATCAAGTAGCCCTCTGCGTTACTTGAAGACTCCCAGCTGAGGTTGAGCTCTCCTGACCGACAGTCTAAACCTGCTGTCACCTCGGGTCCACAAGGAACTGGACAGAGAGAAGAGAGGTGAGGGATTTTTCTGAAATGTTTGTTGTTCAAGGAGAATTTAATGCTAAATTCAGCCAGAGGGTGGCATCAGATCTAGGCTTGATCTTAAAAAAAAGTCACCTTCACTGCTCTGTTTGCATTTTATCAACATATGATTCAAACCATTCGCCCCTGATGTACTAAAACCTGCATTAACTAATCAGACGATTACGCGTGTTTGGTTTGAGACTGAAAAAGCCAGCTGGAAACATTACTTTTAATTTTTAATTTCACTTTCTCACTGATCATTTGAATTCACATACTTTTCCAATTTCAGACTCAAAGAGTTTATAAAATATGATGTTTTATTAATAGTTGGAAATTTGCCAAAAAATAACTTGAGAATAATAATGATCAGTATAAAATACAGTAGACTCACCTTTTTACTGTATTAGAGATATTGAAGTCCAGATGTCACACAACTTTTTACAGCTTAACCAGGACAAAACAAAAATACCAATCATCGGTTCAAAGGAGAAACCGGCATCTACACTTAATACGTTTGGACTAAACCCTGGCTAAACAGCAAGAAATTGAATTGTTTTAGTTGATTCAGATTTTAATTTTAGACCAAACATGTACGCTCTGAAACAAAAACAGCATTGTACCATCTAAAGAATATTTCTGAGGTAAGGCTGTTTCTCTCTTTGAGCAACTCAGAGAGACTAATGCACGCTTTTGTAACCAGCAGGCTAGACCACTGTTACGCTCTCCGAACTGGTCTACCAAAGAAGATCATAAACCAGCTGCAGCGAATCCAAAATGCATCAGTACAAGTGCTGACAGCCGTGCAGAGCCTTGTTTATAAGGTACTGCATGGCCTCCTACTAGACTACATATGAGAGATACTTTAAGTTTATTAACTTTTACCTGTCAGATAGGATTTTCTATAATGCAGTAAGTTACTTTTCACTTATTCAAAGAACAAGCATTAATCCAACACTGAATTTTCAAGTTCCTTTGAGGGCGTTGGAGTGTAAGAAGTATAAACTATTTGATTGATTCTTAAGGGGCCCCTACCTGAATCCATGTAGATGGGCATAGAGGGCATGCTGGGACAAATGCCATCATGGTGAGAGACAGTGACGGTGTACAGCTGGCCACATTTTAGGTTGGGTATCCAGCAGCTGGTGTTGGTGGAGCTGCAGCTGAGAAGACCCTGAATTTCATCTTCGATGATGGCAGTATAGGAGTTCATCTCAGGTTGGCCCAACCATGAAATCAGAGCCTGATTGGCGGCACAGTCCAGAGAGGCTTCAATATGATTGGGTGGGCAAGCGGCTGAAATGAGGGAGAAGGAGAGTTGACCAAAAGGAACGACCAAACAGAAGGACTGGGAATGACAAGCCATTCAATCTATATCCTCCCAAAGGAAAGCCCAGTACCTGTTTCTATGGTGACCATCTCACTCCCAGTGCTGTTGCACATGAAGTTGGAGGCGAGGACATATGCTGTGTAGTTGGTGCTGCATTTCAGGCCCACGATCTGACACATTGTATCTAAGGCGTTGCAGCTGTGAATGACGCCGTCGATGTCTACCGCTATAGCAACGTAAAAAATCGCGCTTCCACCGATCCAGGTCATCGTGATGGAGTCAGCTCCACATTCTCTTACTGCGGATACATTTCGAGGAGCGCAGGGGACTAGAGAAGAAGAGACAAAACCCGATGAGGTCAAGTTTGACCCCTAAACCTTCTCACAGTTGAATGACCAGAATCTGTTACAATCGACAACTAAAAAATCCTTTGATAATGCCTTTATCATTTTCATCTTTGATAAGTTATGAACATCTATTGATAAATTTAGTTCCTACTACATTAGTCAATAATTTCATAGATTTTTTTCGATAATTTGGACCAAAAACATCATGAAACAAGAAAAAAAGTCTGCAAAAACTTTCCACCATGTGGATGTAAACATTTTAAAGTACACGTTTTATCTAAACAATTACGCAAAACTCAAAGATTTAATCCACAACATAGATGTTAAGCTGTGCTGTTATGGAAAACATACTCATCAAGACACAAAACTTTTCCTTTGACGTTTTAGTAATATATCACAAAAATATTTACAACCAAATTGAAAACCCCTCTGTGACTTTTGCTTTACTTTGCACGAAAATCAAATACTACACTCATGCATTAAGACATCTGGGCAAGAACCATCCTTAGCCACAGAAGTATTGTATCAGTATCAATTATGTAAAAAGTCTCTCACCTGTCTCTGCCACAGGCCCCAGTGTCCTGGGGCTGGCACACTCATCATCATATGCTGTGATGTAGACGGTTAAAAACTCTCCACAGTGGAGGCCCTCTATAGCACAGCTGTTAGACCTGGAGGAGCAGTTGTAGTGGCTGTTGGTTCCCCTGTTGCCAAAGGCCTCCACCGTGTAGCTTAAAGCCCCTTCAGCCAGGTCCCACTTACTGAGCAGAACATCTGAACTGCAGTCTGCAGAGGTCTGCAGATTCTGAGGTATACAGGGGGCTGGAGACAGAAATAAAGAGTTGAAGTTATGCAGATTAATCATCAACAGTATCAGTTTTTGTCTCTGTCAATGTGAACACTTTCCACTGTATGGCACTCACAAAAAGATGGAAAGTCCAACTGTAGCTGAAGCAAGCTCAGCTGCTATTTGGATACAAAAACGGTTTAAAAATCTTCAACCGAGATCTGATTTAGACATAATCTGGACATACCTGTTCGAATGTCAACAGTGGAGCTCATCTGGCTATTGCATTGTCCTGTGATGGAGTAGACGCTGAAGTAATAGTGTCGTCCACAAACCGTGTGTGTGAAATAACAGGAGTTGTCCTCAGTCAGACAATCCTGGACCACTCCCTGTTTAATGGAAGAATCACAAAACATTAAAAAAACACGTAAAATAAACACAATTTTGAAATTAATCTTCATGTGTTTTTTGTAGACATGTGGTTATTTGCTGTCTTAGCTGAGCGAGACGACTCAGTCTAAGTCCGGGCTATAAATATAGAGCTACAGCTAGCAGCTCAATACCTCACTTATTCTAGATTTACAACAGGTAGCTTTGGCACCTCATGAACATGCAGCTCTTACACTATCAGCAGTGGTAGATATGCTGTTACCTACTAAATCCTGTATGGGACAAGCTTCAGAGCCTGAAAGCATGTTGCAGGTCATACTTTGCATTTCTCATGTCTTTCACAAAGCCCAAACAAACCTACATCATGAAATAATCAGTGCCCAAATGCTGAACCAAATCCTTTTAATTCAAAATGGAGAGATCAATGATTGAAACCAAAAGAAATGGCACACAACCTCTACCTGAATGTACAAAAACAGCACAAAAGCTGCAGCAAAAGAACAATTAGGCATGAGGTTATAAGCAGGGACTTCAAAATCTCCCAGTCTGGAGAAAAACAGAAGTTGTTTTGCTGGGTAACTTAAATCAAAATACATGCACATAAAATTAGTTAACCTTTGTAAGTATGACCTTCTTTTTCCTTGCTTTTTCCAGTCTTTGCGCTGAGCTAACTTCCTTTTTATAGGACAAACAGCCCTGAGAGTGGAATCCAAATTCTCGTCCCACGGTAAGAAATTTTAATTTTGAGAATTTCCTGGGGTTTATTCTATGTTTTATTTGATAATGAGGACCGTTTGAGTGCAGTACCTGAGAGTCCACTGCTCTGGCCATGTAGTGGTCTGTGTTGTTTGTGTGCTCCCAGGAGAAGACAATGACTTCACTGGAACACTCTCGCAATAACTCCAGCTGCTTTGGGGGACAAGGGACTGAGAGGAAATTGACACTTTTTAATAGACGACCATCTATCAATCTCTTTTACATTAAATAGGAAGCTAGATAGGAACATACATAAAGACATACACAGATAAGAGATGTTAAAAAAAGAAAAACGTACATGGAGTTAAATATCAACATCAAAAAGCCAGCGTCTCATATCCCATTCAGGTTAAAACGCCCTGATACTGAAGATTATGCTCCAGCGATGCTTTTCACTGTACAAGGTTTCAGGTTTAACACAAACACAGGCTCATTCTTCGCAGCCTGAACACAACACAATATGATAAGGAAAGAGAATCTCAATAGAAGACCCAGTTTTTTAAAGTAGACACCTACTGATGCGGTGTATTTTGAAACCGACCAACAAAGATGTAAACAGCTATCCCCAAATGACTTCTAACTGATCCGACCTCCGTGTGCCTTAACCTGAGGGGGGGGGACACAAACTATGAAGGTGCATTTTTCTACAAAAAGAACTTAAACATACTTAAAAATTACTTAAAAAGCTTTTTTAATAATTAAAAAAAAATGAAGTTTAGTTAAAAAATAAAGTGGATGTCTATATGTTCTTATTGCTTTTATGATTTTGAGTCTGAGTTTTATTTCGCTGGATTTTAATCCCTGAAATCCTGTTTTTTTTTTTTTCTTTATGGTAAACGCTGAGGCCATTTGAGGCCAATAACAGCAGTGTTAATTTACCAGACTAGATCAAAATAATTTTTTAATTGGCTCAGTTACATTTTATTACTCCTTAAGGCTCAAGGAAAAAAGTGTTAAGTCACAAGATTGCATTTATCCAGAGTTCCCTCAAGTATTAAATAGCCGTACACCTTGGATCAAACGGTAACTTGTCATAAAATCATATTGAGAATCATCCAAGTCACGTCAGCCCCTGTGACCCCCCCGGGGATTAGGTTGGACAGAAAATCTCAGCCCAGAGAATAGAGTGATACGTGAGATGACAGGATTAACTGCCTCCACTAAACGGATGGTTGGGTGGAGCTGTAAAAGTCACGGAGCATCTCCGTCAGGTGTAAGGCACTGACGGCACTGATACTAATCCAGTTCAGACCTTTATTTGAACTTGTGGTTCTTGTTTGAAACTTGATCAAGTTTTGGATTTTTTAGATTTTCAGATTTTTAGATTGTACTACTTAAGATGTGACAAGCGCAATTCTAGAGCTACATGAAGCCTGGATATAATAACTAAAACACAGAAAGCAGTAGGTCCAGACTTTTTGTTAGCACAGCACTTACAATTACTGTTAACTTGTTTTAAAAGCAGGTGAAACTGATTGAAATAATATGAAGGGTTGTTTAGCTGTTGTAGTTGAAGCCTTCCCAATAACAGGAAGTACTCCACACCTGTGGATTTGCGGCCTGGACAAAGAGTTCTGTCTGATTGGGAAAAGCATCCCAATGACTATGGACGTGTTTTAAACATCTATTAAAATCCCCCTGAAGATTAAAGACTTGGGTATTTGGAGGAATTGTCTGTGTATCTCTGGAGATAATTCCTCTTTCTCATGACTAGATCTGATTTTTTTTTTTTCTGCCTCTTTGGATTTAGATGAAATGTTTTCCAGTTTTTCCACCCAATCAGTTTGTCAACAAGATCACAAGCTGGGTTTTTGAAGGTAAACTCCAGCTTGAACCTTGAACCAGACTTTAAAGAGCAGTAACACTTGTGGATATGTTGATTTGGATACTGTAAGCACAATCCTCTTGAATCTTTATTGGCATCAGGTCCGATCAGAAAACCACAGGTCAAATTTTTCCTTTTGTTCCAAAGAAGATCAATTATCTTGGCTTTAACAAAAGAAACTGCTGAGTCATTTAACACAATAGTTCCTTTTTCAAAGACCGCTGTGTCTTACCTGTCTGAAAAGTGACTGTGGTGGTGTTTAACGTGTTCGTGCAGCTCTCTGAAATGGGTACTACGTGGACCACGTAGCTCTGGCTACAGATCAGTCCACTAATCCTACAGTTGGTTCCAGGGCTGGTGCACATCCGTTTTGTGCCGTTTTCACTGACTGCCATTGCCTCGTATGAGTCGGCACCAAACACACCAGTCCACTCCACCATGACTGAGTCGGTGGTGCAGGTGTAGTCGACGGAAACTGAAGATACAGGTGTAAGCTCTGCCGGAGAGAGAATTCACTCAATGAGTTTTATTCATGGGACGAAAAATTACTAGAAAGTCAAAAGAGGTCCACAGTCAACACAGTTGATATCAGAAACTGTCAATGGAGAGTGATAATTTTGTTGTACCAGACAATCAAGATACTGTTCAGCTCCGATGAAAAAATTCAAGTTTGTGTCTATCGGTTGAGAGGGGCGCCGTTTACCCCTCTACAAATAGGCTACTGTATGCAAAGATGAGGATTTCCAAATTTTCTCTGGCTACTCAGAAGAGGCCAACACTAAAACTGGTAAAATGAGCAAACATTTACTGAGGATTTTTAATTTTTCCAAGGTGCATATTTACACGACAAGCTCAACAACAAGTAGGATGTGAATCATCTGAATCCTATTTCCCCTGAGGATCACATTCTGCATGTCTGAAAGGAACGCCTCAGAGAGAAAAGCTGACCTAGATCCTAATCAACAAGTTACTGATATTTGTTTGGCCACGGAGACTTACTGTTAGTGGTGTATGTGTGGTCCGTGGGCTCACTCGGAATCAGGAACTTGTTGAAAGAGGACACGGATATCAGATAGGTGGAGCATGGGAGGATGCCTTGAACATCCAGCCTGGTGTCTGAGACATTGTAGACTTTAGGCCGGCTGCCTGGGTCATCAACATCTCTGACAATGACACTGTACAACAGAACGTCCTCCACTGGCTGCCATGTCACCCTCGCCATTCCTAAGCCAGTTTGTGTTGCTTGAACACCGACTGGAGGCATCACCACTACAGACAGACAGACATAAGGGCTTTGTTAGAGGATACATCATTGAAACATATTAATCTTAATACTGCTAAGTTGTTTTGGAGTCCAAAACAGATATGTGGAATAATGGATGTGCCAAAATTTTATCCCAGAAATGTCTTCTCTATAACTGATAAACCCAAATTTTGCTGCAGTGGTTTAATTAAATATTGGCCACAGTGCAATTTGGATTTTCCAAGGATGCTAAAAATGTCCTCAAGGAATAGAAATCACACTTATTGATTCGGATATTGTCCAGGATCTCTTTTTCTCAGTATTTCATCTCAAAAACTTGATTCCACTCAGGATTACTATCATGGAGAGATAACAAAAATCTCAGGATTTGACATCTTTGATGTGTAAGAGGCATAGATGTTAAAAAAAGAGGATGTAATGTACGATAAGGCCCACTTTATACATCAGGCTAACTCTAAAATTCATCGGCAATACTTTCATATACATTCATATTTATGGGCTGTACCATCAAGACATGTAATTGAAAGCAACTACCTATTTTTCTGGTCATGAATCTCGGCTTAACAACCATAAAACAAAATTGCAATGAGCAACATTTTTGTTGGGTCCTCTGAACAAAAAACCTCTGAAGATACCAGTGCTTGTCTTAAATCGTACCCCCAACTTTTCAATTTTCTTCACATTAGATACTGAGATGTTTCTTTGTCTTTATACCATCCACCCTTTCTTCAAAAGCTCTTTTTAGCTTGGAGATGAATTCACTCACAGGTTGTGACGGTCCTGACTTTGCTGCTGCCCCCCATCCCGGCATGATTTACTGTGAAGATGTAGATGTCGTAGTTGCTGGAGGACTGTAGGTTTCCCACGACTGCAGACGAGTTTTTGTAGGTCTGGTTGAACACTTCTCCTGTTGTCTGAGAGATCACCTGCAGGTAATAGTACTCTGCTGAGGGAACTTCTGTCCATTCTACCATTATTGAAGTGCTCGATAACGCCCTGCCGTCTACTATCTGTGATTTGGCGGGGACTGGGAGGGAGAGAGCAGACAAAATGCATTATAAGGGGGCTTTAAAGTAGTGTTATGAACTATTTATTGACACAGCCCTTAAGGAGTGCAGTTTTTGTTCAGAATTTTGCGCCGTTAAATCAATCATGTCCACATTTGACCCCTAAAACGTAAATGACATTAAAAAAGGAAGATATTTCTGCACTCACAGTAATAGGTCAATTTTACCTTCTTGTTCTATCATTCTGTTTACCTGTCGTTGCTTCAACTGTATCCACACACACCACATAGTAGAACTCAAAGACTTTGAGGGTTACACTGTAGTCCGATCCTGCTCTCAGACCATTGACATTCCACTCTGTGGTGCGTGCAGAAAGTGTCACCACCACTGGTGCAAAGTTTGTATTGTTTTTCACCCGAAGGTCCAAAAAGTAGTTTGTTGCATCTTCGCATGGTTTCCATTTTACCCGGATGGATGAGGGGCCTGAAGCTGTGGCTGACGTGATTTTGCACCCTGAAAGAGATGGAAACAGGCAGCACTGAAATATAACTACAAAACACCAAAACCAACCTTTAATTTGTCTTTTTATGGTGAAAGTAAATTTAGACTGAAGTTTTGATTTTGGCTTTCCTGATCCACTCTATATTGTACAAGTAAAGAAACAGAAAATATCCATATACACTCGCTCTAAAATCACAAGTACATTTAATTTCTTGATTCACTTACCTTTTGCACTACAGCTAGATATCTGTAAATAACAGTAATAAGAAATTATTCCAGGTTATAATGTTAGACCCTTACTCATATTCTTGTTGAGTAAAAAAAATAAATAAAAAGTCATATTTACCTGAGTTAAAGATACCAGTGCTAAAGAAAAGCTTATGACTCCCAACAATCCCATCTTTGACATTGAGCGAGGGATTACAATTAGTTTAGTATACAAGGGAGCCAAATACAAAAGGTGTTCTGGATTCTTTTGAGCTTAAGTCCAGCCTGCATGGGAACCAATCAGTATTCCCCAAACGGGGCCAGGCAGTCCCACCAACAGCCTGAGGCAGGCAGGAGGTGGGGATGGAGGGCGGGATGGATAGAGGAGAGTTTGGTGAATCAACCTGAAGTCCCTGATGAAAAGAAGGTCCCTATCATCTGCCCTTCTCTCTCTCTCTCTCTCTCTCTCTCTTCTCTCTGTCTCTCTCTATCTCTCTCTACTCTCAGGCACCCAAAAACACACCACTGCTCTCACACAATCCTCAGTTTGCGTAACCTCTATCAAAGAAATTTGGTCTCACACCTGATTGATCTGAACTGCTCTCGATCCAGTCTTGCATTTGTTGTTTTCTTAGGACTGAACAACATCCCTAAGACTTGAAAATACATTCACTGATGAGACTGCCAATATTATTCACAGAATTGTGCACCTCTCTTTGTTATCACACAAAATCTGGGATTTCAGGAGCTTCTGCATCCCAAGCATGAGTATATACTCGTTGTGGTGACCCTTATGAGTTTTACAACAGTGGTGTTGTTACTTTTTTGCATTTTGTAAAACTTGGCTATGTAACAACCTAAATTCATGCACATTAAAATCTATTATATGTGGTTATTTTTTTCAGAAACATGTTTCAGGTGGATTTTGACTTAAATCATTGAGTAGAAAAACACACTGAGCTATGCCTAAGATGTCCAAACATTACTTATTTTTGTTAGAGGCAATATTGTTCTCATTATTCCACAAATTACTACAGAATATTTAATACTAATACAGATCTGGTACTTGTTGATCAACTTGATGTTGCTTGGTGGCAGCTACTCTGACAAGACTGTCTGCAGACATGATGTTAAGATTTTTTCAGTCGGCAAAATGAGCCCAGATATCGGCTGATGCCAATCATTTCAAAATGCCTTTAACAGGCCCAAACGATTATTGCTCTATCTCTAAACTCTGGATCATATAGGTATGGCTGAATTCCCTTATTAAACAAAACCATTTCAGTGCATGTTTATCTGTACTACTTTTGATCTTGGGTTGCCACGTTCCATTTGTCACAACTTACAGTAGCTCAGCCTCATATCCGGTCAGCAAGAAGTCCAAGCAAGGCTCATTCTTCTTTGCCACCAACTGCATCACATGACAGGCCTGGGGCATGAAGACAGACAACAGACGTGCAGTTACACCAGGCTCCAGTCCCAAATCAGGCATTTTTTCACATTTTTTACCTACCCAAGTTTGGGTGTTGATTTGGATCAGCTGCTATTGACAACTTGGGTTACAAGATCATTCTTTAACTCATTAACCAGCCCATGATAGCTGACCATTAGACATGAGACATATTAACCAAGACAGATGAACATTTATTTCAGCTGTTTTTGTGCAAAACGAGTTCACATTTGGAGGACAATTATGCATTTCTTACTTCAGGACACAGAAAAAAAAATTAAATAATGGATATTAACTTTGCTCAAATGTATTGATTAGTTATTAGTCTAAATCAGCTCTGATGTTGTCATTCATATGGGCTGCTCCATGATGATCAGGGACTTCCTTACTTATGTTTGATCCATCTTTTTCATGGAGTCATGTATAACTTTTTAAGTGCACTGTTAAGTGTTAGTTGTGTTTTGGTCTGATTAATATATCTGGTGCAAGATCTGGTGTTGAATTTGGGAGGATACAGGAGATACACCTGCTCGGTCCAAAAAACACTGTAATACAAACTATTGGTACTTTTGTCTTTATTGGGGCCTGACCAACATTGATCTTATCACAGAAATGTCACAACCTTTGTGTTCAGGGATCACAGTTTTCACACAGCTTGAACTCCCTTGGCCTACTAACACAACCTGACATCCTTAAATGGAAACAAGCTATTATTTAACTTATCAACCTGAGCCAAAGCATCCAAAATCCTGACTGCTACGTCATCCCTCTACTCATCCTTTACACCTACAGTAGGTTGATTTTTTTTTTTACTTCTCAGAAACCTGCCCCCCCCCTATCTCTCCATCCTTCCACCCACCAGCTTAACTGGAAATCTCATACTCTGAAGGCACGCTGCGACTTCACACACGGCCATCTTTCTGTGTTAACTGTTCTTTTTCTTTTCTGTAACAATACATGAGAACACAGTGAATGACCCAAAGCTAAGAGATAAAGGCTTGGGAGGGTCCGCCCCAGCAAAGGAGACAAGTGCAACTGAAACCCAAGTCAAGAATGCAAACTTGGGAATTGGGGCTCCATCTAAGTAGGATTACTTACAAAACACGTCAAAACTGGAACTGTTACTAAGCTATTTCTTTCCAAAACTGTTAGTTTTTACAGGTTTGGCAACCAATTTGATGGAAAATGAAGCTCTTTCCCTTCCAGATAGGCTAATCCTGACACTGGCTGTATGTAGGGTACACGTCAGAATGAAAAGGATCCTTATCACAGTAGAATAAAGGGCTATCACCTGCTTGTTCTTAACCACGTACTGGAAAAAAAGGAAGTCAACATGAAAGCTGATATCAGCTTTAAACATGCCAGGAAACTTAAGCTACCCTGCTTAAACAATATAGCAATTTTTAAGCTGGGGAATAAGAATTAGGGATGTGAACTACTTGATATTTCATTGTATATTTATGTAGCTGTGATATTCTTCAGTGGTAGACACTGTTATAGGTCAAAAGTATTTAGTATTTTATGATGCAACTTGACGCATATTGAGAAAGACATAAAACTTCATTTCTGTTAATCTACTTGAGTAAAAGTACTCAGTATTTTCTTTTAGCTGTGGTACTGCTGGTAGGTAAGTTTATGTCCACAAAGGCATATTTTCATACACTAATTTTTGAGTTCACAGACTTTCAATGCATTGATGCTGCTAACAAACAGCATTCCTGGGTTAGGTGATTTTTGCCCAGTGCCCAAACTAAACCTAATGAATATTTTTGCCATATCTTCTGTCAGAATTGATCCCTGAACACAACGGTGATGGTTGACTGTCGTGACTAATGGTAATGAGCAAACTTTTCTTGATAAGTTTCTAGAAACAGGATGTAATCTAGAAACTTATCAAGAAAATGTTTGTCCAGTCAATTTAGCTTATATTTAGTGAAATGACATAATTTCACTAGATATAAGACAAATTTACTTAGTGAGATTTGGTTTCTGCAATGTAGACATGTTTGGCTGTCACACAGTGGATGGAAAGCTTGTTTAAATTTTTTTTTCTTCTTCATCATTTCACTCAATAACTGATGCACTGTATAATGTAGAGAAATAAAATTATCCCCACAGAAAAATATCAGGTAAAATGACAGAGATGATAAAACTACGTCTAGTACTGGGAACAAAACTGGGAACTGGGAACCGCTGCACAAAAAAGCATGAGTAGATGTGAATTGTTACTTTACAGCACTGGTTTAATCGACACTACATCGACGTTATATTGGGTTGTGTTTCATCCAAACACTGTATACGGTCTTACCACAGACTATATAGCCTATAAAGTCTATAGTTTCACCTTGTGGTCACCAGAAGAAATGGCATTAAACCACTACATACCTGGGTGTCATGGCGTTTTTCCCGTCATCAATTCATCGCTTAAGTCCAACTGTTAGCATTAGCATCCTTCGACGGTTTTAAAAATATTAGCATTAGCATCTTTAAGGGGTTTCTAAAGTATCAGCACTAGCATCTTTCAGAAGTTTTAAAAGTATTAGCATCCTTCAACGGGTTAAAAGTGTTAGCGTTAGCATCCTTCAACGGTTTTAAATGTATTAGCATTCTTCAACGGTTTCAAAGGTATTAGCATTAGCATCTTTCAGAGGTTTTAAAAGTATTAGCATTAGCATCCTTCGGAAGTTTTCCATAGTAGAGTACCAACTCTGGAGGTGGAGGAAGCAGCCACCCTGGTTCAAAATAAAATCTAAATTAAAAATGTATTTATCAGATCTTTTTTGTTGTAATTTTAGTTTTGCCAAAGTGGATATGTATTAATAAAAATTTGTCTTAAAATAATAAAAAGTTTTAAAATTCTAATAAAGGAAAACAGGTTAATAATATAGATTGGGTTGAGCTGGTCATACGACAAGTGAGTTTACTGAACAAATTAATTCAATAGATACAGTGAAAGCAGTAAATGTACAATTTATACACAACACTTTATTTTTGCCCAAGAGAGAATATTTTTCATGTATGTGAGAACAACCCTCAAAGGGACCAAATAAAGACTGAAGTGTAATGGGGAGGAAAGTCACAACTGTAGACTATGGTCACACCTTGTCATTTTCATTTATTCTTTTCGAAGTAATTAAACAAATTGATATCCAACAAACTGAGTCATTCATCTTTAAGACAGTCGGGTTAGCTGTTTCCACCAGTATGGGCTCACTGACTCCAAGCTCCAACTAATTGCTTGGTCATCTAACCAAATTCTCATCATAAATGCAAATTTCCCATGTTGTGTCTGTCACTAGAAAGGTTCAAGAGATTCAACTTCTTTTTTTTTCACTTGGCACCATAAAAACTTTGAGACCATCCCAGGACAGTCTGAAAGGGAAGAGGGGTAATGCAGGAGGATGCAAAACCCAAGATGACACCTCCCAATCAAAGAGGAGGGCGAACACCTGCCAACAGCTGATATACAGCATTAAAGATATGCGAAACCTGGCAATTTGTGTACACTAAACTTTTTATTTTCTAAAATGACACTTTGACCCATGTAAAAACGTATTCATTCCCAGAACTTTGCATCAGAATATTATGTAATCAATGTGAAAGAAATTCAGCTAGATGAGATATTTTGGCAGTGATTGTTGGCCAACATTCAAACACTCTTGGTTCCAGGATTGTTCTGGATCACAGTACAGCCCTATTTGACCCTGATGAAATTGTTAAGAAAATAATGACAAATTTACAACTTAAAACACAAAAGATGCTAATAAATCTACAGTGAGTCGAACAAGATATAACACTTTCAATAACTAAAAATATACCAAGGTCTTACAGAGGGAACCTACCACTGAAAGAGTATCACTACTGCAGCACAGATGGCGGCACCTTTTCTCTGCTTTTCATACCCTGATTGTTAAGTGGGCTCAGGTAAGCACGATCACTAAGAGAAGCTCAGTACCTGAGAAGCATCCTGAAACGCGAGAAGGAGAGGATACACGGAAACAGTCTTCATGTAACAATTATCCAAGAATTCAAACTGTACAGCACACTCTTTCAATGAGATAAGATAAAGAAAAGTTGGATATGTGTTGGTATTATCCATTACATGGCTTAAAAGATCCTTCACAGCTCAACATGATAGCACTAGATCAGATCTGATAGACTCTCAGGAGATGACCACATGCCAAAAGCAGGTAAAAAGAAATTTAAAAAAGAATGAAAACAAATTGAGGATGAGCTGAGGTGAATAACCTGTAGTGTTTTCCTATATTGTATTGTTACATAAGATACCTATAAACCCCTATATATGGGTGGGGACACATTTGAGATTCATGTGTCTCAACAAAATACTGCATCTTTAGGCTGAGTCATGTTTCCATGTTCAGCTGTGAATGGCAACAATTCCCTGATGAGAGCCATCACAGTGTCCTCACAGATCGCCTATACTGTTTACAGTAGACTGGGAATAATACCAGGACTCTGCCTTTGTGTTCAGAGGGACTTGAGCCAACTGAAACTGGTGTTGTGAAAAGGAGGCAGGGCGGCACATGTGTCTGGGATGGCTGCCCTGTGAGCTCGGTGACTGGGTGTGTATTAAGTAATGGTCTGGAGACAAAACTGGAAATCAGCTCATATGTTCTTTCTTTCTTTCTGTCCATGTGGGAAGTATGTAGATGTTTGCAAATAGATATCTTGCAGAGAACAAAAGATTTCACATTAAAAAACGTCATTTGGCTTTGTGTTGAATACTGATATGGATATTATTTCCTGAATGGAAAATTACCTGGATCAGTGCAACTTTTCCACTATTTTTATCCCTTACCAGATAGAGACATAACTTAAAAAGAACATAGATGAGCATATAAGTGTTTGACTCTCTTGGTGTAATTTAACAGAAGGCTATTTGTCTGTGTGCAAACGGATAAAACCAGGGTTGAATTGCTTTAAAAGAAATTATATGTTAAGTTGAGACATATGTTAACTTTAATTCTCCAATATCAAGTAAGTTTTGATTATACCCCTATGATGAAAAGGTTAACTTTGAGAATTGATGCCATGTTACAGCAGTTTTGGGTCTTTTTGAGTTTCAGGCAGAGGCGGCCCAGATTTAAATGGGTGGTCTTGTGATCTTCTCATCTATTATTCCAATCTGGGGGTACCAAAATCATTATCTGGTTTATTTATCACAGCGTAACACAAGATGGCAACTATAAAACAAAAGGTTAATGACTCACAGCTGAAAAAAACCCCTCATAAATCCTACACTGAAACTCTAATTTCGGCAACACATTTTGTTTTGGCTGCTTTTCCTATGATGTAAATTTAAACACAGCCTCTAGGCATTAGTTTTTACATAGTTTTGGGGTACCAAAATGAACCAAAAGTTGTGCCTTAGGCTTAGAGGCAATGTATAAGGCTAGTCAGTAGCACCTATGCTTGCTTCCTATTGAGCCTCGGTCAGATATACTTGGGGAAAGTCAGGCTAAATCACACAGGCTGGACAAAAGAGGTACTGCAGTCAAGCTTGCATCACATTGTTAAAGGCTAGAGAGATGAAACCTCCATGTAAACGAAAATTTCAGCATAAAACGAATATTTCTTTGACAATCGATGTCTGTATTTTTCATGGCTAGGACTCAACTGAGAGCTTTGCATAACAAAAACAGAGATAAATTATGTTTGAATAACTTGGCATACGATCATAATAAACATCTGGACTCACTCTTTCCTTCTCTTCTATCATAAAAGGAGTAAATGTTCATAGCAAACAAAACACAAACCACAAAACTGATGTTGGGAGTTCTTTATTGATTGAAATATATGTCAGGTTGAAACCAAAGTGAAACATATTTCATTCAAACATCCTGAGAAAAAGCTGTAGCTCGCTGTAAATAATCTTGAAGGGAGACAGAAACAGCGGCCACATTTAATCAGGAGGCTTCCTACTTGGGGCACAAGCTAAACAGACACTTTTATGTGGGTCAGTCCTTCAGTGAAAAACTCATAAAATGAAAGTCCAAAGGGTGTCAACAACTATCAAATTGCATGTTGGGGTGAAGTACCTGTTTTACTATTAATGAATTTAGCCTCAGTAGTGCATGGATCAAACAATTTATCAAAGGAATTTTTATTTATCAAATTTAAACAATTATTCCTGTGCCATGATACAGATTTTTATTTTTTTGTTGTGCTTTGTAGTGATTGTTGAGGGCATAGTGATGGCCACATTCATTAATATTATAAGTTAATTCTTGTATTTGAATGATAAGGTTGTTTTTTAACCCTTTAATGCTTGACACCATGAATTATAGCCAGAAAATTCAAATTTTTGGGAGCTGAAATGTTTATTTCAGTTACTACTGAAAACCAAAAAATTCAAAATGTCCCTAAAATTTAACAAATATATTTATTGATCTCGTATGATACATTAGATATTTTTCGGGAACTGATAAACTACAAGAGGACATTTTCATTATTTATCCGACGGTATTCAGGTGTTTTTTTTATTTGTTGATCATATTGATTTGATAGAAGTATATAAAAGTATGTATCAAATATGATACAAAAGGCATTAAAGGGTTAAGGGTCTTCTGTTAGGTTCAGGTGTGGCTGTATGGCTGTAGGGCAGGGTTGTTGTAGAAATTCGATGAGGATGTGAAGATGGCGATGTCTGTAGCATCAGAGGAGAAGAAGCTGCAAAAAAGAAAAAAATTTCAGTCCCTTTGAATTTTGAGTATTTTTTTTTAAACCAAAATATTTATTTTAATAATTATTAACCAAGTAATTATTCAATAGCCAGCAGAGAGATATATAAATATTGTTGTCAACAAACTCAAATTTGCAACAACCCAAGGTAAGTCTAAAGGCCATTACAAAAGCTTAAAGAAAGAGCTGTTTCAGATAACTCAATAGATTTTCTCTCTAACTATGCTGATAATCATACATCTCTAAGATCATGCAAAGGTCAGGTGTAGTGTATTTACTTACAATATGCTAGTCCACACTTCTCTTTCCTCTGTAAATTACTGCAAAATAAGAGGATCAAGTAAAATTAAAAATTAATGATGAATGAAACAGGTGTTTTTTTTCCAACTGTGGTAAAAATATTGGTGATTTCAACATGGTCATGTACTCACCTGTGCCAATATTGTTCCCTGTACAAGAAACTGTGAGAGAGGAAACAAAGTGAAGTTAAACCGAAATGTTGTTATCCATCTCTTATGCTGTAATCTAATCCTAAATACTATAAAAAATTCCATAACACAATGCACTAAATGACAGACACAAATATCATTAGCTCTGGAAACTGTATGAGAATAAAATCATGAAACTTTTGAAACATCAGAATCATGGCGCTAACTTCTTCCCTGAATTTGATCCCATGTCGTACCTGAGTAGTATCTCTGGGGGCAGAACTGGACTTTGCTGCCATCTGCTGTGAGTGGAGCCACCACCACTTTATAAACCCCTCCACATGTGATGTTGCTGACATCACAGCTGCTCTCGCCGGGGGATGCCGTGCAGGTGTAGTTGTTGGCCGAGCCAAGCATCTCTGTGACGTAACTGTGGCTACTGCCAGCGCTGCGCCAGAGCACCCGCAAAGAGTTACCAGCCATCCTGTAGAGCTTGACACCTGACGGACAGCACGCACCTGTAAGAGAGAAAGACAGACAGACAGAGGGGGTGGATGATGAGGCTTTATTGTCTCTTAGACCTCTGAATGTTAAGGAAAATTTGATATCATTAACTATAAATTTCCCTCTGGGATTAATAAAGTACCTACCTACCTACCAACCTACCAATCTATCTATCTATCTATCTATCTATCTATCTATCTATCTATCTATCTATCTATCTATCTATCTGTAAGAAAAACTAGACAATTAATTAACTAATATATTTTTTACAATAAAGCTACTTTTTGTATGGTTTATTCGTTTTGTTTTCCTACTTATATAGTCAAAGTCAAAATCCCTTGTAAATAACCAAAACTACCAAGATATCTAACAGTAGCTGAACATCCCTTGTATTAGTCATGGGTATCTACCGCCCTCATCTGGACAGACTACAGTAATGCAACCAAGCAGTGTTGCCATTTTGCACTGAACATACTTGATGTCCCTTGTGATGGAATGACTCTCTAAATATGCATTGTTTCACAGTTTTCTGTTTGGTTTTAATCTGCTGCTATGTGAATTTTTATGTTTAGTTATAATTATTGGTTAAAAACATAAAAGTGGTCACTTTTCCTGCTTCAACAGCTCATCTTTCAGATAGGCCTCTTAAAATCATTTCCCGTAAGTGCCCCATCCACCCTCTACCAACACACTTTCTTGTTGTTTCCTTACTGCGCTGGACAGCTGTAATATCAGGGAGTCTGCGCTGATTCTGGTTTACTGATTTGGTTTATCATTTGTCAAGGGAAACATTCAGTAAATAAAAACTTGAGAGTTATAATCCATACCGACAGAAACTGATTTTGAGAGGAATAAAAAAACACAAATAAGTAAAAAGATAGTATCTAATCTGCCTTCTTGACATTTTTAAAGCTACTTGATGTAACAGCCAGAGACCAGTTATACTATACTTCTGCAGAACCGAATAGTGCCACAAGGGGGAGCCACTTTTCTTTTCTGGTTTATGATAAAAATACTACCCTCAGAGACTCTCATCTCAAGAAAAGCACTAAGAGGCAGAAGGACTTTCAATACATATCATTCATCATTCGAACCCTGTAACATCCATTTAACTCCTCTTGATCTTAGGCGGACTATAAAGGATTTAAAAAATTTCAAGATGCAAACTCATGATGTCTGATTAAAAAAATGTTCATGTCCTTTAATTTTTAATTGTGACAAGTATATATCAAAGTTTTACCCATCATGAAAGCACATCACTTACTGGATGAGAAGCCATGATGGGTGCAGTTGGACAAGCGCCCGCTGTGACTGTATGCCTCCATGGTGACAGTGTAGTTGGTGCCACAGGTGATGCATCCCATGAGGCAGTGGGAGTCTTTGGTGTGGCAGCGGGCGTGACCTCGCGGTGATGTTAGAGAAACGATGAATGAATGCGCCCCTTTGGCGTGAGACCAGGTGACGTTGGTCATAGCCTGAGTCACCTGATCCACTGTGAGGCTGAGCGGGCAGCAGGGCTCTGTGGAACAAACACAGAATATGTGGATGTTTGAGTCACAGGTGTGTTCAGTAGATCAGTGTTACAAACACTAACTGATTCATGGAGCTACTTCCACACTTTTAGGAGATAACCATGGATATCTCACCTGTTTCCAAAATCTCAGTAAAGCTTGGCAGACTCTGCCCATCAGCGCTGGTTGCTATGACACCGATTTCATAGGTGGAGCCACAATTAAGGCCAGTGATGTCACAGCTGTTTCCGCTGGTGGTGCAGGTGAGTATGTCTCCATCTCCCACTGCACTCACTGTGTAGTTAGCTGCTCTGTTGTTTGCTGTCCAGCTCACACCGACAGTGGACGAGTTTAGACGATTGAGCATCAGATTTGTCGGCGTGCAGGGAGCTGATGGACAAAGAAAAGGAAACTGAGTTTAATGAGTATTTCTGTGACTACAGTAGAGCTACAGATCAGAATTTAAAGTAACTGAATACAAACAAACAAGTTTCTTAAACCTCTTTTGTATCAAACTTGGGTACTACTGATGTATGGTGTAAAAGTTTTTCACCTGTGTCTTTGGTGTGAGCCTTGCATGCACGGTTACACCCGCTGATTTCATTGCAGGGTGTCACCCTCACACTATAGGAGCTATCGCAGCTGAGGTCAGAGAGGGCGCACACAGGTGCTGTGTCATTGCACCGGATGACCTCTGAACTGTCTGCAGCCCAGGTCTCGTACAGCTCAGCCCCCCGTGAGGCTTCCCACATGATCTCCAAAGTGTCGGCGCTCACCACTGAGACAGACACACCCTCTGGACAACAGGGCACTGAGAAAAAAACACACATGAGCATACATGACTGAAACAACAAGTCTGTTTGAAAGTCTCCTCAGGTGTGACTTACAGGTGGTGTAGTTGAGAACCTCTCCTTGAGGACTGCTTCCTGCGTGGTTGAAAGCAAGCACAAACATCAGGTAGGTGTAGCCGCACTGGCAGTGGAAGGTGCAGTTGTTGTTGGTGGTGGTGTTGCAGGTCTCCTCTCCACCGTCCCCTCTCTTGATAAAGGCCTGGTAGCTGTCAGCGTAAGCAACAGTGTCCCATGACAGTGTGCAGTTTTCGTCTGGTGACTCCTCCAGGGTCAGAGAGTCTGGAGGGCAGGGGTCTAACAGAGCAGGACCATAAAGAGTTTTACCTATCAGACCGCCAAACACTTTGCAGGTATTTTTCTTTCCTGTCTACTTTTATTCTTATATTAACTAATCTACTTTGTTAAGTAGGGGTTAGTTTGCATAGAAACTCCTTTCTTTCTACTCACAGGTGATGAACGTGGCGGGGTTTGTTGGAGACCCGGGCCCTGCGCTGTTCCAAGAAGTGACCTCAATTCTGTGCACCTCTCCACAGCCCACTCTTGACAGGATGCAGGGGCCGATTGTGGCGTTACATGTAAGGTTCTGGTCACTCATCACAAGGTACTCGATTGGTCCGTGAACCTCTTGATCCAGTTCCCAGGACACAAAGATTCCAGCCACGCCGTTGGTCATTACCATGGTGAAGTTTACAGAGGATGGGGTTGGTGGGCCTGTTATGCAGAAAGTATTAGTACACATCAAAACGCACACAGACATAGGCAGATACAGTGGTGAATATATAGTAAGCTACTACGCCGAATCCTAAGTGTGAAGTATAATATCTCTCCTTACGTGTTGTCTGGTTGATGTACAGACTCTTCTCTCCCTGGCGGCCCTCCATGTCCCAGGCAAAACCTTTAATGTAGTAAATTGAGCCAGCATCCAGGCCAGAGACAGTCAGATTGGTGTTGGAGGTGTTGTACTTCATGTTGCTGCTAGAGCCAAGCTTGTAGACGGTCAGAGAGTACTGGACAGCGTGAGCGATGGGGGGCCAGGACACGGTGATGCTGTCGTTGCTGGGAGAGGAGGCGGACAGCACAGGAGGAGGCAAAACTGTAGAGGAGGAGAAAGTTTGACAGGGATTGAGTTTTAGTCTTGAGAATATGATAGTAAAAATTGATTTATAGCGAGAAGTTAAGCTTCGTTTGATGCTGGATAGGTGGGCTGTACTGACAAGGGGGATTGGGGATGAGTCTCCCTCAGTTCGAGGAGGATCATGAGTAGCAGTTGGAACGTATTGGCACTTACCAGCATTTCTACCTGAAAGTCCCAGATCTTTTAGTCCCAAGAACTACCATTCAAAGACATGAAAAGTTCTGTATGTGCCTGCCCAGTTTTGTTGGTTTACAGGAATCCTGTACCTGAAAAGCTTTCTAGTTCCTGGAGTGTGAAAGTGTCTTTTCTTGAGGAAGTGTGATAACTAATACAAAGAAACTGACCCTCTGAGGACAGCTTTGTGCTGAAACACTGAGGTTTTTGTTTTTTTGTGATGTGAGATTAATAAACTAGTGAAATGTTAGTGTTTTGTCCTCCTTAACCTGGAATTTGAGAGGAGCTGCCTTTTCAAATTTTTGAGCTCTGATCCCCGTGGATGAAGTAAACGTCCGTATCTGACCTGTTTTTTCTTTTTTATTTGATTGTGGCTTTTTATAGGGTCAGTATCAGGATTAAAATCTTTCGTGAGTCAGGTTACCAGTAAATAAAGTTTTATAATGTATCAGGAAGTCCTCATTTTTGTATCTTAAGTCTAAAGAGTCTCAAGTCACAGGTCGAGTTTATCACAGGTATTGGTAGTCGTGTCTAAATCTGACTTACAGCTTTGGCTGTAAAAATAAAAAATTCAGAGGCTTAATATGTGTAAATCCCAGTTTTCTTTTTTTTAAGTTAAATATTCCTCAGGTATGTTAATTTAAGACGTGGAAGTCCGATTTTTGCATCCTGGGCTATTTTGTTGTGTTTTGTATTTTACCTAAAAGTGCAAGGATGGAGGAATAAACTCAACAGCATTACTGTCAATTTGAATATAACCTATTAGTTAGTCTACTCTTGTAAACTAAAACAAAGTCAGGAGCTGGATACTATTGTCTCACGTGTTGTTTTTGGCTCATGTGGATCAGATTTTCCCCTCTGGGTGGGAGTGAAGGTAAGACGGAACAGGGCTGTTTTCAGGAAGAGGTCAGCTCATTGTGTTTGACATAGAGGGGTCAGGTACAATTACCATCTATACAGGAGGGGCCCTGAAGGGTCGCTTGTGCATCTATATGACAAACACACAAATACTCATACTGGGTTTTACTGACAGTAATATGTGCGTACATTTAGTCACACATAGTCTGTATGTAACAGGGACAATGAGGAGGATCAAGTGACTTCTGCAGGGCATAAGGATGGATGAGAAAAGAACTCGGTGTTTCTGATTGCATATATGACCCCTTTTGGTATATAAACCAGAGTTCAGATGCTGATTTTCGCATATTTTTCCATTCACCAGCTGTATAAGTAGAAAACAGTAAAAATTGATATTAAAAGGATAGTACTTGTCTTTGCAGTCACAGGAGCAGACGGCTGGTTGCGGCCTCCTTCATTCACAGCAATGACGCTGAGCGAGTACTCTGTGTACGGTGTGAGGTTGTCGATCACTGCTGGGGACGAGGACACTGTGTCTTCTCTGAAGACGCCATTGTTGTTCTGGACTCGAATGATGTAATAATTCGCCCCGCTCACCGAGGTGAACTCTGCGATCAAGGTCTCGCTGTCCTTTTCCTTCACGGTGTGGATGGGATCCATCATCTCAGGGGCTAAAACGATTTCACTCAGTTATGATCAGAGTTTGCAACCAGGAAAAATGCACTTAATAAAAAAAAATCTGCATTAAGAAAAGGAAGATTTTGATCATTTGGATTCACTCTAAATCCCAAGAAAGGTAAAACATATCAACTTTAAGAAAAGACACGCTAAATCAGAAATTCTTGTAACATGCTCAAAATTATTAGTTATCATATTTAACACATATTTATTGTTTTTCACTTCATCAGTAAGTGACAGACAAAAGAAAAACTCCATCTTACTTGTAGATGAGTCCAAGGCTGCAGAACTCAATGTATTTAGAGAGTCATCCAGAGCATTAACTGTGAACGTGTACTGGGTGTTCGGGGACAGAGAGTTGACGGAGCCCAATACTGTGTTTGGACCAAAGCTGGCAAAAGCGATGGGGCTGCCTGGAGAGCCTCTAAGGGTTACAATGATCTGGTATGAGCTGGCTCCAGGGTATCGGGTCCATCTGAGGAGCGTGGATCTTTCTGTTCCTGAGAAGATGCTTACCTCGATGCCTGGTGAAAGACATGTATAATAATTTAAGTATTTATTCCCATGCATGAAATCTATAAAAATATAGATATAAAGACAATGTGAAAAAAAGAGAAAGTACAGTACCTGATGAGTCAGCAGCCTGGAAATTTGAGGAAAAAAAGATTTAAAATTAGATAAAGTTACTTCTGACAACTACCTTTGAGATCATTTATCCATTGCATTTTCCCTTCCTCATTCCCCAAAACCATGTTTTTTCCATAAATTATAATTAGTTATTTGTCAAAGAGAAATATTTTGCTACTTTACCTTTAGACATATGCTTAGCAGGACAAAAACCACCAGCCTCTTCATTGTGCCCATTCTTCAAGTCTTCCTCTGAAAAAAGCCTTTTCACCGTTTCTCTCAGTGAAAAGTTTCTTCACTCTTGGACTCTAGTTTTACCTTTTTTTCCACACCTCAGGTCTCTGTGCTGGCTGAAATACCTGCATCTAACCCCTCCCACTGACAATGTCCAGTCATAGCAGAGCTGAGAGGTGCACCTTGCAGGAGCAGGTGCAGGTTGAGGAGCACAAGGAAGAAACCCCCTTTTTGGCTGCAGGCATGATATTCTATCTACAAGGATGTAGTGGAGATACTACAAAAAGTGACCTGAATTTTGGTATGGCATAGGAATGGGACTCCTCTTGCTCAAGGCTCAAAACTTGATTTTCTTACAGTGAGGTGTTCAAATAAATGAATAAATGGCCTAAAATTTATACTTTTACTAAAACTCCCATTAATTTATGAACGAGAAATTTCATTGGTTTATAAGTGATGTTTTGACTTGTCAAATGAGTAAAATAGGGGAGAGTAGAGTAAGATGAGCCATTTTTCATATTTCAGATCACTACATCAAGGCAATCATAGTTTTGTCTCTAACGAGTATATCTGCATATATTTCAAGATGTTGTGCATCCCTGCAAACCAACAGAATGAGTGTAAACATAACAGTCTTGATAATACAGCATGCCAAAAAAGTGGTCTTCTATGGTCAACTTACCCTGTGTATGGGGTATAACTGCTAAAAAGCTGTTTTGTAAAAAGTCATGTTAACATGAGAATGTCTTTAAGTAATTCAGAACATTCACAGCTGTATTTTTGAAAAGAAAAAGTAAAACATTTCAACAATTCGAACTGAAACTCTGATCCTCTCATCAGACTCCTTTACTTTCTCAGTTGAGACACTGACTCAACTTACCCCTGAACTACTATTATGACTTTATTAGTCCTCTGAGTTAAAATGGTGGACTTTTATGCAGGTTTTTGACCTCATGTTGTAGCTCATGGATACCACAATTGATGTAAACAAATTTAAAATGTTCTTTTTTGGTCTGAACACAATTCTAATCAAACTTACGACAGACTAAATTCACTTTCAAGAGTGAAAAATGTTTTTTTTTTTTTTTTTTTTTCACCCATGGGCTTCTATCCTTCACAGACTGCATGAATTGATGCCCATCTCCTAAATATTTGGTCACATGATCAGTTTCTTTGACCATTTCCAAGCAACTTACCATTTAGCTCAACTTTAGTGGTGCTGACAGGGGAATGTTTGGGCCATATGCTACTATGAATATCCGGTATTTGTCTGTTCCTGCTCGTTGTTTGTTCCTTGATTTAACGAGAAGGCGGGTTACTGTGATCTAAATTGCCCTTTAGGGTTCAAAAAAGTTGTCTGAATCTGAATCTGAATCAACTTACCCCACTCTCCCCTATATAATAGTCACAAACAGGCCTTGGATTTCAGTCTCCTAATCGTAAAGGTTAGCCCCCCTAACCAAATCACTTTTAAACAGACTTTTAGCGGGCCCGGTTAGAAAACTACAAAAACGGGCCGTCGCACACTTTTTGACGCGAATGACGTCACAGCCCAAGGACACGGGACAGGAAGAGGCGTCGTAAAGGAGGAAAAAAATCAAGATGGCATCGGGTTCAGATCACGGGCTTCAAAGAATAGTTTGGAAAAGTAAGATCCTTCTGTTTGAATGCGTGTTATGAATATGTGTAATAGAGCAGTACTTTTTAATAGTCTTTTTAACTTGAAGCACTTCTAACTGCGTGTTTTAAGTGTTAACGGTTTTTTGGCTCTGTGTCTTTGCATCCGGGGACGTCAGTTTGACTCTGCTGTTTACCTCTGCTCAAGTTTATCAACTTGAGGATTGGCTTGATTATACATGTGTTTTGGTTCAAAGGAGATGCTGTTTTGATTATGTAAACCTACCTGATCATTGTAGTGTGAAGAGAAGCTGCTTAAGGGTCACTTTGTTCCTCCTATTGAGCCCCACCTTAAACTCCACCACTGCTAACTTCAACATTAACAGACACACTGAAACAGGATAAAGTCAGTTTTAAAATACGTATCTTTTTGAGGTTCTGGTTAACCAGGATACCTTTTCCCTTATCTCTTGGAGTTGGGTCAGTTGTGTTGGGTGTGACAATATATTGAGATGAGCTGGTTCCTGAATTGTAAATATAAGGGCTCTCTCAGTTCATTTCCCAGTGATTATTGTAATGAAGTGTATTTCGGATCCAGACTGGTGCTATTATGACAATATTGAAAAATAATTTTGTCCATTAATGATCATGATACACACCTTTATTCACTGTAAAGAACAAGAAGTCTCATCTGTAATAGAATATTGAATATAGGGGAGAGTGGGGTAAGTTGAGCCTCTCCTTGAAGAAATGATCATGTGACCAAATATTAAGGAGATGGGCATCAATTCATGGAGTCTGTGAAGGTTAGAGGCACATGGGTGAAGGGGTTAGACATTTATTACGTTTTTTACTCTTGAAAGTGAATTTAGTCTGTCGTTAGTTTGATTAGAATTGTGTTCAAACCAAAAAAGATAATTTAAAATTAGTTTTATACATCAGTTGTGGTATCTGTGAGCTACAACATGAGGTCAAAAACCTAGAATAAAAGTCCACCATTTTATCGTAGAGGACTAATAAAGTCATAATAGTAGTTCAGGGGTAAGTTGAGTCAGTGTCTCAACTGAGAAAGTAAAGGAGTCTGATGAGAGGATCAGAGTTTCAGTTCAGATTGTTGAAATGTTTGACTTTTTCTTATTAGAAATACAGCTGTGAATGTTCTGAATCACTTAAAGGCATTCTCATGTTAAAATGGCTTTTTACAAAACCGCTTTTTAGCAGTTATACGCAATAATAATAATAAAAGGGATTATTGTACCAGTTGAATAGCGTATAATAGATAAAAATACACATGAATGTGAAAAAGTGACTGTCTTTTTCGACTGTGACGGTCTCTTATGGTCAACTTACCCCATACACGGGGTAAGTTGACCATAAGAGACCACTTTTTTTGGCATGCTATATTATCAAGACAGTTCTGTTTGCACTCATTCTGTTGGTTTGCAGGGATGCACAACACCTTGAAATATATGCAGATACACTAGTTAGAGACAAAACTAGAATTGCCTTGATATAGTGATCCGACATACAAAAAATGGCTTATCTTACCCCACTCTCCTCTACCTGTTTCTCATATTGTGATCATCTGTTTGTTTTAGAAACATCCAAAACAAATAAGACAAACATTTTGCAAATATATTTAGTAATGTATCTACTGTGTGTATACAAAAAAAATGCATTCAGGCCATGTAGCAAGCTGTAGTCTTGACAGGGAAGTTGAAAAGTGAAAGCATGTCTTGGATTGACAGTTAGTGCTTCTTGTGAGTTGTTTCCTGTATACAAACCACATTACAAACCACCAGATCTTTGAAGTCATCGGGGACAGATCTACTTTCTCGCACCGAAGTCTGAGCCGAACATGAAGGAGCAGTTTTAATGCTCCAGATATTTAGAACAAACTCTCAGAGAATGACAAGTCTACTGGAACTCTAAGTTGAGGACTCACTTGGTTAAAGCTTCCTTTTAATAAATAGGTAATAATTAATGATAGCAGACTGTTTTGATCCTTATTTTTATAATACAGCACAGCTATGCACTGTAACTTTTGTGCTGTTATTTTACAACTTTTACTTTTTAATCCAATATCTTGCTTCCGGAGTTTTTCTTTTTCTTTTCTTTAAATTTAATGGGTTGTTTTAATATTTTTAAATGTCCTGTTGATGTTAAAATGTGCTATAGAATCAAATAAACCATTCCTTTCCTCGTGTCTCTTGCAGAAATAAAAGAAACTATTATCGCAGACTGCAGAAAATCTGAAGTATGGAAGGTAGGACACAGCAGGCCTAATGTTGTATTTGCAAAAGTAAATATTCAAATTGTGACTTTTGCAGTGCTGCTTCTTTAACTTACACTGATTATTCTTCACAGATTCTGATTCTGGACGCCTTTACCACCAAGCTCCTCACATCATGCTGCAAAATGTCCGACCTACTGGCAGAGAAAATCACAAGTAATCTTACGGTTAGATACTTGAACCTAACTTCCTCAAGTCTTCACATGGATGTCTTTTAAACTATATGGTTTTTTTTCGTAGTTGTGGAGGACCTCTACAAAGCCAGAGAGCCTGTACCAGAGATGAAGGCTATCTACTTCATGTCACCAACAGCTGAGGTTTGTGCCTTCTGAACTTTTCTTTTATTTAGTATACTGCTTGTTCAGTTTCGAGTTTCCCTGCTGGTCTAATACATTTCATTTTGTAGTGTGTGAAGGCCTTCATTGATGATTTTAAGACCAAGCCCAAATATAAAGCAGCATATGTTTACTTCACTGACTGTAAGTAAAAATTAAATCACTGCTTTTTAAACTCGATTAAAATGTCTCATGTGTTAAAAGGATTAAAGAATATCAGTTTTATTTTTGTCCCACAGACTTACCAGATGACCTCTTCAACAAAATGAAGCTGAACTGTGCAAAGTACATACGAGTCTGTAAGGAAATAAATATGCACTTCATGCCACAAGAGGCACAAGTGAGTGTTTCCAGGGTGTCTTTCAGGTTCTTTTGTAATGCTCCATTTCCTCTTTTTCTATCTGAAGTGTTTCTTTTTAACCGAGCAAAACTCCACTCGGTCAAGTGCATCATGTCACGCTGCAAATAGGAGGAAGAGATTTGTTGTGTTTGGAGTCAACACAGTGAGGGTGTGGGCTGTTTCTAGCTGTGGTGTAATGGTTTAACAAGCTTTGGAAAAACCCGAGGAACTGCAGAAGTTTGAGCGCTGGAAGACACTTTTGAGCCAAGATTCTTACTTGATTTTACACTGTTAAAAAATAAATCAGGGCTCTTTTTTCTATCTGTACAAATATCTAGACAACTATATTTTGTCTGAAACATTACACAGGGTTCCTATGCAAGTGTGGAAAAGTATGGAAGTAGTTTGATCAATTTCCAGGTCTTAAAAAGTATGCAAAATGAGAAATAAAGTATGGAAAAACATCTATATTTCAAGACTATAACCACAGTTCTAAAATACTGTTTTCTAAAAAAAGAAAAGAAGGTATTTCCAAAAATAATTCTAAAAAGTAGGGTATGGAAAAGTATGGAAATTCCAACTGTGCAGGAACCCTGATTACAGAAAAGGAGAAAAAGCTTTTTTTTAAAACAGGTATTTTGACTGCTTTTCAGGTCTTCTCGTGTGATAATCCTGGGGCTTTTCGAAGCATCTACAGTCCCAAGAGTCAGGACAAAAGGAAGACACTGGAGACACTGGCAGACCAGCTTGTCACACTCTGTGCTACGTTGGATGAGTACCCAGGGGTCAGATACAAGAAGTAAGCCAGGGAGGATTTAGTTTCACTGCCCCTGAGCAGAGGGAGGGCTTTGATGGGAAAAGTTTGACCAAGACTACAGACTCCGTTAACCAACTCTGCCAAAATATGTTGTTGTTAATTCAGTGATTCAGCTTTACATATTAACATAAATCCAATCAAGAGAAGTGTATGGCTTCTTTTATGGGATTATGAGCAGGTACAGTTTTGATTGTCTCATACACAAAAGCAAAAGTAACACCATGCAGGAAACAGACAAATGGATAAACTGTTGTGTTATGGAGGTTTGTCACAAACATTTGCCCCTTCTGTTGGATGGAATTTTAACATTAGAGTAACTCATTGACTGTGTATGAGAAATGGATGTAGCCTCTGGTTTAAAGAGGAAAGCCTGTGTCTGCAAGGCTAGGGACTGTTGTATTAGAAGTGCAGTTCTAGGACTGAATTAGGGTTTTGATTCTATATTAAAGGGATATTCCGGCGTAAAATTAACTTAGGGTCAAACACGCTGAAACACCCCCTTGAAAGATGAATGTTGCCGACTGCTTGTTTCTCTTATACCAATTTTAGCAACGACCGCGTGAAAGTGATACACAGCGGTCTACGTCTCCACGTGCAAACCTCAACCAAAAAGCCACTCTATAGCCACAAATGCTCAGAACAGCACCTAACTTCATCAACATTACATATAGGGTCCCAGCCATAGTACTAGCCATCAAACATCTTTTTAGCTTTGCCTTATTTCTTCAGCAAAGAGACCAAACACAACTCACCTACTCTCCTCCAGCAGACACTTCTTTGTGGGGGAGCCCTGAGAAGGCAATCAACGAGTGCAGCAGAGTTTCACAGCTCAAGGAAGAACATTTATGATTATTACTTCATGAAATGCAATCAGAGTTCTTGTGTATCTTGTAAATCGGTTTATTATTATTGAGTGCTTCACGTAAAATCTTGCGTTTCTTCAAGTGAGTTTCCCCTGCAAATACGTAAAGTTAAAAATTATTTTATGCCGGAATGTCCCTTTTAGAGTCTTTGAGTTGCAGTCCTTGAACTGTAGTCCTGCTGGATCTGCAGTCACGTGAATAACCTTTTACCTGCAAGATTTTGCAAAGGCCAACTGAAGTGATTTGGTTGTCAAATAGAGAGTGGACTGTCATAAGGTAGATGGGAGAATGACGCCACTTCTCAGTTAATTAATTGCCTTAGTAAACACTTACTGAACAGTTAGGGATGCACAGTATTGGATTTTTGCTCATCTCCAATATTTTCTAACTGACATCAATATCAGTGCGGTCTGTGGTGCAACCGCCAATGAGTATTAACACGACTCTGAGTGTGACTTATGAAAATCAATATCTGTCCAAACAGGGACGGCAACATGGAGAACGCCAAGATCCTTGCAGAGCTGGTGGACACCAAACTGGCCAGCCACTATGAGATGGATGAAGGTGGCAAGAAAAAGGTGAGACATGAAGGATGTTGGCAGAATAAACAATGTCTCAGCCCAGGGAGTTCATGGAAACCCAGACACATAGGATTATTTTTGGAGCTGCACTTCAACACAAGCATTTCGTTTTTCACCTGGAGCAGAGTTATTTTGACCTCGACAAGAAGTTAGAAAAGGGAAAAGACTACAGTGGATGCAATATCAAACATTTCTTCAATTTACTGTCATGTTTCTTGTTTTTCAATCAGCCTGTTCTCTTTCTTTCATAAGGGGAAGACTCAGGCTCAGCTGCTTATCGTAGACAGAGGCTTCGACCCTGTCAGTCCCATCCTGCACGAATTGACCTACCAGGCCATGGCCTACGATCTTATTGATATCCAGGACAACATCTACAAGTAAGGAAAGCTCTTCCAACTTCATCTCATTAATTTTACGACAAATTGTTTTAATAATAATTCCTCTTTGTGCCCAGGTACAAGTCTAAAGACAGCTCCGAGAAGCAGGCCCTGCTGAATGAGGAGGACATGCTCTGGGTGGAGCTCAGACACAAACACATTGCCGACGTCTCAGCGTGAGCGTGCAGTGTCAAAGTCAAAGTGATTGATGTGATCCTCTTCTTCCTCATTTCAACCTTAAAACTCTTTTTTCTTTCATCTCACTACAGACAAATCCCCAAGATGGTGAAGGAGATCTCTGCTAGCAAGAAACAGCCAGATGGGAAGGTACGGCACTGAGGTCTCTTTGTGGATACTTCCTGATCTGTTTATTTTAAATGTATCCTGACAAAACTTTCACTTTAATTACAGATAACAATTAGCAATTTGGCCCAGATGATGAAGAAGATGCCGTCTTTCCGTAAACAGCTGACTGAGGTGCGTGTTTTCATCACTGTATTCTCTTTAATATATATATAAATATATATATACATTGTTAATATAGAGGTAGAAACAGTTTTAAAATGCAAAATAATGTCATTTTTAAAACATACAAATGTCATTAACCACAATTACCTATGAAATTGATGTAGCTAATAACAGTTTGATGATCATTGATTAGGTTTATTGTGTCTTTTTTGATGAATTACAATCAAATGTTCTTTTATACAGACAGGTTTTTTGTTTACCTTACGAACAGCAGCAGTCTTCCTCCGAGTGTCACGTGATGGTTGTGTGACGCTGGATCAGGGAGGCAATGGAGATTCAGAAGCGGACTTGGGGTGCCATTTTGCAGCGGGCAGCTGAAGGCGTGACCGATCTGTCAAACTGACGGAAAGGTCACGCCTTTGGAAACACCAGCTGTTTTAAGACGCGTCACACAACCATCACGTGACACTCTGGGGAAGACTGCCACCAGCACATCGAATCATGTCAGCAGTGTTGTTTTCGTTGACGATGATGTTGACAAAAATATGTTTAGCATTTGACTAAGGAAATGCTCATGAATTCGTCGTCCACCACTAACGTTTTCATCTAGTCTCGTCTCGTCAACGTAAACACACATTCATCTCATCATATTTTAGTCATATGAGACTTATGTTTAGCTCGTCACGTCTTCGTCGTGAAAAAAAAGGGGCGTTGACGGAATATTTTCATCAATGAAAACAACACTGCGCGTCAACATCTGATCGTAATTTGATGATCAAGTTGACAGTGCAATTAGATATAGTAAATAAAGGGAATTGGAGATTCATGTGGAGCAAGAGCCGTTTGAGAAAACAGGTTTGAGAAAGAAATCTCTAAATGGCAAGTATGCGAACAAGAGCAGTTCATAATGGTACCTGACTGTTGTTTGATAACCAATAAATGATCCTTTCTTTTTTCAATCCAAACCCAAGATGAAGAGAGCTTTCAAGATGCAACTTTTCCATCCTCCTTTAGATGTGCACAAGTGTGTGCTAACCACTTGTAATTAAGGGCTTCATGTATTATTATGTTGTGGTTGGGCGTGGTGCCTCCAAAGCCCAGAATCATGCGGGGTTGACTTCATCATGTTATTTGCAGAAAACAGAATGAAAAGCTGTGATTTATCATAAGTAATAGTCCTCAACTTTTCTCTCTCTGTCTGTAGAAAACTGTTCACCTGCAACTGGCCGAGGACTGCATGAAGCATTACTCCAACAACGTGGAGAAACTCTGCAAGGCTGAGCAGGTGTGTGTCTGTGCTCCATCCTGTGTTTGACATTTTTGCTTTTGGTCCAGTCTGAATAAAGACTAAAACAGTGGTCGGTGTCCCTGCAGGATCTTGCAGTTGGGTCAGATGTGGAAGGAGTGAAGGTGAAAGACCCCATGAGGACCCTGCTTCCTGTTCTGCTTTACCCGTATAACACCCATGACAAGATCCGAGCTGTGCTGCTCTACATCTTCAGCCTCAGTGGTACAAAAATCTTCTCCTGCTGGGCCCCGTCTCTGTCTGTCAGATATTATTTCAAATGCTTTAACATTATTATTCTATAACCCCTCGAAAAAGATCCATAAATTGACCCTGAACATGTATTCGTCTGACCCAGACCTTTATCTGAGATTCACCAGGAGACTTTCTCACTTTGTTTGTGTGTGTGAACAGGAACAACAGAGGAAAACTTAAACAAACTCATCCAGCACGTAAAGATTGAGACTGAACAAGAGTTCATCCTGAACTGGAAGGAACTGGGGGTCCCGATCATCACAACGGTACTTCTCCTTTTATTTATTTATTTATTTATTTTTCAATTTTCTTTTTATTCAGAAAGGCACAACTTCATCACAAATATCATAACACACTTACATTAATTCAGTTTGGACACAGTAATGTTGTCCATACTGCCCTTCTGAAGCTTTTTCCACAGACCCAAACATTCCAGGTGCAAACAATAACACAAAAACTACAGAACCCGAGAGCACACCCTTCATACAAAAAAATGTAAAATAAAAGAGGGTAGGTTTACACAAAACACAAGTGTGGTCAAATAAAATCAGATCTGGTTGGTTTTACATACTCAGTACATTTAGTCCAGATTTAAACCGTTTTAATCCATTCATAGATGGTGGGAGTTTCCGCTTTTAACCATTTCCTAGTCTCCTTTTATTTCTAACCATTATTCCCCAAAGAAATTTGAATTTACAAGAACATCAAAATCTTTACAAGAGACTGGTTTGGTTGGTTTTCCAACATTTGAGGTTTTAGCGTCTTAAAAAAAACGGTGTTAATTTTTAGGGTGTTTGCGTTCTGCTTTTTATCCGTTCAGTTCTGTTTTTCAGTCTCATTGTTGCTTTTGCTTTTTGTTTCCAGCCCAGTTTCTTCTCTCGAAAACCAACCAGGCGGGATCGTTCCCACGAGGAGAAGTATAACCTCTCCAGATGGACCCCTGTCATAAAAGATGTGATGGAGGTCAGTGAGGAGAGGTTACCATGTTGTGTAACGGCGTCTTCTTTTTCCCAGCCTTCTTTCTGCGTGCTCACATACCTTTTATTATACACAACTCAAAAACAGTGATTTTAAAGTTGTTTCTGTGTCATTGATTGATTTGCTCAAGGAAATTGAAGTCGTGATGAATCACAGAGCTGAATGTAAAAGTAGCCTGACTCCAGACTTGGAGAGAAGAGGGCGCATATAAGAAGAATAGGAAGAAAAGGGAAGGAAGTACCAGCATAATCGTATGTTATGTACATGGAGCTGGATCTAGGTCACTGTGCTAACTCGGTCCCCCTCTGAAAGGCATTCGTGAGAAAAAAAGTGAACCGAGCCTCGACACCACCAAAGAATGAGGTTATCAGATACAGGCCATCAGTGTCACATGTATGTTTGTGTTGTTCCTGACAGTTTCATACGTTTTGTAAAAGCCAACCTCTTAGTATCTACATAAAGCACAATAATGCACCACTTTTGTGACGATCCCTGGGGACGGCGCTTCTGTGGCAGCAACACGCCTGTGCGCTGATCATCAGATGTTTTTATTGTTCTCCGTATGAAGGGTTTTATTTTGGAGGTTAGGGTTGTAAGGTGAGATAAGGTTTTGTGTAAAAAAGAAAAAAGACAGGTCACTGTCAGTCGCTGCCTTGTTGAACAAGCGCTCTAATTTACCTTTTCACTCTGTCTTGTTTGGTTTGCTTTCAGCCTTTTTTTTTTTACTCTGGTGAGTTGTTGGAGCCCTGGGGAGAGTATTGTAGGATAAACATATTCGCTCTGATGTCAAACCAGAGTGCAGAGTAACTTTTAACCATGTGGTAGCTGAGTCTAAGTTATTTGACTCTAAATGTGAGGAAGAAAACACGGCCCTGAGCAGTTGTTAAGCTCTTTGTTTGTATTTTTACTTTTAACTTAGAAAAACAGGAAGGTGTAAAATATGTCAGGCTTCAATTGAAAATAAAAACAAAAAACCAATCACTTCCTGTATTACAATTGGAAAGCTCATTTCTGAGCACCTGGTTTCCTGTCAACCTTGTTTTGAACTCTTTCCTGCAGCAGGAAGCAGACCTGAATTTGATATAATACTTTCACTTCTTGCAGCCAGTTGAAACCGATCTTCTTATATAAAAAGTGTTTATTTATTTATTAATGAGTGAGAAACACATGGTGACTAAATTCCTGAGCACTCGTCTGGTTTCCTGGTCTCTGACTGTGTTTTGACACCCCCTGCTGCATGTCGGAGCTCACAGCACAACTTGTCTCGTGGTTGTGTTTTCTTCCTATGGTCTGAAAGTAGAACTGCTTTTGGAGATCTTTGCCAGTCACTTTCAAGTGATCTCTAAAGAAGCTAAAGCCTGGGTTCAAAATGTAGCACCAGTCAAAGTCCTTATTTGGAATTGACACTACTCAATGTTTATTGCTGGAGTCTGGGACAACTTATAAGATGATAACTGTGCCAGTGAAGTCCAAAACTGTTTGTTTTAGATTTTCATGAGCACCTTGATATGCCTTTGAGGTTTTAGTTTAATGTGGACATGAAGCTCAAGCCAAACTTAGTCTTTAAATGTTTGATATTTTTTTGTACAGAACTCCTTCCACCGTTAACACAAACTTAAAAATCTGACTTTCAGGATGCTGTGGAGAACAAACTGGACACCAAAGAGTGGCCGCACCAGTCTGAGTGTCCTGCTGCCTGGAACGGCTCTGGAGCTGTCAGGTAAAGAAGTTTTTCAGAACGATCTCGTCTCAAAATGGGACAGTACAAAAGTGGGTAGTTAGCGCCCTCTGCAGGTTAGTAAACTGAATATCTACTCATCAGTCATGTTTTCCTCCCATGTTTGTCTGAATCAATAACTGTTACTCCTGCTGTATTCGACAGTGCCCGCCAGAAGCACAAAGCCAGTGCTCAGGATGATCGCCGAACCGGCGCGCGCCTCATCATCTTCATCCTGGGAGGGATGTGCTTCTCAGAGATGCGCTCTGCTTATGAGGTCACCCAGGCTGTGAAATCCTGCGAGGTCATCATAGGTGAGCGTGGAAACTAAATCAACATTTTCTCTGAATATGTTGAATATTTTTATCCCACAGGGCTCCAATTTTTTAACTTATACTGGCGACTAAAGTCAGATTTCTCACCGGAGCAATGTTCAAACACTGAAAAGATCATATTGGTTGAATTACATTTTTTGTGGATTTTTTGGAATTTGGATAATACAGAATATCCTATGATAAGCAAATACACTGTATATTCGTGGATGTTTTTATCCTCTTGGCTCTTAATCAGAAAATCTCCAGTCCTGTGACACCACCTGCTGGAGCCTGTCAAAACTGCGACCTCCTTTATTTTCTCATTTCGATGTTTGTTTGCAGGGTCCACTCACACTTTGACCCCGACCGGTCTCCTGGACGACATCAAGGCTCTGAGCAAAGGCCCCATGGAGACTTTAACAATAGAGGAAAGGAGTACGGCTTGAAAATGTTTGACCCAGCTAACACAAACTCGCCCCTGCTTCTGTACATCGCATATCTTTGACACACTGCACTCATCTCAACTTCCTAAAAGGAAAACTGAAGGGAATGTACCTTATACTTATCTTTGACTTTTTAATACTCTTTTAAAACCTGGTGCACATTTCCAGAAAGTATGAGGAGAAATTTTCTAATTTGGTCATTTCTGGAAGACTCTTCTTGAAGAAAAAGATTTGAATAGCATCGATCAAATTAAAGATGAATTTTCCTCATGCCACTTTGAGCATTTTGAGTTTAAATTTTCTAATCTGCTTGTCTGTGTGTGCCTTTTTCATCAGAAAAATTCATGTTACTGTTTGTGCTGCATGTTGAAAGACGTCTGACAAGCTGTCAGAGACAGAATGATGGAGGTAAAGCAATGAAAACTTAATGTATATAATGTATGTAAGCACTGAGGCCCTGCTGTGTTATTCTGACTTTTTTGGTCACTACTGTTTATAAACACTTAATATAAATTTAAAGAGTGTTTTTAACAAAGATTATTTACCTTTTGTGTTGAATTGAACAACTGACTAATAAACGAATGAAGTGGTTCAAATCCTGCGCAGACTCCAGCGTTAAGTCCGACGTTTGCAGACAGGGATGCAGCTATTTTTATTTTTGATGCAGTAATCAAAATCTGGAAGAGCAAGGTGAAATGAAACTTGTTTGAGCCTAAGTCAAACACACACTAAGAGCTGTTCTCTAACCAGTAGAAGGTGAAGAAAACGATGATCCTTTCACATTAAAGTACAAACTTATGTCACCCCTTAGTTTATTGCAGGTAAGACCGCAGCTTGTCTAAAGCAACATTCTGCAGGCCGGACCCTCACTTTGTGGTGTCAGTTGCAGGGAAAAGTTTCAGGTGACACACAGACACTCACACACAGGATGGTTCAGCTCTGTTGACCCTTTTCAGAGAGACACTTGCACTGAACATGGATAAGCCTTCTCTCTGGTAATGACCTACTGTCCTGATGCACCAGTGTTTACGCTGCATTCACATTCACCATACCTCTTTTTCTATCTTCAATGTGGTGCTCACACTCCTCTATGAAGAAGTCCAAGTGGAGGACAGGATATATATCACATAACTTAACAATGTGGCTCAACAAATTTTGTGAAGTTTTAACATTTAAAATATTTTAGTGTATGAAAAGTCAGACTACAAAATACGCGTAATATCAGCGTAGTTGGAAAATAAGGTCAGCCAAAACCAACTGCTGCCATACGATGGCCGAGAACCACCACTGCTGCATATAAAACAGAATGCAAAAAAAGAAGTCGCAATGGAAGTTGCTGCAGAAAAAAACAAACAAAACAAAAAACGAAGCCCACTGCAAATGCAGTGCAAAAAAAAACAAAAAAAAAACGGTGCAGATTAAAAAAAAAAGTGGTGATGCAAAAAAAAAAGAAAAAAAAAAAAGAAACCGATGCCCACTGCAAATAAAAAAGAAATGGGGCTGATTGAAAAAAAAGAAAAAAACGAAGCCCACTGCAAATGCAAAAAAAAAGGTGCACATTGAAAAAAAAAGTGGTCATGCAAAAAGAAAAGAAACTGAAGCCCACTGCAAATAATAAAAAAAACTGTGCAGATTAATTTATAAAAAAAGGCACAACAGAAGTTAAAGATGCAAGAAAAAGTGGCGATGAAACAAAAAAGTTACTTACTGCGAAAATAAAAGCATGCAAATAAAAAAAAGCCACTATAGAAATGAGTGACCGGGGACCAATAATTATGATGCACCTGTGTTTTACGATCTAGGCACAGAAGACGACGGCGAGAAGACGAGCAAAGAAGTAAGTGGAAAGGTTATTGCTTAAATTCGCTTCAGTTCAACTTCAAATCAACTCAGGCGCTACATGGCCTAACCAAATGACACATTGAAAAGTACACAAAGCGAAATTAAACTTTTTTTTTTTCCATCCTCACTTTTTTGTTGTGTCGTTAACTTCCATTGTGGCTTTTTTTTTTATCTGCACCATTTTTTTTTTTTTTTATTTGCAGCGAGCTTTGGTTTCCATTTTTTTATTTATTTATTTATTTTTTGATAGGTAACCTTCGTTCCGTTCTTTTTTTTTTTTCATTCTTTTTTTTGCAGCAGTGGTAGTCTCGGCCACCGTATAGCAGCAGTGGGTTTTAGCCGACCTATTTTTCCAAATAAACTGATATAACTCTTATTTTGTAGTCACTGAAACTCACCTGAAACTCTGGTTTTCGTATGCGCATGCGTACAGACAACACCTCCGCCCCCCGTACACGATTCAGTTGTTGCCGTGACAACTGGCACTCGCAGAGAAGTCAAAACTTCAATCTGACAGTCTCAGGTTTGTTTCCTCTGTACTGAAGCAGTTTTTTCTTCGGTGAATACTCGGAACTGGTCGTCACGTTGGTTCATGTGAGTTATTTAGAGGTTGAAAGGAAAGGTTGAAATGCTGTCGACCTGTAAAGGTGTACCAGTCGCAGCTCCAGAGCGAGAAGGTGAGGTGCCGGGGTCAGAGAGACAGAGCAACGGTCACCGAGGAGCACAAACCCGGGAGGAGAGAGCGCAGGGGCCCGGGGTTCAGGAGTGGCTCGACGGATCCAGATATGAGGGAGAGTTTGTGAGCGGACTGAAACATGGTAAAGGAAGGTACACCTTGAGAAATGGAGAGGTACTGAACAGTCAACGCAGTCGTAAAATATTTAACAAAAAAGTTTTTGTAACAAAGGATGGTATTGTGGTTTTATGTGACTTTTTGGCAGAAATAACAGACTTTTTATGAACTGTTTCTTCCAATGGCGCACTCAGACTTTTAAGGGGCCGGGGGAAAAACGTTAAAAGGGCAGCTGTCATTGAAACAGATCATTGAAAAATCTGTTTCTGGCACCATTTTGAAGAGCATATCATACGCTCTTCAGTTTTTTTTCTTTTTTTTGGGATTCTGTATCATAAGGTGGACTCACACGCATAGTTTTAGCAAGTTACATGTTAACATGGGTAGTCTGAAGGTAACAGAAAATGGATCCACTTTCCAGCCCTTAGAGCCTATTGTCTGCTCCTTTTTGTAGTACTATGAGGGGTCTTTCTACAAAGACTACAAACATGGTGGTGCAATGTACTGCTGGCCCACAGGCCACAAGTTCATCGGCAAGTTCTACCTCAACAGAAAGGAAGGATATGGGAAACAAATGTTCCCTGATGGAGCCACTTTCCAGGTAAAGGACATTTTTAACAGGGATTTAAATTTTTATTTGCTGTGAATTCATATCAGTAAAAAACAATAAACTTCTCCTCTTCTCTCAGGGTTTGTACCATGCAGATCAGCGGTTTGGTCCAGGTGTGGGTAGTGATCCAGATGGTTGTGAGGATGTTGGTCTGTGGCTTGGAGAACAGTTGCTAAAGCTTTGTACCTCACTAAATGGTTTTAGCCTGAAGAGCATCCCAGAGTATGCTGCTTATATGGATTTAGCTAACAACACAGAGTGCCTCTCTCAGGTAACAATCAATGTAAGACTCACCATCTTTATCATCATACTCGTATTTAAATGTTCAGTCCTACTGATGGAAATTTAAGGACCTCTTGAGTCTGTCATTACAGGACTGCTCCAAACCATCTTTTCACAACTATCTTTTCTCTGTACTGTTCTCCTCTCTTACCCTCACCAGACCTCTACTGGGGATCCTCAGGTAGATTTTGAAAGAGATCTGCTGCCGGATGAGGTTTTTATCCTCCCTTCAGGAATCGAGGCTTACTCAACAGATGGAGACCACTTACCGCTGCCCCCCGGCCGAAGGAGAGAGTTGGATCGACTCTTTTATGGCGAGCTGTGGGAGCCCGATGCAGATGTGCACAGTGGCTATAAGCGAGACCCGCTCTCCACTCTGCCCTTACAGTCCCGCATGCAGGCTCACATACACAAACACAGGTCAGGGATACGAACATGTGTGAAACTGTTGATTATTGTCTTCAAAACACACTGTGAAAAGGTTTGAAAGGAAGACTGAAATAATGCGCTGACTGTATTTGTGTGTCTCTCAGACTACAGGCCAAGAATGTGGACTGGAACGTGACAGCTGTTCTCTCGTCGAATAGAGACAGTTTTGGTCCTAAAGGCCTTTTGGAGGTCAGCTCAGAGTTGTTGATCCAGAACGCCTCAAGAGGGAAGCTGGGAGCCATGTTACGGATCCTCCAGACTAGATTGGTTCACCCTGATGTAGCAGATTCACGTGGACACACCGCACTGATCGCTGCCACAGTAATGCTATTGTATTAATCTGTTACATTACATTAATCTGTTACTCAAACCCGGCGCCAAAAAACATCTCTATTAATTATGCATTTGACTTTTAAAAATTTAGATGGGCGAGATTTGTTGTCAAGAAACTACTTTAGCTTTGACAAGATAAGTAAAGACTGCTTTTCCTACAGGAGCTTTAAAAAGTGGATGAGGAAATGAAGAGTTTGATCCTCTTTGTCTTTTTGTCTGTCTTGTATCCGTCAGGTAAACTGCCACGATCATGTGATCCACCTGCTGTTGAATATGGGTGTCGATATTGACAAGTTGAATTGCGAAGGCATGTCCGCCCTGGCTGTGTGCCATGTTCTCTACTATCCTTTTCAGTCTCTGCACACCACCTTCACCAAGTCACCAACCAAAACTCAAGTAAGATTCTCACTAAATTTTCATTTTTGTTCAGTTTCACCTCCTCCTCTGTATCCTTTGCCCTTTTACACACAGATGTGTTGAATACAGACTTTTCCTGTGGTGTGTCTTTAGGTGTTGAGGTCTTCATCTGTAGGTGGGAACAGTCCTCAGACCAGCCAAGTGGACTTCACTACAGACACACACAGGTTCAGTGTCACACCTAAGTCAACCTTCAACACTGAGACCGTCCACTGCCTTCTCTCTGAACAGATTTTTGTCATGGATTTATCCAAATTTTATTATTATGATTAGCTTTTTAGTCTTTAAAAAGTCAAAATCATATTTTCCCAGAACCCAAAGTGACATCCTTACAGGTCTCATGTTGTCCAGCCAACAGTTTTAATCCCAAATGTTTACTCTCTTTTGATGGACCAATCGACTGATTTACACCAGCTCTATCTGTCTGAGGTATAAATCATGCCATTCACAGCTAATATTTTCCACTCTATCTCTTACTGTCACACCTCTTTTCCTTCATCTTCATCCACAGTGCTGATGTCTACAAGCTGATCGCAGAGCCGAATGAGACCGGGACCCCTACAGACACTGAACGCCCGCAGGAGGAAGAGATAGAAGAAAACAAGGAGGGAGATGAAGGGAGAAGAGAGTACACTGAGACAGAGAGAGTGGAAGATGAATGTGATGAGAGTGAGGTGGAGAGCAGAGGGGGTCAGACAGAGAGAAGTGGAGAAAGTGAGTCAAAAGAGGAGAAAGGAGAATTAATAGAGGAGGAAGATTCAGAGTTAAGTGAAAGAGTAGAAGCAAAGATGGAGGAGGTTAAAGAAGGGAAAGAAAGGGAGGCTGGCGGTGGACAACAGCTTAATAGTGAAGATGACAGTGAAGAGGAAGTTCAGGTATGAAACAGAGATCCTATCTGTGATTTTAACTTTGATAAGTTGGCTCTTCTTTGAATTGCTTTAATTTTCTCTGCTACAGAACAAAGACAAAGATCTGACCCGTGAAGCAACTTCAGGCTCTGAGTTTTCCAACAGCAGCCAAGTCTTAAAGACTCCGTGCTCAACAGAAGTGCGTGATCGATCAGTGAATCCTCAGACACAGGATACTGATTCAGGAACCATGAAGATTGAGTCAGTTCCCTTCTCTCTCCTTTCAGAATGGTTTGTTTTGCTGTGTTTGTTGTATCATATCTGCTTTAAAGATTTAATATATCTGTCTGGGCAGGAACCATGTTCGTTTGAACACTCTGAAGCTCTTACTGGAACGCGGAGCTGATCCTAACGTATGCAGGGTCCCCATGCCTGTCCTGTTTTTGGCCATTATGGCAGCTGACCCCGAGGCTGTCAGGAGACTGCTGCTGTGTGGAGCTCGCACTGACATTCCCCTCCCGCCTGTGGTAGGACTCTTGGTTACACACACCATCAAATACATAATATGAATATAGTTTTTGAGTAATTTGTAGTAAGGACAAAAGTGAAGGGATACATTTTGCTATCCTAAATCCTTCTTTAAATTCAAAGGACCCAAATACAGAACAAAAAATGATTTATTAAAAAGAACGAAATAAAAAGCAACAAAAAACAAAATCCAAACAAAAGACACAGGAAAAAACACCAGGAAACAAAGGATTCGCAGATAAGAGATCACAGGGAACAGGCTGACATGCACACACATCGACATACAAACAGATGTACAATGAACCAACAAGGACAGAGGGCAAGACAGGGGCTATATACACACTGGGAAACGAGCAACAGGTGAGGCAGACGAGACACAGATGAGACTCGTTAGTGATTAATGAAGGAGGGAAAACTGAGAAAGTGAAACCAGACTAGAAACACAAGGAACCAACTACTACAAAATAAAACAGGAAACACTGAAAACTGATGTAAAGGATAAGACACAGAGAACGGAGGGTCAAACACAAACTGAAAACTCGCAAGACCAGACCACAGGAACAATAGGGAACAGAAACACACAGAGAATACACTCAAATAACAAAACCAAGGGAAAACTAAATGAACAGAACATATCATGAAAATTCACCCTTTTCAAATGGAAACTTATACATCAGTCCTTTTCGTCTTATTTGTAGCAGAGGAGCCTATATCCCTTGCATGTTGCTGCAGCGCTGCCAGGTCCAGCAGGTCCCAAGATCACAGAGCTGCTCCTTAATGCTCTCGCCGACCCAGACGCACAAGCATGTGACCAGGATGAGATCTTTGAACTGGATAAGGTAACTGACTTTATTATTTTTTCTTATTTTTCAAACTTGTTAAATAAAAGTTTCAGTCTGATTATCATTATTTATTTTAAGACCAATAAACTGCTGAGCATGACTGAGAACCAGCCCAGGTCGGAAGGACAAACAGCCCTGCATGTAGCCTGCCAGAGAGCCAGTGACTTTAGGGTCAGTACTTGCTGCATGTGCTCATGCTTACATTAATACACCCCATCAGAGGGGGAATTCTCAGTCATTCTGATCTATTTCAGTGACTTTGTCATCATTTTGCAGGGTGCCAGTGAAATAGTCGCTCTGCTGCTCTCTCATGGAGCCAAAACAGATCTTCTCTGGAGTGGACACTCGCCTCTCTCCTTAGCTATAGCAACAGGGAATGACCTGGTAATACAAACCTGATAGACACCCATATACAAACACACACAAAGAGCCGCACTCTGTCCTGATCCTGTCCCTGTTCCCTGTGCAGGCAGTGGAAGAGCTGCTGAAGGGTGGAGCAAATCCCAACCTACCTCTTGGTCTCGGGGTGGGAAGCGCTCTCTGTGCCCTCGCCAACTTCAAGTACCCCTCAGGTGGCGACAGAGATCACCTGGTAGATACAAACGCACACGAAGACGATGAAATGACTTTTTATAAAATATATCATTTTAGTATCTTTTTATGTGGCACCAAATCATACAGAACAGTAGGTCCAGAACATACTGTGTGTGTCTTTGACATAGTTGGATATGTTAGCTAAGGCCGGAGCTGACATTTTGATGCCAGTCAAGGTGGGAGAAGTTGTTGGGACTGCAGTGGATTATGCACACGACTCTTTTAACCAGGTAGACACACCATCTGAACTCATGTAACTCACTTTTCTGTTGACTCTGAATCAGAGTTTTGGTTTTCATTAGGAGGGTTTGTTTCTGCTTTGCTCAGACTTTAAATTTTCTAATATCTGAGAATAAAATTTTGTACTCTTGTCGGAGAAAAGTTTTTGTTTCTGAATAGATGCCTCTTTGTTTAGGATATTCGCATTGCCAAAACTCCCTTCCATGCTTTAAGCATTAGGGAGAGGATTATATTTAAAACACGGCGCCATCTGCTGAGCATGATGGGAAATCTGCTGAGACAGACTGCCCGCAAGAGGCAGCTCGAAACTAAAGAGCAGGAACACGTCAAGCTGAACAGTGAGTACGAAATTCTTGCTTTTCTAGTTTTCCTTAAATAAAATAAATGTAAACTATGACTGTGGGCTTTAAATAAGTAAAAGACAGGTTTTGTTTACACAGGGGCAAATGTAATGTCCTTGAATAGGCCTCTTTCTACCTGCAAAAGTCTGTCACCCGATAAAGAACAAGACAGGTACTTAAACACACAAACATCTATCTTGAGTCATCTAGGCTAGTTGAAAAAAAGAAAACTCTTGACTAAAAGTGCGATTTTTGTCTCAGGTATCAAAAGTTCAAGTTCTGCTATCACTGCTGCCGCTCTACATACGTGAAGCTGACAGCCTGTAGCCAATGCCACAAGGTCTTCTCCTGCTCCATGAGCTGCAAGATAAAAGCGTGGGCTGAGGGACACAAGCAGGAGTGTGTGAGAGAGTCAGGAGGGACCCGTGGTGGCCCAGTCACAAACCAGAAAACTGCAGGCCCCAAAGAGTCCCCCAGGAGCACCAAAGTGCAGACAAGAAATATCAGTAAATAAGCTTTCAAATAAAAATGACAGTATAAGATGTGGTTATAGTGTTTTAAATCTGCGATATTTGCGGGATTATATCGTAGTACAGAGTATGTAAATACTTTATATGTCTGTCTCTCTTAATCCAGCAACTGCTGATGGCATTCAGAAGAGTGTTGTGTTTAAATCCCAAGGAGGCTCGACACACTCGACTGCCATGAGGAAACCTAAAACAGTCTCCAGGCCTCTGATTGAGGAGTTGAAATCTCCTCGAAAACTTCCCGAACCATTGAGCGTGGCAGAGGTCCAAAAGAGCCTAAAAGAAAACTACAGCTACAACTGACAGACGCTGAATCTCTGCTCATCAAGAACAGCTTCAGCATGACTTCATCTTCCTGATTCTCTGTGCACTTGTTTCACATCTTTTCTGCTTTCATGATGAATGTAAATATTCAGCTGAACAGTCATGACAGTGTTATGTGCCACAAGTGTTTCTCTTTTTAAAGAATGTAATCTGCCATATTTCCATTGATTTCTATTGCAGCCTCTGCCATCGGTGCACAAATTTGGTATGAATGTAAACGTAGACTTACATATCAATACGTAAAAGTGAACATGTAACCAGGATGTTAGTATGATAGTAGTTTATCTAAAGAGACCGTCTCTGTAGCACCATCTTGAGGATAAATATCACAATTACATCTTGTAGAAGTACTCCAGATAAGATATTCCTTTACACTTCATGTCAAGCTCTGTTGTATTTTTAAGCAGGACTAACGTGGCCGAGATGATATTTTTGTGCAGCACATTTTTTATATGTAATAAAAAATATTTTTTATATATAATTTTAAAATCAGATAATTGTAAATAAATAACACAACACGTTAAGGATGTTACTTTAATAAAATACGCAATATGGTGAAACACAAGATGACTATTACTATTATTTAGTTCATCATTAAATCAAAGAATGTATGAACTCTTAATAACATGAGCAAGGACTAAAACTGTCAATTTTTAGAGTATTATATGAGAAAATAGGAAATGGTGCCAGGAGGTAAACACCAACTTTTATTGGGCTAAAAGTCAGAAGGAAAAAACAAAAAAACAAAAAAGTGAATCTTTATCAGGCAGTCTTGAGGTAAAATGGTTAAGACTTATGACTGTTAATAAAATGGTTCGGGGTTGAGGCGGGGATGGAAGAAGGCTGAGAAGAGTAAGGAAAGAATTTTATGATTAGGAGAAGAAAATTAAGGAAAGAGGGAAGGAAGAAAATAACAAAATGTAAAAAATAAACAATCTAACAAAAAAAAAGGTAGAAATCAAAACAGGTAGAAACCATAGACTGTATATAGAATAGACGCCGTCTGCCTCCTCGCTGTGTGAAGCCACTTCGAGAACAGCACCCTCTGGTGACAGGCTACTGTATAGGTCATAAATCTATGGGGCTGTGGACAAACTTTAAAAGTTTATTACACAGAATATAATTTTTTCTCCCTTTTGGTTGCTATGTTGACATGTAGTTATTGTAAGACTGGTTTGTGCTCAAGTCCTCTTTTTTTTCTGTGCAGCTCCGTTTTTAAAAGTTATTAGGGGGTTCGTGTTTTCTTTGATTGACAGCTGATACAGCCTATGGGCGTTCAGGGATTGCGTAGCTCACCCGGGGGGATACGAGCTGCGTCCGAATTGCCAAGTAGTAGTCGAAGTAGTAGTCGAAGTAGTATCTAGCATGTCCGAATTGGCCACCGGAGCGAGTAGCATGCTACTTCAGATACTACTTCAGATGCTAGACACGCCCACATTGTAGGTTGGTCTCGGTGCATCCTACGGGCATGCTACTGACCCAAAATGCACCGCGGGCTTCTTCTTCGTCCTCTTAAAAGTTGTAGAAGCGCATGTGATGCTAGCGCCACCAGCTGCTCTGCCTATTTAAAAATGTCGCGAACGCCGGCTGGCCACAGCAGCGCGCACCATGTCGGAGCAGCAGCAGCAGCAGCAGGCGGGACCGCAGCAGTACAGATGTAAGTTTCATGTAACTTCACACACTGTCCTAAAAAATGTCCGGTTGTATCTCTTTGTCATGTCATGGTGTCATATTTGCCCAAGTAATCATTTTATGAGCAAGTGGCGACATCATGGAGGTAAAGCTCACTTATTCCATCATTAAACTGCACAGCTGCAGTACTACAGCCAGGCCCGCAGATGAGGGGCTTCAGTTACCACTGTCTGCACGGGCGCAGTACCTACTCTCTGCCTGCGGGGTCGTCTTTCCCCACCGCTCGTCTAGTGTGTCCGAATTGGGCCAACGTATTTAGTATGTAGGAGTAGGATCTAGCAGTAGCACGTAGCAGTAGCATGTAGTATCCGAGCGGGCAGTTCGGACGCAGCAACGCTGTTTGCGATGAACGTCATCACAGCGACTCTCGGCGACTGCGCGGCCGAATGCGCACCACGCTACTGCGCAGTTTGTTTCAGGAAATGTAGAAAAAATACGGAAATACCGAGAGCTTTTTGGCTTCAAATCCATGTACTGGCAGAAGGTGGAACCAAGCTGTCCATAGTATATAAAGTCTATGGTTGTTATGGATCAATACAGCTTTTTCTTCTGCTGCTATTTATCTGTAAGTATCATAATTTTGATTTATATGATGCTATAAGCTAAGATGGTGTAAAAGTACTTCAGTTCTTTGTTTGAATTGTTAATTTCTAGTTAGCAGAACTGCAGGCTAGTGTATATAGCAGTATGACTAGACATATTTTAGTTTTGCAAATTATGGTCTTATTGCGTGCAGTGTTGTTTTTGTTTTCATTTTTAATTCTTGATGCTATGTGTGCTTTGTTGTTGTTTTACAAAAGGTGTAGATTCTTCAATAAATTCTAAGACATGTCCTGTAATGGAGGACTTAAGACTGTTGCTTTTTAGCCTTTCAAATACATTTGCACAATGATCTGAATAAATCCAGTGTAATCCAAGAAACTGAGACAACTCTCTGCTGTATAAATGCTTTAATGAATAATTATAGCTGTTGTGTTATTTACAATGATAATTTATTTCTAGCTTGAATCTTTTTCAACCCTCAAGTGAATAGACATTTATAGGAAAAATGTAGCTGATTAATACATCCATGGAGAAGTGTTCTGTTTCATCCAATCATAGCCCTCGTTTCTCTATACCCAGTTTGTGTCTGTGCGGTCCGGGGCAGGAACTGGCTGCTGGAGAAGCTCTGATTGGAGCAGGAAGATACACCAAGGTTCCCAAAGAGTCCAGAGGTCTTGAAACAGGGATGTCTGAGGTAGGCGTGACTGAGTGTGTGTGCTCGTGGGGGTGCAGGTGTGTGTGGTTGCTGTGCTGATGGTCTGTGTGTTTGCTGTCTGCTCTGGCGTGGGCCTGTTCCTCCACAAGTGCAGCCTTAAAAAGAGGAGAGAAGAGGAAGAGAGTGCAATAGTATTTATAACATCAGATCATTGTGGGGAAGTCTACTTACACATAACACATAACCCTGAGAGCTGAGTATGGTGACTCTGAAGGTCAATACAAACATTACAGATTTCTGAGTAACTAAATTTTCTAGTGGACGATGAAAAAAATCAGGGTTACAATATCTGATTATCTGTGGAAATCTTATGAATGAAGAGTTTGAGGGGAAAAAAATGGTGTAAGAGGGGAAAAAAATTGCTCGGATAAAAACAAAATTATTATGAGTGAAAACTGGAGGAGAGAATGCTTTAATGTGGAAAAAAAACCTTTGTCAATTCTATTTTTCTAATTAAATGCGATTCTTAAACAATAATATCAGCTGAGGAAAAAGTCTAAGCAGTTGAAATGTTGGTACCTGGGGTTCAAAGATCTCACACTTCACCTCCACCTCGTTACGACTCTGAAGTCTCTCCTTCCCTAAAGGGAATACCATATCAAAGTCCTCCTGTGTCCTGTGGCTGCCCTTACAGAAGCCTCGGTGCTGCAAGGATAGAAATTGTAAGTTGCTCGTAAAATCGACAATGTGATCATTTTTTAACATTGGGAACATGCGTATTTTACCTTTTAAAACTATTTCATACAGGTCTAAATACACCTGTCTTATATCACTGAGATGTAAACACGTATTTGTTTCCTCAGAAAGCCTGTTTTTTTGGTGAGCTGAGCTAGGTAACAACAGTTAATCATAAATTAACCTATGGTGCATTTGAGTGTGTTATACTCACAGCAAACTGACAGTCCATCAGAGGGCAGTCGCTTAGCTCACTAGCAGCTGTTGTCTTTGAACACACCGTCTCCACTATGGTGAACTCCACATAGTAAGCAGGACCAGAAAACCACTGACAAAGCACACACAGATACCTGTGAAGTAATGCTGAAACCTGAAGATAAACCTTTTAATCTTATAATTAAACCTCTTTAACTTCACCTCTGAGCTGGCCTTGGTGATGTTCTCCAAAGTGAAGTAGTTGGCTAAGCCGCTCTCTATGTTAAACCTCTGCAGGGAGAGATTAGCCGTCTCCTTGATGACAGGATCACCCACGTTGTCTGCTGTGGAGCAGTCTGGACACTGATGCACCACTACAGTACCAGGAACTGAGCGCAAGAATGTACAGGTATTTGAGAGTGCGCATGATGGAGAGCTTAGCCATGGTCTTGGGCTGAGTGTTTAGCCCATGCAGTGTTGAGGTAAAGTTTTTGTGAGGAGATAGTGTTAAGGGTATCCTAATACAGAATTAAGAGATCAGAACCATAATATACAAAAGGTGCATGAAGGGAAAGGAGTCCGTCATGACAAACATTACATTTTGCTGCATTAGAAAAAACATTTCCTTATAAGTAAGATTGCTGCTGCGCATCTTATTTGCGTTATGGATGGGTTCCATTCCATAAAACAAGATATAGTTTGTGTCAGCCTCTTTAATTTAACACCTCAGTAATATTTACAAATCAAAACAGACCCTCTTTCACTTTGTAAATCTGTATCTGTGCTATCAAATAGAGCCTAAATGACTCCTTTCATTTACCTTCACGCAAGGCACAGGAGTAACTGTGGAGTGTGACTTGAGAGTCGATGAAGGCAGACACCTCACACTCTCCGTACACCTAAAGCAAACATACGCAGAGGGAAAGGTAAACATGTCTTACAAGTAATTATTTGTGATTCTGTTCTGTTATCAAATATGGTGTTCCTCAGGGATGTGCTATCAGTCCTCTTCTCCTCTTTCTATAAATGCACTCTGGGTAAAATGATTACTCGTCTCAATGTCAATTTTCATAGTTATGCTGATGATATCAAACTTCACAATACTTCATTATATCAACATCTGGATAATTGGAAACATTAAAAAAAAGAGAGCGACGCTGAGAATTGAAGCAGCGATTGCTGGGCTGTCCTTGAAAATGTAATTTTTTTCACACATTTGGGGGTAATTTTGCATTTATCAACCATTTTAACAACCAAAAAAAAGTATTCAAGAAAATAACAGTCAACTCAGAATAATGCAACCAGATTTTATCAACAGATTTCCCCTCTGCTTGTAAAACTGCACTGGCTACCTCTTTTATTTAGTATTGATTTCATAGGTGAAGTTCTTTGTACTCATCTACAGAGCTTTACATAATTTAGCCCCTTTGTATATCAGTGTCCTTGTTGCGGTTAACTCAAGGGAGTTTAAGGTGAAATCTACGCCTGAAGAGGCAGATTATTGGTCTAGACAACTCTCCTTAGCCGACAAAGTGAAGTGAATCTTAGAAAGAGGCCCCGTAAAAATTATGTTGATAGGAGAAAATCATCCGCCGTGTGGTACTTACTGGGACATCACTAATTCCTCTGACTTCACATTGTTTCCATGGTTTCCTGCTAGTGATGTGGCACATGGTCTCCATTACATCGATGGTCAGTTTGTAGAGTGACCCGCCTTTCTCCTGGACACACAAATGCACACACCAAGCTCATTTTTTTTCTCTCTCTGTCTCCCAAAAATGCTGTTGGTCAATCAACTTTTCCAACTATACTTCTGCTATTTTGTAAACTGGCAAGAGAGTGCATGACCTCTTTGTTGTTGGGCTTGCAAATCCTGACTTACCTTGTCAGGAGTGTGAGAGACGTCATACAGTCTCTTGAGGCTCAGGACGTAACCCTTGCTCTGGTCCTGGTTGATTTGGTCCAGGGCCTCTTCAGCCACTCTCACTGCCTCAGGATTATTGCAGCCTGGCGGGTCTGGCTTGGCTCTACCTCCCTGCTGCAGCAAAGCCATACACAGAACGAGAAGATACACACTCATCCTCACATACACGCACAGAATAGGTTTCTTAAACCCGCTGATTTTACCCTAAAAAAATGCAAAATCCTGTCCTTGAATAAAAGGACATTTAGGCGAACGCAGGCCCTAGTCAGTAATTCTTTCTTTGCAAGGCCTAAATGCTAATTTCCAGACAAGGTTCAGACAGAGACATGTGAGAGTGGACTTTTGCTTCTTTCCTAAATGATGAGCAAACAGCTGCTATCTGATGCTCTCTAGGCCAATGGCTGGCTCAGACACTCTGAGGGGTCGTAGTGCACAGGAGCAGGGGGACTCAGTGAGGTATGTTGTATTTATAACCACCAGTGATGTTTTATAAGAGGTGGAGTCCAGTCCTACTGGTGTGACTAAGCTTTAGATGTAAATAAGATTTTGCTAGCATTACACTGGTTATGATTAAACTAGTAAATGAGCGGCTACCATCAGCTGGTTTCTCTCTACAGCTTATAGGTAAATAAACGTGTTGTTCAAACTTGATATATTTGCCCCCAAAATAAGTCATTGAGATAACAGGCAGACGTATCCTGGTGAGTCTAGGGCCTCGGTTTAAAAATGGCAAGAGTTTCAGAAGTTTGTTTCAGATCTTTAAAGACTAAAAACCAATCGCCGCTTCCTCTTTATCCATGTTTGGTTTTGAATCTGTAGACAGAAAACAGACCTGTACCGGATGACCAGAGTGGTCTGGCTGACTCATACTTTTTTACAGGATCATTAATGTACTTTGGCCTTCAACCATTTAGTGCTTTGAAAGACAGGAAGCCAGTGTAAAGACCTCAGATCTGTACAAACAGTCACAGTAATAAAGTTGATTGAAGATAAATTCATGTGCACCTTGAGAATCACAAAAAGGATGATGTAAGCCTGTTTTTTTTCTCCTCTACAGCTATCCAGATATTCATTTAACATTTTAGGCTCACAGAACGCAGATAAGAGTAGTTTGCTGAGTCTCTGAATCTCACATGACCACTAGGGGTCCTCAAAGAGTGAGTGAGTGTAGCTGTGTTCCTGCTACGTCTGCTGTTAAGGGCTTCTCTGGGAATGCGACTAACAGGATCTCGAACTGCTTTTATTAAATTGGCAAGTCTATACTTGGACTGAGATAAAAGGGACTCGATGTGGACTAAGGTAATGGGGACTTAAGTCTAACATGGACTTCAATAATGGTAACTTGATTTGGACGATAGGGATTAGAATTTGGCGTAATGGGTACCTGACATGGATATGGACTCAGGTGATAGGGACTCCCCTTAGACTCAAGTGACAGAGACTCAACTTTGACTTTAACTTAAGTGGTAGGGACTCAACTCTGACATGGACTCAGGTATTGGGACTTGACCTGGATAAAGGGAAGGGGGACTTGACTTGTTCCTGGACTCAGGTTAATGGAACCTTCACACTTCAACTTGGATTTGGACACAGTTCATGGGGACTTCCCTTAAGCTTAGGTAATTAGAACTCAAGTTGGATCTGAACTTGGTAGCAAGGATTCAACTCAGGCATGGACCCAGGTACTTGACTGGAATTAAGATAATGGGGAACTCACTTGCACCTAGACTCAGGTGATGAGGAATCCAGTCAGATTTTAGTAATGGGAAATCCACTTGGATCTTGGTATGTGGATTCAACTTGCGTTCATGTAATGGGGACTTGACTTCGACTAAAGTGAAGGAGACCTAACTTGGACTCAGGTAATGTTGACTAGACTTGGATTTGAACTAATGTAAAGAGGAACCAACTCAGACTTGGACTGAGCTCATGGGGACAAAACATGGACTTCACCAGGTTCTTATTTGATAGCTCAGTTGAGAATTGGACTTAATATTTGGGCACTTAAGACTTGACTTAGATTTAAGATTGGTGACTTAACTGCAATGCTGCTAACAGGTCAGTTCAATTAAAGGCAAGAAGAAAAATAGGAAGAAGGAAAATACTATTAAGGAGGATTTTAATGAACTTTTAAAAGTAAAAGGGTTTTGGATCAGTGCAATGACTCAATAAGAGACACAAGTAATAAAACACCTGATGAGTATTTATTGTATAATTTATTATTTTATGAAGTGTCGCAGAGATAGACATACAAATACAAGTGGGACATTTTATGTTTGCCAGCTTGATTGTACATTGAGTCCATGTGGACAAAAGTTAGGGATGTAGTTATGTTTGTGATTTGTTTTGTACATATGGAGATCGCATATCTAAACGGTTTCGCCACTTAAGGACGATTAACTTTCAAAAGAAAAAAAACTAGGGGAAAATAGTATTAATGTAGTTTTGATGCACCTGGTTGTTAAAGGGAAAAGAAATGCTGTGGGTTGGTGGAAGCAGTCAAACTGTGCTGCATTATCTTTCAATGTGGAGGATATTCAGTCTGTGATATCTGCTTAGTTTTTCACTTCCACAGCCACTTTATGCAGCTGGCTTGAACCTGGGGTCCTCAGCAAACATATTCTCCACCAGGGTGGTTCCCGCTGGAGGAGGTGAGCACTGGGCGGAGACTGTGGCGGGGTAAGCCTCAATGAAGGGCTCCATCTTTCCGGGGATCTGAGGATCAGGCTTGAGGGGCAGGGTGACTCCCACCTCAGGGCCAGCAGCGGGGGTATCTGGGAAAGATGGCAGGGTCATGGGCTGGTCCACGGCGGGCAGCACCCTCACAGTGCCCTCTGGGTGGTTATGTGCTTGGTCATGTTCGTGATCGTGGTGATGATGGTGGTGTTCGTGCTCATGCAGGTGTTCGTGCTTGTGGTCATGGTCCAGAGCCTGCTCATGGTCATGCTCGTGGGTGTGATCGCCATCAGCATGCTGGTACTTATGGTGCTGGTTGGGTTTGTCATCTTTGTGGTCGTGCGCCTTGGCGTGATGGGCGTGCACATGGTCATGACCATGCCCGTGGTCGTGGGAGTGTGAGTGAGAATGCCCGTGGCTACCTCCCACTCCATGGTCATGTGTGTGGTGGTGGTCAGCGGTAGGGGAGTGTGTGTGGGTTGCATCGTGATGATCATGGCCCTGGGTATGGTCGTGGACGTGGTCATGGGGGTGGGCCTGGTCAACAGGGTGTGCATGGTCATGGTCATGGTTATGTGTAGCTGTGTCACCGTGGGCGTGGTCTGTGGCAGAGTCATGCAGTTGCTTTTCTCTGTCAGCAGCCTGTGACAGGAGTGAAAAGTTAGTCACGTGACAATATTGAGGTAAATCTGAGACACTCTTAGAGGCCTCAGGAAATTAATGTTTTTTTTCATCCACAAGTCTTACAGCATCCCAGAGTGTATCTGTAGATATTTCAAATAAAAAAACTCGAACTTTCTCTTATAACCACTAAAAGAAGGAGTCAATACATGTTTCATCATGGCATATTGGAGTCTTACCTCAGGCTCGAAGACCTCACACTCTACACTGACATCAGGCTCACCGCTGGGAGTATAGAAGAGAGATCCCTTACAGAAGCCCTTGTGCTGAGGACGGGAGAACAAAAAAACAAGTTAGAAAGTTGAAAGCGGAGGAATATCTGTGATGTGACATCAGTTTAAACTTATATTCAAGTTTCTAATGCTTTTTTATGCTGACATGGTCCGACGGGTCTGCAGTTCAGTACTGAGAAAGTCAAAGGAACAAAGTAAATTTCAGAGCTAGATAAGACTAATCAAGTCACTCATCCTGTAAGAAAAAGTAAAGAACTATTGTTCAAAAATGACAAAAAATAAATAAATCTATCATTGTGACTCACAGCAAACTCGCAGCTCATGAGTGGGCAGTTATCAGCCGCGTCGGTCTTGGAGCAAGTGGTCTCCTGGATGCTGTACTGTACGTTGTAATACATGGCCATGGCCATCTGGGTACACAGAGTAGACACAGAGACACAAGCACACAAAAAGACAGTTTTAACAAAAGAGTAGATGTGACTAAACAGAAGATGGTGTGGAGTTGGACAAAATTACCACAAGTTAGTTTCCATGTCAATAATTTACTTTATTTCTAAACCACAACTGTTGAGGTTAGATTTTTATCAAAAAATAAAATGTTTCAGGCAAAATCTCAGTTTTCGAAATAACAAAATCTCACCCCAGAGGTAGCTCGTTCAACTTTCAGCACGGCAAAACGCTTGGACATCCCGCTCTCCTTGTTAAACTTTTCCAAAGACAGAGTCATGGCCTTCTGAATCTCAGAGTTGTCCTGGCCGATAGGAGTGGGACAGTCTGGACAGCTGCTGTGTACCCTCGCTGAAGGAACTAAGCAGAGTGAAAAGCATTTTTTTATTTCTCAATTAATAAAGGAATCGTCTTGCATGATTTTGTTTAAATTTTTCCAAGTGAGTTTGATGTACCTGGTGTGATTTCACAGCTGTATTTGTAGAGACGCACCACTCTGTGTGGCCTGTTGGTGTAGATGACAGCTTTGCACTGACCATAAACCTGCAAAAATGAATACAATAAGCACATAATACTTTTGCCTGGTGCACAGTTTTATCGTTACTGAAAAAAGGCTGTAAAAATTGATGTAACAACCTATAATTTTCTTTTAGAGCAGCATTTTTGAAAATGTGCAAACTTGTGTGTATTTGTGTGCATTTGTGTCTGACCGGTGTGTCTGATTCTGGTCGAGGCACACAGGTTTTCCAGTCCCTCTTGCTGAGGACGCTGCAGTTGGTCTCCACAACATCAATCGTCAGGTAGAAAACCACCCCAGTCTCTTCCTGCCATGTGACACACACAAACATATAAGATAGCAGTCCTGAGGATGTCCTCGTCTTAATCTGTGTTTCAATGTAGGATAGTTGAATTATGATGAATTAAATGAAAGAATTCAAAGGTTAAGAGTATATAAAGAAATTCTTGAACTGTATGTTTACAGTTTCCCTCTTAAATTATCTGATAACTGACTCAAAGTGGGCACATTTTTGGTAAAATCCATAATATATCTATATATTACAGATTCTGATGGGATCGCTGTATCTCCTGATCCCAGCACAGAAACTTAAGGTGGTTTAGAGATAAAGACAGTACCCCAGTTGCTAAAATAAGTAGTCTTTTTCAGACTGAGTCATCCTGTCTTAACTTTACTTAGATAACAAAATACCCATCACAACCTGAATCAATCCAAACTGGCAGGAATATTGCACCAAGAGTTATGACTCACATGGATCTTCATGAACACGTTGGACAGGCGGTGCATGCTGAGGACGTAACCCTCCTGCTGGTTCTGGTTGATGGCTGTGAGAGCCAGCCCTGCTGCGAACTTTGCCTGTGCATCTTCACATGACCCCTGCTCTAAGGAGCCCTGCTCCACCGGTGCACCGTGGACAAGCACGCATCCCAACGCCAACAACAACAGCTTCATAGTGGAGGGTCCAAGATGACTCTCAAACACCCAGAGATGACCAGAGAGGGATGAGACGACTTTTTATACCTTGGTTACAGTAAACACGCCCACTCACCCTCTTTCTCTCCCTCTCCCTCTCTGGCGCACACAGACTTACTCAATCCCTGCGCTTCCTTTAATCTCAGGTAAATATAACCATTGACCCACACCCCCCTCAAAACCTATAATCCTCTCTATGTCACGGTGCACCGGTTCATCTGTTTACCAATCAAGCACCTACTGTACAGCCTTGCATAATGGGGCTCATCTGTTTGATTAAGTTTGAATTGCCTGAATCTTGAAATGATATTTTAAAATGATGCCAATCCACAAAACCAGAGGATTTGAAATTTCCCTCAACTAAAAAATAATCGCCTGAAATCCGTTCAAACTAACTTCTATTTAACAGCTAGCAAACATGTCAGTAAACTAGATAGTATCAGGTCACCACTGTCGTGACTGAATGTGTCAACTCAGGACAGATATGCCTTGATTATATCACAGACAAGGAAAAGATATTGTAGATGATCCTGTTTTTTCCTTTCTGATACCATTCCTTACACTTCCAGAATTGTATATTAGCTGCTTCAATTCTTGTGCAACAGTAAAAACAAACATTTTATGTAAAACTGGAGGCAAAAGTACCAACCTAGTCTGGATGTGATCATCAAGAAATGAAGAAATCCTGATTTGGAAACAGGCTAAGCTTCTGTAAACAAATGGCTAATGTTTGCTGTATCTCAGTTACCTGCTTTGTTGACAAAAAATGACCCTTAAACTCCTGAAAATGACTTTATTTCAGGTTCAATACTCACTTTAATTTAAATCCTAAACCCTTTTTAACCCTGAAATCTGTGATCACAAACACTGTCTGCTGATACTGTTAGCTTAATATCGTTAGCTTAATATTGAAGGCTTTGCTAGCAGTGCACTGTTCTTCTGTGCCGACAAAAAAAAACCGTAGACAAAGCAGTTGTAGTAGTTGCAAATATATTTATAGGTATCTCTACCTTACTAGCTTGTTTTAGAGAAGTTTAGTGTTTGCAGCCAATTCCTACAGTTTCCAGGAATGAGTAAACACTGCAGTTAAGGAGGGGATGAATGCTAACATTAGCTGTCATCAAACAGCTTCTGGTTCAATAAAGCCCTCAATGTTTATTCGTATTTCCCCTTTTTTTTTCATTTACGCACAATCCGAAGCAGTTATGGTAGAATAGATTATTTAAAGCTGGTCCTTAGTGGTTCAAGATGTCAACAAAGAAGACACACTTAAATAGTGAACTGTTAGCTCAGCTCTGAAAAGCACTTAGAGAGGTCCTTTTTTGGAGATTTCACAATGTTTCCAGACCTAATCACTTAAACGCTGTTAGTTTAGCCATCTTTTATCATTCTTGAAACTGCAAAGGCTGCGAATGCCTCAGCACAATCCTGAACTTTGACCAAATCCCTTCTACAGAATCACAGATCAGCAGCTGCACAGTCAGGCCGGCTTTTGTTGTAGGTACAGGCCCTGCAGGGATACTGAACCATCTGACCTTTGTCTTAGCAAAAATAAACAATCCGTGGAATCAACAGGACAAAAATCAATATTTCTTGCAGCGTCTCTGTTGAAACCTCTCTCGGGTACATTTACGTAACACAGAGAGGCATTGGGACATGACCGCGCATACCGAACTGAATTAGGTGCTTAAATTGAAGGCAAAGTATACAGAATCAAACAGGATGATAAGCTAAATCAAATGAATGCAGAGTGCTGGACTTCCTGTCTTTTACAGCTTTAAATGACAACAAACAAAATAGAAATTTGTGGCTTTTGCAAAAGCACATCATGTTGACATTTACCTCACATAAGCTCTGAGTTAAAAGGAAAAAAAAGTTGTCTTGCTGAACACTGACAGATTGTACCCGAGCTGACAGATGCCTACCTGTACTTTACATGAGAGCAAACCAGTTCATTCAAATGTAAGGTGCTGTTTGACTATAAGAGGGGTTGAAATGTGTAGAGGGAGGCTGCTGGAGCATTGGCACAGACTGTCAGGCCAAGTTCTGAGTAAAAAAAACCTCAGACCTTTTGCAAGTACTTCATGACAAGAGTAAAATTAGCTCTCTAACCCTGGTTTGCTTATTGTTTACACCATTTAAGACTGTCAGACCTTGTTTTGCTGTTGAGCTGCTGCTGTAAATGTTGATTAAAACAGATTTAAACAGTTTAGAAATCATTTAAACCCCATTCAATTGACAACAGATGATAGACAACACAATTAAAGTTCAAATCTAAACATACTTTTGTTTCATGAAACTTAAGCACTCATTTTTAATTGTTGAGACAAAGTTGTGACAAGGATGACAAAACTGAAAAAGTTCTGTAATGTTAAGAATAAAACATCTACCAATTTGCCAAGGGTGAGTGACATAGATTTGGTGGTTCCTTAAAAGCTGAGTCCCGCAGAAGAGGTTCAGACTCAAGGTTCATGTCAAAATTGGTCAATAAATTCAGAGTAATAATCGATTGGAAGGATATTTCATTAGTTTGTGATCTGCAGTACATGGTAATATTAGAAGATTTGGAGAATCTGCAGGAATACCTGAACAGAAATGACTCTGGGGAAAAAGCAGACGTGACTCTGTATTGGAAATCACTGCATGGGCTCCACATCACCTCCAAAAGCCATTGTTTGTGAACACAGTTCAAAGTGTGTCCTGCCAAGAGATTATTACTTAAGGCTAATGACCTTTTGGGCAGATTCAGATTGGAAGCAGATGTGACTCTGTAGTGGACATCACCGCATGGGCTCCACATCGCCTCCAAAAGTCATTGTTTGTGAACACAGTTCAGGCAAAGGGGGTATCACTGAAGGCTGATGACCTTTTGGGCAAATTTAGATTAGAAGCAGATGTGACTCTGTAGTGGAAAGCACTGCATGGGCTCCACATCGCCTCCAAAAGCCATTGTTTGTGAACACAGTTCAGTTTGCGTCCTGCCAAGAGGTTCTCACTGAGGGGGCGGTGAACCTTTCGGACGATTTACATTAGAAGCAAACGTGACTCTGTAGTGGAAAGCACTGCATGGGCTCCACATCGCCTCCAAAAACCATTGTTTGTGAACACAGTCCAGTTTGCGTTGTGCCAAGAGGTTATCACTTAAGGCTAATGACCCTTTGGGCAGATTTAGATAAGAAGCAGATGTGACTCTGTAGTGGAAAGCACCACATGGGCTCCACATCGCCTCCAAAAGCCATTGTTTGTGAACACAGTTCAGGCAAAGGGGGTATCACTGTAGGCTAATGACCCTTTGGGCAAATTCAGATTAGAAGCAGATGTGACTCTGTAGTGGACATCACCGCATGGGCTCCACATCGCCTCCAAAAGCCATTGTTTGTCTACACAGTTCAAAGTGTGTCCTGCCAAGAGATTATTACTTAAGGCTAATGACCCTTTGGGCAGATATACATTGGAAGCAGATGTGACTCTGTAGTGGAAAGCACTGCATGGACTCCACGTCCCCTCCAAAAACCATTGTTTGTGAACACAGTTCAGTTTGCTTTATCCCAAGAGGTTATCACTTAAGGCTAAAGACCTTTTGGGCTGATTCAGATTAGACAAGAGGTGGTGTGGTAAACTGGCAAAGACCAAAAAACACCAACCCACGTTCTGCATGTACTCTTTACTTCAGCAGCTTCACCATTTCATTCTCAATTACTTATAAAGTCATTAGTGATCTAAACTATATGACTAAAAAGTTAAACCTTTGACTGTCCTCTGCTTTATCTCTCTACATTGGCATGCTTGAAAAATGAACATCCTGTTTGTTAAGTTTACTCTGGCCACATGATTTTTATTCTGGTGCCCAGAAATGTAAAGTCAGTTTTGAGGGATTTGCTTTTGTATAAACATCTTTAAAGAGCCACAAGATGGTGCTGCGGTATCTCAAAAGGCTTCACCAACTCCTGAAACTTGAACTCACACTCCCGAGGTCCTAAAAAGGTTGTTGACATGTCTGTGGTTTCCCGAGCAAGCAGAAGAAGTTTAGCGACTTACAACCAAGTTCAAAATAAGTCATTTAACACATGATGATTATATTAAGAAGGAGATTTTACGGAGAATACAGAATGAAAAAAAGAAAAATTAGGGGTAACCCAGTAAAAAACTGTGAAAAACAAACAAAACATGCACGAACTCTTACACTCTTCCCACTGAACATCCACAGCAGTTCAGAGCAGATCTCTGACGTCACTGCTCATCAGATTTATTATTCGTGATTCACTTTAGAGGCTGTGACTGTTGCAGGAGGAAAAGAATGAGCTGTGATGAAGATGAGGACTCGGGGTCGTGACCGAGAAACTATTTATTTCATCAGACTTTCAGGTCTCCATCAGCATCACTTCTACTCCTCCTCAGTCTACATCCTGCCCTTTAAGGCAATTTACAGTGCTAACCGTAAGGCTGAGTCTTCATGAAACAATGTTGAACTCTTTCTTTATATAACAATACAAATCATAAACTGACGCAGAAGGATAAATAAGATAGCTAACACTACTGAGACTGTGATTTAAGCATGCCTCATATTTTTGTTGAAGACAAACTAATTAATTAGACAAAATTTGGCCTTTTTGAAGTCAAAGTGAGCAGAAATGGGATTATTTAGCCGCATCAGGCCTTAACTAAAAAGTTGCTTTGGCATATTTCACCTCTGCTTGTTCATATTGTCGCAGGAACGTTTTCCATCAGCATGATAAATTGGTCAACATGAAAATGAGAACATTCGTTCCCATCTCAGGCTGATCTTCAGATTGGGGAAACAATGACAGCGACCGGGCACAGAAAGGGGAGCAACCTCAAGAGTGACTGGACCCCGGTCATCACTCATTATGTTAGGTGATATAACTGGACGACTGTCCAAGTCTACAAGCACCAGAAAATGATTTATTGGCAAAAGTTTGGCAGTGGTGATATGCTCACAAACTATGTTAGTTAGAAATTTGCAACATCAATCAAACTTTTGTTTTGCACATGATTTAGAAGTGTGGTCAGAGTTGCAAATGCAATAACATCATGTAAAAAACTCTCTGAAGGAGGAAAGTGGTGCAACATCCTGTCCTGCAATCCAGGTAACGGCAGCCGAGCAG